CATGTCCAAGCAAGATCGTCATCACATAAACTTTGTAAGGGTGCGTTGCGCATACCCAGTCAGACAACAGCAGCGACAGCGACGGCAACGTTCGATTAAGGTGATAAGGTGACCCGATCTTCCAAGGCTCAAGCTTGTACCAGCTGACCCTGGATCCACGAACCACGACCACGAACACAAGACAAGACTACCTTGAGCAACAGAAAACAACCAGGTCAGGGGTTCACGGCGACGACGAACGGCCATGGCGCGCAAGAGGCGGTTATGGCGGAGTTAGAGTGCTGACATTTGACGGCAGCAGGGAGCGCGGGGCAAAAAGGAAGGGTTCGGAGATGCCGCCGCTGGATGTCGCAATGAAACGAAGCTTTCGACAGGTACATCTACTGGTACCACTCGTCGTGCCTTTCGAACATGGAAAATGCTTTTAGAGGCGAAAAGTTCAGATTACGATGAAGGCAACGCCGATGCCGTTGGTTGGTGATGGTACGTACCGCATAATTAGTTGAGAAGGGCGTTCTCGCTCATTCCGGCTCAGCCTGCCCTGCGACTACTTGTTCGAACGGGGATCTGCGGTGATCATCTGCCAGGTACAAGGAGTAATCATGCTGACAGCTCAGCTCATGTATACTTGAAGCTTTGTTCTTTTCTTTCTTGTAAAGCAAGTCCAGCCTGCGTACTCGAGTTGCACACGTCATGCTCGTGCACCGCAACACAATAATATCGGAGGTGCATCGCTTCTTTGCCGGCTTTGCGGGGGACAGTTAGAGAGATATCAGTAGCCGGTGGGGGGGATGTTCACGATACGAGGCGGAGACAAGCCCGTGGGCGCCCTTACCCGTCAAATGGCCCTGTTTATTTCAGGACGCTTGTTTCATGCGTAGCACAGAATGAGAAGATTGCAACACGAGTTCATCCATTTCTATTTACCCCACGCTTTCACTAACCTACCCCTCTTAATGTTCGTTGTATCGCACTCCCTGTGTACTGCGCTAACCCTCCAAATCTCCGTGCGTGCATGTCCCTTTCGCTCCTCGGGATTAACGACTTGGCTACTATAGTACGTTGTATTGACAGCAAGTCAGCGAAGCCGAACAAGCCAAGATTTAACGCAGCATGAGGCCAAGATTTAACGCTAGGCATGACTTGCGATTGTAAAAGTAACAATATTTCCGAGCCTATGGGTATCCAATTGCGCACAGGAACGTGACTCGGGTCTCTCCCAATGTCACATTCGGGAATACCGCGGTATCTGTAACCCGGCATATAGGTACTGTACAAGCTGTTCGGATTCACCGACAGCCTGTGATTATCGTAGTGCCCCTATTGTTAGGACAGTACTTGTAACAACCCACCTGTGTAGAGGGCTCCCAAGATTACCAAGACTGGCGACGTACGCCAACGCGTCGTTCTTTGGTGTGCTACTCGGATACGCAGGAACCGCTCATCTCGTCACATTTGCACGCCGTTCGGGCGCCTCCCCAAGCTCATAACTCGAGCCGGCCATAATGCCTAATTGGGTCATCGGCTATTATTCGAAGGCCGGCTCGGCGGGCTTAGACTTTCGTTGTCTGACGGACGATAGTGCTATGTCTTGCATGTGATAATCTGGGGAAACAACAATCTTGTACGTAACTTTTGCGGAGTAGCATAGCCGGCACTTGCGGAGGAGGCGTTTTCTTACGAGACGTTCCGCTCGAGGCGTTGACCTTTCATCTCCGTGATTGTAGAGGGTGATGGTGTTGTGTTAGATGTGCGCTGTGTGTAGCTCGCGTGACGCGCAGAAGGATGATCGCGGAGCGGGCCATTGCAATCGATCATCAAAGGGCCGAAAGAGGCTTGTAGAGATGTGTGCATGTGTGTGTCGGACGGTGTTGCTGAGTCGAGCAATGGAAGGCCGAAGAAAAGTGATTGGACGAAGCTTCAGGTGGTGACGTTGTGGCTGAGAAGAAAAAAGTAGATATCGTGAGAGCGCGATGCTGTTGACGCACCCCCTAAGGCCGGCACTTCCGGTCTTTGTTGGCGTGAGAAACATGCATGCGTCTACACTTTGGTTACATCGGTGGTGCAGTAGGCTCTTAGTTCTGATGTCTGTAGTACACCAGTAAAGAAGAGTTCCAGAGAAGCTTGAAGAACAACTATATGTCACGGGTGTTACGGACGACGGAGCTCTCGGTATCTACCTACGCTTGCCCCTCGCGTCTGCGCAACCATCTTCACCCGAGTATGATGCTCTCTTACACTTGCGAAGAAAAACGTCACTAGGAAATCAAAACTGTAATGGTGGTACCTGGTATTCTTTGCGCACGGCTCCCACGCATTAAGACTGTCGTAGACCTTCACCACCGTGCAACAGCCAAAACGTCATGATAGATAAGTGGTTGAGCACAGACCTTCTCTCAAGTGTAATGCTCTCTCATCCCAGAAGACGAAATCCGCGATTGTTAATACGTCGCAGCGATGCTAGTTTTTGATGGTCTTCTCAACAGATCTTGCACTCCTTCTCTTGAGATGGTCGTATTATCACCGGTCTTCATCGTTCGGCTCAACCACAATCATTCAGCCTCCTACATCACAGCACTTGTTATCGAGATTCAAGACTCCCGGACCGCACGGCCTATGCGCTCTCTGCTGCAGACATGCATCAAGATGCCGAGGAATCCCTCGAAACCCCTCTTGTGTGTCTTGCAGACTGGCACGGACTATGACGGGCGCTTGACGATTTTTTCTCTCTCTCTGAGCTCAGGCCTCTCGCGTAGATATTCAGAAGCCCGGCCTTTCTCCCATCCTCCATGTCTCCATCTCAAGCACAGTCTTCGTGTTCTTATCGTATGTGGACCCTGGAGGTCTGAGCGTATGGACAATGCGTCGTACGACCTATAATGTTTTCTAAGTTCGTGAGTGATAAAACTAGAAATTGAAGATTGGAAATAGAAGTTTGGGAGCCGCGGAACACACACTCTGTGTAGTGCCGAAGATCACACCTCAACGCGAACTCGCTCAGACGGCTCGGTTACTTCCCACAGGGTATGATCTACGGACATGAACCGTCCAGACACTCCTCCTCGGGCAACAATCTTCTTTTCTTACAGCGCCTTAACCGCCAAAACCTCATTCGCTCAACTGCACTTGAACAAACAAGCACGCCACACCGCCTACTGCTGACCAAACATACAGAAAAAGAGTCTCCACCTGATCCCCAATTACAGCCACGGCGGTACGCTCTCAAAATGGCCCACCGGCGTAATGCTATTCCGCATAGCAGCCGAGCAGTATATCCAACTTCCCTGCCCTGCGCTCAGCCACGACTTGGGATAGGCTACCAACCCCTCGTTACTATAACACGACTCATTATACATCGTCAATGCAAAAATACCTGCACTAGCGCACCGAATGTTCGATTCAAGAGTCCATGGACATGGGACGGTCATAGACCTCAATCTGTGCAAGGCTGTGCAGATAGACCTGCAGATATGTAGCCGCGGGAAGTTAACCGATTGCGGATAGCTACAAGGTAACTAGGGTTGATTGGCAGCAAGCAAGAGAGAGAGGGGGAGAGGGAGAGAAGCGATAGACACGGCCTAGAATCGAGTCATGGTTAAAAATCGTTGATCGACACACACTAGAGGGAGTATTCTAGATCGCAAATCTTGGTGTTGAGAATTCAAGGGACATTCAAGGGAATAGTCGGGCCATCGACAACACGTACGAACAGCGATTGGTGGGATCTCTCACCTGCGAAAGATCGTACAGTGTACTTTATCGCAGTGGAGCAATGAGAAAATGGATACACATGCAATCAAGAAATACGAAACTTTCGACTCCTACAAAATATCCACAGATAACGGTCTTGGTAGATCCTCTCTCTTCCCTACTACTGCTTCGGAATCCCCAACCCGCACTTTCCATTACGCGACTGGGTACCTGAAACCAAGGGTACACAGAGATCCCTCCACCACTACCATACCCCTCAAACTAACTTTCCAGGCTATCCTCTGGTGTTCACACTAATGAGACACACTCCTTCCCTTTTCCTAACCATGTCCTCCGACGTGGTCCTGCATCTGCATCTCCCCACGACCAGCTAAGCTAGCTAGAACCAGTCGTCACTCACGAACAACACCGACCTGCATGACACCATGCATGTGAAGCTATCGATTAAGCTATCGATGCATACATGCAATGTGATTGTGCCTGCTTTCTCTACCACACCCTCACGAACCTCTCCCGCACTACATTCTGACAGCAAGGCAGTCAGTCCATCTTACACGCTTACACAAGGTTGGGCTTTATCCCTCTTCCAGCCGTGGGATATGCAATGGAAGGTGCTAAGAAGATGTGCGGAATGCCTCGGCATCCGTCGGTTAGTGCGGCACAGTAACGGGCCGTGCTTCGATAACGTTCTCGAAGGCTATGCCGGTGCAACAACGTATCTATCCCGCCGTCCAACGCCATGTATTGGGGAAGTTTTGGTGAGGGGTATACGGCATGGAGGTGGCTGGCTGGCTGGCTAGCTGGCTAGCTGGCTAGCATTTCACCTGCTTGCTTTTTCATCTCTCCTAGGCCTAGCGAATCCCAAAGTCCACATGGTGCACGTTTATGCGCACTACCCCAACGAACGCATGTTCATACAGCGTTTCGGCCACGCAGCTGGGTTGGGAAGGTGAATAGATAGGTAAGCGCGATAGTAAATTATCAGCCTACGTCAATGTGGATGGCGCATGAACTCTGGAAAAAAGACGTTGAGTACGAGTTTCGAAGAGTAAGGGGGACAAAGCCGGGAAGGAAGGCGGGATAACGGCCTGAAGCGGGAAGGGAAGGATCTAGCAGGCTCGGAGCATTGTTTTCTCATACTCAACTTCTCATACAACCGAGATGATGTGAATAATGCTTCGATGTCGTTATTTCATGTCTGAAGGACCGAATCTCTCGTATTCGTTACATTGAGTTGATATTACTATTAGCTGCACCGTGGCTACCGATGATGTGCAAGTTCCACTTCTCTACATGCTCATTTCGTCCGCTTCTTCCTTGTAGCTGACCTGGGCCGTAGCCCTGCCAGACTTCTTCCGTGTCGCAAGAGGCCGTGCATTTCGCTTCTGCACAACAGGAGCCTCGTCCTCGCTCCCTACATCGCTAAGTGGGGGTGAGCTAAGCTGATCTTCCTCTTCATCGGAAGCTGAAGGTGTTGGCACGGGCTTTGCTGCTGCCTTCTTCTTAGTCGAACCTGCTGCTACTCGCTTAGCCGGTGCGGCTTTCTTGGCTGGTGTCTTGATGGGCGTCTTGACATCCTCAAGTGGAGCAGCTTCACTTGCTACAGACGCCGCGTCAGCGGCGGTCTTGCGCTTCTTCTTCGCGGGTGTAGCGGCGCCGTCTTCTTTCTTCTTGATTATGCGTTTTGGGGGTCTGAGCCAGTCCTCCATACCCGGAGGCCAGTACACTCTTCCCTCTGGTCCTCCCATACCCACTTCCTCGTCGGGTACGATAGGCGGGGGTACGTCCTCTGGCTCTTCCTCTTCTATCTTCACATCCAGTTCGTCAAGTTCGTCGACCTTCTTCTTCTTGGTCTTTTTTACAGCCTTCTTAGGTTTGGGCTTCCAGAGCTTGTTCTCGTCTTGACGCGTATGTGGCAGAATGTCGTTGAAAGTATGAAATCCTGGAAGCTTGAAAGTTCGCATAAGCTCAAACACTGCTTGCTCCTTGTCTTTCGCCTCTATCATCAAGTCCATGGTGTCAGGGCAAGGAGGTAATGTCATGACGCGAGGTGAATGCTTTCTCCGTGTCGTGCGAGTAATCGCAGCAGGTGTAGGCTCAGAGTAATGCATCTTAGGGGTGATTCCTTTCTTTTTCCACGTCGCAAGAATACGTGGGTAGAGATCCATAATGTCTTTCGTACCCTCACGAATCTGCTCTGCGTCGAAGATGATGTTGTGATGGTGGTAGTCGAGCACGAACGGGATGTTGAGCTCTTCGCATAGAGGCAACAACTCATGCACCGACCACACAACATCGTCGTTCTCAAGCACCAGACGATTCTTGACGCTCTGAGGAAGCTTTGCATAATTCTCCTTGAATCTCTCAATGGCCGCCGGCTTGTCGCCATATGCTCCACCAAGATGTAGAATCATGACAGCATCGCGATTCTGCTGCTCTGGAAGCTTCAGAAGAGAAAGCAGCTCGTCGTGGTACTCCAGATCACGCATTGCATTGTCGATGACCTGCTTCCGCGGCGAGCCCAACTGTGTAAATTGGCCCGGATGAGTAGTCACTCGATGACCCAACTCGCTGATCACTTTGCCTACTTCACGCAATGTCTCACCAGCGAAAGGCTCAAGCTTGTAGCCGTACTCGTCATGGCTTGCGAACGGAAACATCTCGCTACTCAAGCGCATGAACTTGATGCCGTACTTGTCGTTCCAGCGCACCATCTTGATGATATCCCGCGCATTGGCGAGGCCTATCTCTTCCACATATCTCATTCCCCGCGCGACATCCGCTGGTTGTTCCTTATCGGGGCGATTCTTAGTGGCATGTTCGGGCTGCGAGGGGTCCTTCAGGGGATGGCGATGTTCAATGATGCTCGCGATACGACAGGTTCTCGAGCTGAAGACGGGAGGGGTAGCACTACGGAGGTACGTATTAAGACAGGCCTGTATGCACACTCGTTAGTTTAGATTAAAAAGTACCTGCAGGACGCATACGTAGCCTAGCCGCCCTTTCCATGGAAGAGGAAGGTATTCAGAATTGACCGGTGGGGGTCTCGACAGGGCTTCCTTGACCTCTGTCTCGTCCTCGTCTTCAGCCTCTAGGTTATCAATGTCGTCGGGATCGCCAGACACCCCGGCGCTGGCTGCAGAAGCGGTGGTTTTCCCCACGACGCCATTCACAGCGCCTGTGTTGGTGTCATCCTCTTCCACTTTGATTTGCTGCGCTTCGGCCTTCTTTCGCTTGTTCTTTGCAGCATTCGCTGCAGGGGCGGCGCCATTTGCTACGGGCGCATCACCATTTGCGGCAGGTGGTGAAAGCTTCTTGTTCTTCGTGGTCGCATCTGGTGCAGTACTGGCTTCATTGGCAATGCCATTGCTGACGGCAGATTCCAGAACAGCATCCGCGCCTTCATCTGCATCAGGCGATGCGCGTAATGCAGTGACTCCGTCCAGGATGTCAGGGTTGGAGTTAGGATTAGTATTCTCGGCCTTTCCCCCACGCGTCGTTTGTCGACGTGGTGGCTTTGCGATATTGGTAGGCAAAGGCACGTCTGTTCGGCGCATATGTGATCGGTCTGTGGGAGGAGCTTCCTCTATCGTAGGGACCGCAGCCGCTACAGCAGACCTCTTCCGCTTAGGGGGCATGGTTGGAAGATAAGAGATTACGCGAGATCTCTGTAAAGTTGTCGTCGCGCGAAGTGGTGGTTGGAATGCGACACGAGAGCGGATGCAGTGAAAGGAACGTAGCATGTGTCCAAGACTCGGGTGATGTCGCTGTAGATGAACAACGAGGTCATTGAAAGGAGGCTGGAACCCGCGAGCCGTGCTTCCAGAGCCATGTTGGGTGGCTAACGCGTCGAACTCGCGCCTACGTCATTATATGGAAGTTTGATGTTATGACGCCGGTGTTGTTTGAGATCGGCTTTGACCCGATCGGCTACGATTAGCGAACCCGCCCGATCTCAGATCGTGTTCTGTCTTTCACATCTACAATCCCATCACGAACAGAATGACATTCGTAGCTGAGCTTGTGTGAAGAACCATCCATCCTGTTTTCTCACTGTACAGAAGGCATCATTTCAATATTGGTGCCCAGCCATTCCTGTGGCCAGGACGACACGACGAAATGGTGCGCATGCACAATTGCTATTTGTGCAAAGATCCCCTGAAGCACACGGCCCACTGATGTGCTGAGCATTTCACGATCTAGGGGGTCGACGTCATCAACGCATCCATCTTCATCTCTCACTGCGGTGCCTGCACATCCAGGCCCAATGTCAGCTAAACCTTCTATTGATCGTGGGTTCAATCCAGCAATCTCCTGATATGTTCTCGCACAGGTCTTACCACTCGTGGCCAAACCTATGATACTCAACTTCAAGTGCACCACCTCCACTACTGTCAAAACTATCTCAAACATCAGCCCATATATCATCTCCAAATCTTCCATCTAGTACCTTTCCATGATAATATACAATTGACTGCTGGAGAATTCTCTCATTGGTCAGCGTTCCTTGTGCGGTATATTTCACAAAGTGTAAACACACCTGGAATGATTATGGTGACTGTTAAGAAGGAGCAGGATCTCAATCAATCTCAACAGCTTTGCACAGATAATAATACTTGCTACCCAAGATTACAAATACTTCATCGGAACCTGTTAGTAGCAATTAGATATAAACCTCTTTCTACGAAGAAATAGCACGCAACATACAGATTCGCATATCAAATGGATTTGTCAAAATAGCGACATCTAGTAATGCTGTCATAGCGTAAAAGCTCTCGAAGAGACTTGCAAGCTCCCCACAATACCACAAAACCCTCCTATTTCTGCACCTATTCAAACTGAACCCTCTTCCGTTTGTCCCCGTTCAACTCAACGACCCGCAATCTTGCTCAAGGCAACAATCCCTTTCCCCTTCCCCTCCTCCTGACTGTCCCCTTCCCACTCACCTTTCTCTTTGTTCTTACCACCACCACCACCACCGCCACTCTCATTTCTTTCACTTCATCTTCACTTCGGAGGAGGATGATTCAGAGGAGGAAGTCATCTTCATCATCGTCATCTATCCCCCTCCCTATCCTTCCACTTGAGTCTAGCTACTACCGTCTTCTTGCGAGATGGTGATGATTTCCTGTCGAATGTATCGCGGATAGCTTCTTCCTCGCGTACCCGTTAGGTACTGCTCTTCATTTTGAAGTATCTGTGCCGATTGCTACGTACTCATAGCTTCATACTACTGCTGCTGATCTTTCCTAGCCATGATCTCTTCTTTTGTTCGAAAATGCGACTTGAGCATGGCAGTGTCTGCTTGTCTGGAAGAGCAATGGTATCATTGTGATCTTTCTGATGCTGTGGTTTGTTGGAAGCAGGTAGGTATCTGGTTGTTGTATGTACTTAACGCAGTTACGCAGAATATCAACCTAGAAAGAAGTAGGGACAACGTGGATGGAGAAGGCACATTCACTCGCCAGGAGGTATCCACGTGTAATCTCCCGGGAGAAGGTGCACATCAGTCATATTACAGCCGGATAAGTGTGAATCATTCAGGGCATGTCTTATTTTCTCTAATGACATGCAAAACGCTAAGTACGACTCACAAAACTGCCTTTACCCCAGCAATACCTCTGTTTACCGACTTTAAACTCTACTTATACAACGTGACGTTCGACACCATAACGTAGTCTTCGGGAACACTCGCCAGCGTAGTCGCAGTCGCAGTCGCAGCAGCAGAAGCCTCCTAAGCAGTCGACTTGCTAAACTGAATCAAGCGCTTCACACCAACCTGGTTATAAATTAGTATCTTGTCCAAACCACAGCAGGTCCGATATAAACTTACCATCCAGTTGCTTCCCTCCTCCGTCTTGTTGGTCATCAGATCAGAGAAAATTGCGACTGCAGCGTCGTACTGCTTAGCCTGGATATTGACTGCTAGTTCGTTCATTTGCTGGATAGTGTCGGGCTTGAGGAGATCCTCGTTGTTGAGATGATCGAACAGGATGTTGAGGCGCTTCTCAGTATCTGCGACGTGTTGTTTGTACTGTGCTGGTGCTCTGGCCTTGACTCGTTGCAGGTCGGCGTCAAGGATCTCGTAGATGGGACGAGATGCGTCAGGAATGTGCGATCGGTCACCAGGAGCTGATGTAAGTTAGTTTCAAACAATCCATAAGAGGAACAAATTGTGGCATATGCCTTGGAGAATCACTTACGATACTTAGCTGCTGCTGCTGGTGCAGCCGCTTGTGATTGACCAGTGCCAGGTCGAGAATCTGGCCTTGGTGGTCCGCCTTGAGGGCCGCCCGGAGGAGGACCTGCCCGTGGAGGCCCCTGCGGTGGACCCCTTGGTGGAGGTGCTGCGGCTGCTGGTGGCATTTGTTGCGCTGGCGATGGTGCGTATGGTGACCCAGCTGGTGTGAATTGGCCTGGAGGAGGCGCAATGTTACGCGGTGGTGGCATTGCACCCATTGGTCCAGGTGGGGCCGATGGCTGCGAACCTGGAGCAGGGGCGTAGCGGCTTGATGGCGGAGCGGTAGCAGTTGGAGGTTGGTAGGGCGACGCTCCACGCTGTAATGGCGCCTGCTGTGGGGGTGCAAAGCCAGCAGGTGGTGCAGCGTATGTGTTTGTTGTTGGTGATGGTGCGTATGGGTTCGGGGCACCAGCTTGGCCTCCCGCTGGTGGAGAAGTCATCCGAGGAGGACCTTGAGGCGGACCCTTTGGAGGAGGTGGAGGAGTCGCTCGTGCTCCTGGCGAGAAGGGACCTTGAGGCGGGCCTGCGAGGGGCTGCTGCTGGTTTGGGAACGGAGAAGCAACAGTGTTCATGGGTGTACCACGACGTGAAGCTGGCTTAGGTGGACCGAAGTCTGGTGTGTCGTTCCAGGCAGGAATGCTACCCCTGTTGGCTGCTGGCACAATTGATGGAGAGTTGGAGAAGTTGCGTGGTGGAGGTGCAATTGGTTGTTGAGGCGCCTGGTTGTAGCCATAGCCCTGAGACTGAGTTCCATAACCCTGAGGCTGAGATGGCTGGTAACCAGCTGGTGTGTACGCGTTGCCAGATGTTGCTGCTGCTGGTGTGAATGTTGATGGTGCAGCAGCCTGAGCTTGTGAGGAGAGAGGGTTGACTGGGGCATAAGGTGACGCTCTTGGCTGTGTTTGCATGGGGTTGACAGGGGCGTAGGGCGTCTGCTGGGGCGGTGCCGGTGTCGCTTGTGCAGGTTGACCATATGAAGGGACTACAACCTGACGACGGCCAGTGCTAGTCGACTGGGCCGGTTTATGGGCTGCTGTTGGCTGAGCTGCAACCTTCCTGGTGGCTTGCTTGACCCTGTTCCTGGCTACATCTGCTGCTGGGTACTTTTGTGGCAGGAGATCTAGATACTTCTCTGCAATCGCGAGCTGGCCATGGGCAGATGCGATGTCAGCATACTCGACGTACTTTGCGTACAAAGGTTCGAGCTTCCAGTCGTCCTCCTTTTGCTGTTCGGTGTCCTTGAAGTCGGTGACCTTTCGGAATACCGTGACCTTCTCGATGAACTCCTGGAGCGATCGTGCATGGATCGAGAAACTGTTGTCGCCGTCTGTTTGCTCAATGCCCGCCTTCTCGCTTTCCTGAAGCTCCTGTGCCCAGTTGACGACGACCTTTTCAAGCTTGGAACCAGCCAAGTAGCAGAAAGACGCATCTTTTCGGTATGATCCCGTCTCTTCAGAAATGGCTTCTTCAAGACGATCGCCAAGAGCCTCGCAAAGGTCAGGAAAGTCGGCCTGGTCGGCAAATGTGCAGATTGTTGCCATGACTTCCTTCCAGTCCTTCAGATCGGCATTGTATACAAAGTCCCACAGGTTCTTTCCGACCACTGACGCAAGCAGGCGTAGATAGTTTGGTGCGTCGGATTGCCTCTTGAAGTATGCAGCCTGTGCCTTGGCGATGCACTTCTCTCCACCGCAGATGGCAATCATGAAAGCATCTGACAATCGGTTCTCCTTTAGGCACACATCTAATGCCGCATTGAAGTCGCCTAGCATGAGGTTACGAGTGATCTTGGTATCGGCTTCAGACTCGGAGCCAGTGTAGATCTGGAAGGGGTTGTTGGTCTTGGCACCCTTGGAAGCTGCAAGATCCGACAGGAAGTTGCCCTCATCAGTCGCGTTGTCAAAGAACGAGGTGCCTTCGTCCGCGTCGCCGTTTGTCTTCTCTTCTTCCTTCTCTTCTTCCGGCTGCTCCTCCTTGTCAGAAAAGCCTAGGTATTCGACGAGCTTGCTTCGTGGGTTTTCCGATGTGAGAGTCTCGATTACGGTCCAGTCGGCCTTTTCTTCCTCGTTGGCTGCTTTTGAAATCTTCGACTCGCAGATTGCTGTAAGATCGCCCTTGTCTAACGCCTTGTCGAACTCCTCGCTTGCTGCACTAACGTCCGAATCTACCGCAAATGTCTCAATGGAGATCTTGGACTTGTTGTCAACGATGCCGAATCGTACCAGCTTTCCACCAAAGCCAAAGGCCACACCCGCTCTCCTCTTCAGCCATTTGGGGGGTGTCTTTAGAGAAAAGGATGCGCCCTGGGGTTCAGCGTGGGTCTGAGCAAAGAAGTCCTCGCCTGCAGGAGCTTCGGTCGCTGCCTTGCTTTGGTCCGCTGCAGCCCCTGTGTTTTGTAGCGTCTGAACTGCGATCTTGCCATCGAAGGATGCGGTAGCGAGGAGGTTCGGGTTCGCAGGATTGAACCTAGTCTGGAAGGTCCAGTTTGTGACGACTGGGAATTCGCCCAACTGCTCTCCAGTGTGCGGGTTCCAAGCAATTGTCCTGTTGTCCTTGCCGCAAGACAACAAAAGGTCACTGTCCTGCACACACCAAGAGAGCGACAGTACACCCTGGTCGTGTGCCTGTAGCGTCTTCTCTGGCGCATTGGTGTTGCGAAGGTCCCATACCAAGACGAGCGGGTTTTGGTCGGTCGGGATAGCGGTGACGAGCCTCGTGGGCACATTGGGATCCCACGACACAGCGCTGACTGTTTTCCGTCCATAGTGGTTTAATGTGAGGTTCTCCTTCTTAAGCTTGACGTCCCAGACAGTGACAAAGCCACCACTGCTGCCGGTTGCCAGAATGTGCGCCACCTTCTTGTTCCAGTCCAACGTAGTGTACTCATCGGGGTTTGCTCCAGCCTTGCCTAGGCGGAAAGACTTGGAGTCGTCGGCGAGATCGTGGACATAGAGTTCGCCTTTGGCACCTGCGGAAGCGAGGATGTTGGATCGGAAGGGGTTGAACTGTATCGCCTGGATGGGACCCGTGTGCTTGTCGATCTGGTCAATCTCCGCCTCGTCACTGCATAAAGTTAGCACTCTGAGGCCGTATGCAACTGCACATGCACTCTGACCCTTCGCCTGCCTGCAGCTTCTCTGCATCCCATAGTACGAGTGCCCCGCTGTCGAGCGCGCCTGCTATTATGCCCCGCGGGTACTGTTCGCTGGGTTGACTCCATGCAATGTCGTTGAACCTCGACTCGACGCTCACGGTCGCAACAGGCTTGAGCTCCACGCCCTGCTCGGTGTCGTCCAACTTGAGCTCCCAGAGCTCTAATTGTGTTTCGTTTGAAAAGTCGGCATCTACCGCTCCAGCCTTGGTTCCAGTGGCAATGAGTGGCTGGGTCGGACCTGGCGACCAGGCAAAACAGGCTGTCCTGGGGATTTCTCGTAGACGGACCATGACGGTGTTGGGCGGTGATGGCTCCTCGGTGTCAGATTAGCGAATTGGGGAATAAGGCACGAACAAAATAATGGACAAGTGAGAGGATCTTGCAGAGCGAGAAGAGAGGGATATGTGGTGTAAAGGAGTGTCCGCAATGTGTCTTGAGCGCGGAATGGGAAGTTGGGGCAACGACGTGCTTCACCATCAACGGAGCATCCACCTGTCCTTCCCTGGTCCATGGCGGGCGCCGCCAACTGTGGGTCCCGCTAACCACGTGATATCGAATTTCAGCTCGGAATCTCTGGAACGCGACCATCACACGAAGCCAGTCTCAAATCGCATCCACAAGCAACCATGTCCAATTTATCAGACACATCACGACTAAAGGCCACCGTGTTCGTCGGCGGCCTCGACCAGGCAGTAACACAGCAGACGCTTTTCCACGCCTTCCTGCCATTTGGCGACATTGTTGAAGTCAACTTGCCTAAACCGGAAAACCAGAGCCAGGGCGAACAACATCGAGGATTCGGCTATGTTGAGTTTGAGACTGCAACCGACGCGACAGACGCTATTGACAACATGGACCGGAGCGAATTGTACGGTTCCGTTATCAAGGTAGCAGCAGCCAAACCACAGAAAGATGCAAACGAAGGACTGGGCAGCAAGACAGCCATCTGGGAGCAGGTATGTCTTGTTTTACTGTAAGAGCTACACGACTGATATGCTAACATAAACGCAGGAGGGCTGGTTGGCCAAGCATGCTGTGAGTGAAGAGGATCGCAAGGCTAGTGAGCAGATTCAAGACGAGGCGAACGGGCCTATGGACCCTATGCAGGGCTTGGAGGGACTTGATGAGGCTGGGCCGAAGCCCGTGTAATCTTGTCGATTCTCTAGGGTCTCATAGCATGGCGTTGGCAGGCGTACTGGGAAAATGTATTTGATACCAGGTGCTGTTATACGCGGTCCATCAGAGTATGAGCCGCGATATCATGAGCTACAATTTCAAGACCACGTTACTTGGCGCAATGAATCTTATGCTTGATTTCGAACTTGACGAGGACTCTGTCCCGTATGCTGTACCTATACACATGGCTGCTGGAGCCCTTCCAAGCCCGCCGATTCCATCTTTATTGTGTCCGCTTCCTTGCCAGCCAGGCGTCTACTCCTGCTTGCCCTGTCGCTTGAGACGAAGAGTCTTGTCGACCCAGAGTTTCCGGGTGATGGAGAAGAAGGCCATGCCGACGGCGACGCTGCGAAGTGTATCAGACCACCTGTGTTAGAGTACATGGACCGCAACTGAGGGGCTTACCCGAGAACGATGACTAGATTCTGCGTCAGCGAGAGCGTCTCAAGGACATGCAAGGGGGTGTAGACGTACTCAGAGGCCAGATCTCAGTGGGGATGTTCTTGAGCTGGCGGAGACGCTGGGATACCGTGTGGGCTGTACGTCGTCAATTCATGTTCCATGGCGATATCTCGACGCCGTGATTGGCTTACCGCCTTGCTCCTCCTTCTGCCATGTTGTTAGCATCAATTCCCCAGTAGTGAGACATGGTATTTCATACAGGCACAGGGTTGCGCATCCGCATCGTCTGCCTCATGAAGAGCTGGGGGCTTGGGCGCATGGCAGCCATGCGCGTAGGCTGCATAGCCATCATGCGTGTTGGCTGCATAGACAGGGCCCTGGTAGCTTTGAACATGTTGGCGGTATTGCTATCTTCGCAATTGGAATGGAGAGTGGAGAGTTGGCGGCGTCGTCGTTGGTGAGTCCAAGTGGTAGTCTCGCTGGGTTTCGTCACAAGCACGCAGATGCTGAGAGAGCTCGCGGCCCTGGTTCGCCCGGAAAACGCCGAGCGAATTGTGTGTGGACAATGCGTTTCGGGTCGAACCATCGCAACCTCACAACTTCACTTCCGTCACCACTGGACCCATTGCCGCCGCACCCACCCTCGACGAACTCGCATTCACCCATCGCAATCATGTCTGACAACGAAAACGGCGAGAACGGCGACGAGCTCGTAACCAAGCCCTTCAAGTTTGTCACTGGTGAGCTTTTCCCGCTGCTCCGCATATTGAGGATTCATAGCTAACCTCCCACCGCACAGCTGGTACGCCATCCCCAGACTCGCCCAACCGCCTGCACCGCCTGCCAATCCACCATGTGGAGCTCGAAATATGCGATATGGCGTGCTAACAAGCTTCGGCGCATATAGGCTTCGATGCCCGCTTCCCCAACCAGAACCAGACCAAGCACTGCTGGCAAAACTACGTCGACTACCACAAGTGCATCATCGCCAAGGGCGAGGACTTTGCTCCCTGCCGCCAGGTGCGCACATGTATAGCAACGAATTGGAAGTGGGTGTACTGATGCATGTAGTTTATGTTGGCCTACAAGTCCCTGTGCCCCAGCGGCTGGACATCGCGATGGGACGACCAGCGTGGTGAGTAGTCCATACCACACACTTTGCTCACACGAGCAACATTCCACGAGGCAATAGCTAACATGTGAGATAGAGGCTGGCAACTTCCCCGTAAAGCTCGACCAGTAGAAAGCTCGCGACGGCGACAATTAGCATGCGACAATTTCTTAGAGCAGGAGACAATTGGATCAGAGCGGCATTCGCAACTTAGAGCCCTGTATCATAGCGATCGATATCAGCAATGCGACTCTGGTTCATCTAGTTGCCACTCTTTTGCACAGCAGCCTCGTGATGTCAGGATTGTTTGCGTGACAACTAGGATTAATGCTTGGAGTTTGCCCAGTGCTCAATGTCACTCACAAGGCCATGAGATGTATGTGCTCAAGTTGTCATCTCCTCGTTGTAATATCATACACGAACATTGGGCACAGGCACGATCATAATTTAGCAAGTGTCATTGTGTAAGTGTCATACATTATCATTCAAATGTTGCTCGATATTCGAGTATAGTGAGTGTAACCAATTTACAGTAAAGTTGGGACTTTGTATCAGACAAGATGGGGGGTGAATCGCCGCTTGATAAACAACGCTAAGTTGGCAAATGAACAAATAACCGCCCAAGACGCAGCAAGGCAAAATCGCTAAACGCAAGACCTGCTCTGCTAGAAAACATCATAAGGAACCCGAGTTATCATGTCGAGTGTGTTAGATCTGGATATAGACAGGTGTGTCTAATTGGGCCACGCGTTCACTGCAAACTGTCCGACATACTTTGGCGATCCACACGTAGGCAGCGAACGTGTAGGTACAGGGACATAGGAAAGATACGGCTCAGACCCCAGCAGTGATTCGTGAGCAGGTTGAAACCGTTTAAGACCCCAGTTAGGGTCGTCAGTCCGTAGGTCTTCTTCCTTCTCCTCCTCTTCTTCTTCCAGGATAACTGCTGGATCGTCACCGTGAGCGCTATCTTTGCGCCAGTGCTTTCCCTGGTCCAAGATTTCGCTGATACTCGAGAGCGAAGATGGCGCTGGCTGGTAAGTTGCGTCGTAGGCTTGGCGAGCTTCCGGGTCCATTAGACAGTCGAAACCTGCTTGGAGTGCTCGGTACTTCTTTGCATCGTTGGCGAAGTAAACGGAACGTAGACGGCGGTATGCAGCTCTGATCTCGTCCGTGGTGGCCATGGGTGTGAGTTCGAGGATGGCGTAGTGGTCGGTAACTTCGGAGGACTCGCTGGTTGGTGAGGCCATGCCGGAGTCTGCTGGTGAGACTGGTGAGGCCATGGGTGTGCGTTGTTGGAGTAAGATGGAAGCGTCTGAGACGTATATTGAGGCCCGTTTTGCGTGCTGTACCATGACTGAGTTGCTTGCTACGCTAATGGGGCGTGGGCGTTGGATGGCTTCAGACTGGTTTCGCTCGTGACCGTTGAAACGTTTTCTTGGTGAGGGTGATCGCAGTGGACTGAAGTTCATCTTGCACATTTGCTCGGAAGAATAAGAGGGAGGAGACATGGTTGTGTATGTGGAGATCATCATGTACTAAGAATAGAGGTGTGCGTGCAGTACAGTAACAATAGAGGTTGATATCGAGTTCAGAATGCTATGCGTTGTGTGTGTTCAAGAAAAAGATGCTGTTGTTGTGTAGAGACAAGGTGTGGGAAAACATTGAATGATCAGGGCCAGTCCAGGAGCACATGGACAGGGCAGCATGATGGCTGCGCACGATGCAGGGGGGGCGATGCAATCACAGGGGAGCTCAAAAAGGTGGAGCCCGCAGGCCGAACTGGCGAAATGAAGATGTTGTGAATGGAGTAATTAATCAAAAGATGAGCTAGGGGCCTGGCGGATGAAACAGAATGCAGTTGCTGGCCTGGCACGTTTGGACCAATACCGAAGGGTCCAAGGCAGCGTTGGTAGGCTGTCAGTGCTTCGGCCAGACACGTGCTACCGTGACGAATGACTCCGCGCTAAGCCCGTTGGTGTGGGGACGTCTCGGCAAAAGATTCAGTCGCCGTAGCCGTTGGCCCAGTGAGCTCGAATAGCTTGAATATAGCGACATAGCAACGCATGCTCCACCACAATGGCCGATAGTTCGAGAAAGAGGAAGCAAACCTCAGGCAACACTGGTCCCGGCAATCCTGTCAAACGCACCCGATTCCAACAAAGACCGCAGCATGTCATCCCCGCCATACCAACTAGTAACGCGTACCCCAATGGCGAGATCAACGTCAAGAACTTCCTCAAGTCGCACGAGAATGAGATCAAATCACTCGAGGGTGCCATGCAGGCGGCGAAGAAGGGACTCTCGCGACGTGCCTTTCAAGATGTGCCGAGGGAGTTGAGGAGGAGGACGGCGAGTCACAATCCGCATCGCGTGCCTAAAAGATTGCGGATCAGGGCGCGACAGGAAGCCAAGGAAGACAACACACCAATTGCAAGAGGTACGAGTGGGAGTGGTGTTGGAAAAGGGAAGAAAAAGCATCTGAGGAAGGAGGGGAGGGAGAAAAGTAGACAGAAGTCCCAGCAGAGGGTAAAGAAAGCAGCTGGTGAGAAAGACCATGACGGGGATGCAACAATCGAGGATGCGCCGAAGGGGGTCACGAATCGCTCACCACCGAAGCCGAAGCGCAAGTTTTCCGCTCTAGCCACGCCCGCTACCCCTCCATCGCGATTCCGTAGACGGCAACGAGACAAGACATGGTTACCCACACATCTATGGCATACAAAGCGCGCAAAGATGACAGACCCAAAGGAGCCTCTCTGGCGATTCGCGATTCCACTACAACCAGCAGCCAAGGCATACCGTCTGACACACAGAGCCGCAACCCAGCGAGGGGCCGTCGCATGGGATATGAGCTACATATCAACTCTCAGCCTTGAGGGCCCCGAGGCCAGTATAACAGGGCTATTGAAGGCTCTACACTTCGCTACAGACGGTGCAGAGGACCCGTGGCAGAACAGGGGCAGGGCTAAGAAGTGGAGAAATGGCACCAGAGCCTGGGAAGGCTGGATTTACGAAAGAGAAGCGAAGCCACTGAGGAACATTGCTCAAGTGACTGTCATCTGGTGTGCCCCGTATGCAGGTAGTAACAAGACGAAAGCTTTCGTTCGTGTGCATCCGAGTGCTTTCTTGCAACTCTGGAATGAAGTTGTTAGGACTGCCAAAGTGCAGAAGCCGGCTGTCACCGTTCGAGATCTCCGCTTCGATATTGGTTCCATCGAAATCACGGGCCCGGCCGCTGCAGAAGCCCTTTGCTCGATTCTCGCTCCAGTGTCTTCCCCAGATGCAGGATCTGATACTCCACAGTCTCTTTGGTCTGCCTTGGCTTCTGTGACAGACGTTGCATCGTTACCAAACGGTGCGCTGTTGTCCTTTGACATATCAGATCCCCGACTTCGCGATCCCCCTCGCACTTCGCCCGTAGCATACGACCAACAGTCGTTGACCGCCTTGACGGAAACCCTTGCAACCTGGCCGCTCGACAATGCTCCAACACCAGCCTCAATCTTCGATACCAGCAGCCGACTAGCCGCGCAGCGAACTATGCCATCTCAAAAATCCATAAATCGTCGGAAGAGCGTATGCACGTTAGGCGAAGACCCACAGGCACGCCCAACCGATCCACGTATTCCGACACTCGTGTTTGTATCGCGAGACAGCAAGTCCTGGACTGTTCTCCTTCCTTGGAAATGCGTCACGTCCGTATGGCGACAGATTATGCGCTACCCGGTCTCAACAGGCGGCAACCCAAGATTTGGCGGCTTGAAAGAGAGACGTCAGGTCGATTTTGAGCGCTCGAAGCCACACTTTCCGTATGATCATCCTGGTACAGATGCTGGCTGGGGTTGGGAATTGCGTGAGCGTGAGGTGAGGAAGCATGAGTGGACTAAGCGTCCGAAGGGTAAGAGGATTGAGTGGTCGACCATTGATCTTGGTAATGGTAGGAAGGGTGAAATTGGGGACCCTTGGTCTTGCGGCTGGGAGTGCTTACTTCCGAGATCAAATGGAAAGATGGATACATCACAAGACGGGTTGAAAGAGCCTCGGACTCCTGCCAGACAGCTCTCCTTCAGGGCTGCAGTTGACTTGACTGAATTCGGCAACGCTTCGTCGAGCGACTCTTCGCTATCCTCAGATGTGTTCACTGTCAAGGTCACGATGCTACAGCAAGGTACACCTACAGACTGCGCCCGCATTTACCGACTGCCTACAGACCCACAACTTCGAAGCAAATGGCTGTCTCTGATACCACAACCCGGGACAAAGCGTATATCGACGAAGCAACAGAGTCGAGGTGTCGTTGAGAAGCCAGACCATATCCAGCGCAGGGATCTTGCAAGGAGTCTCCTAGACAACGGCCCACCGAACGCTGACAAGGAGGATTACCCTCTTGTCCCCGACGAGGCGGATCTAATCGGTTTCGTCACAACAGGCAACTACAATCTTGCAGAAGGCATGCCGACAGCAGTTGCGAATCTAGCGGTGCACAAAGTAGTCAGCCTGTTGTCTGAGCAAGGCGTACCAAGAGCGGATCGCGTGTGCATAGTGAGACAGGCGGGAAGCACCATGGGCAGACTGGCAAGATGGGAGATAGTCTAGACGTGGATAGACCGATAATATGAATTGATACCCATTGCGTGTTGCAGTCGCATGCATCGATGGAGACGTTTGAGCTCCACAGCAGACTCTTGGGCGAACACGCTGTTCTCGTTGTGTGGGGTAGGTAGTTTTGGCTGCATGCGCTAAATCGGTCCCGGAGCAGGGATGCATGGATGCCATCGATATCTCCCGTAATTGACGCTAACGTCTCAGCAACCTTTCTCCACGCCCTGAACAACTTGGCCGACGGTCACCAGTGAACGACATGTCTGAGGACCGGCCGGCAGACGACCAGGGCGAGGGCGTCGACTCTGCCGTGGAACTGCCGTCAGATGTGCTTCAAGAATTGGTAGGGCCTGTCCTCCGCGAACCGCCTCCTCGGCTACATCCCTCTGAATGATGCGCCTTGCTAAGAAACGTGTCGCAGACTACCAATATCCTCGACGATTTGCTGAGCAACATCGTCTTCACGACCGCCCTATCATGTCATCGATCCGAGAAGCTGCTCCGCATGCAGTCGGCTGCCACCCAGGCCGAATCCATCGCCCTGGCAAACCTCGAGCCGCAGTCGCAGAAGCAAAACACCACGGGCGCCACGTCGATACCCATCGCTGAGACGACGGCAGCCAAGTACGAGAACGGGCGCGTCTTCCTCAAGGGCAATCCCCTCAAGACAACCCCGGAGATAATATGTCCCCACTGCAAGCTGCCCCGGCTGATGCATCCAATCATGGGCAAGGGCATGCAGAACCCCGACCTGACCAAAGAGTACTGCATGCTATATCCTTTCGTCCAGCGATCCGGCCACGACGTCTACGGCAACCCGTTCCCAACCGACATGGCCAAGAGCAAGAAGGAACGCGAGCTCATCAAGCAGCAGCAGAAGAACGCCGAGAAGGAGAGTGTAGGCACACCCGGCTCACAAGACACAGACATGGCAGGCGGCGACACCAAGGAAATCAAGCTAAACACCGGCGGCAAACCAGCCTCATACATACCGTGGCACACATGTCCAAACTGCAAGCGCAGCTTACTCATAACACGCTTCGCCCAACACCTGGAAAAGTGTCTCGGCATCAGCGGACGCCAGAGCTCACGCAACGCCATGGCGAAACTTACCGGACAAAACGGCGGCACAGGTTCAGGCCTCGGCAACACTCCACTGGGAAGCCGCATGGGCACGCCCGCCCCCGACGCGTCTTCGAATCCAAAAACCAGCAGCAAGTCCAAGGGTATCTCGCCTGTGAAGCGATTAGCCGCCGATGACGCCGACGCCGACGATCTCGACAACGATACCCCCGAGCGCCGCAAAATGAAGAAGAAAAGCTCCTACATCAAGAAAGCCGATCGCGATAAATCGTCAAACGGAAACAGCAATAACAACAATAGTAACAGTGGCACATTGAAGGTCAAGCTAAAAACGGGTAGCAGCAATAGACCCGATCTTGGCGATCGAAAACACAGCGAGAGTAGTGAGCGAGGCGAGGGAAAGCGCGATCGTGAGGCTGACGACGTAGGTGGTGATTCACCCAAGAAGAAGAAAATCAAACTCAGCTTGGGCGGCAAAGACAGGAGTCGCGCGAGTGCTAGTGTAGAGCCTGCGAGTGCTGCGTCGCCGGAGTAGGTGGCCACGCAACGGTACAAGGACGCGTTCAGATGAGGTGGATGGGATGGATGTATAAAACCATGCATTGGGACGGCGTTTTTAACTTGGCAAGTCAGGACAACGGGGTTTTATAATACCATGGCATGGGAACTGGGACATAGAGAGTTGCTATCTCGACCCAGTGGCGTTTTGCGTTTTCTTCTTTTTCCTTCTCCAGATTGATTGTTCGGAAATACCGGTTAAGAGAAGGGGTGCGAACAGAAGTATTGGGGTTTGTATTTTTAAACTATCCAAAGGGTGGAAGTATAGATTGCATGGACGGGCATACTCTTGTTGCCTAATGAAATAGGTATCACCTACTCTTGTTATTCAGACTTGACGGTGTGGTCTAGAAGTATTCGCTATCATCCTTCCCATCGCCTGTAGAATCCCTTTGCGATTTCTTGTGTTTGCCAGGCTGGATGAACAAGACGACTACTAACTCAGGTATACGTAAAGCACCGAGCACATGCCAACATCGGTGCTACATCACACATTCTTCGCATTTGACTGTTGCCTCCTTTTTCTCATAACAAGGCACAGAAAAGATTTGGTTTTCGCGAATGGGTTGGGAAAGGATGAGATGAGATGTCTGAGAGATAGGTGGGTAGGTAGGTAGGTAGGTTACTGTGATGGGATGCAACGTTAAAACGACAAGCTTCTCAACCCCCGCTACCTGAGGAAAGTGCAGCCAAGAAACAGTCCAATTGGAGAACGTAGCTTGCTCGTTGAGAGGGTTACATAAGAATGTGAACTTTCACTCTTTATTATCCTCAAGTTCATTGTGTGTGATGGCTGATATGCCTTTTACTTGGTATTGTGCTCTAGAGAGAGACAGAGAGTAGTTGTTGGGGGCACAAAACAGGACACTTGGGCAGAAAGAATCGTGATGCTCATGTAAGAGCGTACGATGAAGGGCGATTGAAGTTTGCCATTTGCTCTGATAAGAAGTCACGTGGACTGGACCTTCTTGGTGCGCAGTGTCCGAGTCCTAGTCAGTGGGTATCTGCTCGGGGATATTTATAGGAAGCAATTACACTGATACGCAACATCAAGGGCAGAGGTAGATACATGGCTTTGAAGGGGTTAGATTAGACGAGCCCTTGGAACGTGACTTGGATGGTAGACATTTCGGTCATCCCTTGGCACACGCCCTGCAACCTACGAGCAACCACATCACAACGCCCAATTGAGGTGCTGAAAATGATATAGAAATGCTAGAGCTGGAGTCAAATAGTGTTGAAGGGGTCCAGATGATACTATGTGAGATGTCGAAGACGGCTTTTCATTCAAATGTGCTCCGGCTCGAAAGGAGCGGCCAGTGACGACAAGGTCAACATGCAAGCATCTCCAAAATCCGATGCATCGAATATGTACAGCCTTCTCATTGGCCTCGCAAATTTGCAAGCCCCTCACATCCGTGTTGGATGCTCATAGCGACTTGGACGAAGAGACACACTCGCAACCTAATCTGGAAATGTGCAAAAGTGCACTAGGACCATAAAAGTTGTGCAAATTCCTGCCTTTTCGAGCAAATCCAGACTTCACACACAGATAGCAAGCCTCGGATTCGATTAGCACAGAGGAATAGAGCGTATGAGGGGCGTGGTGGTGAGAGTAGGAGCCCTGGGGTGTTAGGCGGGAGAGGGCTTGGCGAGCTGGTCCCGCACTGTATATACTCGCACCGCCCACCTCCCGCACCTTCCCTCCTTCCATCCTTCTTCCCCCACTATCCTTTCCACGTAACCATTACACCACATCCCTTCTTCGTCTTCGGATCGACTCTGGGGTGTTGACAAGTCATCTGAAGACCACTTCCAACTCTTTGCCCCAATTTCCATGCTACTGGCTGGTCCACGCTGTCACCATGCCGTCGTCGCCATCAATGCAGTCGTTTCGCCAGGCATCAGCCCTTCCATTGAAAAAGCAAGAGATGCATGAGTACCGTCAGACAACGTACTACGACGGGAGTCATGTTCAGATCGCAGAATCTCGTCGTCACCCTTGGGCGGTCCGCAAGGTCGAACCATCAGTCCAAGCATATACCGACTTCGTCTTGTACCCCGAGGAAAACAGACATTTGAATCCACGAAGTGGCTTTGAAGAAGTCTCCTCACAAGCTCACCCCACACTTCGAAAGAGGGCCGCAGAACCCAGCCCAATACACGTGACCCTCGCCAAGCATTCGTCCAAAGTCAGATCAAAGCCGGTTATCCTGCACAGCTCGGCAAAGTCGAGCCAAAGCCTGCCTCTAGAGACGAAAGCAACTTTGCACACCTCGACGGGCCCCACACCTCCTCCTACGCCGAGGATAGATAGGTTGTCTACACCTGACCTCTCTGATCTGGATGAGGCGCCCTTCTGTGATTGTGGTGTGGCATTGCATGTTGTCAAGCGTTGCACAGAATGTAACATGGAGGTCGATCTCTGGTCAACGTGATCTCAAGTCAGATGATTCCTGCTTTCTCCTTCCCGCTGCAGTGGCGTGTCAGGATTGGTGTTGTGGTTTTCCGCTTGAATTTGTCCTTGGTCTTTGGAGTTGATCCGCGTTTACTGACGAAGGGATGAATGCCGCGAACGAGTACCGGTACTTCTTGCAGCTCGTCTTCATGTCCCGTTGATAGCCCGTCCTTACTTTTCTGAACATATCTCTTACGGCTCCTGGGGAGTTCGGTATCTGATTTCCTTTTCCAAAGCCAAGGTCTGTATTCCATTCGCAGCGGTATATCATTCGTAGCAATGACAAGCGTACCTGCACACTGGTTGTTCCTGTCCTGCACGTGTGCAAAATCGTAGAATGACCGATTTATTCCTGCGGCCGCTCGCTCTCCACGACGAAGTATTTGCCAGATTTCCGCTCAGCTGAGCCCAGCACATCCCAGTCCTCAACATCTTTAGCATTTACAGGTGTAGCGTCTCGTTGTAACCGCTTGTGATGCTGTCCTATGACCTTTTCTTTGCCCAGGGCATCCTTGAGTGTCTCCAACGTGATTTTTTGCTCCTCTTCTGCAGCCATCGTCTCATCACGTATTGCTCGAAGAGGTTTTACACCCGTCGTGTCCACCTCCTGTATCTTGCCCACAAAGTGTAATTGTGCTGCCAGAGTGTCTAGCATCTTCTTCTCTTGTTCGGGTGTTTCTGGCGGCGGGAGGGCTGATAGGCGAAGTAGGTGGTGAAGTTGCTGGGAGGTGATCTGAGGAGCGTCGGGAGCGCGTGTCTTTGGTGGTAGCAGAGACTCGACGGACCATGTGGGCTCTGCTAGAAGCTGTTCAAGCTCGTCGGGATGAATGCCTCCGGCGGTTCGTGGAAACTCTCCCTCTTTGGGGTTCTTATATGATCGCAGAGGTGAAGGCGTATATGAGCGTGTTTGCAGGTATTGTAAAGGCTTGCGAAACTTCGAGGACGCAAACGCGCGACGTGTGGCCATGATTGTCTGTGGATGCCTAAGGCGGGGTAGGTCGATTGTTCAGACGGTTCGAGATCTTTGTTTTATATGCTATGTCCTTCAGTACAGCAACATCAGTGCAGTCTCTTAGTTCTATCGCGAGACCTGAGCGACGCTTCTGTGGATGTAAGGTCGTAAAGCTCGAGGCAGGTTGTAAACACTAGTGCGGATTCGGTAAAGCCACCGCCCAGGTCACAGCCCTCTCGCATGGACCAACGTGGGTCGTCATCGCTCATTGAGACAGCAAGTGCAGCCACCTGTCTCGACCAAAGTTTCAATATAACGTCTGCCTACACAGTCACATCTCCCGTCCATCCACTCTCTCCCACAAACAACCTCAACTCTCAGAAACTCAGCAAACATGGCCGGCGATCCACGAGCGCTGCTGCGACAGGTGGGGCCTTCCAAGACTCAGCCACAAAGCAGATAACTGATATCGAGTGACACAATAGGCAGAAACGTCGTTACAGAAGGCATCTGGTGGCTTCAGCTTCTTCGGTGGGAAGCAGGAGAAATGTACGATATGAAAAGTCGCACATATGCGCATTTAGACTGACGCACGTGATAGACGAGGCAGCCGCAGATCAGTTTATCGCTGCAGCAAATGCATTCCGGATGCAAAAGATGGGTATGGGCAGATGCATGTTGATAAACAATCCGATCTTGAGAATTAACAAACTTTAGGCAAGGAGGCAGGAGAGGCTTTCGAGAAGGCAGCATTGGTACAACGCCAGAACCTGAATGAGCCCGATGATGAAGCAAACACGCTTACAGACGCCTTCAGTATGCTTCATTCTTTTGTTGAAATTGACTGCAACTAATGCGACATCAGAGGCTTACCGCAAAGATGACCCAGAGGCAGCTGCACGGTGTTTAGACAAGGCTATTGCGCATTACTGCAGCAAGGGCAACTTCCGTCGTGCAGCCACTCACAAGCAGAACCTTGCTGAGCTCTACGAAGTCGAGCTTGGTGACAACACCCGAGCCGCAGCAGCATACGAAGAAGCGGCTGGCTGGTATGAGAGCGACAACGCTGAAGCACTCGCCAACAAGCTTTGGCTCAAGACTGCCGACCTCGTCGCTCTAGAAGGCAAAGACTACTACAAGGCCATCGAACTTTACGAGAAGGTCGCCAGGACTTCTATTTCTAACAACCTCATGCGCTGGTCCGTTAAAGAGTACCTACTCAAGGCTGGTATCTGCCAGCTATGCACAGGCGACCAGGTCGGCGTCAACACCGCGCTTGATAGGTACAGGGAGCTGGATCCAAGCTTCCAGCAACAGAGGGAGCACGCACTACTTGTTGACTTGGCGGCTGCGGTGCAGGATGGTGATCAGGAGATGTTTGCTGATAAGGTATGTTCTTTTTGGCTCATAACCCAAGCGTACATTGTACTAATATGTGACAGCTGTTCCAATTCGACCAGCTCACCAAGCTTGATAAGTGGAAGACTACACTTCTGTTGCGGGTCAAGAACACGATTGAAGAGGGAGGCGAGGACTTCTCGTAGAACATGGTCATCGGGAACGATTTCTGCTACCATTGGTTCTCTAGTTTCCATTTGTGCTCAGTTTAAACACACTTTGGCTTTGGATCTTACAATATATGAACATCTAATGAATATCATCATTTGAGGCACCACCATACATATCACATCTGGGTTTGTTCATTGATTTGCTATCTAAGTTATACACGTTCTAGTGTGAAGCACCTGCGTTGCTTGAAGGCAAGGTTATTATACAAGGAATATGTCGTAAAGATCGTCGCGTTTGAAGAATATAACAAGTTTAGTGCTCATCTGAAGCCGTTGCTTTACAACTCCATGTTTTCAACCAGAGGCTGGAGACGCTCCTTGAGGTCCTCTACATCAAGCTCCTCGCCCTTCCAGAAGACCTGCTCGCCACCTGAAGTCTTGGGTGGGATCAAGACGTTAGAGACGACCTGGATAACTCCGTCGCTAGCTACACCATCGTGAATGGTAACGCGCGAGAAGCCGTTGATCCTAATCTCAACGAAAGGTCCGTAGCGGCCGACGTCAACAGCGAGGTTCTTGTGGCAAAGGACAGTGGGGAGGTCGTAGTGGTAGCCTCCCGGGCGCTCCTCAACAGTCTCCTTGTCGTCCTTGCGTCCATCGTAGAAGGCGTCAGAGTACAGTGTCTGGTCAACGACCATGTGGTACTCTAGAAGAGCCTTGAGGTACTTCTCACCATACTTTGAGAACAAGAAGGCGTTGGCACGCCCACCAAGCTTCTGGAACGCAAAGTTGGAGGGAGCGAAGAATGTGCCACCGTTGTGCTCGTATTCGGTGCTGTTGATCTTGTCGAAGAGACCAGTCTTTCCGAGACCGAGCTCAAGAGTGCTGAACTCGCCAGGGAGCAAGTCGATGATTGAGGCAACGTTGGGGGGTGGTACGAGGATTGAGTCGACGCCGTGGACGACACCGTTGGTACCGAAGATGTTGACTGCTACAAGGCGGCTGTAGAAGTTGATCGCGGGGCCCTTGAGTGTGACGCGAACAGTGAGGCGCTGCTGATGTCCCAAGTTCTTGCTTGGTGTGTACAGAGTTGGGATGGTGTATGTGTGGAGTACGCGGCCAGCAGGGTACAAGTCATCGGTGACGTGGTACAGCAGGATGTCCTTCAAGATTTCCTTGGAGGGCTTATGGTGATGCTCGGGAATCTTCTCAAAAGCCTCGTCCGTTGGGGCAAAGACGGTGTAGTTGGCCTTGGTGCTGTTGAGCAGCTGCACAACATCGTCGAACTCATTGATCCACTTTGCAAGCTTTGTGGTGTATTTGCTTTCGTTGATGAGCTCGTAGACTGTACGGTTCGGCTTTTGGTCGTGTGGAGGGTGGTGAGGTCCGCCATGGTGTGGCGGTCCGTGGTGAGGAGGATGATCGGGGTTCTCGAAGTCAATGACGCTGTCGTCAAATTGAGAGCCCTCTAACCACGACTCAACGTCGCAGCCAGCATGGTGAATCTTGCTGTAAACATCCTTGGCGCCATCCTTGACCTTGCTGAAAGCATCGTCAAGGATGTTTTGAGCGTTGTCGATAACAGTATGGGCGTTATCAACAAGCTGCTTTCCAGACTTCTCAATGTTCGAGAAGACTTCCGGTTCGGTAATGACAAATGCAGTCGCCAGAGGCAAGACTGGTACAATGCGTGAGAACCGCATGTTGACCTAGTGATTGATAGGGAATGGGGGAACGAGCAAGAATGGTAGCGGAACACAAGGAAGAAGTAGCTAGGCAACGAAGCTAAAGAGTAAGACGAGTCGATTACAACACCACTGCGTGGCGACGTTATTGGGGCGGAGCTCTCGGTTGTGACCCGCTTACTGGGTCTCGGACTACAAGGCGGACGAACTCAAACAACCACAATTGGACTTGTTAAAACGAAGAGAAGCAGGTAGTGAATACTCAAGCTAAATTGCTTTGCAGATACAAGCACTTAGCTTGAAGGTATACTCTCAACATACCGTTAAGGCACCGAGGCTGCGTACCGTATAATACAGGCTGTCAAGGACGCGTCAGTCAATCTTCCCCGCGTTCCACGACAGATGTGATGGCGATGACGTGACTACGTCATGATCACTAAATCATCTCACCACCCGAAACTCTGGGGGTTTTGTAACCTCCAACCGGGTAAGTCTGTGATCCGATATCAGGTCGTTGGGATAGTCTAACGGATGTTACACGCGATGCCGCTGAGACCCAAAGCCTTCCAGAGAACATGGGATGCTTGGAGCTGGAATGACCATCACGTGACGGCGCGCCGTCGGCGAAACGACGGACCGTGCGATGGCCTAGTATTCCGTCATTGACCCATTAATGTGCATGAAGGCTACTTACTTCCGGCTTATACAAGATTCGTCACTATGCGTTATTTTCCTACTTTGCCTTCGCTGCAAGGTACGAGGCTAGATTGACCAGTACCATAGCACGACGCGTGTTTGGTCTCTTTGTTTGCCGGTTCCGCGGTTGAAGCCCAGAGCCAACTCCTGTAGCGGACCTTGGAAATTAGTCCTTTATTGGCTGTGATGCCTCGTATGAGATCCATTCACTGCCGGAAACAAGCTTTTTACCAAGCAAATGTCAAGCTTTTCAATGCGGGTTCTGCTTGGGCTGCGCATTCCATTTTGGCTGCATTGCCGACGTGGTGTGTGAGCGACAACGGACGTAATGTGTCGTCATGCGTATGTACGTTGTTTACGTGTGCCATTAAACACTTGTATAAGAGTTAAAAGCACTGCCTGACACATGAAAACCTTATATCAACTCAAATCATACTAATATAATCGCATCCCTTAAACATTCATCAAAAAAATGGCCGGACTCGCAAGACACGTAGACACGGATGAGCTCCTTGAGACACTAAAAGACCATCCCATACACAAAGCCGGAGGTCACAAGTCCGCGAACCGAGCGACTTCTCATATCACACCCTACTCGAGTCGCTATGCCGCTGGCACCGAGTTGTCAAAATTCAAAATCCCGCACGATGGTGCTCCTGCCGACGTTGTTCACCAGCTGCTCAAGGATGAGCTTGATCTAGATGGCCGACCCAGCTTGAACTTGGCCTCATTCGTTGGTACCTACATGGAGAAGGAAGCGGAGCAGCTCATGATTGAGAACTTGTCCAAGAACATGTCTGATGCTGACGAGTACCCGGCAATGATGGACATGCACGCACGATGTGTATCCATCATTGCTAACATGTGGGGCGCACAGAAGGGTGAGAAGGCCATCGGATCAGCGACTACTGGTTCTAGTGAGGCGATTCATCTTGGTGGGCTCGCCATGAAGCGTCGGTGGCAAGAGAAGAGAAGGGCAGAGGGCAAGGACACTTCAAACCCAAACATCATTATGGGTGCAAACGCACAAGTCGCTCTGGAGAAGTTCGCGAGGTACTTCGAGGTGGAATCTCGCATCCTTCCTGTAAGCGAAGACTCGTCCTACCGTCTGGATCCAAAATTGGTGAAAGAGAACATTGATGAGAACACTATCGGTGTGTTTGTCATCCTCGGTTCAACATATACTGGACACTACGAGCCTGTGGAGGAGATCTCCGACATCCTTGACGCTTTCGAGAAGGAGACTGGTAACGACATTCCCATCCATGTGGATGCTGCATCCGGTGGCTTCATCGCCCCCTTTACCCATGCGAAGGCTGGCAAGAAGTGGAACTTCGAACTACCGCGAGTCAAATCCATCAACACCAGTGGACATAAGTTTGGTCTCGTGTATGCTGGTGTCGGATGGATCATCTGGCGAGACGAGAGCTATCTGCCCAAGCACCTGATCTTTGAGCTTCACTACTTGGGTGGAACGGAGGAGTCGTACACTTTGAACTTCTCACGTCCTGGAGCTCAGATCATCGCACAATACTACAACTTGATTCATCTGGGATTCTCGGGATACCGTACCATTATGGAAAATATGTTGGCCAACGCACGGCTGCTGAGCAGGGCGCTCGAACATACGGTAGGTTACCAGATTGTTAGGTAGCATGAGGGAGACTTACTGACATCACATTACAGGGCTGGTACCGTTGCGTCAGCGACATTCATCGCAAGAAAGGCGACTTCAAGTTCGAGAAGGGCAAGAAGCAGTACGACGAAGGCGAGACAAGCGCAGACTACAATGCCGGTCTACCCGTTGTTGCCTTCACTCTTACAGACGAGTTCCACGACGACTTCCCCCACGTCAAACAAGAAGCGATCAGCAACTTGCTTCGGGCCAAGCAATACATCATCCCCAGTGAGTTTAACCCCGATCTACTATGTTTACCGTGGCTAACTTCAGGTGCAGATTACCCACTGCCACCCAGCGAAGAGAAGACTGAAATCCTTCGAGTCGTTGTCAGAGAGAGTTTGTCGCTCGACATGATCGACAGATTAGTCACTGACATCTGTGGCGTTACGGAGATGCTGATGAAGACGGATTCGGTTGACCTTGCAGCGTTCCAGCCTGGCGCCAGCCCTAGCATCGAGAAGCAGCATGCTAACAAGGGACTGAAGAAGGAGCACAAGCACAAGGCGCAGAACCCATCGTCGAATGGTGTATATCGCACTGTTTGCTAAAAAGGTCTACCGAGCTTAGCAGTGGTGGGGAATGGCTTACAGGTGACTTGATTGTCAATATGGTGTGATGATCAGACCATAGCGGCGTTGAGGCTTGAGAGGCGCATCACAACAGTCGAAAACGAACGTCAAGTAACTTCGACAGGATAATGAGTATATTTACTAGTATTGAACAACATTCATCGCAAACGATGTAATACTTTGTTAGCCCTTGTCGTGCAGTTCCTTTTCCTCCCTTCTTTCCTCTTTTCTGTAGGCTTGTTCTTGCTTTATACGTCAAGCTTCATAAAAATATCCTGGAAACCCTTGGTGACTAATACCCAGGAGAAATCGCTATGATCGTAGATCCCTAGCACGCGAATACCGTCTGGTTGACACTCTTTACCTACTCAATATTAAGCTTCATGCCTACGTTGTTAGGTTGCAAATGTAAAATACATCATGCATATCAAATTTGCTTCATAGTGGCTTCAAAACAGACTTACGATCATATACTGCAATCAGAGACACCACATGTTACCATATGTTTGATTCTATATCCTGATGAGACTCATGTACAGATACCGTTTCACGCCACCCACACATCCTCCAATATTATTCAACGAACATTATATTGTTACCATCAGCAAGCCCAGAATACTAGTATAATATATGAACAATATGTCAAGCTGCAGCTAATCTTTCCAGCATAAAGCCGTGATTATTCGAATAAAATGTACGTATTAGACGTGACAGATTGAATCGCAGCCAGCACATATTCTCCATAAATTTACCAACACGAGACGGATATGACGGTGGCAATTCATCGAAGTGTTTTGGCTAGACGTAGTATACGATACCGAAACCGAAATGCGGTGATGAAAATGTGGGGCACGTATGCGCTATTCTTCATTCGGCACGATGGGTGAATGACAGGAGGGTGAAGGATCTAAAAACACAATTTCCTATGGCGATCTTCAACGCCCAGTCTTGCCATGAAGATAGGAGACTTGTGCCTTGCATTGCAGGGAAAAGCAAAATCTTTTCGCCTGTGAGACTTGGCATACTTGGTGCCTTCCTGCAGGCTCAACCATCTCCAGTTACTCCGCAAGATGTCACTAGACAGCCCCATCAACAGCCAACGCATTTGTTGACCACGATCGTCAGCAATGCGGATCTCTTCCGTCGGCGGGCAAGTCTGTGTTACCCTGCTCATTCGATTACTCTCTCTGAGACGTTCACTCATTGGACCACGAATGCAAAGACAGCATGTACATGCTGCACGCACATCACTACAAGCACTCGGTGGTGGTGGGCGTTGTGCAGCAGATTACTGTGTAGAGGGCAAGCGAGGTGCCACTGCATTAAGGAGTCTTTGTTCCAGTTGTGTGTGGCGGCGAGACATCGGACGACGGCGAGCAACGCAGGTGTCATATGTCATACCCCTAGCCAGCTGACAGCCACGTGCCCTTTGCGGTACCTGGCACACGATTTCCGCACCAAATCGACCACTATCGAGATCAAGCTGCACGATCAACGCTGCTAAAATGAACGATTCGCGGTCCCTGCACGGCTACTTTGGGCGTCCAACCATCTAGAACCTCCCCACCCTTGACCAGGCACGGCATGGCGCATACACGCACGTCTCGCGATCTCTCCGTACTTCCATGACAGCACCACAATCGCCAGCTATATCCTTCCTGAGAACGCTCGGCCCGTCCCCAAGTCGCTCGTTTTGCGTCCCTGCAGCGGCCATAGCGAATTGTGGCGCCGCACTAACTCGTCGCTCACGTCATAACCCTGGTTGGCGATGCTGCAGCAAGCATCACCAATCTTGAACCGGATCTCCTCAGTTTCGACCATCTGCACCCCTTCCGGTGGAGAATACCTGATATGGCTGATAGATGACATTTAGGGCACCTTCTAGTGTCCAGCAGCCTCGTGCCCTAGAAATTTCGGTGAGAGCCCCATTGTCGCCTTCATAGGGTCATGATGTCCCGCAGGCCCTGAAGCTTCTCTCTCGCCTGCGGCACCGCAATGCTCCCGACTCTTCACTACCAGGTTCTCTACGATTCGTAACCTTGATGTTACGACGTAGTTGCTCCTGGCCGCTGTGCAACACCTGCGATTTATTTGTTTGTTCCGATTGTTGTACACGCGCTTTTAGTGCTGCTGGCGACGAGTCTCCGATTATGTCAAACCGAGTTCCGCGAATATTGCTTTACGTACTCAGTCGCGACGTACGCCTTTCAGACAATCCTGCTTTTCATGCCGCATCCCTTCACGCCGCTCGTCCAAACTCCTCGAGAACCTCTTCGAATGGGGACAGACGGCACCGCGATGACTCGTTGACTTCGGAACACGGCGGCGCAAACTTTACGCACCTCTTACCCGTATACGTTTTTCCCGCCCACCAGGTCGAAGTCTCCGGCTTCCTCTCCTCCCCATCAGATAAAAGTCCGTATCCGGAGGCGCGCAGTGAAGTCGCACGAGTATGGCGGACAGGACCTCATCGCGTGCAATTTATAGCGGATGGAGTATGGGACCTCAAGGAAAAGCTTGCGAGATTGAACTGCAACTCTGGACTGGAGATGCGCGTGGGCAGAGTCACCGAAGTTGTGTCTGACATAATCGACTGGTATTCCCAAAACGAGCATGAGGGCAGAATCAGCGGGGTCTGGATGACTGACGACGATACCACAGAAGAGAAGAGAGAAGTTGCAAGTGTGAGGAAACTTGCAGAACAACATGGAGCAGACTTCAAAGCGTGGAGCGATGAAAAGTTCTACATAGACGAGTAAGTCATCTTGGCACTTTGGGTTGCCGGGAGTGTTTGCTAATGCATCGTAGTCGTGACCTACCGTACGATAATATATCCGATCTGCCAAACGTATACACTTCATTCCGAAAAGGACTCGAGCCGCTCCGCGATCGACCTCGCAGTACCCTACCCACACCAGCCCAACTACCACCACTACCTTCGAGCATACCACCCCAAAAACAACCTTTTACTATACCTTCGACCTTAGAAAAGCTGAAGAGAGCTCTGCTGTCTCCACTAGAGGAAGATAAAACATATACCCTTACGTGGCCACCACAATGGCCGACTGATGTTCAGTCCGCGCATCCGTTCTCTGGAGGCGAAACCGCTGGTCTGAACCGCATAAACCATCTTATCAGCTCCGGGGCTATGAGCTCGTATAAGGCTACAAGAAACGGCATGCTTGGCCTTGATTTCAGTACAAAGCTTTCAGCCTACCTCGCTCAAGGTCACATCACCGCCAGGCAGGTCCATTGGGCGATGATGGATTTTGAGGAAGGGCGAGGCCCTGGTGAAAAGATTGCTGGCTATGGAAAGGGCGAGAACGAAGGAACAGCAGCTGTTCGATTCGAACTGTTATGGAGAGATTACATGCGACTCTGCATGAGAAAATTCGGGCACAAGATGTTCAGTCTCTACGGCATACAAGATCGTGACACGAAAGGTCAAAAAGGAGAATTACAACAAAAGAAGTGGAAAAAACTAAACGAATCTGGTGGTGCAGGCGACGATCCGGCAAAGACGCTCGAAGCATTCCAGAGGTTCCGCTCAGGGCGCACTGGAGTCGGTCTCATCGACGCATCAAACCGCGAACTCTTCGTCACAGGTTACACGTCGAACCGTGCGAGGCAAAACGTCGCCTCTTTCCTCTCGTCACATCTCAATATTGACTGGAGAGTTGGAGCCGAGTGGTATGAATGCTTTCTTGTGGATTATGATGCAGCTAGCAACTGGGGCAATTGGCAATACGTTGCTGGTGTCGGCAACGACCCGCGGCAGGGCCGCATCTTTAATCCCGTCAAACAAGCACTCGACTACGATAAAAACGGCGAATACATCAAGGCATGGGTACCAGAGTTACGAGGCATCAAGTTGACGCGAACTGTTGGTCCTGGGAAGGAAGAAGTGGACCAGCAACGGTTGATGGGCCTTTACCAAGCTTGGAAGCTTAGTGATTGGGAGAAGCAAAACTTGGGTTTGAAGGGCGTAGACTGGGTCGAACAGCCGCTCACTAGGATACAATTTCAAGTTGGCCGGGGGCGTGGTGGTGAGCAAGAGGGAAGGTCGAAACGGGGTGGAGGTGGGGGCATGCCATGGCGGGGAAGAGGGGGCCGTGGTCAAGGATCTGATCGCGGATCTGATCGCAACTCTCGACCCAAGGGTGACGGAGAATGGTCCAGGAAAGTGGAGGGGCCTACCATCGTGAGCAGTGAGCCGACCACGGCGTCATAGGTGTTTACTCTGTCCAGGCCAGTCGACCCCCCAGTATATGAAAGTTCGCGTGTGCTCTTGCTTTGCAGCCTCGCGTCATTCAATGCATCTTAGTTCTTTTCAGTCGATCGCATCATTGTTTGTGAGGCTTCGTACTCCATCTCAAGATAGTGACGCGTCGTTATTTCACATCTGACGATCACAGCGGCATAGCAGGCGATCTTCCATCTACTCGTCTGCCCAGGCTAATGTATTCTGCCCAGACAGACATAGTTGCTTAATGTTCTAAGACGTATCTTCATCATCACGAAAAAGGTTGCGACCGCCACCACCGCAAGAATGCATTGCTACGTCAATAATATCGCAAGTCTGTTCAATGAAGGATATCTTTCTCACTGACCACGGGCTCGTACCCTTCCACTCCGCCATGCCGGTGACGCCTAACCCCATCTACACTACCCGGACGGGAAGATGATGACGTGCATCTCGCAAACGCCACAGCAGATCGTTGAAGAAAAGGCCACTTCTTAGCGCCTTGATTCAACACTGGAGGCCTGGAGCTAGCCTATACGTTCCAGCTGGAAATTACATCCAAGAAGCGCCAGTCAAACTTGTCGTTTTTGACTAACTTGGTCACTCAACGCGGTGCCACTGACAGGCAAGCAATAATGGGACTTAATAACCAGCAAAGATGGAAGCGCTGTTTAATCTGATATGATCGTTGCATCCTTTTAGTACATCAGCTTGCCTGCAAGAGTGTGTGGTCAGCTTTCGCCGAGTTGTGGTATGTAGGTGATGACGCATAGGATTGTGAATTAGGTTGGATTGGAAGAGTGCCCAGGTGGTGATCTGTGAGGGTTGCGTACGTCTGTCTCTGTAGACATATGTGGGCGTACTTCGCTTACGGCACGATAGATGCTTGTAGCCACGTTGTGTGATGATATGGACATCGCGTTAGATTTAATAACCCTTTTTTATTAAAGGCTGTTTCCGTTCAGCAACTTCTAGGTGAGCGTGCCCGTTATCTGCTTATGCGTATGCAAATTGTTTACAAGAGATCATTTTACAACCCCAGGTTTCTCTAACGTACTAAGATCTTGAGAAATCAAACATCTCGTTGGTATGGTGTAGTGTGCTTCTAGATCGAAGATCGAGCATGAGCCGCCATCCGGCAAGAGTTACTTCCGGAAAACTTTGTACAGAGAACGCTTGAGTCGGGTGCTGACAGTGATCAGTCATGTCTATCGAGGTAATGTGTCTGAGGAGAGTCATGAAACCTATTAATGACGACACACGATTCTCGAATCGTGTGCCGTTGCATCACCACTGATCCTATACTCCTTGTGAGACAACCCTTACCCATTCCTTTTTATCCAACTAGCGGCCTCATCATGCTGCAGGTGTATGAATTGCGAAAGGTATAAGTGGCTCGTTAGTTGTAGGTCACGGCAGTATCGCTGGTTGCAGTAGATAGCAAACACAACCACAGTATGACTTCGCGAATTTGCGCACACAGTGATTGTGTGAATCAGAAAGAGAGGTTGTACAAAGTGACCGCAGTGCAGTTTCTTCGTCGCTGTCGGGAACGACTGTCAACAACAATTTTGACCCCTGCCTTCGGGGTCGCAATACCTCCATATTTCCAGGTTAGTCTAAGAACATTTAGCCTGAGATTGCGACTGAACACAACGATGCAACTAAGACTGACCCACAGGACGCCGATGACCGGTAAGATCCATCAACGCAGCTCAGAAACCTTGCTCAATATTCATTATGACTGCAGACGGATCCCCGCTTGTCCCCAATGTCCAATCCCAACAGCTGACGGAAGGAAGCTATCGCTCGACCAGGCACAGCAATACCTGGTAGAGAGGAGGTCAGCGGAATATTGAAAAGGCAAACCTGTCCTCTGGCTAGCTCGTCTACTAATTCTTCCGTGCGTGCAAATACCAGACTTACGCACCGGATATATCTGGTACGTATGGATTTGCAGAAGCGGCATGGAGTTATGCATTTTATAGAGCAATCGCGACAAGTCAGATAGCCTTGAGTTGACCGAGCGCAAGTGGCTCTCTTTAGGGTCAGTTTAGTAACGATTCTACAATAAAATTTGTAGGATGTAGACCCTTGGGGATCATCTAGTATTGAACTAGACAACTTAGGGTAGTAATCTAGTTAGTTGCATCTACTAGGTTATCGTACCGAGTAAGCGGGGTATCAGGATCGAGTGTCTTGATAGTTGTATCATTATGTTGAAAACGAACACGATGTTTGAGATCGATTGCGTGTTCAAGGTTGATTGAGCGATATCTCAATGAGCAGCAGACTGACTGTTTCATGTGAGCAATAAAGACAAACTGTTGCTGATACTGCGTGTCAACAGAGTTTGGCATTGAGACATTATCAGAGTAGCACGCAAGTGTCTTGATATGGAATTCGATCGGCATGGCGTTTATATGGTGTGGTGTTGCTGCGTCTTGATGTTCAGAGAATCCAGTGTTTAGCTAACCTAGTGTTGCAACCTGTTGAGTGTTCGGATATCGCAGTATTACAACGCTGGAGTGCTTGATGGTTAAAATATGTTCCATTGGTGCCGCATTTGGTGATTGCTGGTCATCAGCTCATGGAGAAGCTTGAGCAATCCTACAACTGAAATGTACCCTTGAGTTGGTCCTAGTTCTGCGAAGTTAAATGGTAAGCGATCAGTCATGTTAGGTTGTGCCATCCGCTTTGACTTTGCATTGTTGTATACGGTAGTCTTGTTTGATGATTAGGGACGCGTATTGGATATGCGAATATGATATATTCTGCTAGTTATGAGAAATAGTATACATGTTGAAGAAAATCTCTAAACAGCTCCAGACCTCACTATACTATATCCGAAAGTAAAACACGCCAATAAAAGTTAAAAATCCACATTTCCCTCACTCAGACATTGATTGCTCCTCGTCCGATTGCTCCACCTCTGCATCACTCACAACGTCACTTAACACATCGCTCTCAGCATCGCTCAATCCGCTACTCTGAGCGTCACTCTCGTAATCGTCCACAACCTTCTTCTTACTCTTGGGCTTCTTTGCGCTTCCTCCCTTGGCCAGGCTGACTCCAACACCCTTTCGACTACCAGTTCTCTGAACGAGGTGATCTATCGGACATCCCTCCTCCCAGCCTTCGCTGCTTTCGCCTGTTATCGCCCGACACCTAGGGCAGCTCTTTCCGTGCTTGATCAGCAGCTGATGTAGGGGGTACTTTAGGTGATCTGGAACTCTAACTTCGCAATGCGCATATGTTGAATTGCGGGTTGGGCCAGCGAAAGTGCCTTTTTTGCCGGGTGCAAGGCCTGCGGGATCGCCTGGGGGCGGTACCCAGCCCAACCATTGACAAAGACGGAAGACGTGGGTGTCGACTGCAAAGGAGGGTCGTTGGAGGCAGAAGAGAAGCACACAGGATGCGGTCTTCGGACCGATACCCGGGTACTTTGTCAGTGCGTTGAAAGCGTCATCGTTGGAAAGTGAGTGAAGATGGTCCAACGAGACGATGTTCTGGTCCGCCTTCTCAACTTCTGTATGTTTCTCTCCTTCCGTCTCGTTTACAGAACCTGGTGCCTTGTCTGACGAAGACAGAAGCTCGTCGCGTCGTGCTTGGTTTTCTTCCCAGACCATTTGTAGAATCTTCTTGATGTCCTTGCTTTTCACATCCGCAAGTCCACCGCTCTTGATTGCCTCGAATATTTCCTTCTGGTCCGCCTGTCGCACTTTGTTCCAGTCTACGCTGCCTTTGCCAACGCCTTCCTGCAGAATACCGAACTTAGCAACAAGACCCGCGAATGCGCGAGATGAATTGGCACCAGACGTTGCCGCTGAAAGGCGCGTTCGAATGAGAGCATCGAGGACAGATGGTACTTCTCCACAACCGGAAACTTCTAGCGATGGTGCGGGAATCGTTTTCGGTGCTTCGACCTTGCCATGCACCTTTGAGAGGAGACGTGTAACTTCTTCGCATTCTTCGGCTGTAGGGTGAGGGTAGTTTGGGTATGGTGTCTGACCGGGGGTGAGGCCATAGCCACCTGTCTTGGCTTTACTCTTCTTCTTTAGTGGCGCGTCGGTGGTGGTGGTAGTTGCTTTGGCAACGAGGTCGTCGACTTCCTCTTTCTTTGGCTTGGTGGTCTTTGCAGACTTTTTCGGCTTCTTTGCTGAAGCCTTAGTCTCGTCTTCCTCGTTCTTGACGGGAAGATCAGGGATAACGCCCAAGTTGTGTGGCAGTTGGTTGATATCTTCTTGTTTTACAGTCGACTTCTTAGCGCGTTTGGTGCTCTTTGGTGTGACGGGTGCTTTCTTGGAGGTCACATCTGGCGACCCCTCGACCTTGACTGCTTTCCTCTTTCGCTTGTTGCCCGCTTCTGGGGTAGTTGGTGGACTCGACAGTTGTACTGGCTCGTGACCAATGGCTGGTGCTTGCACGACTTCGGCCCTGGCGGAGCTTCTTGTTGCTCGTGCCATGCTTGGTATAGTGGGGACGGCGAGTCGATTCAACGAGATCGTCCAGAGGCTTGGGCGCAATACCAGAAGTTGCTTATAAGGAAGTTTGAACGCAATGGTAGTGAGATGACGCTGAGCAAACGACCCTAAGATGGGCAGTAAAGGGGGGATCTTCTGAAGTATCTTGTGAGCTACAAACGTCCGGCAAGTGAAGGTGGTAGGAAAGGGGAGAGGATGAGTGAATGGGGATGGCATGTATCATGACGTCGACGACGATGATTGGAGCTTTGGCCCATGTCCCTGCCTTAGCGCGCATGAGGAGGACGCGCCGAGGTCCACTTTGGCGGGAGCCCGTCACCTCTGGTCAGAGCTACCCCACGCACCCCCCATCGATACCTACCTACAACCTCAGACAAGTCCATCATGTCTCACAAAGCGCCTTTGGTTGTTCCCGCGCTCAAGCGCCACACCGCTACGGTTATCGTGGCGCATGGGCTGGGCGACAGCGGGGCTGGTTGGTAAGGGCGCGGAACATGGTCAACATATGGAAGCTGAACGGCATAGGATATTCCTCGCGGAGAACTGGCGCCGGCGAAGCAAGTTCCAGGAAGTCTCCTTCATCTTTCCCAATGCTCCAAACATTCCAATCACGCTGGTGCGTCAACCATGACCGACCCTTGACCGCTCCCACGGTACGAATACACAGCATGGGCGCTGATATGCGACTCTACAGAACATGGGCATGAGAATGCCAGGGTGGTACGACATCAAGTCGCTCAGCACTCTTGACGACCGGGACGAAGACGAACAGGGCATCATCGACTCGCAGAAGTACTTCCACTCTCTTATCGACCAAGAGGTCGCAAAGGGCATACCCGCAAACCGCATAGTCGTTGGTGGCTTTTCGCAAGGCGGCGCCATGTCGCTGCTATCCGGCGTGACGTACAAGGACCAGCTTGGAGGCATCTTTGGTTTGAGCTGCTATCTCCTGCTGCAGAAGAAGATCAAAGACATGATTCCGACCGAGAACCCCAATCAGAAGACACCCATTTTCATGGGCCACGGTGACGCTGATCAAGTAGTTGCGCATAAGTGGGGAAAGCTGAGCGCTGACGAGCTGGAGAAGCATGGCTTCAAGGTCGACTTCAGGACTTACAAGTACGTCATTTGTGTAGGAAGAGGAATGCGTCACTGACAAAGTACAGGAACTTGGTGCATTCCGCTGATCCTGATGAGATCGACCACCTCGAGTCCTACCTCAACCAGCAAATCCCTGCTCTCGGCGACAAGTCGGAGCTCTGACTCTCTCGCTCATCCCCGCGCGTCTCGACCGAAGCGACGACAGCCCTGGTGCTTGTCATCACACTGGCCATTGCTTGGTTTGCATGGTACAAGCGCGATACGATACTAAAACCGCACGACGATACGGAATGGAGCAGGTTGTAAGCTGCATATAGTCATAGAAGGCGCATATACTAGAATGACTTGGACACGATGTATACATAAGTTGGAACATGGTCGCCTTGGTCTCGCTTCGTAGGCGCCTCTGCCCAACGTTTTGGTGAGTCGATCCCATGAGGTCGGGATCAGTCCTTCGTTACTGCCACTTCAACCACGGTCTATGGCATGAATCATCAATTAAAGACGACTGCCCCGCATCTATATCTTCGTCCTAGTCGTATCAAGCTCTTTGTGCCGCTAGCTTCGTGTTGGTTGGTGAAGTTTGCAAAAACTCTTCCTCGTGGCCCCACCCCACCACGACGTAAACTATCGCGATGCTCAGTTTATATCGCTTCTACCACTTCAGCACTCCATCAAAGTCCGATATGGTCTAGTGGCTAGGATTTGCCGCTCTCATCTGCAGAGTCAGCTCACTGTACAGTGCCGGCAAGGCCCGGGTTCGGTAAGTTCAATTGCAATAGTACAAGTTCGACACACCATTCTAACAATCAAACAGATTCCCGGTGTCGGAAACAACCATGTTTTTTTGCAGTTTGCTTGGAGTCGGTTGAGGCATGGCATTGAGCAGCCAAGGTGGGAATTCTTGGTAGATATTTTGGTTGGGTCTTTGCGCCTCGGTGACAGCTCTATCCGAGAATCTCAAAAGCAGAAACGCCGCGTATACTCGCAGTGACACTCTTTTGTCTAGTATTGCACGTCGCTGCAGGTCTTGGTATTATTTACACGCTGTGCAATGCAGGCCTTGTTGCTAGGGGAACTCATAGAGTTCTGCCTAGATACATGCGCAACATGGTGCTTACTGTCATCTTGCATGAAGTATAGTCCTCAAGCCTCGGCTACAATGGGTATCGCCCTCCACAATTACTACAATTACTTCACTGCGTTGGTCTTCCTCGGTCGTGACAATGCGTCCCCTAATGCTCCTGCCACGGATATTTCACATCCGACGCACTTGCCTTGAGCTCCATTATTAGGAGGCTACCAAGCACTGCACGACCTGACTGAATTTGTAGTGGCTGCTTTTCCCCACTGCCAAGTTCTCTACTGCAGTACCTTAATGCAGCGCATGTCTGCTATCGATAGCTATATTTGGTGCTCGCTACACTCGGCCAATGCTAATCAGGCGTCCAATAACGTCACACGCTGCCAACGGCTTGCACGGGCAGCGACCTTGCAACAACTCGTACGGGCTATCGAGCTTCCAGCTAGGGCTCGCGACGCTAAGCTAACGCCTCAAAGCTTTGTACCAAGGCAAAGGAGAAGGGTCAGGGATTGCATCGTGTCTGTCCAGCTAGTCGACTTCTAGCGAGTGCTTAATTTCTTAGGGCTGACCCCCTCCTCGGTTTCGTTTCCACTCTTTCGCAAATCCCTACCCGCGCGTTCTGGCTCGCAACAAAAGTAACCATCGAGCGGTCAACGGTTCAACGATAGTGGTTCTCATGACGCTGTAGTACCAAACGATGCAGTACATCACAGCATGTTGATCAACATGCACGGCAGCGGAAACCCACAATCACGACCTAATGTCAGCCCTCGACCTCGTGTGATAATGCCGACCTTCCGCATCAGTCTCGCCGAAACATGTCATTGGTAAATTTCCGAACCCATACCCTTTAGAAAAACATCTCATCCGTGCGTTCAGGCACGAGCACCGTATCTGACATGCGCCTCAGCGCTGGTGCACCTGTAGCGCCGGCCTAAGCCTCGCCTCCAGCGTCAGTCCATGTGGAGATGTACGAGCGCCGCAAGGCGACAATGTTTATTGGATGCGTTAGCCATGGGTAAATACGAGAGGGGGCTGTTATTAAAGAGCTGAGCTGCTGCTGTGAAAGTCTTCTTCATCGCAAGGTCTTGTTTCTCAACTCACATCACTTTCGTCGTCGTCCTCTTGTTTCGACAGTCACTCGCTTCTTCGCCAATTACTCGAATAGCTTAATCATAGTCATAATGCGCTTCTCCGCTTTCGCCCTCCTCTCGCTGGTCTCGGTAGCCTTTGCTGGCAACTGTGGACCTCAAAATGGAAACGCAAAGTGCGCTGCCACCGAGTGCTGTACGTTCTTCACAACATCTTGTCTTCGAAACCCCACTAACACAACAATGCAGGCTCCCAGTACGGCTGGTGCGGAACCACCGTCGACCACTGCGACGCAAAGACCTGTCTGCACCCCTTCTCCGGCGCCTCATCATCATGCAAGCCCACCCAGACCACAATGAAGACTAGCGCAACCAAGCCAGCCACCTCCCCTGCCACTACCTTCCCCACCGCTGTTCCCGAGATCGATGTCTGCGGCCACGCTCAAGGCGGTGTAACCTGCCCCGGTGCCGGTGCCAGCGGCTACTTCTATCGCTGCTGCTCCTCCGCCGGTCACTGCGGCCCCAAGAACGACATCCAGGACCAGGCTCTGTACTGCGGCTCCGGCTGCCAGGCTGGATTCGGAAAGTGCGACAACCAGAAGGCGCCTGCTGAGCCTACTGCCCCCAAGGGTACCTCTGGTGCTGGAGAGACTTGCGGTCCTATTGTTAACAAGAAGTGCGCTGCTGGTCTTTGCTGCTCTGGTTCCAACTTCTGTGGCACTGGTGAGGACTTCTGTGGTAAGGCCAACTGGTGCCAGAGCAAGTGGGGCAAGTGCAACTAAGATGTTGAACTGCAAGAAGAGATGGAGGCAGTTGTTAGATTAGAGTAACGAAAGACAAGAGCTTTGTGGAGGCAATACAAAAGATATGAGAACTACAAACCATTTCCACCCGCGCCAGCATTACGTTGAAATCCTTTCTTCTAAGACGCCCTTGTTTGATGCTATTCCATGGGCAAATCCCTTCACTAAACCCTTCACAGGACAAACACAAGCATGTGTAACAATAACTTCGGCGCTCCAACAAGATTTTCTTGCGCATCTCACCACTCTCCCTATGCAAGACATTTCAATACTCAGCCATGGCAAGGCGAGCCTTTACCAATCTAACTTGGAACTCATCTTCCGCGGCAGCGGCACTATCCTGAAACCCAACCACATAACCCGCTATATATACCCCTCCTTCTGCGGCTACCCACCAAGATGTCTGCGTCTCCAACCCCCATCCAACCCCTCCCAACGCTCTCGACCCCAAGGTTCCGGCTCCTGGGGCATCGACGGTCACACCTTCCTCACTGCAACTAATACCCGGCGCCCAGCCCTCGATGAAGCTTCTTTCCGGGAATGGTCAATCAAGGAATTGGAGAAGGATAACGAGAGTGGGAATCCGCTGGCGCGGGCTATGGCGAGGATATCGCTGTATCAAGGGAATACGGTGTTGGAAAGTGGGAAATTCCAACTCAGGAAAGAGGAGGGTATGGTGTATGTTGTTAAGAGGAGTAGTGTGGTGGTGCTTGGAGGGATAGATAAGGGGAGGTTTGGGAGGGAAGAAGAGAGGTATGTGGTCAAGTGTGGGGAGTGGAGGGGGTTGTGCCCGCCGATGGTCAAGGGGAGCGAGTATGATTGTTGGTGGGTACGGCTACACGTAAGTGTTGATGTAGATCGGAGAACGGAGAACTGATGTGTGGATGTGTAGAACCTTTTCCAAGGGAGCTACGACCGAGCATTTTTCCACGCGAGGGATCAGATTGATAATGTGCTTAGAATTGCGCCGCCGTTGATCAAATGGTAAGTCTACCATGTCACTCAATATCTCAAATCGAGAAGACAATGGCTCACCCAGTATCCATTGCACAGGCATCCTAGACCAGATATCGAAGCCCTTGTCACCGTCTATCGCGACACCCCGCCACCACCCCCTCAAGCAAAATTCATGGCAGACTCCTGCTTAGTCTGCAGCCGAAACTGGTTCATTGAAAGTGAATACGCCTGCCGCCTTCCATGTGGCCACTTCCTCTGTCTCGAATGCCTCACTCAGCACGTGGACTCGAGCGCCGGTACATCTCCCCTCCCTCTCTCCCTCTCTCCCTCAATTTACATGACCTTTCTAACTCACCCGTCCAGGCCGCGGCAAACTCCATCCCAACGAAACCGACCCCAACACCAAATTCTTCCGCTGCATACAATGCAAGTCCATAACGCCCCTCCTTATGGACCGTACCACCGTAACCCTCCCCGACGAACTCCCCTGGTGGCGCTGGAAAATCTGCATGCGACGCCTCGAAAAAGAAGCCTCGGAGTTCTGGCTCGTGCGTCTCCAAACACTACCGCATAGCGGGTGGTTCCGTGAGATACCACAGGATTGGGATGCTGATCGGCAGGTCAAGGAGATCAAGACACATGTACGTTATGACGATGCGGTCAAGTTTATGGACGTGCCGAGGAAAGTGTGGGCGATGCTGCCATATGGATTTAGTTTGGATAATCCAGTGGAGAGCCCTGAGGCGCTGGCGTTGGAGGAGTGTTTGTCAGGCGAGTTGAAGAGACTTTCTGTTCAACGCAAGTTGTTTAACACAAAGGAGATTTTGGACCATATGGCTGCTGTGGGGAGGGATGCGTTGAAGCCGGTTGTTGTACAAGATGCGAGTGCGAGATTAGGCAATCCTGTTACGCCGCCGGGGTATGAGGCGTATCGCGACTTCTTGTGCGAGTGGACTGCAAGAGGCGTGCTCATGTGTCCTATGGGACGGATGTCGATTCTGGAATTTTTGAGGAATATGGATAAGAATAATGAAAAGGCTTGGTGGAAGGACGTAGGTGATGTCTTCTTTGATCCGTAGACTCATGTTGAAGCGAACCCCTCCTAGGCGATTTTCCTCATCAACAGATCAGAGTAAATAGCAAGAACAAGTTCACACGAAAACCGACCGTTCCAATACCAGAACAGAGAACAAGTAATTGGAAAGGTCTATGCATGTAAATACCACATACATGCTCGCTAAACTATCAAACAACATCAGATATTCCATCCCCTCCCAACCCTCCCGTCAAACTCTTCATTCTCCTCCCCAACAAATCATCCTCACTCGCCAAACTAACCAAACTCTTCCTACGGCTTCCTCTATCACCCCTAGCAGCCCTCGCCCGTCCTCTCACACCTGGCGCGTTCGGCTGTGGCGGACTCCTCTTCCCTTTATTCAACACCGTCATCTCCAACGGTCTATCTTCCTCTGCCGAACTCGCTGTATTGGTACGCCGATGATGTCTTTTACGTTGATGCTGCGGAGACGTAAGTCCATCAATAGCATCAGCCAGCCCCACTGTGCCAAAATAATCACCCCCTCTCTCCCGTGGTCTACGCGCAGGAGTAACAGGCGTGTACCCAGGAGTCTCTCCACCGTCTCTCCTGGTATCCGTCGTCTCCTCAAAAGCCTCAGCAATCCACTTGCCACATTTGAAAATGTACTTCCAGCCCTCTGGAAACACACCAACGAATTGTAAGAAGCCATGGCTGATACCAGGCACGAGATCAACATTCACCCATTCCTCCTCCCTAAACACGCCTCGCGCCCAATCTAGTCCCAGCTCCCGTGCCGCAACCCACTCCGCACGTTTAGCCTGTCGTAACCTGCCCGCGAAAATCACCGTGTCGTCGACCAAGGGGTCGCGCTCACCCGTCAACATCCAGGTGCGTGGGAACTTTGCCAAGAGAGATTCTGGGGCCAAGAGTGGGGAGAGGAGGTAATCGGTTGAGAAATCTGGGCGGTGGTGTGGGCCGATGTAGAGGATTATCATTGCGCGCATCATCTCTGGGGTGAGGATACGGTCGTTGAAGTAGGATATCATGGATGACATGGCGAGGCGGGTTTTTATGGCTGTGGCTGGGGGTGCTGGTACGCCAGGTGTCGAGGGTTGGGTCGGGAGGGGTGTGGGCGGCATACTCGCGTTTGTGGGTGTTGTCTGACCGGGGGTTTGGTGAAGCGTCGTGTTGCTGGTGTCTAGGCGGGAGAGGGAGTTGCTGTCGCAGCCGGTGTGTGCTGCGGAGAGCTTGATCATAGTCTGGGGAGATGTGAGGACGCCATCGGTCTTTGGCATGGACCCATTAGCCATGCTCACTCCATTGCGCTCGTCGTCACTATCAGAATCATCAGAGCCATAAGGTGTGTTTGGCGCAAGTTGTCTGTAGTCGTCGCTCTTGTGCCGTAAAATGGGTCGATTCGTCTTTCTCACTCGTCGATCACGGATAAGGGCCATTTGCTCGTCCGTCATCCAATTGCCGATATTCATGTCCAGCGCTGGGTAAATCAGCACCACCCCAATCGGAGGTGGTATCGCAGATTCACCCTGCCACCGTCGCGTCTCGGTCGAACCACTCTGCAGTATCATGAGCACCATGGCGGTGACCAAGTTGCCACCAGCTGAATCGCCCGAAACAACTACCTTGGGCTCTACTTCCCCTGATAGGCCCATGCAAGTTCCTCTCGACGCGATAATCATGTGGTAGACGTCGTAGCACTCGTTCAGCGCATACGGATACGGGTGCTCAGGTGCCTTTTTGTAGTCCAGACTCAGGACAGGCAGTCCCGCCTTGCCAGCCCAGCCCATGAGCTTATCGTCGTGATTCCTCGGATTCATAGCAACAAAACCACCTCCAGGTATATCTAAGACGACCTTGTCCTGCTTCTTCAGTGCGCTCCGTGGCCCATTGAAGTACAGCCATCCTGTTACCGGCTCCTTGTACGAACTGGCCTTCGGTCGTGGTATACGAATCTGGCGCGGTGGGTACACCATCAACCTCGGTCGCATCATACTTGTCAGCGCACCCAGATACGGTGTTGTTCCTTTGTTCCAAGCCACGCGCAAATGGTCCACCGTGAGCGTCGCTCTAATTTTCCTGACTTTCTCATCCGCCTGCTCTGCACAGATCATATAGTATATGCTGAACACGATGGACAATAAATCTCTCACGCCTTTCCGCTTTATGCGCATAGCAGACCAGAAGCCCGCGTCTAGGGCAGTTGTGACCCATGTAGCGCGGAAGTAGGAGCGCGAGTAGAGGCTTGCGAGGGGCTCGGGACACTCGAGGCCAACGAGCTTGCCGAAGTTGCGGGCGACATAGAGGTAGAGGAGTGTTATGAGGACGGATTGCCAGACGGTGAGTTTCTTGGAGAGGAGGGCGGATATGCGGCGGAGGATTGGTGGACCATGGCGGTCGCCTCTACAGTTATGTTAGTATATGTCGGTGTGGTTGTAAGAATGTGTTGTAGCTTACCGGTAGAGGTAGAAGGACCAAAAGGACACTACTGCCAGCACCTGTATCTTCCTAAACTGTACCGACGGCCGTCCCAATACATGGTCTATCATGGTTGGAGCTCTTTCCTGTTATGAAGAGCTGTGTTGGACAGAGTCAATACAGTCGCAGTCGTATTGTGCGTCATGAAAGGCGTCAAGTCGGGGCTCCACATTGGTCGCAGGGCTATCGGCGTAAGCATGTGAATGTTACACGTCGAGTCGAGTCGCAAACCCGGGGTGCATCTCGTCTGGGGTATGGGGAAAGCAATGAAACAGCGGCGCAATACGCATGGTCATCAACCCGCACTTCGTCCATGACTACAGCAATAGCCGTTCAAGCCGTCGACAAGCGCGGCGAATTAGCTGTATTGAGGCTCTGTGGTTGGGTGAGGATCCGGCATGTGACAGGTTACGGAGGATGCGTGCGTGCCATGTGAAAGCCGCGCTATGACATCTTCTCGGCTTTCTTGCGTTCTTTCCGAGGACCTAACGTCACCCGCCTGAGCCGCAGTCCAACACAGCCATGTCACGTTCTCTTTATTTAACTTCACACGTGGAATCCTTGCTCCCAAGCATGTTCCTCATCATAGAATTTATGTACCGCAATCGCATCTACAAGCCATGACCTCCATCGTCGTGACCCTGCACAAAGACCATAATAGTACCATGCCAAGCCTACAACTCCCCCGCCAGAATGCATCATAGCCTCAAAGAGGAGAAGAGAAGAAAAGAAAAGAAAAGAGAAAAGAGAAAAGAACCACCGTCATCTTCAAGCAACATCACCTCAGATATGCCCACGTCCCAGACTAACCACTCAATCTATCTTTTGATCCACTCCCCAACCTCAAACCCCACCCTCCTCAGATCCGCTTCAGTAAACCTCCCCTCTTTCCCCTTCCAAACCGTCAAACACCTAGCCTCATCATCCATTTCGGGTTTACACCCCGTCTGCCCCTCCTTCGGATCGAAACTCTTCACATAAAGCGTAAGATCAGGCCCTACGGTTCCCCGCCAAAGTGTCACCATCCACTGCCAGTGGTCTGTCGGGCTGTACGCGTCTTGGATGGGGATGCGAGATGCGTATGTGACGGAGGCTTGGAGCTGGAAGGTGGGGAGGATGATGACGGGTTTAATTATCGTTGAGATGAGGGGAGAGTCAGGTAGTATGGCGGAGTCTTTGCTGGAGGATGTGGCGACGGCGATGGTGGAGGACTTGTCGGATATGGTTGTGTCCTTCGGGGGAGAAGCGCTGGAGGAGATGGGTGTGGTGATGTACTTGATCATTTTCTTGCTCTTGCCGTGCCATTCTTTGATTAAGTCGAGATAGTTCTCAAAGGTGACTTCTTTATCTTCATCGTTGGGGGGTTGGGGCGGCTCGGCAATCTGCGGTTTGTACTCTATTTGCTTGGTGAGGTGCACGTTGAGCCATTCTGAGAGTTCCTTGACTGCAGCCAGGTCGTCGCCTTCGATGGCAATAATAGCGCCGCGAACAGTTCGGCATGATGGACTTGCCGAGCCAGGTTCTTTGTAAGGAGGCGTTATGCGTCCGAGCAACCTGATTTTGTTAAGATATGGAAACGCACTGAGCACCTCCTCCACACTTCTAGGGCTCCCGTCGTGTTGAAGAGGACCCAGTTCAACCATCGAATGATGTCGGACCTCACGAGGAGTTCGTGGAGGGGGCATGGTCGCACTATGCGACGGCACATGGATAGGTGGTAAAGACTCGCGCCGATGAGCATACTGCGTGGGGGCATAGTACGGTCCTTCCGGTCTACGGCCGCCATTCGTCGGCGGAGGTGGCCCGTACTCGAAACGGCGCTTCTTGTTTGGCGTTAGAGGACTGTACATCATTGAGTCTGTATGCATCGCTGAGGTTACTTGGATGTTGCTGAGACCTGATGGACCTGGACCTCGGCGAAGGACTGGCGACTGTATGCTGAGGTTACTCATCACAGGCAAGTAGCGGGTTGTTGGCGTGAGACCTTCCAAGATATTGGGAGGCGGCAGAGTTGGTGTGCCAGAGGCGTCGAGGAAAGGACTGGTAGGTGTTCTGAGACTGCGACCACCACACTTGTGGCAACGATACTTATCGACTGTAGTATGCTGACCAGTGGGGTTCAAAGGTGACGATCCAGGCTTACCAACACGACGTGGTTGATAACGATAGTCGGGGTACTGCTCCTGATGCCTAGCTTTCTCTTCCTTGGATCCCATATTAGCAAAGAAAAGAGGAGGAGAAACAGTTATCGTTACTAACCTGCGCAAGATCTTGCCAAATCTTCTTCTGTTCTTTACCTTCAGCCTTCCACTGTTCACCGATTATCTTGGAAATATCGGGGTTATTGAGATCGGGGTTGCGAGCAGTAATAGCCTGCTGGTGATGCTGTCGATAAAGGATAAATGCTATAAACGGCCAGTTAGTGGGCTGAGCAAGAACGTTTGCAGACAAAGAGTCTTGTCTTTGTGTCGATTCAAAATCCAAGTCATGCTTCCCGATTGGGAGATAAACGTCCAGAAAACAAAGGAGATACCCTGAACTCACCATTTCGTGGCCGTGGTATCTTCGGCTCTGGTTGGCAAAGACAGACGTGACCAGAGTAGTCTGGAGATCCACCAGCAGTCGCAGACGTAGCACTTGGAGGTCTATCGTCAGTCAGACTATCGCAGCCCTCCCTCTCAGCAACATCAACAAGCGAAGCAAGTCGCTTTCTTGTGGTCCGAGGCGATGACGAAGCAGGAGAAGCCGGGTGCTCTTCCTTCTTGGTACGCTCAGCAGTAGGATTAAACGTCGGTCCCGAGCGCGTCTCGTGAATGCGATTACTCTTACGCAAGTTCCTAAAAGGCTTCGCATCATCCACTAGAGTCTCTGGAGACTCGTCGCCGACCTGCATGTTTGACTTGACGTACCGCCGTGGCACGTGGAAGAAGATAGCGACAGGAGGCTGGGAAGAAGGATGTGAAGTCTGAACAATCGGTGGCAACACTCGACTTGCTAGCATCTTCGAGAATTAGCGACGAAGCAGCTGATCTAATGAGCTTCGTTGGAAGGAGGCGCGGTTCATTGTCCCGGTCGGACAGGAAGGGAGGAGCCGCGTTGGACGAACCATACAACATTCTGTTGCTTCCTTTGAATGCATTTTCTGGTACGTGGAGTTGGAACCTTTGCGCTTTAACGATTGAACCGCTGCTATCCAGTAAAATGATTGTTTCAGTCAGACGCAGCCGATCTTCGTAGGGAGTTTCTTTGTCCTTGTCACGCCAAGACACGTTCCACCAACCCGCGAGACATGAAAGCATTCCTGTGCCCGCCATGCGAAGGGCTCCAACAATGCAACACGTCTTTCACGATAATGGCAGTGACTCAGTCTCGAAAACTACGCAGTCATACTGCGCATTGCATCCATGTCGTCCTTGAAGCGAGGCGCATTTTATGCCGTGCCGCGTGAGGACTATGAAGCCTTGAGAAGCCTTGGCCAAGTTCTAGACAGTGTCTTTACCACGGTATACTAGAAACCTGGAGGAAATTTCAGGTTGAAATTCTGTCCCTCTTGCTCCCTAGGTTTCTCGTTGTTGACGGAGCCCTGCGTCTCGCGCTCGATATTGACAGTTTGATTTCCACGTACGAGGCTGGCGGCTTGCTTTCCAATTAGCTCATGGGCAGGGCCGCTGAGTTGGACGTTGTCCCTGTTACCCAGTTAGACTGGAACAATGTATTTGTATTGCCGTTGACTTACCAGAATAAGTGTTCGACCGGAGCGGAGCATTTCTGCACGTCGGATATGTGCAGATCAGTTGCACTACCTCGCTGCGGCACTAGACATGGCTGCTCGATCTGCTCGAAAAGAGGTGCTTGTTTGCCGATACCAGCTGCATCTGAGATCTGTTTCGAGTGTAGTTGCTTAGCGCGAACTTCCTCCATGATCAAGTCATGCGGCCCTGGCATGTAGATGACACCGTTCTTCCATTGAGATGCAGTCCGAACCAAGACAGTGTCCCAATACGCCCACAAAAACACCATTCGGTGCTGAGTCACCGCAAAGTCGGCCTCTCGCATCGTGTTCTTCTGCAATTGGAACTGGGGCAGAAAGGTAGCGTCAATCATCTTCGGTATGATGACTTTCGGCGGGTTCGCAGTATGCTCAGCTAAGATATCAAGATTTCGAAACAGCGCTTCGATACTCTTGTCAACCGCAGACATGGCGACGCTCTTCTCCAACGTTGAGTACTCCAAAAGGTCCCATAAGCCAAAGAAAACGGTGAAGAAAGTCCACTCGTCCCCCTTTCTCAAACGTTGTGGGATGACTCGTCGCCCTTTGTCGTAGGTGACATACTGTTCCATTTGTGTCTTGAAGTCGAGCGAAGTTACAGTGGTCTCGTTGCTTTTGGCGTCTTTCGCTTCCGTGTGAATATCTGCGTCAACCAACGACCCGATCTGTGCAGCGGCAGCCGGCTTGGAGTGTGCGAAGTTGTCAATGGTATCACATGCGAGCTGAAGTGTGTTAGATCGTGTGTTTCAATAAGTACATGCCTCCTACTAACCTCTTTGCATAGTGTCTCTACCCACAAGTCACCTCGATCAGCGTCGCGGGCAACGACCGCAGATAGTACAGGCGACGAGACGCGGTAGCTTCCAGTGTCCGACCAATCATTACCAAATACTACAATGCGATGCGCGCTACCGCGCCATACAGTGTGGACGGTATCTTCGAAGTCGGCGGAATGAACCCATGTGAAGTATAAGATCATGAGAATAGCGAGAGCCGCACATACGTGCAGCCTCGAGAAGAACCTCATCGTGTTGCAGGCTTAGCTAGATGACAATTCAGAAAGCGTGAGTGAAGTGTTAGCAGTTGCGATGCACCCAAGCAAGTGGAGGCAAATAGTGGGCAGCCTTTGTGAAAGTATAGGCTGCTAACCGCGGGAACTCCCAGCGTCAACATGGCTGGGCATTAAGGAACATGACGACGCCTGTGGAGTGCGAGCCTTGCTGTGGATGTTAAACCCGGGAAGACATGGGTCAGAAACGTGCTGCTACATCCGAAAGCGGATACATGTCGTGTGCGCATAACATACACTACTATCGGCTTGCGATTAGCAGTCAGTGGAAGAACTCTTTACCTGCGCACCCGTTGGTGGCGTCCCCTAATAACCTTCTCCTTCCTTTCACCATTGTCACTCCGCCGAATTTGTACTGCGCCGCGTACACATATGCGTGGGCGTGAGGTTTGGCCGCGCGGAACGTACGGCCGTTCGGCATCGTGCGCCCCACTTCTGTGGCGTAATCTATGGAGCACAGTTGAAGACCTTACGTGTATAATTTTAGTTGACGAATATCAGTGGAGGACATACGATGCCCAGGTGTGAAGCCACACAAACAGCAGCGCGCTATACCTACAATGTGTGAAGTGCTTATCCCGCCCGTTAGATACGATCTGGGTCGGATGCAGCCTGGCGTCAACCCGCTTGCTCTGCCGACTGCTCGCCCAACTTCAGATTCGCAAATCTTGCCATCAAGTTATCCCTTGTCGCACCGCCATCATCAATCCACTGTGCTACGATGAACGCCTGATCTGCCCATCTCTTAGTCGCGTCGTCGTTTTCTTGCAGATAATAATCTATAGCACGATTGAAGACAGTACTTGCAAGCCACTCGAGCTCTGTCTTGGGGTAGCACTCAAGCTCCTTGATACAATCGTCAGCCGAGTCTGCAGCGTCTCCGGCCTTCGCAGGGTCAGAAGACGGTGGTGGTGTGTCTAAATCAGATATTGTGGTGATAGGACAGAATGTCTGAATGGACTTGAGAATAATATCGGAAAAGCAAGGGAACGGGGAACTCACGCTTTGCTGCGTCGCTGCGATATGCGTGACTTGCTCGATACATTTGAGACTGACTTTCTCGTCATGCTCAAGTGAAAGGCTGAACAGGCACCGAAGCCAACGGGCCAGCTTCGTTATGTCGCGGCCTGGTTGTCGACAAGTCAAGTTGATGATCTTCTCAAGGACAGATAGTACCTCTGCGAATCTCGTCAGTACACTGCTAGAGGTGTTCTGTCCATGGCCTTACTCGTCCGATATTTGACATCCAGCCCCGCTTTCACGATGCAAGCATGTATGACCAGGACAAGATCCGCCAACGTTTCGTAATGGTCTGAACTCTTGTACTTCCAGCACTGGTCGAAAAGCTCGTCAAGTTCATCCCACTTCTGAAGCTTAAGTGCAGCTTCGAGCTCCAGTTTAACAACCTGGAAGTGTTTGGAAACAATGTCGGCTTGAGAAGTTCCACCAAGTTTGTCTATACCTTCCGCTGCAGCGCGTCGAAACTCCTGACTGTGCTTGCGTGCTTCAAGATAGTGGTGGATCTATAGTGGTCAGCTATCGATCATGTTGACCATATGCACGACTTACGCTCTGCTCGGTGTTATCCTCTGCGCGCGCGAGTGTAGTGTAAGCACAAGCGGCAAGGAATTCGCAGAACACCAGTCGGAGGCAAAGATCGCTGTTTGCATTTGGCCGAGTCTTATCCCTGAGGAGTTTGATCAATTCAGCACAACAGCTGAGTAATCTAACCAGAAGCCCTGGTGGCATCTCCGCGCAGTACTTGAGCGCTATGTTGTAAGCATTCTTTGAGAACCACTCAATCTCCACGGCTGTAAACAGTTCCTTGGCCGGGGTGCTCGGTCTGGTACGAAATACTTTGGCTTGAGCGCATGCTCCTTCGAAGACGTTGCAAATCTGTCCCAAGACGCTAGTATCGATGCCGCCGTCTTTGGTAAGCTCAGACACCAGCATACGAGCAGTAGACCGCAGTAGGGCAGGAAGATGTATCTCTGCTGGCGCACTATGTTCGTACTTCTCAAGGACCTTTTCCAGAGCACAGATAGCCTGTCTCTTGTCCCCCGCACTCTGAGCCTCCATGACGCAAGCGTAAAGCAGAGTAGCATCTTTCGCGGAACTCCGACAAACATGATCGAGGCATTCGGCCGCGAATTGTTCGTCGCCGCCTCGCAGGCCCGCCTTGTACATCAGGTATCGCGTCACCGGTTCGTTTCTACCACTCTCAGGCATTTTCGCATGCACTTCTCTCGCCGCCTCGTAATCTTGCCTCGCCAATGCGCACTGTATGATCTTCCGCACGACTTTGGCTTTATTCTGAGCTCCAGCCTTTTCAAAGATAGCATGAAGACACATTCGACACCAAGCTTCAGCCACGTTGTGTTGTTCCTGGCTAGATGCGGCCTCGACTCTCTTCCATAACAATGTCTGCGCAGCATGTGTTGCAGGAGCAGACAGTCTCATCTTCGAGTTCTGCTCCACAGTATCGAAGAGCTCCTGCATTTCTTCTCTCACGTTCTCGGAAAAACTGCTATTTGTACCAATCCAAATCCGTGTGATGACTGCCTTCTCGATCCAAGACTGATTCTCTTCCCGGAACAGTCGAATGTCGATCAGATCTTCGAGAGCCTTGCAGGCAGTAACACTGCTGTGATCCTTGAGCTTGTGTATATGGTGCATTATAGTTTTGAAATTCGTATCGTTCAGCACGACGGTACGTATCATCCGCAAAAGGACGTTGTAAAACTCGGCTGTATCGATGGATTGAGCCTCTGATAGCAGCTCGATCTTCAGTAACGAGACTATCATCTTGTCCCCGAAGTCAGTCTCCATCAACTTCATCATTTGCCAGGCCTTCTCTTGTGTGTCCGCTGTCTTCGTCCCCACGTACGCCTTGACTAGTCGCACTGTTAGGTGGAATACTCTTGCAATGTGTCTTGACTATGCCTACCAATACTCTGCATAATGCTGAGTCTTAGCTCACCAATCTCCGGGCTGAGCATGTCCAGACCCTGCTCTTCAAGGACATCATATGCGCGCTCTAGCCACCTCACAGCAACTTCGTAATCGCGTTTCACCAAGGCAGCTTTGCCAATCTCGTAAAGTAGATCGGCCAGCTGCTCAGTTGTGGTAGGATTGAAGCCCTTCCCAAGCTTTTTACACTTCATGAACATGTGCTCTGCCAAGTCCATGCGGTTATTGCGCCATGACTACAAATGTGTCAGTCCGATGACCCGTCTCAGAAGTATCCCACCCGATCTTGCACTCACGAGAGTTGTCCGCACAGCAAAATACTGAACCCTTAACCCATCCGCAAGCTCCACATCCCTCTCGTTCTCGCCCTCATTCCTCTTACTCAAAACCTCCTCATACTCAGCGGCGCGTTCAAGAACCTTCATCGCAATACCCAACTCATCCTTCTCAATACACACTCTCGCGGCCTTCAGCGCAACCTTGATCAAACGGATACAGCTCTTACGCTGTTTTCCTTTCGGTCCTAAACCGCCAGCCAAGTCGAGCAGCAGGAACGCGTAGGCCCTTAAGAAAGGTAAGACACGGGGTTTGTTCGCTGTCGCATCTTTCGATTGGCTATCGGCGCCAGATTCGTCATTGCGCCGCAAACGTGTGGCTTGGTTCCAGAGCTCGGTTCCTAGTTTATCGAGTTCATCCTGTTTCGCGGTGACGGCGGATGAGGCTTGGAGAGGTAGGCTACGGATTTGTGCTTGAAGGTCACCGATGAGCGCAGTATCATTGCCGGCATCGATACGTTTGGTGAGAGTCGAGGCGAATGCTGGGAAGAGGTAAGAATCGCGGATAGGGCACATGTGAAGCATGCAAGTGGCACTCACTTAGAACGGCCTTCAGCTTTTTCTCGCGCTCTAACTTCGCTGCTGATTGCGCGGAAGGCATGTTGCATGCAAGATGACAATACGGTGGATTTGAGGAAAAACGTGAAGGATTGAGATCCGCAAAGTGAGGTCGCGACTGCCACTTTCGAAAACGGCATCAGACGCACGTACAAGAATTCGGAACGGGCAACACGAGGGCGCGATTGAATACAACACAAAAGATCAGATAAAATCAGATACAAAGGCAAGCAATAGGATATACATGTTGAAGTAAAGCCTGTGGATATCGCCGCAGTTCCCATTACCCTCCCAGCGTATGTGTGTGCACTCTTTCTTTTTGGCAGGTGCATTGGGACACCCAAGCCTGGCGTAGTCGCATCCTCGACTCATTACCTAGGTATACAAATCGTACTACAGAACCGCTTGTATGAAGTGAAATCGTTTTGAGGACGTTATGATGCCGGTAGCGACCCCGATGTGGCCTCTGTGATGGGAAGGAAGTTGCCCACGATCAATGCCGGGCTGTTGACAGTTAGTCTGGGCTCACAAGCAAGCTCCATTGCCACTCACATGTTCCAAGCATCGCGCTTAACGGTGAATGAAAAGCAGCATCGTATCTCAGGATCTCTAGAATGCGGATCTGGGTTTTTTAAGGAGCAGCTCGTCAGGATAGCTTTCTGAGTATGGTCGAATGCGATGGCGCCGAATTTCTCCCAATATGATACCAGTGAAGGCTCAGCGATGATCTCGTGCAGAGCGATATTACCCTTCGTCCTGTTAGCTGGCTCTAGATGTAAGCGATGGTGGTCCTGGCGCTTACGTCTCGCAACTTCGACATCGGTACGTGGATGAGGCGCGCCATTTCCTTGTTTCCTCGATATATCTCGCCTGTTCTTCTCCAACAGCATGCAGGTATAGCCATGCTCGCAAAGACGCGGTCGTACTCCATCAAGCTCTTGTCAAACCACATCTCAATGCGTACTAGATCCACGTCGGTCAGACTCTGCATTCGCTCACGGAACTTGGGTCGGAAGCGATCCAGTTGGCGCAGTACTCGAATGCGAGATGCTTGTTGTAAGTTCTGTTCCATGTACTGGTTTAATCTTGCATAACCCTTAACGTAGTTGAAGGGTTTCAAGAGCCCTGCATCCACTTTGGCCTTCAGTAGTTTGTTCATGCGCTCTTCAGGACTATCGTTTCCAGCAGGGTCGGCGGCCGTGACCAGATATCTTTCTCTGGCCTTGTCGATAGGGACTCCACCTGCTTGGCGGGATGCAGCATTACCAGCAGCATTTTGTGCGGGAGGCGGAAGCAACTGAGGCGGTCTTGGCGCGTTCGAACTGAAAGGAGAATTGCTGTTCAAAGAGCCCATCTGATTCATAAGTGAAGCATCGGAGAAGAGGCTATGGAAGTCATTGCCTCCGTAAAACGCACCGTCATCCATGAGGCTATTGTTGAGGAAGTCGTTGAGCAGGTTATACTCATTGCTAACTTCCGAGGTGTTGAACATATATGAAGGATGGAATTGCATGTCCTGAAGGTTATTCTGAGAAGAGAGCAAACCATCATAACCCAAGACTTCAGGAGTATTAGTGACGATTACAGCATGGAGCTGAGAAGAAGTGTAACTTACAAGGCTGACTACCAGCCGTCAAAGCAGGCAATTGTGGCGCAGACACGGCGTCAGGTTGGGTATCTGCCGTTGTGCTGGCATCTCTATTAGGAGGTACTGGATGCGCCGCCAGGTTAAGCCCTGCATCCGGAACCGGAGGAGCGGCCGTCGATGCGGCTTCGGAGGTAGTTGATTCGACCTGAGAGGGCTGACTCTGTCCATCACCATTCTCTGGCTCAGACTTGGACTTCTTAACACCTTCACGCGGCTCATCGTGACATAGGTGCCCAATATTTCGTTTAACACAGCGTGTGCATGGTCGCTCCTACATTGGGCGAAAGCACGATCAGCTTGCGAAGAAATGATGCCACGTTCGGTGCACTTACGAGATCACAGGTCATATGCTAATTGGTTTCTGTCAGCAAGCAGTAACAGTTGTCTTACAGGCAAATACATAGCATGTATCGAATGCTGGGGATGTGGTTGTAGCTCACCGAACGTCTGCAGTAGATGCATGCTGCATGAAAGCATAGAGGTTAGCAAGGTCGCGGTGGCCTTTGTGGGTACACAACGTCGATGGCTTACCATGATTTACTTTTCTACGCTTTTTTGGCGGCTTTGCGGGCGCCTCAGAATTTGTCGCATTGGGCTTGCTCTTGGAAGGGGAAAGGCTCTTGGACGCGTTAATTTCGGAAGCATCTCTGTCCCTTTCTGTTTCTTTGGATTCGGTCATCTTGACTGGCGAAGCTCCATTTGATCGTCGTGCAGCTTCCGTCATCAAGTGTGGATAGTGGGTCGGTGTCAGAGCCGGGTGCTTTTCTTGGAGACGCGCAGGTTCATGTGTGTTACGACAGGGGTCTCGTCACGGACTGAAGCATCGAAAAGAGCAAAGAAGGTCGAGATGCGCCAGGAACACGTTCTTGGGTGGCACAGCAGAGCTTGTAGTCGCGGTAGACGAGTGGCGGAGAGGTGTGGTTTCAGAGGCACGAGGGACAGGTGAATGTCTGCGGTCGCGTGCTTTGCCGAACCGAACCTTGGAAGGAAGATCCCGGAGAATCTTGGACACCCAATAGCGAAGAAGTGTACCGCCAGGATTTTTTTTAGCGGAGATTTTGACAGCTACCTGCTGCGAGACGCTGTTGACCCTCGGTGGTTCACTCGAATAGCGAGCGTGTTTAACATGTTGTAGATCGCACAAGTTTCGCATAGAAGGGCTGTAGCTGCAGAAGTGGCTCCGCTCTGCCGAGAGGCCATGGCCAGGTGGTGGAGCCAATCACTTCCTAGTATTGCTACACTACACAAATGGACTCGGCCGCGAATGCACCTTTTCCGATGACCGTATTGTCGGAATCGCAGTTCTAAAACGGGGAGGAAATTGATAGGCGTGAATAGTGTCGCTGCCAACTCCAGCCAGCCTGCACGCTTGGAGCAGCCTCGTACAGCCTTCGTTCATTAAGCTCATAACTCGCACAGAGCTCTTTTTAGAGTATTGAAATTACGCCGATGCCCTCCAACGCCATACACCTGCCTTGATATCCATCCCAGCACCGTATTCACCACATCCCCCCAGAGCCTAACCCATGCGCCGAGCCATGCATGACTATAGAAAGAACAAAACTTGCCACGGGACCCTGCATATCCATAATTCAGAGGGCAGCATACTGCGCTGCACCAGCGTGCCTAAACAGGACGTCGTCTAGTGCTGCCTGCGCGTGCTTCATCACCGTATCGAGACCCTCTACTTGTGTATAGTTGGCCTGCATACTCTCCAGGCTGCGTCGCAATTGTCCGAGCACTGGCGCAAGGTCATCATTGGGCGTATCGAGGAGGGAGGAGGCAATTGGTTCTGATCGCTTCAACCGGATATCGTTCGGACCATCGCTATTGATCGTGCCATCATCTTCTTCGCCTTGAAGTAAGGGGTGGAGCTACAGCAGGTCAGCAACGTATTCAGCTCGACTAGAATAGACCAACACGCACCCGTCCATGCTTCTTCTGGTGTTTCCACTCGGTCCTCCAGCTCTTGACGTTCTTCTTCAGATCGTCCAGGTTGTCTTCGTCTTTCTTTAGCAAGTGCTGAGCAACCTTGACCTGCTCGCTGAGCAGCTGTTTCGCATGCCGGGCTGTCGTAACCTCTCGGGATACTTGGGCATTGCGTTCCGTGAGCTTGTCAATGTTGAAATGGATATCCTTGGCCTGGGGAGGTATCCGCGACTCTGCTAGTTGACGCGCCAGTTTCCGTACGAGGGGATTGAGCGTGTTGTGTGCGGCCATGATCCTGCGCTCGTCCCGCTGTGTCTCGGCGATATCCTTCTTCGCATTGCGTATCACCGTCGTTATCTGCTCCAGGACCTGAGGCGGCAGCTGTGGCCATGCGTCTATCTGCTCCTGCGGTATTCTCTTCGTCTTGACCTCTAATTGCGTGTACTGCTTGCGCGACTTGGCTTCGGGTTCGGCAATTTCGTCGGATTTGCGCTTGCGAGATTTCGATGGTTGTGTTGGCGCTGCATCAGCTATGGAGAGCTCATCCTCGACTTCTTCTTGTGCCTGTTTCTTCTTGGGTCTGTCTTTCTTTGCTGCAGCCGGCTTTGGTGCTGGCTTCATCTTCGGCTTCGCAACAGCGCCAGAGTTGCGGCTACCCGGAGGCCGGCCTCGTCTTTTCTTTCCATTCGCATCGCTGAGACGCGCCTAGACATGGTCAGTATGCGCATGTGACAGCAGACTGTTGACGCTTACCATGACGTTGGGGTCGAGTTGGGACGCGTCTGGTTAGTGTTGACACTCGCGTCTGGTGGGGAAGGAGCCGAGTAGCGCGGGCGCCTCTTCACGTGCGGACTACGACTTTGGCCCTCACACCTCACTCTGCGCATCCACTACAAACACAAACATCTAATGAGCCCACATAAGTTTAACACGCGTCTTTTCTCTTTGGAAGAATAACCTCAGAATTTGTGATGGGTTTATTCTCTTATAACGTCATAGTTGCTGTCACTTGTGAACAGTGAAGTCCTATACAATTGTACTTTCCATTATTCCGATACTGACATATATACACCCTTCGACATGTTGAACGACCTTCCTTGATGCCAAATGCCACAGTAATACCCCATCGCCAGTAGCGTTCTCGAAATCCTCCATCACCAATCCACCATAACAGACTCATCATCACTTAGAACTGAGAAAAGAACTTCCAAACCTCCCCAGGTGTAAAGCTTTGCGGTCCGACATCGTTACCCGCATCTCCAGGAAGCGCAACATGGTCTCCATCAAAAGCAGTCCATTGCGTCGGGTACTTGCACCCATCGTACACCGTCTTGATACGCTGTCTGCTGTTTCTCGCAGGCTCCGGCGCATTCTTAGGCTGACATCCGTTCAGCCTCACAAAGCGGTCCCTGATCTCTCTTCCAGAAGCGATGGGTAGAACACTGTCTTTCACGCCATGCTGCTGGTATAAAGCGATTGGATCGTTTCCGCCAGCACAGCCCGAAAGGGTTGCACCAGAGAGCACGGCGATGGCGCGGTACTCCTTCGCGCGACTGCAAGCCAGACTAAAACTCATGGCACCACCGTAGGAGAATCCAAGGGAGAAACGTTGTGTCTCATCTACACAAAGATCGTCCTCGACTTGCTTGCGGATGGTATCGAGGAAGGTGATGTCTTCGCCGTTCTGGTTTCCCCAGCCCTTATTTATCCCATCAGGGGCAATGAAGATGGCGGTCTCGTTTGCAAGAGCCGCAAGACCGTAGTATGGTGCGTTACCGCCGGAGACGGATGTCATGTCGCCATTTAGCCAGTGAAGGCCGAAGATGAATTTGTATGGGTGGGAGTTGTCATAGTTGTTCGGGACTCGGAGGGTCCATTGACGCTGCTTGCCATTTACTGTTGTCCTTTGGACGCCGCTCCTCAACTTCGGCGACTTGCCGCAGCCCGCTGTGACAGCGGAGGCGTGGTCAAGTAGTGTGAGGAATAGAAGGGCGCCAAGTGCGAAGAAAGAGGTTGGGCGAAACATGGTCGCTGTTCGCTGAACTGACTATCTTTGTGTTGGCAGCCATCCTGCCTCACAGCGCAAGTTTAAGTACGTTTTCATATCCCATGTTCAACTTCACGACAAGTCCCATACACACACTTGCATCAGTCGATCTCCTTGGTATACTAGGGGTTGATTGCCGTCGTCATCTGCCGTACGAGAACACCAAGACATCTATACAATTCAGAGACGGTCATTCTCCATACCTCTACCTTTACACCCAATGGATATCCTACAAGTTGCACTTTCACCACTCCATAGGTATTTCAGGTAAATGATGCCAAGAAAGAAAAACTCGCGGCACTTCGCCGGAGAAGAGACATGTGATATGCTTGTGGACCAGTGTTACATTACGCGTTATGCGTGCCTTCCCCATGGGGTAGGTACGACTAGCACCCTGCAATGCGCCGAGTTACCCCCTTATTATGCTCGGATGCTTACCGACTATTCGACTACTGTAGGCAGTACAGGAACATCGTTACCAGGTGCGGCCTCGCACACGCGCTGTTCTTCATGCGGAATGCTTCTCCACTTCCCGGTCTAACCTCTGGTTCATGGTAGAAAGGCATAAAGACCCGCGGCTGTTTACATATGCAGCACCCGTCATCATGAACTCACACTTTAGCCCTCAGAACCCAATGCATTGTTCCTTCCAGTAGAGTAAGCCGTGTCGGTTCATTTGAGCAAGGCTATCACATGCTCATCTCTTCTCGACTTTGCGATGTAATTTCCGAAGAGGGAGACATCTGTTATATTAATGGCACTTCGCAGAAACACAAATAAACCCGTGGTCGCGCAAAATACCTCTGATCTTCGAGCAGTCATTCAACGATAACATGCACGATGTTGTTGAGCTCGCTTCGCAACATTAAAGACGTTCATTTACCATCATGCTTAGCCGCAGTATATACAACACCTCGACACCCGGCTTACCCGTCGGAGTGCAGCCAACCCTGGATGAACACTGTTTTCCCCTCACCAACCTCAGGAGGTAGAGCGATATTCAGCGTCTCTGTTGGCGATTTGCTCGAGGACACACGAGCTACATCCACCGGTAAAAATGCCCCATGGGGGACGCACAACATTTGAATGGCCCGCCGGGTATATAACTAATACTAGGGATGAACTATGCCTTGCTTTTTGAGGCTAAGCTTTGGGGAAGATCTGATGCGCATATGTCTTGATGAGCTTGTGGCGTTTAAGATGAACTGTAGATACTTAAGCTGAAGCTATGATCGATCGATGTAACCCCAGCATCCATCGAGTACCCTTTCTGAAACCGAGATCAGAAGAAGGTTGCAAAGATGTTGTTCAAGCTCCTAGCAGCGACAGCTGCATTAACCGGCAATGCCGTTGCTCACCCTCTATCCTGCAACAGCTCCGCCCCTCAACCCTGGGGTTTCTTCACAAACAATACCATCTATCAGACCTCCGGTCAAGAAGGAATAACCTACCCTCGCTACACCGAGCTCCAAGACGGAACCATCATCGCCACTGCTTCCCTCTCCGGTCACAACCCAAACTACTTCCCCATCTTCGAGTCCAAAGATGGCGGCGCATCTTGGGAGCACGTATCCGATCTTCATGACACAGTCAACGGCTGGGGGTTCAGTGCTCAACCCGCCTTGACAGAATTAACAGAACCAATGGCTGGCTATGAGGCTGGTACTATCCTAGGAAGCGGAAACAGTTGGAGCAACAACGGGACGAGGATCGATTTGTACGCTAGTAGGGATGGCGCGCGGACGTGGGAGTTTGTGAGCCATATTGCTGAAGGCGGAAGACCGAATACTACAAACGGCGCAACACCAATCTGGGAGCCCTATCTACTGTGAGTACCGCAGTCCTTACTTACCTAACACTGATACTAATGTAAAGTCCAGACAATACGAGGGCCAGCTCGTCGCCTACTACTCGGACCAACGCGACCCCCTCCACGGACAAAAGCTCGCCCACCAAACCTCCACCGACCTAAAAACCTGGGGCCCAGTCGTAAACGATGTAGCCTATGAGGAGTACCTCGCCCGCCCCGGTATGACAGTAGTAGCATTTATTCCGCCCCTTAACCAATGGATACTCGTCCATGAACTTCCCATCGGAAACTCCTCATCCTACGGTTCAAACTACCCCGTCTACTACGTCATGGCCGACAGCCCCCTCAACTTCCGCAATTCCGTCGGCAGACCCATTGTCATCAACAACTCCACGGTACCGAATGCGAGTCCGTATGTTGTCTGGAGTCCGCTTGGTGGACCCAATGGCACGATTATCGTGTCAGATGCCGATCGTAGGCAGGTATATACGAATTCCGCCGGTGGAGCGGTGGACAAGTGGGAGGAACATGCTACACCTGCTGGTGCGGTGTATTCCAGGGCGATTCAGATTTTCAAGAAGAGGCCAAATCATCTTTTGGTTTACGGAGGCGAGACGTACGATGACAGGGGGAAGGGATTGTATACGCCGTTTTCCGCGACGGTAGTAAGGCTTGATGAGGTGCTCAAGGCGCCGGCGACAGAGTAGACTGTCGACATGTGGAGAATCTCGTTGAGTACACATGCTTGAGGCTTTGACGGGCTGGTAAGAGTACTACCTTGTCTACAACGCAGACGTCAGGAAGTGATAGACACTGAATGTTTATGGTGCATTGTCAAAATAACATTATCTCTTGCTGTGAACGGGAACGAAACGGAAGAGAGATTATAAACAAGACCAGCGCAATGAAAACGAGATGAAAAAGCAAGCATTAAGCTTCATGTAAGATTGTTCTCTTGTTCCTGTAGACCAAGTTGTAGTATTCAAAGGAGTATGAACCTTGAACCTTGGGCCTTGCGGAGACTGTGACGATCTTGTGCCACAGTCCACGTGGATGTGCCTGAAAAATCGCTATAGTAGAGGCGGTGATGGGTCAAGACTGGTCTGGTCAATGGTTTGGATGTTACGGCGGAAAAGCACGATACAATAACCCAAGGTATGTCGTTCATACTGAGACCTTGGGTAGTTTTGACGTAGGTAGAGGCGAAGCGAGTGGCAGAAGTTGTCAAGAACCAACCATATCGATGGAAGGGAGCAATGCGAATTTATTGTCACAGGGAACGAAGACAGATGTGTTTCAGGTTTTGTGCTGTGCAAGTAGTATAGGGTCTAAAGAAACTCGAGTCAGGGCATGATCCACTGAAGCTTCTCGACCACTTACACCGCTTGCGCATGTACACAGCGTAGTTCGTGATATGGAGACATCTTAGCTAATGGCTTCGATTGGTTCTCATGATAGTGCATTGAATCGGAGCTCTAGAATGTCGGAGGGAGTCGAGTGGTCCGATGTTGACGCTATGGTGTAGGATTTAGCGATGTGGTCCACCTCCGACTTTGTGATCAGTGCGTAGTAGTTTGATACCTGGGTATAGCTCTCGACATCGGAATCTTCGACGAAGATGAGAAGTAGTAGTGACATCCACAATCGGCCATTAACGTAAAGACCCTTGTAGCGACAAGACCTGCTAAGCATATTCTCTCGCATATGCTTGAATTGTGTTGGACTACGCTGCCGGTTCTGCCCGAAGCGGCCCTCAACCCGCCTGTGAGCACCCCGGGTCTCCAACAAGACCCACCTAACAACAAGGTCTGGAGAGCCTGGAGAACGGGGGAAGACGAGGCTGGAGCGGAACATGTCGGACGGCGTACTTTAGTGAGGTATGCTCCCTATGCACTATTCACCGGCTCGTCCGAAAACGGTATGGGCACCGGATCAAGCGTTGTATCCGATGGTGAGGGGAATTAGCTTTTCACACCAAGCCAACCCTGCCTCCGATTCCGATGGACGCATAGACTTTCTGATCTTGGAGTTTTGCAATTCGCGCCGTTTCTTGACACATCACGACTGCACAAGACGTCATGGCGCGCAGAGTTTGGTATTGTGTAGGCGTTCGAGAAGCCGGCGACACGAGAACTGGTTGCGAACGTTAAGCTATACGCCACTTCCGCATGTTCCGCGATGCTTATCTTCATCTCGAACTTGGCGCTCTTGAAATCAGCATACAGGAGTTGTTGTGGTGTGCGAAGACTTCCTCGATGCGAATACACGCGCAACCTTCCACACCAGGCCGGAGAGTATCTCGGTAGAAATATTGGACCCAACCGCAGAGCCGCATGTGGGCCACTAGAAGCTTCTTTGCAGCCAAGCTCCACCAAGACGGTCGGTCCTTTGCTTGTTTATCTCCACCCGCCTTACTCGTCCTGGGCAGCCCATGATAAGTCTGCAACAACCGGTCATGCATTGGTGCCTACTACCCCGGCATTGCGATCCGCGAAAGACAAATTTTTACCTCGTTCGTGCCATGGAGACTCCACGCGTACGTCACGTCACGTTGGTGGTGGGATGAGGAGCGCCATGGGGAGGTTCTCCATGGGCATGGGTCGTCCCCACTGGGGTTTATAAAGGGCGGAGACACGTCCGCTTGTGGGTGGTTGTGAGATACCAGCCTTTTTGCTGCAGACCTTCTCCCTCTCTCTTCGTCTTCCTTGCCTCGTTGATCTCTTGTTGATCACTGCCCACCATGGACGAGAAAGATACCAAGGTGGTTGAGATGAACGACTCGTCGTCGCCGCAACAGATACTCCAAACCGAGAAGGCCGATAACATCCAGGTCGCTCCTACACCGGACTACTCCGCCCCCAAGGCCAAGACCGAACAACTCGAAGATGCGAGAGGATGGGAATCCGAGAACCTGATCCAGGATCTTGAGAAGGAGTTGGAGCAGGCTAACTACAAGAAGGGCTTCTTGGATATCGAGTTCAAGAACCCCAAGCATTTCACATGGATGATTGTCGCTTTTGCATCCATGGGTGGCCTGCTGTCTGGCTTGGACCAGTCGCTCATTTCTGGTGCTAACCTTACACTTCCCGATGACCTCAACCTTACTGCTCAGCAAAACTCGCTCGTCAACTCCGGTATGCCGCTCGGAGCCATTGCCGGTGCCTTCCTTATCTCGCCATGCAACGAATACTTTGGTCGCCGCTGGGCCATCCTCATCTCCTGTGTCCTCTATACCATCGGTGGTGCGCTCGAAGCCGGATCTATGAATTACGGCATGATCGTCGCAGCTCGCGTTATCCTTGGTGCCGGTGTCGGTCTCGAAGGTGGTACCGTCCCTGTCTACGTCGCCGAAACTGTCGAGAGCAGACTCCGTGGTAATCTCGTTTCCCTTTACCAGTTCAACATTGCTCTCGGAGAAGTTCTTGGCTACGCCGTTGCTGCCATGTTCATCAAAGTACCGGGTAACTGGCGCTACATCCTGGGTTCCTCGCTCGTCTTCTCCACCATCATGGGTATCGGTATCCTCTTCATGCCTGAATCTCCTAGGTACCTTATGCATAAGGGCAGGACCCTGGACGCATTCAAGGTCTGGAAGCGTATTCGCGGTACTTCTACCCATGAGGCTCGTGAGGAGTTCTTCGTCATGAAGGTCAGCACTGAGATGGAAGAGGCCGAAGTGGCCGCGGGACGCACCAACCGCTTCCCATGGATGGACTTCTTCACCAAGCCGCGTGCTCGCCGTGCCATCATTTACGCCAACATCATGATCTTCCTGGGCCAGTTTACTGGCATCAACGCAATTATGTATTACATGTCTGTGCTGATGCACCAAGTCGGCTTTGACACCTACACTGCCAACTATATGTCTCTGGTCGGAGGTGGTTCCCTTCTCATCGGTACCATTCCCGCCATTTTCCTCATGGAAACCTGCGGTCGTCGTTTCTGGGCCATTGCTATGCTGCCCGGTTTCCTTGTCGGTCTGGTCCTTGTTGGTGTGTCGTACCAGATCGACTCTTTGAGTGGTACCCTCGGTACCTATTTCACCGGTCTTATCCTATACGAACTGTTCTTCGGTTCCTATGCCGCACTGACCTGGGTCATTCCCTCCGAGGTCTACCCAACTTACCTCCGTTCCTACGGAATGACCACCTCCACTGGATGGCTATTCCTGTCCTCTTTCATCGTCACCTACAACTTCACTGGCATGCAAAACGCCTTCACCAAGACGGGTCTTTCACTCGGTTTCTACGGCGGTATTGCCGTATTAGGCTGGTTCTACCAGATCTTCTTCATGCCTGAGACCAAAGATCTGACGCTTGAGGAGATCGACCAGTTGTTCCAGCAGCCTACCCGACAGCTTGTTGCACAGAACGCAAAGAGCTCGTGGCAGGTCACAAAGGACTTGTGCCACTTCAGGTTCAAGAAGGTGTTCATTGATAACAACAGGAGGGGCAGACGCGAGGAGTAAGGGAGGTGAAGAGTCTTCAGGGAGGCTTTTAGTTGCTGTCTGCATTCTGTTCTGCGGGCAGGTATCCGTTGCGATGAATGCTCGACTCTTGAGCGCATGATGTATGGCGAAACTGTCAGGTCTGGCTGACGATGTATACTATCCTGCACCATGATTAGTAGTTTAATGATCATACGTACCTTTTTGATTGCATGGCGTAGTGGTGCAAGGCTGCGTTCTGACAGAAACATATAGGCGAAGGATCTGACAATTACTATATACCCACAATGTGTAGAACAGAAAGAAGAGTTGATTGTATTGATGTTGTATGTAAGGAGGAAAGTCCTCCTGTTTATATAGGAGGGAGAAGGTGAGGAAGTACGCTAGTAAACGCTAGGGAGTGAATCACGTGATAGGATGCCTAACCAACACAATCCACGTTTTGAGTTTAAGATTGTTCATACTATTCCCCATGGCTATGTGAATTCACTTTGCCATGACTTGCCTGGGTACGTTTAACACAAACGTCATTCTTAGTAACATTCAGCGTACTACTCCGCATCTAGACTCCGACTCTAAGAGAAAGCATACTGAGACTTGCATGTCTTTAAATAGTTGTCCCATCTAGTTCATGCTTGTAACTCATTAGTGCTTACGACGACCAAACAACTCACACATCCATCCGCCCTGTCCATATGTACACCATCACCCGCTGCATCCACCTTACCCGTTCTAAACAAATGAATTCCATAACGCCAAAACAAAGCGCAGCTACCACTGGAAATATTTGCCGAATATCATATCTGATGTTGGAATTGCAAACTCAGTTAGACAAGACTAAGACAGTCACAGCTTCTTCACCGAAACTTGAAACGAGACATACACACACACACACACACACACACACACACACACACACACACACACACACACACATCGACTACTATTCACCAATGACATATAACATGACTTGCACTGTCTCTTTTTATCATATATGAAGAGCAGGGCTCCGTCCTCATCATTCATCCAGGTCCAACCGTCAAAACTCCAGTCGCTACAACACCAAAACCAAGCTTAAGTTCATCACATTCGCTCACAGCAGTTTGTCACCATAACAACCTACGAATATATCTACGTATGCGCCACATCACGAAAACTACGACAATGCCACTAGGAACCTTCGTCCTCATGGACGGCCCCATCCAGGAAGTCGGCAGCAGTAGCGCCTCTTCCATCGACGAAATCCCAAGCACCCTCCTTCTCCTTCTCCTCTGTTTCGCAGTTGCAATGAGCAGTGTATGGTCTTTTGCCGAATGGATAGTGGGTGTGGGTTGTGTTAATGGAACGGAAACTGGTACGTTTCCTCCACATATGTTTACTCAATTCTGCCGTATGTAGTGACTTGCATGAGAGAGAAAGAAGAAACTGACATTATTGTTCATTTTTTAGGCGGGATTCTCCCGAAACATCAATTTATCATCGAGGAAAACACCAGCGCTGGGAGTGCTTCCACGGTAGGCAAGGGCACCGTCGATGTGGTTGAAGTCGGCGATATGCATGGGGGTCATCCATGTTGCATAGCTACACGACCGGGATATAGTGGGGAAGGGGTTATCCTAGGACAAAGAGCAGTAGTCGTGTTATCGACACTGGTAAGGAGGTTATAAAAATGGAGATGTTTGAACGGACGTGTGGAAAGAGACATGGGCAGAACGGGAGAGATAGCTGTTAGGGAGAGATAACTGTTAGGGAGAGATAACTGTTAGGGAGAGATAAGAAGATCAATGTAATAGGGGTCAGCGTACTCGGCTCGTCGGGAGTGTTGACAACGTTGCTGTAAAATAATGGCATAGGATGGGGATTGTAGCGCTCTTGGTCCATTATCCGTTTGAGGTAAAGGCTGGTTTTGAAGAGACGTAGTACTCTTGTGATAGTAATAATCTAAGCGCACCCAGCTCGTGTTATTTCTTGAGGCCCGCAATCCACCGCCACTTCTCGATAGTATGAATAGAGAGGTTCCAATGGTATTCGAGTGCATTGACTAAGCATGTGTATCAATTGCAACTTTAGAAATGTGATCCAGACCTGTCATCTCTAATTTTACCACTCGTGTTAGCTACAATGTCGATGGCAGCTGGCCAGTAGATCGATAAAGACCTACTAAAAAACCTAGACATTTATATCCACCCGAGTGCAACGCAGCATGAAGGTCGAATGATAAGACTGACTGTGTTACAGAGATATATTCTTGCACCAGTGATGGGAGTGAGAGTGGCGTTCAACCCCGGTAGTAGTGGCTATTCCCGTATAGTAGAAGGTACATCGTCATAGTACAGATCGCGTAGAAGGCCGCGTAATGATCGATTTTCAGTTGATTGTATTGCATACCATCTCGATCACAGGTCAGAAGCGAGGGACAATCACAGGCGCCTCACGCGACCATACGCCGGACCCTCGACAACTTTCTCTAGTGGAGACACCATTTGCAAGGTCATTCGGATCGAGAACGGGACGAAACTGGGACCCGGAAGTGTTGTGGAGGAAGTGGTGGTATCCACGGAGATCCACGAAGATCTGCATCAAGATGACTTCCGCGGAGTCGATAGCGCATGTACAATATACCCTAATCGGAGCAGAGCGACGAAACTGATGTATATCGGGGGTTAAAACTTGCAAGCGCCGATATTTAGGGTGGTTTGAGGTGATCGTGATGGGCATCGAGTCTACCAGCTCCTCGTTTCGAGTTGTATGAGAGCGTTTGGGTCGGTCTTGAGTCATGTGACGGAGAGTGTGTTGACATGCTCAACTAAGCGATATGTCGGTGCTTGATGGCGTGATATCGTTCGCGAAATCCTCCAAGTCTTCGGTCGTTCATCTGTTACGGGCGAAAAGCAGATGCTGTCATCGACGACCCCTCGCATCTCCGTCTTTTATCTCCTAGCTCCCGAACTTTCCCTGTCATGCATACCAGCCTGCTCGCTCTTTTTCCTGTGCTCAAGTGGTATAGCCCACCACCATGGTTATCTGATCCTATCTCTTCCCGCATCTCATTTCTCGTTCTTCAGCGCCTCCTCTTTTGCCCTCCGGCGCTCAGCAATTTGGCCCATCTTCCTTTCCATCTCGTTTTTCTTGAGTACTAATTCGGCTCGCGCGACTTCGAGCTGTGCAATTCGTTCCTCCGGGGTGGCTTCAAGAATTTGTCGTTTTTGCTATGGAATCAACGTCAGTATGCAAAGATAGGAAGGATGATAGTAGCACAAGTGTCCAGGTTCCAAGGTCTGAGCAATGACTAAACATACCTGTTTGACATCCTGCCGTCCCTTCAATCCTGCACCGTAGATAGTTCCAGTAATTGTAATAGCGGCGACAGCACCCGTCATGATCCACCTCCTCACAGTCTGAAGGGTCGCCATATCTCATAGGAATCCAGAAGCACACTGTTGGAGTACGGAGAAGTGTCAGTGGCGGTACATAGTCATGTTGCGATGGCGAGAATGTTGGCTTAGGAAAAGTTGACGAGTTTTGGTGGAGATTCTGAACGCAAACCGCCAAGGCCGTTTCGCCGCGGGAGTCCCACCAAGAAAGCCAGTGCGACGCGCTTTCCCCACATGCACTCAAGCACAACACGACACAAACAACACCGTCTGAACCGTACGGGCGCTTCCGATCTCGAACCGCCGCCCTTGGAAAGGAAACGACTGGGTAGCCACAATGTCGAATCTACCACGCTCCCACGCTCCGGCTGGTTCGCGTCTCAGTACCGTTCCTTCGCAGAAGCCACGCCAGCTCTCACACCTACAAGCGCAACTCGCGCAATTGACGGCGAATATGGCGGATCTAGAAAGTTTGATGCGTATGACGGCAGGTCAAGCGCAGGACATGCGTGGTCTGGGTGGCTATGCTGGTGCCATGTGAGTTGCGACACTCTGTCTATCCAAGGGACATGGGATGAGCTGGAAGAGATGAACCTCTAAAACGGGACGTGTACTGATATAATTGGAACAGGTTTATGGCAGCGAGCAAAGTTCTAGGTGAAGAGACGGTTAAGGGTGGAGGGGGCGATAAGGAGGGAAGGGAAGGAGATAAGTGAGGCTGCATAGATAATGCAGTATAGGACACGAACCCCTCAAGGTTTACCACGATACGAACCTACGAACAACGCGCCGCGGAGATGCATCGACAGTATCTAGACGAAACAACTATGATGGACGAGATAGGAAGAGTAGATGCCCACGAGGAGATACGGTATCCTTGTCAGCAAGTGATGGATAGGGACAGGTAGTGGAAACATACCTCGCGTCCGAAGCACCCAAAATGCTCAGAGATAGGCCTCGCTGTAGGACATACGTATTGGTCATGGACACGCGACGCGTCGTGGTGCACGGTTATGCGCTGGTGCAATGATCCAGCAATGTACTCAGATACGGCAATATCGATATAAGCTCTACCAGTCCCCCATACTTTCTTCATCGCAATGCGGGGAGCTTGTGGATCCGTTTATTTGGCAATCACTGAATAGCACCAATCTAATCATTCAGAATATTGACTTGGCCGACGGCGAGCACCTCATGTCAAAAAGCACAGATATCTCCGGTCCCCAACACGACCCCAACATCCCCAGACAAGGGACCACACGAGCGTACCAACCAAGCCCATGAAGCACCAGGGCCTTCCCATTCGCCGCGCTCCAGTCTCCCGTTATCCGCAGTCTCAGCGAATGATCTGCCCTTCGCAAAAGGTACATGCTTGTTCCGGTGCCTGCATCAGATAAGCTGTTAGGTTTTACCGAGAGATAGTACTATCTCTTCAGTGTCCCCGATAGGAAGGCCAGCCATTCACTTGCGTACCCAAACAGATCACGTTGCTGCGATACCTCGCATGCCATTGGCCATATTCAATGCGAAACATTGGCAGAGTTTGTGAGGCTCAAAAGGGTGTGTGCGTGATGACCACTAAGAGTGGCGCTATCAATCGCGCAATGATAACGAGGGATGGTCTCACCGCGGCGTACCGCAGCTCCCTATCAATGCGTTTCTGTCTGAGCGTGTGCTTAAGTACGGGCGAGATCCTCGTTAATTGTTGTAAAGTTGGAGTTATGTTCACGTTGGGTTTTGTGCCGGTTTACTCCTGGACTCTTGGACGACTCGATTCCGCTCCGCTCATCACTCTCCCACTTGGAATGCCAAGACTGGATGCCTCGAATAAGACCTTACTTACCTGGGATGACGGATGATGGATGACTGGTGATGATCATGGAAGAATGATGAGGGATTAACGATAGTCACCGGGCTTACCTTAATTCGCTCGTTCGACCTCGTTACTGTCCAACGTCAAGCATGAGGCTATTCACACATTCACGCCGTACGCCAAGCCACGCGACCCTCCGCTATCCATGCAAGGCTAGCAATCAGATACGGCCCAAGGCGGCGAGTACCGCCGTCAGACGTCATTCCATCCACGCAACATCGGACCCGAAAAGCCTTGATCGCTACAACACCTTGGAGTGACATCCATCCGGTGCTGACCAAGGCTGACATAACATGGAACCGGCCGGTACTATACACAGAAACGGAACTCAAGCACGCGAGTCTTTTGCGTCAGCCATGAAGCACGGAAGCAAGCACGCGAGCAGGACCCTTTCCCGTCCGTTGTCCCCAAGCTACCCACGATCGCCCCGTTTTCTCCATGGCCAACCGTTGCGTGCCCAACTGTGGATCACTTTCCCTTGCTATCCCAAGAGCGGTGTCGATGAGCATAGAGAGGCCCCGTCGACCGTCCAAGGCAATTTCCCCGAATGTAATCGAATATACGACGCCTAAATGAATCACGTACACGGACCCCCACGGGCATCCCGCGTTTCCGTATCAGAAGGGACATGCGACCATAACCTTGCTTGCCAGCAGCCAATGTTTCAACCTGACCGAAAAAAGACGTGCATCCGTTCTGGTCCCCCCCGTTGGATGGGGGCTGTGTTGTGGCATTGTTAGTGGGTCGGGCGGTTGGGTAGTTCCGCATTGTTGTGGATTTTTTGGTATTGCAGTTACTACTACTGCTGCACCAGGCACGCAATACCGGACATTGCGTGCTTTGCGCGAACGGACATTTCCGCGGTTCCCTGGAGACACACGAAACACTGGAGACATGGAGCAGTAGCGACATCGGACTATGGTCGCTTCGTCGCTTAGGAGAAAATCAGGATATAGAAAGACCGCAGAAAGCAGAATAGCATGGTAAAATTGCAAGTGTGTTTAACGACATCTGCGTCTGTAGCGTGGCCCAAGTCGGCAATACGGCGACAAGCGAGGTTAGAGCGGATGGAGTCGGGTTTAGCAAAACATCTAGGCTCCACATCCCTGCTGATTGCGCTGCATGCAAGTCAGATGCAAGCGGCTTTGGAGGCTTGCATGAGACAGGGAATTACAGTTTAGGCCGCTTAACTCTCTGGGGCAACGAGCGTGGGGTCGTGCTGCTGCTCAATATCTGGCAAACCTTGTCTATGCATGGTGGTCAGGTCATTGATGAGCAAATACTGCAGACAGAATGTTGTTCTTTTGGAATGTGGATGCAGGATTAGTTGTTAGATTCCATAACTCAATGTTTACCTGTACCTTCTTGTCTTTTGGCACTTTGACATGTGAAACTCCACCAGAACGGTCAACAGGGATCTAGCCGATTGTTTCCAGGTTAGCGGACGCGCAACACCAAATATTGGTGTTCGCGGCTGGTACTAGATGAATTTCAGCCCGAAATAATGCCATAATGCCACGGTCGCGAGTGGGTAGATCAACGTCTCCCTGGACCCTTTCCTTTGGTGGGTAACCCGGTGGGTACAGGCAGTTCGACCTGAAAAGCAATATGGTGCATGAAGAGAGTCCACCAATTACCAGTACCCTGGAAGCTGATATTAGGAGACAGTTCGCGGCTAAACCTGACGTTCTGTTGGGAAATAGAGGGGACCGAATGCGCGAGAGAGAGGGAACAAAGCAACGGCGTCCGATCCACAGGTACCGTGTAAGACGTCTCGAGATCGTTAGGCCTGCTATTGCTAGTGAAGCATGTAGCGTAGCCAGTCGTCAATCAAATAGCGTATTCAAGACTCCGTCTAGGACATGAACCCGTCGAGTCTTCCCTGTCTCGATGCGACCCTAGAGATGGTTCGAGATCTTGAGCAGCACAATGTGCATAGGTTCTAGAAGAAAAGATACACCCGACGACAGCGGCTACAGGCTGCATGTCGTTCTCGACTTTTACAGTTTGGTCGTCTCCACCGTCCGCGTCACCGTTGGATCTCGCAGTCCTGGTATCTACCACGCGTTCGGATCTTGCAACTGCGGAACCGCAGAACAATGCTCAAGTTCAGACCCCCAGGCGTCAATTTGAGTAAAGTTATAAACAAGTGGAGTTTGGTAGCATTGCCAATGCTCTGTCAGGAGGAGCTGGCGCTACCAATGGCTTCTGCTGCACTGCTACTGCTGTTGAGTACGCCATAACTTGGAATTTATCTTTTGGTACCGGCAGGCGTTGTCGGATGAGACTAAAAGCGCAATTCACCCTCCGCCACGTGCTTTGGCGCTATAGATGGTGGATCCGTTGTCGCACAAGCCGTCGATAGCTGTGGACCTGGTAAACAAAGACCCTGAAATTGTGAGGCTATCGGGAAATCTAGGAAAGGAAGTGCCGAACTCAGGACGCGCTCGGCACCATTCGGATGAGATACTCCACAGTCGGGTAAACGATGGACATGTGTAGGAAGTGTAGACGCGGTGAAAGCCCTTTTTTTTTCGGCGATGGTCACAAGACACGGTACTACTACTACTGTATAAGCACCATGCAGTCGGCTGACAAGCTTCTCGTTGACGGGCGGCGAGGCACACTTTCCCTGAGGTGTAAATTACAGCCGCCGCCACTGCCTCAATCGACTACAGAGTAGCGTAGGCGTACAAAATCGGCTCGCTGCTAAACGCTGTAGACGGTCAGAAGGAGCGGGTAGGCAATGCACATGGGCCAATGGAGACGGACTGTTTATTCGCGTAGTCTTTTGCCGGCTGGTGTTGGTGGGTCGTAGTCGTGCAGTAGAACATGTCAAGAGGGAACATTGGCGAGTGCTCTTGGAAGTGACGTCCCAGGGATCAGCGCTGCGCAGATGTTATGGTAGGCAGTGTTGTTCTAGTTCTTCTCGAAACGAAACGCCGAGCATCTAGTGTTTTTGGTGTTCCAATGTTGATCCGGAGCACTCTACTCCTGTGAGCGAGTGCGCAGGCCGATAAATTTCCCGCGAGCATTTGGACCTCCGAGACTCTGTCCGGGGGTTCCCAAGTATTCTCGCAGCGCACGCTCCAGGCGGTCTCGATAGGAACAAGGGCGTGCATGCTAAGCGGCAAGGCAAGCATTCTCCCGTTCAGCCCACAGGCGGCCCATGACCTCCACGGCCGTCCGTCAATCGCATCGCAGGTGATATTGCAAGCGGGTCCTGGATTCAGCAAACGCGTCAGGTAGGCATGTCGTGTGCTTGAGTGTATTGCTTTTCTGAGTCGTGCAATTGACGACACTGTGGAGAGGGGGCTGCCGCCCTTGGAGGGTAGGGAACGCCCCAAACAGGACCCTAGGCTGCGCGTCCAGGCATAGCCCAGGGATGAGAGTGTGGCTGCACGTGTGATTGGTGTCCGAGAGTGGACGGTGGGGGCACCGTGGGTGCCGAACGCTCCACACACTGCATCTCATCCTTCTCACCAAAGCCCAGCGTCACGACTCACGACCCACCCAGTGCCACCAGCTGCCCGTCGTATGCTGCAGCCCGCATCGCTGCAATTCAATTATTGCGCCGCTCACTGGTCCCGGGAGCGTGACAATTCGAGGCTCGTTCCCCGTGGGCGATAGCAGAGGCGTTCCAATATCTATTCACTGACCAGGCCGTTGTCGCTGTGCGAGGCCGCCAACACACTCCCAACATCCAAACCGATCTAGACGTCACGCACGCCTGGGCTTCTGGAAGCATACTACTGTTACTGCACTACGTCGCCTGCCTGTTCAGCGCTCAGGGCCTACTTCGGCTGTGGTTGCAGCTGAGGTCCGCTGCTAACGTGGGGTGCGCCCATCCGATTCAGAGCACGCGCCGACCCAGCTACATCATCGCCTTCCTTTGAGAGGCACACTCACAATTACTGCCGCCCACCAAAGAGGGCACCACTCCGACTGAAAACCCATGGACTTTGCAAGACCAGCGGGCGCCATGGAGGTACAGTCGCCCCAAGATACGTCCAACAAGGGCATGCTCCAGGATGCCATATTCCCAGCATTTGGCAACGATGCGGGCACCCCCAATGTTGAATCGCCAGAGCAACTGCAGAAGAACGACCCGCTGGGCACGCAAATCTGGAAATTGTATTCCCGGGCAAAGACGCAGCTTCCCAATGCAGAGCGCATGGAGAACTTGACATGGCGAATGATGGCCATGAACATGCGTCGCGCCGAGATGGATCGCAATAAAGGGTACGCATGCCGCCATTTGCTTTACGTCGCTACCGCCGTATCTGTCCACGACCAGCCCAGCTAACTGTGACTTCTTCGAGTAATAGGCCCGCTCCGGATGCGCAAAACAATGAAATGATGATGCTGCCGCCGCCGCCAACAACAACAACTTCTTCGAGCGCAAGACCGCCGCCAAGATCCGCCCCGAGCGGCATCGCCCAGCAGTTGAGGAAGTCGCAGGACCAGCAGGCCCAGGTACAGCACAACTCACCCCAGGACGCCATGAACCTAGACGATTTTATATTTCCCTCATCCGTCGGCAGTCCTGCAGGCCTGTCGCCCGAATTGTCGAATGAGGATGCGGCTCCATTTAATCCAACGGCCCCAGCGATACCGATAAGAAAGCCGCATCTAGCCAACGACCATAATCTCTCCCTCGCCCGCGCATCCGCACCTTCAGTACCTCCTACCATCCAGAGAGAGGATGAATTTGGCTACGTTCCGCGACACGTCCGCAAGACGAGCATCGACGAGCGACGGGTGAGTTCCTTATCTCTCTGCCTATCACATCCCGACAGAGCCTCACTAACCTCTTATCAGCCTCCCAAGCGGCGCGCAGAAGCCTCTCCTTTGGTCCCTCCCGTCAACAGTATCATGATACCCACCGATGCCCAGACCGAGGCCGACCTGCACCACTACTCGCTCGACAACCACTCCATGCAGCCCCCCACCTTCCCAGCCTCACAGGCACAGGTCCCCTTCTCCATAGATACCTTCTCCATGCAAGAGGACCCCGTCATACATTCTGCTGGACCCTACCAGCAGAGCTTCTCAGGCTTCTCTCCTGTCGGCTCGCCCCTCATGAGCCACAACGCCTTCAACTCCAACATGTTCAACCAACACTCCATGGCGTCCTCCCTCAACTCTACCGACTACTACTCTCCGCCCAGCTCCGCTTTCCCCTCCACCGTCTCCACTCCACAGCCCATACCTGAGGATAACCAGATGTACTTTGACAGGAGTGGCATGGACATTCGCAACTCACATGGCGGCGCCTCGTATGGACCCCACCGGCCCTCCAACCTGTCAACTTCCATGCAGCCACAGTTCATCTTCAACCCTGGAGCTGGTGGTCACGACTCTGTCTTCAGTCCTGTGACAAGCGCTAGCTCCTCACTACCATTCTCAGCCTCGTCGTTCGGCCAGTCGAGTCACGTAGATCCGTCTCAAGTACTCCATAACCACCTACCGTTACGACAGCAGCACGAGATGCAGATGGGACGTCAGGAGAACATGTTTACCTTCGGCGCAGATTCAGACGCCGAGGATGATGAAGGAAGCGCGTTTGCAGACCGCACTATGCCATCACAAGATTACTCGCATATGGAGGATGGCTCACTTGATTTCAACAATGGCTACCAATGGGAGACGAATCTTTCAAATCAGTTCAATCCCATGCAGGCGCGATATCCAGCCGGGCCCCCACGCAAGACTGTCACAATTGGTGGAACCGAGATGGTGCACTCACCGCAAGATCACTGGAGCCCTGGCGGCAGTCTTGGGCGGACGCATGGCTCGGCTGCCTCTGTAAGCGACATACGCAATCGAGGGAGCGATCCACGACGCCAGAAAATACCCCGCACTAGCTCAACTCCCAACGCTGCTGGAATGCTGCACCAGGGCATGCACGGCCTAGTTTCCTCGCCCAATTCACCGCCAGAGTCAGGCTTTAGTTCTGCAGCCCCATCACGACCTCAGAGTCCAGGTGGCTCAAAGCAAGGCGAAGGCGGTGCCCCGACAACTTGCACCAATTGTTTTACCCAGACGACGCCTTTGTGGCGGCGCAACCCTGAGGGACATCCACTTTGCAATGCATGCGGCCTATTCTTGAAACTGCATGGCGTTGTTCGGCCCTTGTCCCTGAAGACCGATGTCATCAAAAAGCGCAATCGGGGTAGCGGCAATGCACCTGTAGGCACGACATCCACGCGATCTTCCAAGAAATCCTCCCGAAAGAACTCAATCGCGCACACTCCAGTGACGACGCCCACGTCCCACAAAGCCGCCGAGTCGGAGTCTCCAAAATCCACCGGCTCTGGTGGAGGAGCCTCCGGTACTATGTCCAATGTTACCACTCCAACATCTTCGAAACCGAGCGGTGTAGTTCCAATTGCCCCTGGCCCGCCAAAGTCCAACAGCTCTGTAAACTTGGCTCAGACTCGCGGTGTTACTGTTGCGCCGAAACGTGTTCGTGGCCAAAGCAAAACCGAGTCACAGGAGCTAGAGATGGCAGATGCGGACGACACGAATGGAAGAGCGCCTCTGCGCAGAAAGGACACCGCCATCGCGAGTCCCAGTCCTTTCCCAGGTCAGAATCTCGGTGCCCTCCCGATGGGTGCTATGGGTCAAGGCTTGCAGTCATCCGGTCCTGCTGAATGGGTAAGTATTTTCTTCTTGAGTATAAAGCGCCCAACACTAACGATTGTCTTGTAGGAATGGTTGACCATGAGCTTGTGATCCTAGCGGATCCTTGCACGCATTCCTCATCACCATTCACCACCAATCCCAAACAACTGATATGGGGCCCTTTGGGGCTTATTACGACCTACGTCTATTTTGCTTTCACGATGTACCTGGCGTTTGGAGTTCCCTCGAGCATGGTCATGCTTGGCCTTTTGCTTGTGCCATCCAAATTTCCCTTTCCTTTGCCTTGATACCTCAAACTCTTCCGCGATGCGATTTACCTTGCAACGATAGACGCGGTCTGGCTTCCTGTTCTGTTTTTTTTGACATACCCTGTTTGACTTTTCCAACCAACCGGCCAGCAGAAGATGGAGGAGGCAGGCGCTCCATCGAAAGCTGCAACAACCGCTCTAATATCTGAAACGAAGACGTTCCGGTCTTCGGAGTGGCGGCCCATTTCCAACGGCATGAGCTTATGAGAAGAAATATCCTAGGGGTTCTGGTCCGTCCTCGCGATGCATAGAAGAAGAGAAGATGGATTTACGCATCTACTTGCACAGCTTGGTGATTTATCAACGATGCTGAGTTCGACTCGACTGTTTTGGCGCTGCGCTGCTCTCTTTTTTATAATTTTACATTGGGACGAGATCTAGGTGGCGCTCACGAAGTTTCTCATACACAACAAGGCAAAGCATACAGGCGAGAGGCGTGTATATAGGGGACTATGGCTGGGTGTGCTTTTGTGATATCCTTGATGACCCGATCGTATCTGTTCTGGCGCAATTTGGAGGGAACGGGATGAGCGAATGCTATCTTTTAACGACCTTTTACGTATTTATGGTGCCTGGTGATGCTGTAACCTTTGTGGGGGTAGTACGAAATGGTCAATGAGAGACTGACAGGACGCGCTGAACTCGAGAGAGACAGTTCCGGAAGCAATGCCTCGGAATGTGTTTCCGAACCCCACCGGCGAACGTTCCATCTCAGCATACGTCACACTTGGCTAAAGTGCGGAGCATGTTCAACGTTGTCCGTTTGATCAGTAATATCCTACCGTAACCATCACAACTTCAATCGAACGTATACCTTGAATACTATTTGACATTCTTACCGCACCAGGTTCAATTAAGATGCCGAGAGCTCTCTTGTTGGTCGCAGATGGATCCGAGGAGATAGAATTCGTCACACCTTATGATGGTACGCTAGCAACCACTGTCTTAGTATTTCACGCAGGTACTTCAAGTACATAAACGTTACTCAACTGGTTCTTCTCGCCAGGTTCAGCTGTGATATTCGATTTGAAAAGATCACGCCATAACCCAGCTATTCTACCGTCATCAGCACTTCTCACAACCTCGCCTTTCCAACATGGTAACCGAGGAACAGTTCTTCGGAAGAAGCTACTACACCTGCTGGAAGCGATGTGCATCTCCAGCTTCAAAAGACCGCCAGTCGAATACTACCTGTTGCCATGAGAAAGAAAAAGATGTATCATGATTAATGCTAATACATATCACAGTCCTAACCCGCGCCGGTTTCGAAGTAAAATCCGCTGGCGTATCCCTCAAGAACGAAGTTTATGCGCAGTAAGTCCCCTATACCCTCCTTGCCTTTATACCTCCTCCAGTCTTCTTCTAGTCTTCACGCCCAATCCTGATGTATCTCATCGCGATCACTTTAGATTTTCAGCTTCTTAATTTACCACGGTCCTTCATACATATAGCCTCATTACACGCCCCATTGTTACCTGCAGAAGGATGAATAGGGAAAACTAACAGGATTACCTTAGCATGTCACGCAACATCCGTATCGTGCCCGACTACCAAAACCTCGTCTCCGTCCCCTCACAAACGGCGCACGATTACTTTGATATTCTGATCTTGCCTGGTGGCGCACCAGGAGCAAAGACGTTTTGCTCCAACGACGCTGTCTTGGAACTTATCAGCAGTTTCCGGAAGAAGGGAAAATGGGTTGCGGCGATTTGTGCGGCGACGACGGCGCTGGTTGCTGCGGAGAAGACGTCTGGGGAGGAGGGGAAGAAGAGGGTCACTAGTCACCCGAGTGTGAAGGAGGAGATTTTGACGGCTGGTTGGCAATATAGTGAGGATAGGGTGGTGGTCGATGGGAATGTTGTTACGAGTCGGGGACCAGGGACTGCGATGGGATTCTCACTGAAGATTGTGGAGCTGCTGTGTGGGAAGGAGAAGAGGGATGAGGTTGCTGGGCCGATGGTTGTTGCTGAGACTTTGTGAGGGAGGGTGTGTACACGATTGTCTGGTACTGTTCGACCAGGGTCAAGCTGCTTGATGGTGTATGCTGAGTAGGGAATATGTGATGTGGCGGAAGATGATCTTCTCGAAGATAGAGAGCATGAGATCTGTTTACAGGCGTCACAAACGGTCATGTGTTCGTGTTGTCTACTAGGTAGGATGGTTACTACAATAAATGATAAAGATGCTGCATCAGAACCTGTTCACACTCTGCGATGCTACTCTGAAAGACCTTCGCCCGCTTGGAACTGATATGCAGATGGAAAACCCATAGTTTCTGTGAAACACTTCACTAATCTACATAAGTTTACAGTGTTCCATAGCATAAATGCAATGATGTTGTTACCCGGCGTTGTGGTAACGATGGATTGACACCGCTTGTCTCGAACGAGTACTTTGTAATCGGACTTTCGGACCGATGGTAGTATCTGGAACGATTGGCGAAGCGGGGAGAGATGAAAGAGCTTCAGATTTACTAGGATGTACAAACCGTGCTAAGTGATGACATCTAGAGAGCAACACGCCTTACAGCGCCCCTCAAGTCAAAATGCCCTGTGGTTCTATCTTCTATCGTCAAGATCTTATTTACTAAGTCTCTTGTTTGTGGCTATCGTGCACCTTGTTACGCGTTACGTGTACCCTCGCTTACTAGCTGCGAAGAGCTGGTTTCTTCAGAATGGGTCATACTTGCAGCAGCCATGCCCACACTGCATCACTAGGAAGGGATCCAAGAATGAAGACCTTGTTTATGAGATTTCTTTTTCCTTGCGAGAGGCACTGCATCTGCTTATCCATTCGTCAAAAAGGCCACCAGGCACTTCAACCAAAGAGGGATTGTACACAGATGGGAATTGCTGTTCCAGGCCGTAGCACATGATCCAATCGTCGGATGGATGCTGATATCCGTGCTGGCATTGCTTCGCTTAGATTGATTGTCCGATACGCGGAATACGGTGAAGCGACGGTCGTACGGGCCGGCACTATCCTACATCCTTTGCGTGGCATAATACCGTCGTCGCCATAGCGGTGCACAGATCATTGTAATACTACTTGATGAGTGTGCGCATGTGCGTGGCTTGACGCGTGGAGATGCTCATCAAACCGCCTATGTGTGTACCAAAAGAAGAATGCGTGGCGGGAGTGGAACCTTCGCCTGGAAGATTTGGTGTCTGTAAGAATATTTCAAGGTCGATACCTTGTGTGTTGTTTACCGTAATTGGAGAAATATCGTGCAACATCGGCGGCGTATTGCAGCGACAGGTGGACAAGCATGGCGTTTTGTTTATAGATTTACGGCCGCAAGCTCCGACTGGGATAGCATCAGCTAGCGGCTCAGACAGTCATGCCTCGACTTCCATTCAGCCTTGAGTGTGGATCAGGAAAATGAGAAACTGCTTGTGGAGTAGATGGCATGTTTTGGTTGCGTTCGGGAGCTTTCCCATGTAGGATTGCAGCAAACCCCGCAAAAGAATCTTCCGGTAACCGAGATGAACGGAAAGCGGAGGAGGCGTCCGCCGTAGGGCAGGGTCTAGCAGCTCCTTCCGTCTAACAGCTTCCTTGTACAAACATTCTCTCATGCGCGCACTGCGACGACAAATTGCGACGCTACATACTCTTGCCGCCGGCACGGACGCGTGTGACACGTCGGTAGAGCAGGATTGCCGACATGCTTCCGTCGGTGCTTCTTACCAAAGGAAAAGCTCCATCTAAGGCGACCACATACGCGTAGCTAGAGGCTCCATTGTTAGTCGCTTCGGTCGTAATGCAAGAACGTTAATTGGATAGCAGACGACAAGTTTATCTGGAGAGCCGCAACTCAGTATGCAAGTCCGAAACGCAACGGTACGACTTGGCCTAGTGATCGGCAAGGACATTGCCTAGTCAGACATTAGTGGTCAACTGACGGCTCTTTGGCTAGCAGCCCCATCGCCGGTATCCTCAAATTGGCGGCTTGGACCCTGACCGTATGAACCGTATAAACCGTATGATGCAGATCGCACCACGGGCCCTGATGCTTGTTCCTAGGCAGACTGGGGACTGTTAGTGATAAAGGAGGGCCACGTTGCGCCTTTCTGCGGGCCAGACATCATTTACCTTCCTGTCCCAAAAACCGAGTATCAGCAAGGTTGGCAGAATTGGATCTAGTGTCTACTTGACCGCTCATGTCAACGATGGCCAGCAAGCTTGAAAACGTCAATACCTCCGTTACGCATCCTACACAGGAGCCCACAGCCATGGACAATCAGATGCTAACACAGTTGACGCACACATTACAGACTGCGGCTATAGCTGCACTCATCTTTGCAATATGTGCATATGTTCCCAAGCTCAAGCGCAAAGCTCAGTTTCGAAGCATTCCGACCCTCAGCGGCCTCCAAAGTGGAGAGAAGCAGCGACAAGCATTCCTCTCGTCTGCGAAGAAGATGTATGAAGATGGATACACCCAGGTAAGCCACCCATAGCCGTGTGGGGATATTTCTGCTTACGCCATAATCAGTTTAAAGATTCCATATACAGAATCGCAGGAGAGGGAGGCGAAGACAATGTTGTTGTACCTTTGAGTCTACTTCCAGAGCTACGAAAGCTCCCCGATGATGTCCTCAGCTTCCCCGAGGCTGTCAAGAATGCAAGTAGACATTAACCACCAATGTCTAGTTCAACAACACTAATTACTTACAGAGCATGGAAGTCAAATACACCAGACTAGCGGTTGAAGGATCTACAGCTATCCACTCGGTCAGGTCTGACCTCACACCAGCGCTAAGTAAGTTCTGACAAGAACGCTGCTTACGAGCTAACGAAGCTAATACAATGTTAGCTCGGTTGAACCCCGTCATCTGCTCAGAAGTCGACGCTGCATTGCGAGAGTACATGCCCCCATGCGAAGACTGGACTGAAGTCTACATCAACCAGAAACTCGTCGATGTTGTCGCAAAGGTCTCCGGCCGCATCTTCGTTGGACCAGAGTTATGTCAGAACCCAGAGTATCTCGACCTGGGATCCAATTATACCATTGATCTCATGAATGCGGTCACAGCCCTTAAGAAGGTCCGTCCATGGTTGAAGCCCTTCTTGGCACCTCGTCTTCCAGAAGTTGTCCAGCTCCGCAAGCGCGAGAAACAATTAACCGACTTTCTGCGTCCGATTGTAGTGGAGAGGATGACCGCCAAGTCAAAAGACCCTAACTGGCAAGCGCCGGACGACATGCTGCAGTGGATGATCACACGATCTGACGGTAAAGATTCAATCGACAGGATTGCTCATTTTCAGCTCGGACTCATCTTCGCTGCCATCCATACCACAACTATGACCGCCACAAACATCCTGTACACGCTCGCCGTCACACCAGAGTACATTGACCCTATCCGTGAGGAGGTCCGCAACGCCATGGCCGACAACGGTGGAATCATCACTTCTCGCGCTCTGCAACAGATGGAGAAACTCGATAGCTACATGAAAGAGGTTACTCGCTTCTACCCTCCGGGCGTTAGTAAGTAAATTTTCGTTGACCTTCAAAGATATGATAACTAACCTGCGTTTTAGCATCCTTCGGCCGCCGCGTCCTTAAAGGTATAACCCTCAGCAACGGACAATATATCCCCGCAGGCGTTCTTATCGAAGTCCCTGCTGCAGCCATCTACCTTGACAGCGAACACTACCCCTCGTCCTCGAAATTCGACGGTCTTCGCTCATACAAGTTGCGCTCTAGCGGTAAAGCAGCAGATATTGCGCGCAACCAATTCGTCACTACCAACGAGACTAACCTGGGTTTTGGTTACGGTCGTCATGCGTGCCCTGGCCGCTTCTTCGCCGCCAATGAGATTAAGATGATTTTGGCGAGGCTGATTCTAGAGTACCATATCAAGATGCCGAATGACGAGACGGAACGCCATCCACAGATTGAAATGGGGAGGCAGAGTATGCCGCATCCAGGGAAGACGTTGGCGTTCAAGAAGGTGCAGATTTAAGGCTTTTCTTGTGAGATGGGATCGTGACATTCATAACGGATGACCAGCTGAATGATCAGAAATATTTATAGCCAGACTAAGCTCCATAACTTGCACGTTATAATCGCAAGCGCTAGATGGTGGAGAACTGGAGATTAGCCTCGTGTGATCCCCCGATATGTAAAACATGATTTCCTTTATTCGCACTTGTTGGTTCTAGTAATTCAGGAAGAGCAGGTAAACCCATTTGCCTTTCACTAACCTTCAAAACAAGCTGCTCACCGGCTTCATACACAATGCCCGTAGGCCAGAGCTGGACACGCAGTCTGACCACCTCCCCAGGCTTTATCTTTTTTTCGTGCTCTAGTGAAAGCGTGATCCATGTCTTTCCCGAGAGGGAGTCGGAGACATGGCGTTTGGAAGCCCATATCATGCCATTGGGACCTTGGTAACGCCAGATTCTGTTTTGCGTCATTGTCTCGACAGTGGAGGCTGGGGTGTTGGGAGGAATAGGCATGTTGAGATGCGATAAGAAAGTTTCGGATGCATTTGCTTTGAAGATGTGGGCGTGTATGTCTAGGTCGTCATGGTCGGGTGCTGCGATATCGATGACTAGAGTGGACGGACCAATGAGCATGGAATTGGCTGGAAATGTGTAGGTGAAAGATAGTTCGTCTGACGAGTTGGTCCGGTACTCTAGTACTCCTCCTTCGAGCTGCCTGTCCTGCGTAAATTCGCCAGTAGGACTGAGATGCAATCTCCATCTTGTGATTTCCGGTAGATGCCACGGTAGATCCGCAACCTCCTGATCCAACAAAGCCTGTTTAGTGAAGCTCAGCAATGCCATTCGCACAGGCGCTGTCTGAGGCCAGTCGTTGTGGAGATCTTGAGAAGGAAATCAAGGAACCGGGCTAGATCCTTGGTACGGGATTGACTGTATAGGTCGTACCATTCTTGGGATGCGTGAAGAACGAGCCTGGATGTTGCAACATATTAGTCTTTACATACATAGATGTGCGTGAAAAGAAAGTAGCGTACCATTTGTTTTGGTGCGGAATCTCCTCGAAAGCTCGCAGGGAGCCGATCGTATGGATGGGTGATGAGTAGCTGGCTCCGATGTAAGTGGGTACTTTGATCTTTGTCATATCTACACGCTTATCTTCGAGGTAACTTTTAAGCGCAGAATCGGTGTTCGACATCGCAACGTAATCTTCCAACTTATTTCTTCCTGGCAAGATACCAGCGATGGATTCATTGAACGCCGTATTCGGTATCCCTCCACGTAAGCTTTGCTCACGAAGAGGGTCTGACAAGCCCTCCAACGGCGCAATACATGCCAATTGCGGAGGTTGTTCAGCAGCAATAAAATACTGAGAGATCGCGAGCCACGAGTTTCCAGCCAGGGCGAGTTTACCAGAGGAACCCATTCTGCGGGATCAAGTCTACGGTCGTGATGAGTGAGTATCACATACGAGCTGTCTCACTGTCTCGGTTGTCTTACCCTTCAAAGTCCTCATAACCAGACAGTTGAGTCTCTGGTATACCTGCTCGCAGCGGCATGGAATGAAGATTTAGCACACCCGTTCCCGTTTTGCCATAAGGTCCCCACATAACGATGGCAGGAACCTTTTGGTCGGTTTGTGGACGAAAGATATCTGCGTATATCTTCGTTCCATCCCCGAGTACAAGGGTTTGGTCTTGATAGAAAATGATGGTTGTAGTTAGCAGGCGGCAAGTTGGTTGTTTTCTGTGACCGGATGGGAGTTTGGTCGTCCTTGGATGCAGTGGAGGAATGTTCTGCTTGAAGGCATTGTAGAATTTGAGGTCAACTGGGCCGACCTTGGAAGAAGCCATGGTATTGATGAAGTGGGAATAAACAAAAAAGGTTCGTCCAGACCTTTCTTGTCAAGTTCGGGATTACGGTTTACAGGTAGTTGAGCATCCTACGTAACGACGCTATTTGTGCTCGCCGGCGCGAGAGTATCTGCCAGCGTCACGATCCGGAGTGCTGCTGCAGCAGATGCCGCTTCGAACATCCGACACGAGAGGAGGAGCACACACAGATTATGGTATGGGAGAGAAGTACTAGGAATAGAATATAGTTTTTCGGGATGTTTGTTCACCCGAACCCGTTGTTCGAAGATCGTACAACCATCGTTAGCGTGCTCGGCCCAAGTCTTCGAACATTCTCATTCACTAGACTTGATATCACACTCGTCCAAACTGAACGAATGGAAAAAAGTTAATATGTTTTCGTTCCGACAGAACCCTGGACCGGGGGTTCGTTACGGCTTGCGCATATCATTGTAACATGCGCTGTGGGCGGTTAAGACGGGCAAATCGGGTACCTATCTGAATGCCCTTAAAACCGTAATCACAAGACGAGATTGTCCCAACTTACATCTTTACATCAGGTTCTTTATCTACACATCGAACTTACCCGCGTCTCGTTCTTCCGCAAACCAAAAGTTTACTACGTGATACCATGGCTTCGGCTTCCAACAAGGTACTGTACGTCGACGAGGGCGGCAGTTTCCAGATCCGGAACGATGTCAAACACGAAGAAATTGCAGCCGGCAAGTTGATCATCGAGGTGCGATACTCAGGTGTCAATCCAGCAGACACCAAACACGCATAGCTTGGAATTTGTTCGACCGTCATCGGGTACGACTTCTGTGGCACTGTCTTATCAGTATCTACTGGGTCGCACTTCAAAAAGGGAAGCTTTGTGGCGGGGTGTACGCCCTCGGGTATCGGACGACCATTGAAGTACGGGGCATATCAAAGCCGCCTCGCATGCCCTGATGACATGGTATTCGAAGTACCTCGCAACCTTCCGGAGAGCCACGCAGCAGCCCTGACAACCGTGGTGATGACGGCTGCAGACGCAGTGTTCAAACTATTCCAGTTCCCTTTACCCACAGCTCCTGCCGCCTACACCCGCCCTGTCCTGGTTTGGGGCGCCTCTTCTAGTGTTGGCTTTAGCGCTGCCCAGTTTCTCTGTGCCAATGGCTGCCAGAATATCTTGGTAAGTGCTTCTTCAGCCCGTTATGAGCTACTGAAGAGTATTGGAGCAACACTGGTTTTCGATTACGCCTCGTCGACAGTTGTATCAAACATCCTCGCTACGGTGGAGGCTATTGGTCAGGGACCGATCTCTCATGCCCTTGATGCTGTCCGCACTCCGTCTTCAGCGGATCTAGTTGTCCAAAGCGTGAAGAACCTAGCAGCTATGCTGACCTCTGTAACCAAGTTCGATGGCGGGTTCCGGATGCCGGTGGCGTGCACGAAAGACGGCTGGCACATCCAGCCACCTGGGGTACCGCATGTAATTGACCTTCCTGCCAGACCGGAAGATCATTGGCGTGGCTACAAAGCGTTGCAGTGGGTGGTGGAAAACTACGGTAGTCGCTTCGAGCTTCCGAAAGTAGAAGTATTCCAAGGTACAGCCGAGGAGGCGCTACAGGAAATTGTAAAGGTTGGCGAACTCGGAAGAGGGTTTGGGAAGTTCGTCGTTCAACAACCCAGCACTAAGATGCGTTAACAATGTGGTAGAGACTGTAATCTTCTGTACAAAACGCCGTCAGTAGTAGTGTAGTAGAAAAAGCAGAATATCGTCTTGGATCTGAGAGTGTGTTAGCGCAAGGGTGCTAGGTAGCACCCGCATCTGCTTTTCCGTTGCTTGTTCTCTTTCGAATACACCTCAGTCTACTTTATCTAATGCCGTCGCGCACAACCTCTTATAAAAAGCAGATACGCATTATAGGGCAACCCTGCAAAAGTATACGCAGTTAGCGAGCAATTCACACATAACGCCATCTCACCGTTCGTGTACAACCATCGCAGTGATGAGCTATCCCTTAGTTATAGGATACATTTTCCTTTTTGAGAGGCCCTTGCTATCAAATTATCCAACGTGCCGGGTTCGCTTTCTATAAGGGTATCTTAGCCGTATGCACGATCATGCACATAGTGTTGGGACTTCAACCCGATAGGCGACGCACTTTCTCCTCCTTACCGATGAGCAATGTGTGGTGTTGCGTTTAGATGCGTCATGCACTAACAGTCGGCTTTAGGCCAGCCAATCGAGTGTCGTTGGCCTCAAGGGAAATGCCTTGTTTTAGTCTCAGCCAAATAATTCCAGCATCACTACATATCTAAAGAACGAGCTAGCTTTAGTATATTAGCCTCATGCATGCGTGAGTAGAAGTCTCTGACGAAGATTCTAGTGGACTATGATGTTCTGTCGTCAGATGACGTAGTGACAGACATCGGTGTCGTGAATGTCTGAGAGGACGAAAGAGGAAGGCGTACATCCGACTGTGAGGGTGTAGGGTCGTCCTTCGCACCCGAAGTCCAGGTCCAATATGGCTGTTCGCTGACTCGTTACTGATTAGCACCGTTCGATTGAGTAAATCTAGAACATCGGCATTCAGATGCGAGCCAGTCTTGTGTGAGCTGCTATAGACAAGTCTTTCCTTCACACGTGGTCGAAGTGACCTCAATCATGCAACGCTTTTATCGTGGTAATGGCGGAGGTAGGTCGCCGATCAGGGCTGAGTAAAGGCAGAGATTCGCATTGGTCAAGGGTTGTGAGCGTTGTTAGTCTGACACCTCACATCAAGCCACTTTGTCGACTTGAATTATAACACGACGTCAGTATAACTCTGCAGGCAACGGATTTGCGAAGTTTGAGGCGACTAAGTGAAATAAAACTATTTCTTCAATCATACACTCGACCATCCTTCTCCGTGTCGCACCTTCTCGAAGGCGTATCTGCAACCCGACATCAAGGTTCAGCCGTATGATGGGGCGCTCCTTGATCCCGGAATACGGTTTGCACATTGGATCACCACGACAAGCGCCAAACTGTAGTGCGTTACGGGCCGCAATCCAGCGGTGTGGGTGGAGAGAGAAAGAGCAGAATCGAACGTGGGGACAGCAAAAGAGAGGAAGGAAGGCCGTACCAACAAGTATGATTTGCCGACTTCGCTTCCTAGAGCGGCTAAGCGCGAACCACTCAGTGACAGGTCGCCCCCTTATCTCCCACGTCTCAAGTAAACATCCCACTCGCAATTGTTGCACACCGTGCCAGCAAGAAGCAAAGCATTGAGGTAACGGTGTATCGATATTAACGAACAAAAGAAGACAACAATGAACCGTAATGTTGGGGTAGCAAGTAAGCACACACACACACACACCGCGCGAACCAACACTCCGGGACATCGGTCACGCCCGCGCCCTCAGCCGCACGGACATACACTGTGACCCTCCTTTCTTTGATGTATGCCGTCATCGAGGCAAGGCCTTTCTCGTAAAACCGCTGTGTAAAAGAAGGGATACGTAACGCCACGTGGTAAGGGTGGGAAATGTAAGATGGGGGTTAGGAAGCGGCCTGTGCAACGTGAAGTTACGTTCTAACGTCTTTGCTTTTTCCCCCTCGTCTCGATCCAAACGATATTTCAGAATGATCGTGTCCACGTCGAGTTTCGATGCCAAGGGGTAGGTCAGCCACTTTCTTCCTCTTCTTCTTTTTCTCCCTCATCTCTCGTGTCCTCTCGTCGCCTCTCGTTGCCGCCGTTGTCCCTGTGTGTGTCTCCCACATCGTCGGCGCACTTCCTTCTTTGACAAGTGTCTCCGTTGAAGTCGTTGCGCTAACTCAGCCTTGAGGACTGCATCATCGATATCGGGTAGCAGTGTCCAGACTTGGAGCCGCTCTGTGGTGAGGCTGCAAAGGCCGTAAGTGGATGCCATAGGCAACTTCAAGACCGGATCCGACTGAATCACGTTTGATGGGATGTTGCCGCAAAACTGTTAAGAGGTGGTGTCGAGACTGTTCAAGATTAGAGCCGGGTACCTTACACGAAGAGCTCATCTAGTTCAAAAAAGCATCACAATATAATCCAGGTCTTCACGTCGACCGAGCCTAGACATCTAGCGCAATCAGCTTGAGCAACAAATCCATTGCAACGACTCGTCTCGTCCCGCTTTCCGCACCTTTGTACCGCTCTCTTAACAAAACTCTCACGCTCGATACGACCGTTATTGCGACCACACCCAACCCATCCTGAACATGTGCTACATCGTCTACACCATACACGTGTGCAACCACTGGATACCCCAGCCCCAGCCAAACAACGGCCCAATACTACGCATATGCGAAGAAGCAGAAAAGCTGCGACTTGGCCACCCCTGCCCAGAGACACAAAGAGAGCACAAAGTCATGAATCGAAGTCAAGGCATGTGTACAGGCTGCATGTGGAAGAAGGTCAGCAAGTAAAAGCAGACCATGGATCGATAAACGTTGGAAACAAAAGCGGAGACTTTGTGGGGGTTAGAAGACAAGGACAAAGAGCCGCGGTTGAAAAGAAAACGGGTGGCAGAAAGATGTGGGGATGAGAAAAGGGAAAAGAACAGGATTAATGGGTGGAGAAGGGCCGAATTCACCTTTCTTGCTGGTTGGTCAGCTCTGAGGGGAGGGCTAAGAGAGATGACGCTTCATTCTTGAGTTTGTGGGTGGGTGTGGGGGGCGCGACGTACGACAAGCACCGCCGAAGCAAGGCCGGAGTGAACACCCACCTTCCCAACAGGAACCGATTGCGAGGCTGTGAAAGTAAATACACGTGCATTAAGCTCCGATGCATGCACGATACGGCCCGGGTCTCGGACCGATCATGTCAGATTTGCCATTTCTCTGGAGAGCTTTCCTCCTGTCACGGCGTATGGGAGTTTTGGAATACAAATATACCCCTGGAGGTTGGTGTTGTCTGCGCTGGATTCTGGGGGAGTGGTTGGGTGCAATATGTTATAATGTCAGTAGTAAGGTATTCCCACTTTGTCCAATACACGACCATTGTCTGATGTCATGTCTCAAGCTCCAAATCTGCCTTGCACGCAAATCAATGCTCAAAGGGTCTCAGTATGTACGCTATTTAAATAGTCTTGGGTGCGGGTCAATTCCACCCGTCACTGCGATGTGCCTTCCAAGGGAGACCAAGACAAGCAAAGCCTTTTAAGCACTGACAGTTCGTTACGAATCTCGGAATCAAATCCAGATGAGTTCATCTTGGCCACAGACGCCGCGTGTTGCTAGGGCTTACTCGTGTCATGGAACGGGCGGCATGCGGAAGTAACCGGCAACCTGTTTCGTTCGGCACCATTTCTCCAGTGTTGGCGGTTGACCTCGGGATGTGGGGTATTGACTACTCTTTTCGCGGTTTGATACAGTCAGCACTAGGTAACTTGCTGTTTGTACTGCAAGGTTGCTGGAAGTAAGGAAATGAAACAGCATTGCACTTTCATGTACTAAGAACTTGAAGATTATGTATCCTACAATCTACTCTTACATCAGGTCATGCCCAATAATACGAGTCAAACTAGGCTACTGCTTCCATCTTCTGCAATTCAATATAGTCCTGTCTGAGGTGTTGCTATCGATCCCATGTTTTTACAGCCTTCGAACCGATCTCTGCGAAAACAGTGGAAGGTTTAGTTGTGGGACAGCTAGGAGTATAGGTGTAAGGATTGGTACCGGCATGTACTTACTGGGTAGTTCACACGTAGGCGCACCCCATGCAGGGAATAAATTAAACAGGTGTAGAAACCCCTTCTACTATGTTGTCTACAAGAACACTACGTAGGTAACATGGATATTCTATATAGCCATAGATAGCTTAGACATCTGCACCAATATAAGATATCTTATAGTTTTTATTATGCGTAGTTGTAGGGTGCAACGTCGTAGATATTTTTAGCACCTATTTAATTTCTTCCTTGTACAAGGTAGGCGTGTATCTTTAGAAGATATGGGTGGTACTATGGTTGTTGCTTGCCTGAAGCAGCTTTATCAATAACTCCAGAGGACACCAATCGAATCACGAATGATAATTTTCTGTTTATCCAGTATTTGTTATGATGAAGGGTTGCCTTCGGTTACTATCACGAGTATAAGAAGTAGTTAAATGAACGTGAAAATGTAAAGATCACCCAAGACCATACTTTTTGTGAAGCCAGTAACGCTATATCGTTCCCATTCGAGTCTGCGCAATGCCTTCCAATTCTGTGGAACCAGGCTAGACATTGTTGTAAACATTTGCTAGAGTGCGCCTGATACTGAAACACACACTGTCAATGCCGATATTATCCATATTGAAACATGGCAGAGAAGCAATATGTGCGCACGCGAGAAAGACAAAGAGTAGCTATACAACAGTACTGGGTGTCGCGTATGAACACGAACGCCGTCACAGAATTAGTGCTGGTTCATCAAGATTTCGGCATTTCCTGTGGTTTGTTTACGAACGACACAACATAGGACAGGTTTGACTTCGAAGGTGTTCTCGCTCCATTGCAAGGTTGTGATGCATTTCGATGCGGTGAAAGATGTGTGCCTGAATCGTGGTTGTTGAGTGTGACGTTCTTGCACTGAGAGGGAAAAAGAAATCCAACTTAAGTCGCGGATAGACCCCAAGTGAAGCTCGATCGTCAAATTGCGACGATGATGCCGATGCACCATCCGACTTTCGTACTGCCATCTAAAAAAATGTGCGATATACTCACGCGACACGAAAATAGAAACTGGAGTAAAAGAAACTCGAGGCGTAGAGCTTTGCATGTAAACTACATTTACCTCTACCTGCAGCATTGGTTCGGCACGAGAGTGACGATAGCCGTAGCGAAAAGCGCCGCATCAGCCACCACACCCTTGCTCCCACTTTTGCTTCTTTTGCTAAAGACGGCCTGCAGCCCGCATGATTGCTCATGCAGCCCGTTTCGACCTCGGGAATGTCATCCCGGAAGGAGGATGGATGTGGTCCCACTTTTCCCAGGGTTGCACCGAGAGGCCGCTCGGTCCCACACGACCCTGAGGCGAACATCTTCATGACAAGTTCATGGCGTACACGAACCAAGGTTTCCAGCCAGACACATTGCTGCGTTTTTGAGGTCGCGGTAATTCTCGACCGTAGAGCCTCCTTTGAAGCGAGTGGGGATTATGGGGGCCTGGCAGTATTGTAGAGGTTGCACAACGCATCATGCGCCCTCCTGTTTCTTTGAGCTTCATGTGGGCATGCAACTCTGTTGCTTCGACAATCTAGGGATCAAGTGGGGTGATAAGTGGGTATCGGAAAATGCTTGACCTTCCTGCACCAGCAGCGACTAGGGGCATGTCGGACAGAACAGCGAGTGCACAACTTGTCAGCTAACGGCGGTCACCAACCACTCATCTATGTCGCCCGGAATCCGTCGATCGGCTGCATTAGCTATATGCAGACTCACCCGGAAAGCATCGTAGAGGGGAAGATCGTAGCAATTCACGGATAGAGCCATGTTCCAGATGTTGTACTCTCCGGGGGGACGACATTTTGCCAGTCGTGTAATAGTACGTGACGGCGCGCAGCATGTAGGTGGGCGGAAGCACCAAGCGTCGTGCAACGTTCGGATGTATCTCACATTATGTGAGGGGCAACGGTAGGTAGGGGTGTGGGTGTGGATTACCGCTGGTATAGACGAGGGGTATTGGCTAAATACATAGCTTTACTCGCCAATGCGTGGAGGCGGTTTATTGATAGATAGTCCCTTGTGCTGGTGACTTCTGGATGGACAGGTCTGCTTGCAAGGCGGTTCATGGAGGACTAGCGATGTAGAGAAACCAGAAGCAATTACCGGGTGCCGCTCGTTAGGCAACTAAATGAACGTAGCAAAATCCCCGGGCTGCAACCGCCAGCTCAAGTGCCAAGACGAGGCTCACCCTTCGTTGTCCCACAAAACACGTTTCGAAAAGACAATAGTACGATGTGCGAAAGTCATGTCGCTGATGGCAGAATTGAAAGTATATATATCGACGGTCAACACACTGTCGGGTTCACGGGTCACGATGCGGGCGGACGGGCACGATGTAGATCTGAGCCTCGACCTGACAGACCGACGCGACGAAACGTTCTGCTGGTGCGTTTCGCATGCACCTCGCCGTTGCCGCTCAGGTTTGCCACGCCCAAGCACCGCGTGTGCAGAAAGCATCGAAGAAACTGACGGCAGCTGGGCAGTCACAGCAGGCAGACTCGTCTTCGTTTGGTGAAGGAGATAGATGGACCTTCCGCATTGGTAGGACAGCAGTCCCTTTAAAAACAGCCTCGCTTACCGGCACGGCTTTGATGACGCGCGCAGGCCAGCCCTGGATCCACAAGCTTGGAGTTTCACGTGGGTGCGGTTCTTGAGCCCAGATGCTAAGAGAGGGGCTTTGGTTAGCGGCGGCCCGATATCCTTTTCTCGGTCACGCTGCTCCGTGGACACCAACGACGGAAACGGTATCGACAGATGTGCTACGGGTACGGTGGGCTGCAGCAAGCCAAGAAACTTGGACGCAATCATGGCTCGACTCTGAGGCGGCAGATGCCAGCGGCTTGATCCTGCACCGAGGCGACGCAATCCCAGTTGCATGCTCATGCGCCAACTAATGATCGACTCTTGTCAGATTCAGGCTGCGGCAGGGGGTGGATTGGGTGACACGAGCCTTTTTGCCGAGGACGCGGGAGCGGAGGACAACTGCGTCACATTGCGATGCATGCCGAGAGCCGCTAAGCAGACGACGGAGGCTTCTCTGTTCTCATGTGGAGGGCTGGCTGATCGCCCGCCCCCGGTCTTTGGACGGCACTGTATGTGGGTGCACACCAACTGTGTCAGCACCATCGTAGTCGCTCGTGCCCCTTTTGCAGGCCCTATATCAGCCCATTCCTGACCAGTTTCCGAAATGAAAACCATGCCGTTTTAACTAGTGGGCTTCGCGAGCTGGAGAGTCGTAGGGCGACGATTGGGGTCCGAGTGGCTGACATGGTAATCTGGCGACGCCTCCCACAAAGCCCCACTACGCGAACAGCCAGTCTCCGGGAGAAGGAAACATGGCATTGACTTTGAGTGCCGCAACATGTTGGTCGCCTTGGATGCTTAGACACTCGATGGAAGGTTTGTGTGAATTATCGTGCATTATGGAAGTTGAAGCTAGTTCATGCTCGAACCATCCATGGATAGCTCAACGGCGACAAAGGCATATGCAACCATGCCCCATCAACTGGTTCAGGCAGATGGAAGTGGCGTTCTGCGCTGGCAGTATAACTATGGTTGTGGCTGTAGAAAATCGGCGAAACGAGATTGATCTGTCCTCTAGATGCGGCGCATATAGCGTAATAGCGGTAGCGTGTCATCCATCGGCTCCGCTGTTGGGTGAACCTGGGACGAACGGTACCAGATCCGCACAGAACAATCCGAAACATACCTCTCCATCCACCAGCATTTCCTTGGGGTGGAAGTGACGAACAAAAATGGTTCGCCTGTCACCTAGTACCAAGCTGATATAGCACAGTAAGGCGCCGGTGGAAGCATGGGTCGCGGCGGATAGCCAGCGCGTCGCGACGATGCTAGGCACGTAATTTACGGCCCACTAGCACAGAAGTGGGTCCTGTGTGTGGCTCGGGGCCGTGCACGCTAAGAAGCATATCCCTGCAACATCTGGTCCCCTTACCCACGTCTGATGGAAGGGACGTTGGAGCGCCCCTTCCATCTGTTGGTCTGCGGCTTCCTCATCTGTTTTCTCTTCCACGAGGCTGCATCTCACATCAGTCTTTCCTTCTCAACACACCCCGTGGCGAAGACCACAACATTGTTGCTCCTACCCAGCACTGTACATTCAGGTCGGGGTCCACACCATCCGTGTTCCTCTGCGCGCTGCTGTCATTCTTCGCGCCAACCTCTCCACGCCTCGACTCGCACCCGTCAGTACGCTTGCGAGACGCGCTCCCACGCCCGACTGTACGTATCCATCCTCCACCACAACCATCAAACTCCATCTCCTGACTTGTTCACATAGACAACCCGGCCACACATCAAGTTGCTCTCGTCTTGTCTTCCCCTCGACCAAACTATTCCGTCACTGTCGCGGCTTCAGTAGCGCAGACGTCGCATTGTAGCCAGACCAGTCGCAAGCAGCCGTCATGGCACAGCACCAGCAACCTTCGCCCACCACGGGCATGCCTCCACACCATATTGGACAGCATCCTGCGCACGCGCAGGTGAATGGACACCCGCCGCACGCGAACCAGCCCAAGACATCGTCGCAGTACTTGGGGCAATTGACCGAGGCTGTGTGGACTCAGATGGGTAAGCTTGTATTCATTGTATGTACGACGGGCCCAGACTAACACCCAACAGGCTCTCTTTCTGAGCAGATGCAAGACTATGACGGTGCTATGCAATGCTACGAGCAGGCCTTGAAGTTCAATCAGTGGTCTGTGCCAGCTATGCAAGGCATCGCATGCATCCTGCGCACCAAAGATGCCTTTCCAGCAGCCGTTGAATACTTGCGCACTATTCTCAAGGTCGATCAAGCCAATGGCGACGTCTGGGGTAGCCTCGGTAAGGACTTTGCGCGCATCATACTTGTACCATTTTACTCACAATACTAGGTCATTGCTACTTGATGATGGATGACTTGCAGCAGGCATACTCTGCCTACCAGCAAGCTCTGTATCATCTGTCTGACCCAAAGGAGCCTAAGCTTTGGTACGGCATCGGAATACTCTATGATCGCTACGGATCCCTCGAGCACGCCGAAGAGGCTTTCTCGCAGGTTATGCGCATGGAGCCTACATTTGAAAAGGCCAACGAGATTTACTTCCGCCTTGGCATAATCTACAAACAACAGCAGAAGTTCAACCAGAGTTTGGACTGCTTCAAGTACATTGTCACGAACCCTCCCCGCCCACTCACTGAGGAAGACATCTGGTTCCAGATCGGACATGTGTACGAACAGCAAAAAGAGGTTTGTCCCACCCACCTTCGTAAGTCTTCATCGCTGACATGACTTCTAGTTCGAAGCGGCAAAGGGCGCCTATCGCCGGGTCCTCGAGCGTGATGCCAACCATGCCAAGGTCCTACAGCAGCTGGGATGGCTACACCACCAGCAAAGCACCAACTACGCTAGTCAGGAGCAGGCCATTGAGTACCTGGAGAAGTCTGTTGCTTCCGGTAAGCATTGTGTTCCCATTTGATTACGCGCACGTGTGTCTAATCCATTGCTCTAGACCAAACAGATGCGCAGAGTTGGTACCTGCTGGGACGTTGTTACATGTCACAGCAGAAATATCCCAAAGCGTACGAGGCTTATCAGCAAGCTGTGTACCGTGACGGCAGGAACCCAACCTTTTGGTGCAGCATTGGTGTATTGTATTACCAGATCAACCAGTACCGCGACGCGTTGGACGCATACTCCCGTGCAATCCGCCTCAACCCCAACATCTCCGAAGTTTGGTACGATCTCGGCACACTGGTAAGTACTTCCATGCCCCTAGATTGAAACTTCTCACTAACAATGGCACAGTACGAGTCCTGCAATAACCAGACAGCGGATGCACTGGATGCATACCAGCGTGCGGCCGACCTCGATCCGTCCAACGTACACATCAAGGCTCGCCTACAACTTCTGCAAAATGGGCAAACGTCGGCGGGCGCCCCGAACCAGGGCAACGCTCCCATTCCACAGGACGTTCACCCTCAAGCCTACCAGCCTGCTTCTGTTCATGGCCCTACTGCTCCTCAATGGGGCGCACCTCAGCCTCAGCAACCTCCACAAGGCCCTGCTCCCCCAGCTTTGGCGCCTGGATGGGATCGCCCTCTGGCACAGATCCGTGATCCTGGTCTTCCACCCCAGCAGTTGAACCCATATGAGCAGCGTGAGGGCATTCGACCGCCTACACAACATGCACCTCAAAGACCTGTAAGCCCGAGACAGGAAGCACCCAGGTCGTACGCAGAGCCTCCCCGCCCTCCTACAAACGGTCCTGGTCCTCAGGGCCCCGCCGGTCCTCCACCTCCAGGGCCACCAGGACCAATGCGTCGCGGCATGTCTCCATCCCCGAAGACACACCATGCTGCTCCCAGCCCTTACCATCCTCAGCCGCCGCAACTTACGCCGCAAGCGGTTCACGCACAACCACAGCCACCTCTACACCAGCAACCGCCCCAGCCTAACCGTATTTCCAACCCTAATTACGGCCCCCACGCTGGCAGTGTCCCTCCTCCACCTCCTCCTCCACCTACTGGTCTCGGCGGCCCACCAACTCAAGCCCCGAGCCAGAGTACCGCGCCTCCCTATGGTGTTCGCCCTGCCAGCCCACCACCGGAAGTGCGCCCTATTGTCGAGAACCGGGCGGGATCTCCACGGAACGGCTACCAGGGACCATACCAGCACCATGCTGATCCTTCTGCTACTGGTGGTATTGCCAGCGGAGCTCCTCCGCCAGCTTCTGCCCAGACTGCTGCCGAGCAAGCAGCCCGTGAACGTGACGATAGGCCGCCGACTGCTCCGCCAGTTAAGCGACACCGCGAATGGGAAACTGAAAGCGAGCACATGAGTGCAAAGCCTCCTTCGAACGAAGAGAAGCGCCAGAAGATGGAAGAGCCTCACAGTCGTCGCCCAACTCCCCCGCACCGCATGTCGTCTCCCCAGGTGCCACGTCAGAGCCCTCAGGAGGGGCCTGATCCTCGCCGCTTCAACGATGGTTATCACCCATCTGAGGCTGCTCACCATCCGCCTTCGCTTCCGCCTATGGCAGCTGCGCGACCATTGTCGCGCATGTCGGAGACACCAAAGCAGGAGCGACCGGAGCATCACGAACCGGCTGCTCGACACATGGATGTGGATGAGAACTACGATGATGAGGGCGATGATGCGAAGCCCAATGCGCCCAAGTCTGAGCGCAGTAGCCCTCGCAATGCTTCCACCAACGGCGTTCCTCATGCTCCCACTCCAGCTGAGCAAAAGTCTTAGGAGGAATGGCTCAATATGTTCGTGTGGGTTCTATAGTTTTTGACAGGACTTTTCCTTGTTATTTTTTTGCGTTTCTTTACATGAGATTTGGGGAGTTGGGCATGTCTAGTTGGAGGGCAAAACATGGGAGACGTGGTAACGTCCTTCCGCATGGCGATGATACCCTGCGCGCCTTATACTGTCTCCGCTTTTGCGGGTGTTGTGTGTACTCCTTAATCACCTACGAGAATGAAAATGCAACCTGTTAGTTTAAACTGTGTCATGTTTGGCGCGTCGATGTGTTTGTTCGTCTCGACTGCTGCCTATTTGTAAGGCGTGTGGTGACTTAGGTCCTTGTGTACAGATGGTGGGGTCACGCACCTGCTCGTGGAAATGCCCGCAGTTAGCCGTTGCGTCATCGCACCGCGTAGCATCGCGAAACCATGGACAGGCTACTTCAACGTCTTTCTCGATATCTAGTACACACGACGAACCACGCAAACAAGACGAAAGTTCTTTCCGTTTTAAACAACGTCAAGCGAGCCACCGACGGTAAAAACCTCTCATCATCCCGCGCCAGTGTCCAACACCAACAACCCGCGCGTCGTACCCTCCACTCCAATATCTTGATCCCACGTTCCTTCCCCTCCACACGTGTTGGTTACAACGACTTTGATCGGCGATCCATCCTTCGCAACATGTCTTCCGACGCAGACTACGCTGCTTTTCTCGACAAAGCAAACCAAGATACAGGCTCAGCAGAGACGAAGGATGCGTCGCAGAAGAAGAGCTATGGTACTAAGAGCGTGAACACTGCCGTGCCAAAGGTACTGGAGCAGGTAGAAGAGTACTATATTAGCGACTCGGATGAGCCATTTGAACCCGTTGCGCTAGAGTTTGAGGGTGCGAGCGTGTCCGCCGGTAGGAATCCTGCAACTTTTACATGCACGGCAATGAAAGGCCTTGCGAACTGCGACACAAAGCTAACCTACACACACAGACGATCTCAAGAAACTTCTTGGAAGCGACAGCGTAGAGGAGGTCAAAGGCACAGGCTTCGAAAGCCAATACAAAAAGGTCATTGATGCGGTGAAGCAGGCAGGAAACGGTTCCGTCAAGGTCTTCCGGGTGGAGCTCGAGGGCACTAGGGCAGAGTACTACGTGGTTGCAGTGGACGACAAGGAAGGGAGGATCGTGGGCCTCAAAGCTCTTGCGGTAGAGTCGTAAGCTGCGTTGCATGGAGAAATGAGATGAACCATGATGCGCAAGCCGGATTATACACATGCCGATCTACATGGGACAAGCATTCCGCGATGCGCTTGGGTGATCATTGCGCGAATAATGCCGTTTGAAACATGTCGCTCGCTGGGATATGGTAAATATTTGACGCGGTCCTACTGCCACATGGTGGAGCGTGCAGGTTATGATGCGACGTCAGAAACTCAGGTCTGGTACAAGCTTTTTAATATCATCGTAGATCTGCTGTACAGTTGTCAAGGCTTGGGGCTTCAGTGCGACTTCTTTTCTCCAAACCCCCGTTCAATTAGTGTACATGTTTGGATAAGAAAACATGCATGGCCGCATAATGCCTGTGCTTGAAAGCACGCGGCAATGGTGATTCCGCGCGACAGGCACGAATCGCGCAGCGTAATGTGAACCGTTAGTAACAAGAACCGTCAGCATGATGGGTTCTACTTGTCTATTCAACTCAGCTCGCGCAGCCTACAGCCTCGTGTGCGTCGAGACCTCAGCCTTGCAATACTGTATCAAAAGACGTCTTAATTGGCTGCTCAAACTCACTAGTCCGCCCAATTCGGCTATGCCTCGGCCAGACGCTGCAAGGTTCCAGAACAGCGCGGTGTTGCTGCGCCTCCAAGCTTCATTTCGGGTGTACCCTATAGTGGCCCTTGGCGCCGGTCAACGAGGACCATCAGTCTCAACCATATTGCTGGCTAGCATATGTCAGGAAGCCGACGACAACAGTAGTGTAGATTTTGCATAAGATAGGGAACGAGTGAAATGCAGACGACCAAACGGTAGCAATGAAAGGGGATGGGCAAGTAGAGCATAGGCCGTTGGACGTTTTGGAGATCCGAGAAGAAGGATTTGGGAAGGATCAAAAAGGATGGTGTCAGATCGCCACGCTATCTTCGGCAACGATACGGTGGGCGAGAGAGTCAACACGAGATAAGTTGGTGAAATACTGCTCAACGGTCGTGAGCACGAGCGCAGTCGCATGTACATGTCTCCAAGTGCGGTAGCAAAAGCCGCTTGCGAGGTTGGGGATTGCGGGTTATTATATGTGGTCCGACGCGTAATGGTAGCTGCGATGATCTTAGGCTATGGATTGCGCTTGCAGACGCGAATGTATCTTGGAATGCTGTGTTGAGGAGAGGGATATGCAGAGCTAGATGATTCGTGCAGGAGGTTTCTATAGAAACGATCGCATGTACCGTGGCGGGGCTGCAGACAGCGGGTCGTAAAGGGCTGGGTAATGGTGTTGATAAGGAGTGGTGGCAGACAGACAGACAGGGCGACATCACGACAGTTCAAGGACGCATGACAGGTAATTTGAGTACTTTTTGACAGGCTCCACCATAGGAGAGAGACAGCAAAAGTGTTGAAACGGCAGTGGTAAATTTAGCAAGGCCCTCCCGCTGGTGTGCGTAAGCGGGCCTTTGAATCTTCGCCGCATGCAAGCGCCGTACCAGAGACGATTGGCCGCTCCTTAGTTGAGCTTCGAGATCTTCGCCCTCCCTGAAAGCCGTGTGGGCCCGACTCAGGAACAAAGCCCCAAGCTCTTCCACCACCCACAAGACTTGCCACCCTATGAACACAGCGCCATTCCTGCTTGCACCCGTCGCGCACCGCTTGTTGTTCCTTTCACTATTCACATCATCACTGCGCTTCGCTCTTTGTTGCATTGTTATTACAGCATCGCTGCCCATCGCATTCTAATCTGCGTCTTCAAATCGAGTCGTGCGTCATCGTTGATTCGTTCCTGCTGCTGTTGAAGAGCGCCTGCCCTGCCAAGTCCTTGATCCTGGGCGCCCCCGTTTGGGCCAGGAGCCATCGATTCACCTCCCTTTGAACCTCGACCTTCCCCATCTTCCCTCACGCCGCCCTCCTTCCTGCTCCTCGACATCTGCAGCGATAGCGATAGCGAGCAGTATCGCAATACGAGTCGAGGGTTCCCGTGCTTTTCCCCACGCCTACTGTATAGGTTACCACAACACTCGTTTTCATCTGTATACCGACTACGATCGACACTCTTGCCTTTGCTCTGCTATCTGAAGTAGCAGTTAGCCAACAACTACCGCCAATTCCTCACCGCATACGCTCGCTTGCACCATGATGCCGCAATCGCCGAGGGGAGACGGGCCTCCCCACCTCCGCCTCAACTCGGGCTCCCACGAGCCCACAACCGACGATAACTCGCCACCTGCCGTGCGACCGAGCACTGCACGAACCAACTCGGCACGCTCATTAACCCAGCAAACCCGCCCCGGTACCGCCCCAAGTCCTGGCATCCGATCGCCAGGAGCACCCCATATATATAGCGATGCAGCCATCGCAGAGTCTGCCGAGATGCTGCTCCCGCCCCAAAAGATGAGGACGCGCTCCTACCGAGACGAGTCGCCTATGCAATCACCCTCTGGCTTTTCTTCGCGGCGGACAAGTTGGAGTTCGGACATGACGGGAGGCCCGTTTGCTTCGCCTTTTGACGACTCGAGGGCGCCGTCGCGAGCTGGCAGCGAAGAGGACCTGAATACACAGACTGTGTCTGAAAAGTTCAACATTCACCCATCAGCCGGCCTGTTACTATTCCCGGAAGATGTGGAGAAGGACGATTACCTGCACAATCCCGACCCCAACGACAAGGACAAGAGGGACTGTGACATCTTCACCCGGAGAGGTATAGTCAATCTCGGAGGTCTGGCCATTCTCGCGCTCGGCCTTCTTATGCTTTTCATCGGTTATCCCATTCTGTAGGTTTTCGTGTCGCCCATTATACTCTATCTCACTAACACATCTCAGCACCTTCGTCCAGGACGTCACAACGCCAGAAAAGGGTCCTTGTACAGGTAACCCTCTCTGTATACAAGGTAAGCAGAACGAGCCACTACTTGCCAACATCCGGAGAGGTCTCATCGACCCGGACACGCCCAAGGACGTTATGACGCGAACATCATACAACGGCGAGAAGCAGGTCCTTGTCTTCTCAGACGAATTCAACACCGACGGTCGCACCTTCTACGATGGTGACGATCCATTTTTCCAAGCTGTGGATATCTGGTACGGTGCTACTATGGATTTGGAGGTAAGTTTTGATGCCCCGGCCCTGAAGTGGCCAGAGCTGACGTTTTGCAGTGGTACGATCCAGACCAAGCTTTCACCAAGGACGGTGTTCTCAACTTAAGATTCACCAAGGAGCCGAGCCACGGCCTCGATTACCGCTCCGGTATGATCCAGTCGTGGAACAAGCTCTGCTACAAGGGTGGACACTTGGAGGCTTCCATCTCACTACCCGGTCGTGGTAACACTAGTGGTTTCTGGCCTGGTTTCTGGACCATGGGCAACCTGGCTCGTCCTGGTTATTTGGCCTCGACCGAAGGTCTCTGGCCATACAGTTACCATGATGAGTGCGATATTGGTATCACACCGAACCAAAGTTCATATGACGGTCTGAGCTACTTGCCTGGTATGAAGTTGCCCGCTTGCACCTGCAAAGGCGAAGACCATCCTACCCCCGGTAAATCCCGAAGCGCTCCGGAAATCGATGCCCTTGAAGGTTCTGTCCATTTCCTCGGCCCCGGAGAGAGCAACGCTATTGGTGTGGTATCTCAGTCTTTCCAAGCAGCACCTTTTGACACATGGTACATGCCTGACTATGGTAAGCTCTCTGCTCCTGGCTTTTCTGGGTTAAACTAACATTTGGCAGAATACATGGAGCTCTATGATCCCTCGATTACCATGATGAACAGTTACAAGGGTGGACCTTTCCAGCAGGCTATTTCTGGCTTGACCAACCTGAACAACGACTGGTACGACGGCAAGCAGTATCAGACTTATTCGTTCGAATACAAGACCGGCGACGAAGGCTTTATTACATGGTACGTCGGAGAGGACAAAACCTGGACCATGAACGCTCAAGCGACACGTGCCAACGGTAATATTGGCACGCGAATCATCCCCGAGGAGCCCCTGTCTGTCATTGCCAACTTCGGAATGTCGAACAGTTTCGCCGCTATCAACATCGAGGATATCGAAGCACATGACCTTCCAGCTACCATGCGGATAGACTACATCCGCATTTACCAGCCAGAGGATAACCAGATGATAACATGCGATCCTGAAGGTTACGAAACCACGGAATACATCAGGACCCACCCCGAACCTTACGCAAACCCCAACCTCACCGACTGGTAAGTTGTCGCATCAAACCTGCCATAATGTATTACTAACAGGAATCAGGAAATCTACCAAGTACGATTGGCCAAAGAACTCCTTCATGGATGGTTGCAAGGAGTGAGTCTAGTTGACTCGCGGATTTCCACAGAGACTGCTGGCTTTCAGTTCTCTGTCACACACTCTCCCTTTATGTCGAGTCGACTACCTTAACGTGGCCATGGCAGACGACAATACCCCCTCAAGACTGGATTCTCTGATTGCAAAAAAGCACATAATTTTAGACCGTTTTTGTACCCTTCTTTCAACCTTTCTCAAAGGCATTTGCATGGAGCCTGGGGCGTTTTATCATCTCGGATTTTTTACATCTTTCGCCGCATCTTCTGAACGCAAGAACGGGTTTGGCCAAGCATTTTCCCTGCTTCCTCAGGACTGTGTAACCACCGCCACAAGGATATATACCCGCCTGTCGCTCGCTTCGACCATGTCCTCTGGATGTTCAGCGATACCCGATACCCTCTCGGCAGCTTCGTCGGCAAGAATTTTTTTTACACTTCTCACATAAACGGCGCGTCTTCTGTATATCAACGGCATTTGTTCCTTCTATGCATCGCCTGTACAAAGCATACTCGCAAGTTTTCAAGACCGCGTCTTTTTTTCTTCTGGGTTTCTGGTTGGAGTTGCTGGACGCTTCATTCCATCTCACCAAGGATTTTGTTTTCTTTCTTCTTGTTGTCTTTTCGTCTACTTGTAATGCATTGCTTGAATTTTTGGATACTTTGGAGCAATAAGGGACGGAACGGGATAACTGGGGATGATGCTGGATGAATGAGGAATAACTTTTTTTTGGTTCATGTTGATATATCCGGGCGTTGTAATGTTTAGCAGTGTGTAGAGAGGTGTAGATGAGATGGTGGGGGAGGAGGAAGAAGGAGATGATTAGTGTTGTTGAAGATGGGAGAGAGGAGAAAACATACCCCCTGATGTGTAGTTGTGGGAAGTAAGAAGTCTGTTCAATCAAGTTTGACAAACTAGGCTTCCTAGCATGTGTTGAAGTGAAGCTTTTCTTAGCAAGTCTGATCCTTTCTCTTTCCACGAGAGTACAACAGTGGACACGTTGTTCTTCGTTACAAACGTCAACATCCAATAAATAGCATCTATCAAACAGCAAATCGAAGGGAAGGGAAAAAAGAGCGACTCGGGTCTTTCACAAGATGCAGGTCCGGAAGATTAGGCCTTAATCATGTAACCCCCCTTGAGATGCTCCCAAGAACGTTCTCCATAGTAAATAAATACCTCCAACCTTATAAGGGCGGGGATTGGTGATATGGGTTCTAGGAGGCCGTTGAGGATAACGCGGGGCTTTGAAATCAAGAAGTATGTGTGTGTGTATAAATACTCGTCGCTTGGGTAGTTTGTGGTGGTGTGTGTATGTGTGCAGTGCTCAGATTGATTGAAGCGAACTTGATCAATCAAAACAGCAACAGCCGTGCGCCACATATCAAATCTGTGGTAGCAATCTCTATCATGTAAGACCCATTGTTTGGATTTATTTGAGAGCAACAGACCACCATTCGCTGCCAGCTCCTATCAATCAAAACAATTGTTCTCAGATTCCCATTCCACGAGTTCCTTCACTGAGTAAAGCTACATCCAAACAAGATATACAGTTTTGAACATGCGCTTTGTAATTGGATATATCTACAAGTTTCACCTCAAAGAAGCCTGTCTAATACAATGAACTACGCCAATAGTCCCTTTATTCTCCCTTCCCAAAGAAACTATGATGCTGCCCCCCCACTCATTTCCTCCCCCAGCTTCAGAAACACCACCGGAGGATTTCTATAGAATCGTAGAACACCTAGTATGGAATTCCATCGTACTCCCCATACCCAAGAGCCAAGTTCATGTTCTGCAAGCATTGGGTAGCAGCGCCCTTGAGCAGGTTATCGATAGTAGCATTGACGACAACGCGCTTGCCTGAGCTGTGGACGGCGAAACCGCCGATTTCGACGCCATGCTTGCCGGAAATGTTCTTGACGAGGGGGGACTCGCCGACAATCTTGACTAGCTTCTCACCAGCGTAGCGGTCCTGGTAGAGGTTGCGGATGTCGCGGGAGGTCATTGTGCGGTTGAGTGGAATGGAGATTGTGTGCTGTTTAGGACGTCAGTAACATGGAAATCATACCAAGAAAAAAAAGGGGGCGGGCAAGCTTACGTGAATACCCTGGAACCAAACAGCGACATGAGGAATAAACGCAACCTCGGTGCCCAGCTGCCGCGAAATCTCCTTCTCGTGAATGTGGTCCGTCAAGCTGTAGGGAATAAGGTTGTTTTCAAGGTTCTTCACATCATTCTTTGGGCTGGGCTTTGTGCCTGCTCCGGAATAACCTGAGACACCAAAGACAGTGGGCTGACCGCCGATGAACTCAAGCAGAGGCGCAATGCCGAGTTGAGCAGCGGTGGCGTAGCAACCAGGGTTTGCAATGCGCGTAGCATCAGAGATCTTTGCACGGTCAATAGTCTCCGGTAGGCCGTAAGTCCATGTCTCATCAAAGCGGTAGTCGGCACTCAGATCTACGATAAGAGTGTCTTTGCCGCTCTCGTTGATGGCATCGACGAAAGGCTTGCACACGCCGTTGGGGAGGGCCATGACCCAGCAGTCGACCTCGCTGTTCTCGGCCATCTTCTTGACATCCTCAGCTGACAGGTTCTCGTAGGTGATCTGTCGCTTGGTGTAACCTTCAAGCTTCTTGCCAGCAAGTTCACGCGATGATACATGTCGCAGGTCCATGTTGGGGTGCTTGTTAAGCAGCTCTATCAGAGCCTGCCCGGTGTAGCCTCGTGCACCAATCAGTGCAACCTTGGCAGGATAGTCCCTATGCTTGTGCTTGATACCGTATGGCGGGTTAGGGTTAGTCGTGTCCATTGAGCGTGAAGCCGTGGTAGCGAAGCCCCGCGACGACGCAGGAAGGATCCTGTTCTGTCTAAGTTGAGGTCTTGCAGACTGACCAGCGATGGTCGCGTAGCCGCGCGTCTGCTGGCCCTGCTTCAAGCTGGCCACAAAGTCGGCAGCCCTTCGGAACTGAGCATCCAAGCTGTCCTTCAACATGCTGCGGCCCTGCTTCTGGTAGTTCTCAAGCAGCCCGAAGATCTCCGAAGACTCGGCCGCGCCCCACCAGCAGAAGACTTCCTTCTCGCGGCGGAGGAAGCCATCTGTCTTCTCCAGATGCCATTTGACGTAGTTTTGCGATTGGTCATCTACAATCCAGTACATCTTAGGGTACTTTTGCTTCATGCGCTGGAAGACCAGGTCGTTCAGGTTGTTCAGGAAAGCGTCTTTGGTCATGCTGAAATGCGAGAGCTGCGCAAACTCACCCTCGGCAGTCGGTGGGTAAACGACGGCAACAACGCCCATGGAATCGTCGTGAAATACCTCAAATGGTCTGTTCTTTAGGTTCTGAATGTATTTGTTGACGGCATCGCTGGCTTCGACTGCCCGGCTCTTCATGATAGCCTGTGACAAAGCAGAGACATCCAAATCCTCAAACTTGCTGGTCTCCTTGACGCTGCCACCGTTGCGGATAAGAGTACCACTTCCGGTGTGGGTGAACAGTTCCTTTCCAAGATTCGAGGGATGTGTGATGGCTACACTCGACGTGCGTGGGAGACCATCCAGGAGCTTCTTCGCCTCTACAATCTTGAGCTTTGTGCCGTACCTAACCCAGGATTGCTTCATGTAGGTGTCGTACTCGCCCTCCAAGTTGATATGGGGGATGAGCTTGGACTCGGCATTGAAAAGTCCTCCCTTCTCCGAAAGGTAGATGACCTTGAGAGGCTGGAACTCGCGCGCCAGAGCAGCTGCAGCTACATCGGCGTTGATGTTGAGAATCTGGCCATCCAGCGTCTCACCCATAGAGCAAAGAATAGGGAGTTCCTTGTTCTCCAGAGCATCCATGATCTGCCTCTTGTTGACGTTTGTAATGTTGCCAACGTACTTCCACTTCTCCTTGTCCAGGTAGTCGGCCTGCAGGGCACCAGCGGTGATGGGCCGGGCGGGCACGCCCCAGTCCCTCTTCAGTGTCATGACCAGGTCCATGTTTGCCTCCAAGAACAGCTTGCGTGCAATGCCCAGCGTCTTCTTGTCCGTAACGCGAATGCCGTCAATGAAGTCGGGCTCGACACCCGAGTCGAGGAGCAGCTGGTTCATCTGCGGGCCGGCGCCGTGGACGATGATGGGGTACAGGCCGATAGCGTGGAGCTGCTGAAGGGCAAAACATAGCTCCTCGAGATGGTCGGTGAGAATGGCCCCTCCGACTTTTACTACGGCGAACTGGTGCGGCGAGACAGAGCGGAACTGGCCAAGGTACTGGTCGACTTCGCGGCGGGAGCTGGAGCTGGCCAGCAGGTTGAGGAAGGCGGCGTAGATGGACGAGTTCCTGCCATCCTTGGATGTTGTGTACAGGCGACTCGGGGTGGTGCTAGCCACGAGGGCTCGAGGGAGGGCTCGCGGAGTTTGCGATGCGAGGACGCGGTGCGACGATCGTGCAGCCACACGGCCAGCTCGTACAATGCTCTGCATGGTGACTGTCGCTCCCAAGAAGCAATTGCTACTCGGGCCCTGGGCGACTTTGATCCAACGCGAATTGATACGGTGACTAAACTGTGGAGCCGTGAGGAGACCTGCGAGGGCCGTGAGCGTCTTAAGGTATGACGCGGAAGCAACAAAATTCGCTACGCCGTTATCGCAGCTTCCCCAGACGACAGGGTAACCATCCTAGCGCCACCGGAGATGGCCACTTCTCTATGGAGAATAGCAAGCTGCAGATCAGACTTTTCAGTTCTCAATCATGCATGCCATGCCTCTGCTACTGCGCGGATTGGGGCTGCCGTTGAGTCAAATTTTCAGTCACGATTCACAAACGGGCCTTTCCGAGGTTAATCGTTCCACTACACCGCGTACCGACAAGTCCTGTCGACACTAGCATCCTATGAGGACCCGGTATCAATGCAGTAGTTGCTGCAGTTACTCCACATGAGAGAAAGATCTGATAAGACAATTCAGATAGGGCACAAAACAACCAAATGGGGCATAACACGATCAAATCAGACATAAAACGATCAAGTGAGATAGAAAACAGTCAAAGGAGGCATAAGTACAATTCGACTATAGACATGCAAGACAGCAACCCACAATGTATAACTCCGTTTGCTCGTCTGACGACCATGCTTGGAACTGGGCTCTCGTGGTATATCGTAACGGGGGCGGAGCATTCCATGCAAATGGGCTTTCCATGATTGCAGCACGACCGTCTGAATGCAAAGAAACACAAGAACGATCCTACAGTGACCCATGTCATTGATCATAGTGCAACTCGTAACCATTCGTCCCCTTCCCCAATGGCTTGGCAACCTCCCCCATCCGCGCAATTATTAATGTGTATGATTCGTGGTATCTCGTGTGGGTGGTTTACTTCTTTTGCGTAGCAACGACTGCGCGAGTTAGTGACGATCAACAAAGAACCACCTGTCAGGAACACCTACCAGAAGGGACAATAATGACGATGAGCAGGATGATGATGCCAACAATGAGGCACATGCGCATCTTCATATCCTTCCACCACATCTGCTTGCGCACGCGGTTGGCGCCCCTTCGGAAGCCCTGGGCGGATACGGCAAGGTTGTCCGTCTTGTCCTGTAGCGAGTCCAGACGGGCTCCTCGTTCCGAGACCTTGTTGATGTTGTCCCGCATGATGCCAACGGTGCTGTCGATTTCCTGGTGTGCGAGTCAGTACATGAAGTCACACACGTCTTCCACCTTTTATAGCTCCAACTTGCGCACCCGTCTCCATGCCCATATGCGCGCGAAGTGAGTCGAGGTGCAGAACGAGAGTCAGAGGCAATCTAGGCGCTATCGCGTCACTGAAGCAAGCTCTCCGCCAGCCATCGTAGCCCGACCGCAGCGGCCTAGCAAAGATGCGACAAACGACGTAGCGCTCGACTCTAACACAGAAGAAAAGTAACAACGTACCGCTTGAAGCGCAGCTGTGCGATGGTTGCCATTCTGGCCCTGGCCGCCCTGCTGGCCGCCGGCGCCGCCGCTGGGGATGTAGGGATCATATGGGGGCTCTTCGCGGCTCGACATAGTTGGAGATGGGATGTGCTGGATAATCCGAGTAGCGTGCGACTTGCGTAGGCTTCAAAAGGTGGTGGTGATGTATAGGTGTGGGTGGTGAGGGTGGTGTCTGGAGGATGGAGATGATGGTGTGGTTGCCCAGAGCAAGACCAAGAGTCCGCTCAGCCCGGATGGCGAACGAGCGCGCAATGTGTCAGCTCCGTTTGAGCAGCGAGGCTGATGTCTGCGTGAAACCTGGCGCAACAACACGGAATTTTAATCTGTGAATGGGAATATGTCTCAGCAATTTTAATTCTTGTTGATCGAGTCTAATAGCAACGTCAGTGTATCAACGGTTGTGACGGCATTCTATTCCAGCTGATGCGACACTGCCGTGGCTGCTCCTGGCCCCATCTGGGCAGCTAGCACAGCCACATACACCACGTGATGTGATGAACACCAGCCTCACGATTACGAATGTATTGTCGACAAACAGCAGGTGCTACACAACCCGTCATCGATCCGTCTGCACAGCGGCTCGCATAGATAACAGCAGGTGTTCCGCCAGCTTCCAAGTCATCGTCTTTGAAAGTAGAGACGGGTGGCCTTTTTGCCTCAGCCTCGCTATTACGAGGCCAATCTTACTGACTACCAGTATTCCGCAGCTGGCGTGGCAACACGGCAGTACGTCCGTTACGACATGAAGAGAGACGGTCCGGCTTTTAACAAGATATCCATTGCACTAGATGTAGTGTGAGCGCCTCGAACAAAGCTTCGTCATCGCCGTCGTCGCCCGGCTCGACGCCCGCATAGCTTCTTTCTCGCGCCACGAGCAAAACTGACGGGCGTCTTGGTTGACGAGACACTTTATGCAACAGAAGAATGGTGCATTGTCGTCGATAGATTGTACCTGTATCGCTAGCCTATCAATAACAACCCCCAGGCTCCAAGTAGGCCAGGCGCCGTCTGCACCTGGCAAGTGGGTCTGATCGCCGCCAAGACGCGTGTCCAATGTCTTGAATCTCGGTGTCTGCTACCCATTCGCCGCTCAGGAGTTCGTGCAACGCTTGCTCCACTGCCACCAGTTTCCTGTGTCTGTTTCCAGTTTCTTTTCTCTTTGAACACACTCGCTGAATCGCCTCTTAATCGCCATTCACCTCCAGTTCACCGCCGACCATCGTGTCCTGCGCCGCCCCCTGAAACCCGTCACTCGTTCCATATCCTACGTCAATCAATCCGACACTCCTTACTATACCCCCACATTTGAGCCAAGACAATTCGCTGGCCTGAAAGCTTGATCGCTCCAACACTACTCCCTTTCGCGACGCTGTGCAGTGTCTCCAAGCCTGGCGCTGGACCCCGGCTGCAACCGCTAACAGCCGACCTATTCTGGCTCCCGAGTTTACAACATGAAGCTCACCGCTGCCCTCGGCGCTCTTGGCGCCTCGAATCTACTCTTTACAAGTGTAGGCGCAATTGATCTGGACATCAACTCGCCAGGTGGGACTTCCTAGAGTCAGACACACATGAGCACAAGTATTGACATCCACAGACTCAATCAAGCAGGGCGCCAAGGCACTGTCCGCAAACTTGCGATCGTACTATACCGGCGACAATGTAGGCGATACACCAGGCAATCTTCCAGACCCATACTACTGGTGGGAATGTGGTGCCATGTTCAATGCTCTCATTGATTATTGGTATTACACTGGTGATGATCAATACAACAAAATCACCACACAAGCCCTAGAGGCCCAGATGGGAGCGAACAAAGCTTTCATGCCTGACAACCAGACCAAGACGCTCGGAAACGATGACCAAGCTTTCTGGGGAATGGCCGCCATGACCGCTGCAGAGAACAAGTTCCCTGATCTTCCTGACGGCCAGCCTTCTTGGCTGTCTCTTGCACAGGCCGTATTCAATACTCAATACAAACGCTGGGACATGACAACTTGTGGTGGAGGATTGAGATGGCAGATTTTCAGCTTCAACAACGGATACAACTACAAGAACACCATTTCCAACGGTTGCTTCTTCAACATTGCCTCACGACTCTATAAATACCTTGGTAACGACACATACGCCGACTGGGCTGAGAAGGCTTGGGAGTGGGAGCTCTCCGTAGGACTCATGAGCCAGGACTACCATTACTACGATGGAACCGACGACACACAGAACTGTTCCAACGTCAATCACATCCAGTGGACTTACAATGCTGGTATCCACATGGCTGGTGCTGCTGCCATGTGGAACGTGACACAAAACGACAAGTGGAAGACCAGGGTCCAAGGTATCATCGATGGAGTGGACGTTTTCTTCAAGGACAAGGTCATGTCAGAGGTCGCCTGTGAGAACAATGGCAAGTGTGATGTGGACCAGCGCTCCTTCAAGGCTTACCTTTCACGTTCCATGGCATACACAGCCAGCATCGCACCCTGGACCCGCGATCAGATCGACCCGTATCTCCAGGCATCGGCTCAGGCTGCCGCGAAGCAGTGCAACGGAGGTGCTAACCAGACTTCGTGCGGGCTCAAATGGACCACGAACGGTGTCAACGATGGCAGTTTCGGTGTCGGCGAACAGATGGCGGCTTTGGAAGTCGTACAGTCGTTGCTTTACCCATCGGTCAGCGGCCCCGCGACGGTAGAGAAGGGCGGTATCTCTAAAAGCGATCCCGACGCCGGTAACGATGCAACCGATGCACCCATCAAGTTCGATACCGTCACTACTGGCGACAAGGCTGGTGCTAGTATCCTGACCATCTTCGTGCTGGTATCTATCCTTGTGGGCGCTTGGTGGATGGTGTCGTAAACTTTATACCCGTCTTCATTTTGTATATCAAGGACTTGGCATCTTTGCTCTTGGGACTGTACCTGATTTTCTGGCTGTTCTTCGTTGTCATATTCCTTGGAGGCGTTTTCAGGTATGCGGGTGTGATTAGGTCATGTAGCCAATCTTGGACATAATTTGCAAAATACCATGTTCTCAACTATAGTCTCCGCGATAAGATATATCAGGCTCGAGCACGATCTAGAAGAAGTTTGGAACGCACTCATTTTGTCTCAGTGAGAGAGAGAAGCTTTGAACAAAGCAGCCACGGCTCGGCTAATACCACGCTAGTGTGGCCTGTGCGTACGAAAGCTGCGCTCGACTCCTCTTTCGTTCGTCGCCGCGACAGAGATCTCTCCACACACGACATACAACAGCCGCGCATTCAACTCAACTGCGGTTCGCTCCCTCTCTTGTCGCCCATCAACATTGCTGCTCCCATCCATACTTGACACTAACTACCTGGCCACGCGCACTCGCCATGGCCGCTCCTCCTGATCTGAACGCCATTCTGGCGGCGCTTGGTATGTCGCGCAGACTTTTACCAACCTCGCGACGTTTTGACTAACTTTTCTTCCTAGCTGCCGGACGCCCTTCGACTACCCCCTCTCAGACGCCCCAGCAGCCCCCACAGGCGCAACACCCCCCTCCCCAAGCCCTCCCTCCAGGCTTCCCAGGCGCAATGCCTACTGTCACTCCGCCCGCCATGCCTGGATACAATTTCCCCCCACCTACCCACACTGGCAGTCTTGATCTTAGCGCCATCAAGCCCGTAAGCTCTGGCTCAGTCAGCATTCAGGATGCGCTGGCAAAGGCACGCGGCTTTGCGGCTCAAAAGGGCCTTGCACACGAACAAGCGCGCCCAGGTATTGCTGAGCCTTGGTCTGGTTATGGTGTCCCAGCGCAAACTTACACAGCTCCAGCTTATCAAGAAGATCCGCGACTAAGCGGCCGCCAGCCTTACCGACGTTCTCGGTCGCGTTCGCGATCTCCAGCGCGCCGAGAACCCGTGCGTGAAAGCTACAACCCATACCGCGATGAGCGCCGTGATGAACGTCGGGGTGCCTATGGACGTGAACGTGATCGCTCTCCTCCTAGGCGTGACACCTTCTCTCCTTCGCAGCAGTACGGGCAAGCACGTTCGCCCCCTGCTAATGACAACTCTGAGGTGATTCTCATTGACTCTTCTTTGGTTGGCCTTGTCATTGGGCGTCAAGGTGAGAGTCTCCGCCGCATTGAACAAGAATCACAGACGCGCATTCAATTCATCAACGGCCCCGAGTCTGGCCCTCAACGCGAGTGTCGTATAACCGGTAGCCCCAGTGCTCGTATCAGTGCTAAACGCGAGATCAACCGTATCATCGAAGAAAATGGCGGCAACCCTGCTCGTGAGACTGGCCGCAATGCACGAGCTGCTGCTACTAAGATGGTTGGTCAGCAACAGCCTGCCCTTCGCGAGGGTGAACAATCGTCGCAAATTATGGTGCCTGATCGTACTGTTGGTCTCATCATCGGTCGTGGTGGTGAGACTATCCGTGATCTGCAAGAGCGCAGTGGCTGCCACGTCAACATTGTTGGTGAAAACAAGAGCGTGAATGGTCTGCGACCAGTGAACCTCATCGGTAGTCCCACTGCTGCTGCCCATGCCAAGGAGCTCATCATGGAGATTGTCGACAGTGACACTAAGCAAATGGAAGGCGGAGGCGCCGCCCAACCGGCACCGCAACAACAATTCAACAACAGGCGTGACAACTTCGATCCCTACGGTGGAGGTGCTGCTGGGGGCGCCGGAGCTGGCAAGATCAACGATAGCATCCACGTTCCTTCTGATGCTGTTGGCATGATTATTGGCAAAGGTAATACTGCATTGGACATGTTGTGGTTGACTTATTAACAATTCATAGGCGGCGAAACCATCAAATCGATGCAGTCAGAGACTGGCTGCAAGATCAACGTTTCGCAAGCTTCTGGCGCCGATATCGAGCGCGAGATTGGCCTTGTCGGAACCCGTCAAGCCATTGATGATGCCAAGCGAGCTATTTGGGAGAAGGTTGATCAAGTGGTAAGTTTGTTTGCTGTAGGAGAGTTTTGCAGGGTACTAATACGAAGCAGCGAGAGAAGAACAACTCACGACGACGTGACAACGGAAACCAGGACAACGGATACTCACATCAGCAGACACCTTCGTACGGACAATCTGCTCCGCCCACGCAGCAGCCTCAGGCGGCAGCACCCGCTGCCGCTGCTGCTGGTGCTGCTGGCGCTGCTGACCCATACGCTGTATATGGCGGCTACCAGAACTACCTTGCAATGTGGTATGCGTCCATCGCTCAGCAACAACAGGGTGGTCAAGGAGCCCAAGGACCTCCAGGCGCATAAGTGCCACTTAGTTGCCGTGACCGATGCACATCTTGCTGAACTTCGCCGAATGCTGCCTGTTTGCATGACCGATGCTTGGAACTTTGCTGCGCCTGGCATGATTTACCCGATGACCTGGACTATCTTCGATTTCTTCTTGACTTGCGCGTAGCCGGACTCGCCTTGTTGCATGATATCTATGCACTGAGTGCTCCTCTGTCAAGAGCTTCTTCTTCTTCTTCAGCCCGGCTTACAACGGCATGGCCTTTGGCTTATTTACGGCCCAACATCGTCGTCGCTGCAACCTGCGTTGTGTGAGCTGATCATTGCTTCATCTATGCTCTTTGATGGATGACTTTTGCAAGCCCTCAAATCTGCGCACAAGTCGACCGCCGTGTTCACTTTCCGCCTGCTACATCTTGATCGACGGTATATCATCTGGTCTACTCGAGCTATCAGGCAAAGTTGACGTCTGCGTTTGCATGTCTACCATGGTTCCTGCAATTGGTACAGACCTCATTGTGGACAGTGTCTTCGACTTGCGGACTTCTTATCACCAAAAGCGTTCATTGTCTTCATGCATATATTTTCGCGTACGCCAGCCTGGGCTCAATTGGCATCTGCAGATCGTGGAAGAGGGCGTGCACCTACCTCTGTTAGGCATTGAGGTCGGTTCAAACAGTCACGTTTATAAACGTTGGACTTGTTCAATCATCGTTTGTATAGTAGTTTCTCCAAACACAGCTCTTGTACGCAGTGGCTCTCAACAAAATTAATTTCATCGCACTTGCTTTCCCGCTGTGACGCTGCAGGTGACATGCCAAGTGGTAATCACAATTGACACAACGCATCTGCGCGAACTATTCGGCAACCTCCTTCTCTTTCAGAGTAGCGGACTTCGCCATACTAGGCGGAGCGAGTTGGCGGCTCACGTGCCTATCGCGTCGTCGCGGGGTGGGGCTATGGAGGGGCAAGAACGCGACTACGGCCATCGGCGAGCTCCTGCACGCGGAGCGTCTGCACCTAGACCGTGTGCGAAGATAAGACACAAACAAGTCGACGCTGATTCGTCCAAGTACTTCATTCCACGACTAACTCATGTAATAGATGTGCTCCATGCCGCGGTACACACGCTTGTCATATCTAGCTTGCTTTTTCCCCACAAGCATGTCGGACGGACAGGACCCTGAACAGCTTAGACGGACAAGCTTGTGATACATCCTAGCTTTGTGACATTTGTCTTCCCTTCATCTTCTCTCTCTATCTCTCTCGGTCTTTTCCATTCCCTCTGGCGTGTCGACACTGCTAGGTTCTGGTCTATTCGTCTTAACCCCAGCAGCAGCGTGTGGCAAATATGGCGCCTGGTCTCATTTCCCCACAACCGGCTGTGTCGAGCGCTGTGACTAAGTCGCTGAACGAAGTCACGGCGGATTACGATGATACCCTCAGATTCTATCTGAATGGCACAAAGGTGCTGTTGGATACTGTGGATCCCGAGGTTACACTGCTGGAATATTTGAGGGGGATTGGGTTGACGGGCACCAAGTTAGGGTGTGCGGAGGGAGGGTGCGGTGCTTGTACTGTGGTATGTTCGCCACCGAATCCAGAACTGCAAGATAGTGCACTTCGGAGATAGTACAGATCATTACAGATCTTGAGGATGGAGACTGACAACTTGCTAGGTTGTATCGCAATTCAATCCTACAACGAACAAGATATACCACGCCTCCGTGAACGCATGCCTCGCACCCCTCGTCAGTGTAGATGGCAAACACGTCATAACTGTTGAAGGAATCGGTAACGTAAAGCGACCACATCCAGCACAGGAAAGAATAGCAAAGGGCAACGGCAGCCAATGCGGGTTCTGCACACCGGGCATTGTCATGTCTCTGTATGCTCTCCTTCGCAACAATGTTGGACCATCCGAGCTCGAGGTTGAGGAGGCCTTTGATGGCAACCTCTGTCGGTGTACTGGATACAGGCCGATATTAGACGCAGCGCAGAGCTTCAGCGTGAAATCAGGCTGCGCAAAAGCAAAGGCCAATGGCGGAGGAGGATGCTGTATGGACAAGGACGGTGCGAATGGCGGAGGTTGCGGTAAGAGCCTCGACGAGGACCAACCGATCAAGCGATTCACACCACCCGGTTTCATCGAGTACAAACCAGACACAGAGTTAATCTTTCCTCCACAACTACGGAAACACGAGTTCAAGCCGTTAGCGTTTGGCAACAAGAAAAAGAGGTGGTTCAGGCCAACAACTTTGCAGCAATTACTGGAGATCAAGGATGCATATCCCTCAGCGAAGCTCATTGGTGGCTCTACTGAGACACAAATCGAGATCAAGTTCAAAGGTATGAACTACAACGCCTCAGTGTTCGTCGGAGACATTGCGGAACTACGGCAATTCAAGCTCCACGACGATCATCTCGAGATTGGTGGAAACGTTGTTCTCACGGACCTGGAGGAGATTTGTAAAGAGGCTCTTGAACATTACGGATCGGTACGAGGTCAGCCATTTGCAACTATCCTGAAGCAAATACGATATTTCGCGGGACGACAGATTAGAAACGTAGGTACACCAGCTGGTAACCTTGCAACCGCAAGTCCTATCTCGGATCTGAATCCTGTGTTTGTTGCTACGAACGCGACGCTCATAGCGAAGAGCCTCAAGGAGACGACAGAGATTCCCATGTCAACATTCTTCAAGGGATACAGGCAGACTGCGCTGCCTCCAGACGCCATCATCGCCGGTTTAAAGATCCCCGTTGCGAAAGAGAAGGGCGAGTACATCCGCGCGTACAAACAGGCAAAGAGAAAAGATGATGATATTGCGATCGTGAACGCTGCTTTGAGGATATCACTGGATGATCAGCATACGGTCGAAAGTGTGGATCTCGTTTATGGTGGCATGGCACCCACGACGATACACGCGCGGAAAGCAATGGAGTTCCTCCAAGGAAAGAAGCTGTCCGAGAAATCGACACTGGAGGGCGTCATGGACAAGCTCGAAGAAGACTTCGATTTGCGCTTTGGCGTCCCAGGTGGTATGGCGACATACAGGAAGTCACTCGCGCTCGGCTTCTTCTACAAGTTCTACCATGAAATCCTGGCTGAACTGCACGCTGAAGAAGTCGAGGTTGACGCACAAGCAATCGGCGAGATTGAAAGAGACATCAGCAAGGGCAAAAAGGACGACAAGGCTGCCGAGGCTTACATCCAGAACGAAGTCGGGCAGTCGAAGAGCCATGTCGCGGCTATGCAGCAGTGTACTGGAGAAGCGCAATATACGGACGATATACCCCTACAGCGAAACGAGTTATATGGTTGCTTGGTACTCTCGACAAAGGCGCATGCCAAGTTACTCTCGGTCGATGCTGAACCAGCACTGGACCTTCCTGGTGTTGTTGCGTACGTCGATCACAATGATTTGGCATCTCCAGAAGCGAACTGGTGGGGTGCGCCGTCGTGCGATGAGACATTCTTCGCTCTCGATGAAGTCTTCACCGCGGGTCAACCGATCGGTATGGTTCTGGCGGATACAGCAAAACATGCAGAGCAAGCTGCGCGAGCCGTCAAGATTGAATACGAAGAGCTTCCAGCCATATTCACGATTGAAGAGGCCATTGAGCAGGATAGCTACTTCAATCATTTCCGTTACATCCAGAAGGGTGATACTGAAAAGGCATTCGCAGAAGCTGATCACGTCTTCACTGGTATTGCACGCATGGGTGGCCAAGAGCACTTCTACCTGGAGACTCAGGCATGTCTAGCGGTTCCAAAACCTGAGAACGGTGAGATGGAGATCTTTAGTAGTACACAGAATCCAGCAGAGACGCAAGCGTATGTTTCCAAGGTCGTCGGTGTCGCCGCCAACAAGATTGTCACCCGCGTCAAGCGCATGGGTGGTGGTTTTGGTGGTAAGGAGACACGCTCAGTTCAGCTTGCCGGTATTGTGGCCTGTGCAGCGAACAAGGTTCGTCGACCTGTACGCTGCATGTTGAATCGGGACGAAGATATCATGACATCTGGACAACGGCATCCCTTCCTCGCTCGCTGGAAGGTTGCCGTCAATAAGGACGGTAAGCTGCAAGCCCTTGATGCAGATGTCTTCTGCAACGGCGGTTGGAGTCAAGATCTTTCTGGTGCAGTCGTCGAGCGGTCTCTCTCCCACATTGACAACTGTTACTCAATACCCAACATCCATGTCCGCGGGCGTGTTGCGAAAACAAACACTGTCTCCAACACGGCATTCCGAGGATTCGGTGGACCACAGGGTATGTTCATTGCTGAGACATACATGGAAGAGATTGCAGACCATCTCAACATACCAGTGGAGAAGCTGCGAGAGATCAACATGTACTCTCCCGACACAAACATGATAACGCACTTCAACCAGGAAATCAAGGACTGGTACGTACCACTCATGTACAAACAGGTCCAAGAAGAGTCAGCATACGTCCAACGACGAAAGGACATTGAGGATTGGAACAAAACGCACAAGTGGAACAAACGCGGTCTCGCCATCATCCCAACAAAATTTGGCATCTCCTTCACAGCACTCTTCCTGAACCAAGCCGGCGCACTCGTCCACATCTACCACGACGGCAGTATCCTCGTCGCCCACGGCGGAACAGAAATGGGCCAAGGCCTCCACACAAAGATGACGCAAATCGCTGCCGAGACCCTGGGTGTACCTCTAAGTGATGTCTTCATCAGCGAAACAGCGACAAATACCGTAGCAAACAGTTCCTCGACCGCCGCCTCCGCGTCCTCTGACCTAAACGGCTATGCCATCCACAACGCGTGTCTGGAGCTAAACTCCCGGCTTGCTCCCTTCAAAGAGAAGTTAGGCCCAGATGCCACAATGAAAGATCTTGCTCATGCTGCCTACTTCGCCCGCGTCAACCTCTCGGCTCAGGGCTTCTACAAAACCCCCGACATAGGCTACGTCTGGGGCGCCAACACCGGCCAAATGTTCTTCTACTTTACGCAGGGTGTTGCCGCCGCCGAAGTCGAAATCGATACTTTGACCGGCGACTGGACGACGCGTCGGGCCGATATCAAAATGGATGTTGGACGCTCAATCAATCCTGCTATAGACTATGGCCAGATTGAAGGCGCCTTTGTTCAGGGTCAGGGGCTTTTTACTACCGAGGAGAGTTTGTGGTTGAGGGGTACAGGTGGCGTTGCGACAAAAGGGCCGGGAAATTATAAGATTCCTGGTTTTAGAGATATTCCGCAGGTGATGAATATCAGTTTGTTAAAGGATGTGAATTGGGAGAATTTGAGGACTATTCAGAGGAGTAGGGGAGTTGGTAAGTCTTTTGCTATTCTCTATGGTGGTACATAACCTTGCTAACTCCATCTCAAAACAGGCGAACCACCTCTCTTCATGGGCAGCGCAGTCTTCTTCGCCATCCGCGATGCGTTGAAAGCTGCACGCGCACAATTTGGCGAAACATCTCTTTTACACCTTACAAGTCCTGCGACGCCCGAGCGTATTAGGATTAGCTGTGCAGATCCGATTCTTAAGAGGGCGTGGGTGGAACCTAAGGAAGGGGAGAAGAGTTTCTTTATCAGTATATAAAAGGAGTAACGATGCGAATGGAAAGGGCAATGCATTGATGATGGGTTATGTTTGGACTGAAATCCTCCTGACTTGTATGTTATAATTGAAAGTTATAAAGTTTGGAGTGTTTGAATGAGTTGTTGTAAAGCAAGAGAAGATAGTACAATGACCCTGTGCGCATCAAGCCATACAAATAGGGGCGCTAGACATTATGCACCCCCCGTTTTACGCGCTGCCGTAAGCCGAGAACTGCGGTAGTACGTACAGTGTGGAAGTCAGCTTGTGGGTCGCTTAGTAGACATTATTCTGATCATTAAGACTTTTTGTTCATTCTTTCGTTCTCAGGCTGTCATGAAAATATCTGAGTTGTGGTTCGTAAACCTATGCACACCTTGTTTGGCGTCGGCATACCATCTATCATACATCGTAAAGCTCGTTATCGAGCGAGGTAACAAGAATCATAAAACTTCGTAACATTAACAGTGCGCTTAGTTGCCGACCTGGATTGCGTAGCCACCATCAACGGTGATAGTCTGGCCGTTAAGGTACTGGCAGCCAACAGCGAAAAGGATAGCCGCAGCCATATCCTGGTCCTTTCCAGGTCTTTGTGCGGGAAGACCCTCCTTGTGGTCCTTGGGCATTTCGCTCTTCTGGTTGTCGTCTCTGCTTTCCTGGGTGGTCATCTCTGAAGGGAAGACACCAGGAGCGATGGAGTTGACGCGGACCTTGATGCCGTTCTTAGCAATCTCAGACGCGAGCATCTTGTTTAGGTGAATTGCTGCTCCTTTGCTGGAGTTGTAGGCAAAGTGTCCTTGTGAGATGCGGATGTGGCCAGAGATTGAGCTGATATTGATGATGGTTCCTGAGTAGCCTGGGTGCGACTCGGTGGACTTTTGGAGGAGAGGGAGGAAAGCGGTGCTCATGAGGAAGGGACCAACGACGTTGGTCTGGTAGACGTCGAGCCACTCTTGTTCGGTTGTGCCGTCGAAGAGCTTTTCGACTAGCTCATCTGAGCTCCCCTTCACCTCTGTCTTGCCTGGCGCAATACCGGCGTTGTTGACGAGGATGCATACGCACTTCTCTTTTGACTCGATTTCCTTCTTGATCTTCGATACACCCTCCTTGGTGCTGACATCTCCGACAATGGGGATAATCTAAAGGTAGGAAGTTAGTGTATATCTCATATGCATTCAGTATTATGAAACTTACCTGACCCGCAATGTTCTGACCATGTGCTTCAACAACCTTCTCGAGTTTCTCCTCTGTTCGTCCAACAATGTACACCTTTGCTCCGTTGACAGCAAGAGTCTGGGTAATCATAAGACCAATTCCTGAACCACCACCGGTGACCAAAGCGACCTTGTCCTTGACAGGAAAGACCTTGTCCATCTGGAGTTCAGCGTTGTTGGTAGGAGCCATGTCTGCGTAGTTGCGTTGTAAAGTATGTGATTGAAATTGATTTGCGATTTGTTTCGTGCGTTCAATTGATTGCATGCGATTTGGGAGTGTAGAGAGTGAAGAGGGGAAAGGTCGTGGTGCAGAAGTTGTGATATAGCGGGCAAGTGGCCTGACGTCACGGTATGAGCACCGCGATGCAAAGCGCGTCAATGTGACGTGTGGGACTCTCAGCGACATGGCGAAAACTGCGTGTTCAAGAATAAGACAGTAAAAGTTTAGTTAGGCGAATCAAATACGAGTGAGATGTGAATTGAGGGGAATACACGCAAAACTTCGATTTCAGACGCGTTGAAGAGGGCCTCGAACGGTGGAGGTCATGATTGCATCACTGGTACGGGAGATCGACCCGCACACGCTGTCACGTTTTTATCATCACTTCAGCTTAGTGGAAGTCTACTTTCTAGTGCATCCTACGAGCAAGCTTAAGTCTGGTAAAATATACCTTCGTGTCCAGAGCTGCTAGGTGGTTTGAGCCATATTCATAAACAACACCAAAATCACAAACGCACACACGATTGAAGTAGAGGTTTAATAGGCGGCATTCTACCACGTATGAAACCCACGCAACCTCATCCTCCCGATTCAAGCCCCAACACCACTCCCTAAACCAAAGAAAGCCATATATACCTAGAGCAACCTCGCCTGCATGTCAACCTACACCACTACGACCCCGTCATCTTGTCAATATAAGGATTCTTGCCTACTCATTCTTCCACATACGACCATAGGACACTGAAAATTAGGCTTCCCGTCCGCTCAGCCATATACAAGCAGTGTACCGGCGGATTAGTAGTTAGGTGGGTGACCACTAGCGAATCCCCGCTGTTGTATGTTTTTTGCAGTTGGTATGGTTCTATTTCTTTTTTGCAAGTGGGCAACTGATAGTGTCAACTTGAATGCTGGGGATGCGAAGATGAGAACCGGAGTAAGAGCGAGAGCCCACAACCTTGAGATAACCAATCGAATGGTTAGGACGTAAGAGGAAACGGACAAGCTCATCATAATGTAACGCTCCTATGGATATAAGTCAACTCACATCGGTCAATTTGTTCTGCTTTAATGACTATACCGCGCAAGACTATGAGTTAGTTCATCTCACCAATAACTACTTGCTACTTGTGACGGTACATACTTCTAAACTCCCATTTCTGCTTCTTCGTAAGGCTATTTCATATTATTTTGCCGCCTCAAGGTCTAGGTCCACAAGCCATGGCGCGTTCCATGGCTTATACCGTACGTTCATGATACTGGCGTTGACCATCAGTGTCTCTTGTCCAAACTCAACCGCAGTATCGCCACCCTGACCGACATCAATGCTCGCTGCCCTCTCTTCCACGATTGCTTCCCAATCAAGAGGTACAACATCGGCGCCTTTGATATGCTCTTCAATCTTGACATCGAGCTGACCGTTGTTATTCCATTGCACCTTCTGCGCGCCCCAACCTTCATGTATGTGCCCAAAACAATGGAGTCTAGGTTTGCAGCGTCGCGCAGCTCGTAGTAGGTGTTCGCAACCGACGTGCTCTCCCGTTGTTGTCGCATCCATAATACCCATAGGCGGCCCGTGGGTCATCATGACATCGATGTTGGGGAAGTCTGGAACGGGGTTCTCGGCGATAGGTTTGGCGTTTGGTGTGCACTGATGAGAAGGGTTGTAACGGTCTTCATTGCGGAAGTACGGGAAGGCATAGTCGCAGAACTCCGGTTGGTAGGGAGACGCGTAGACCTGGGAGTTGTTAGTTCTGAATAGAGGGCTGGATTGTATAACAGTGCACATACTCGTAGGTTCGCCCCGTTCTGTAACTGAAATGCATGCGTTCCTTCTTCCAGATATGTCACACCAGCTTTCTTAGCCCGCTCGCCCTTCCAAATTTCCCTCGCCCTCCGAGGCAGATCTTTATCATATCTGTCCCCCCTGTGCATGTATTCTCCTTTCCTCTCATAGTACGCTTCATCCAGAGTGATGTCGTGGTTGCCAGCTATCACGAGTTTCAGATCCGCGTCGATACTCTCCAGCATATCTAGAGTCTTTTCATATTCTTCCAAATGACCGATCATAGTCAGGTCACCGCAGTGGAGGAGCACATCTGCCTTGGGGAGTGGCGGGCGGAAGGAGGCCTTGTTACTTGCAACATTGTCGGATGGAGACGTGGAATGAGTATCTGAGATGATGAGAAATCGAGTTCTGACGTGTGCTGGCGTTATTGATGTGGTTGACATGGCGAATACTTGCAGCTTCGAGCTCCAGCTTGAGCAGTTGGCGCTATGAGGGGTAGTGGGGTTGTGAGGTGGTAACCTTAATAAATCGCGAATGCTGCGACCAGCAACTTCACTGTGTGTAGACACCAACACCACCTCCGCTGGGGAAAGAGATATTCACCATCCTCGTGTCCCTATGTGAATGTCGCGACATGTCGTTTGAGACAATTCCATCTTACTCACCACTTCGACTGCGCAATTACGCCACCGGTCGCATTCAATCTTGTCGCGTTTGCAGCATCCATGAAGAAGTCGCATGCGTGCAGGACCTTGATTATTCATGATGGAATCACCGAGGTTAGAGAAGAATGCGACGAACATGGGTTGTGGGTATCCTTGCCTTACCTCTCTTAAACTTACCACTTCGGGTCGTGTCGGACCAGTATCACGCCATTCTCACGAGCTGCCCTACGCCAATTTCAACGCCGCCACATGTGCAGTGAGAGGACTTTTAGACTTCTATTGTTAAGCCCGGACTATTCCCCTGGGATTTCTAGGAATAGCGGGAACGCCCATTGGCATAACGTAGTATCCAGATGCGGTACCACAACAGCTGTTCGGACAGAACCTCAACCGCCTTTGGTCAACGCACAGCGACGTGGTACCAAGGGTCCAGTAACTTGGTTTACGCTCTTGAGAGCAATGTTCTACCCCGAAATGCATCTCGTATTCATCAGCAACAAAGAAGACATCAGCCGGAAATCCTTCGCTAACAGCTACCCATGGATTCTGGCACAGCAATGATGCCTGCTGATAACGCGACTCAGTGATGGCAATTTGAAAAAAGCTATCCGGAATCAAAGGTGTTTATGCGATCCGTCCCGAGCTTGCCGCGTAAAAGCGAAAGCAAGCAAGATCCTTCATTGCCCTATCGACTACGGTCTGGTACCGCAATTTGAGCCTTAAGCTAGGATAAACAGAGGAGCATTAGGTTATACGCACGTACAAGAAGATTGCTGTCCTCGTGATGCGCATTCAGAGTTATCCCGGATTTTCGGGCTCGGAGTATACGCGGGAAGCGACTTTCGGCGCAGTGGAGCTCGTCCCGAGACTACACGACATGCTGCTCCTACCGGACTACGCCGATGAGGTGCTCATCGTTCGACGTTCACAGTCTTCTTAAAATTTCAATCTCCTGGCTGAGCATCAGATGTTTCAGTGAAGCTCGCGGAAGCGGAAGGCTCAGTTAGCCGTGCCAATAATGGTTGAGGAGTACATGGATCCACACTTGACTTGCGATTTTGGGTTTACCGTACAGCTATTGGAAGCATCTTGACTTGACGAGCCACTACACCGGAACCTGGTCGACCTTAGTGGAGGATTCTCAGCAAGTCACAAGGACCTATTACCTACTCTGTTGGCTGTGCAGTTCTCGAATCGTCGATACAATTACATTCTCGTATCCTTACAATATTAATGCCTTGGTCGTCCCGAGCGACACCGATACATCAACCGCCATACACCAACGAATACCTCCATCGATATACGAGTCGACAAAGTCTAGATGAGCTTCCCGAGTAATGCACAGGGAACCAAGACCGAGCATACCGAACGTTCTCCACCACCAAACACCATGCCGTACACAAACTACTTCGACAACCCTTACCTTAGCGAGCCAGCTCCGGACTACTCGCTGAACACCTTTTTCGACTCCGACTCATTTTTCGATCAAGCTCTCACATCCGTAGAGGGTGTATCCGATACGACATCAAAAGTACAAGAGACCTTCAATCCGACATTTCCAGCGACAAACATCCCTTCCAGAAACAACGACCAACCTATGACGCAAACATTTAACACACACCCCAGTCAACTCGAGCAATATCCATTTGGCTTCGGGATAAATACCGGGCAATTCCAACCGAACGAACCAGAGAGTTTCTCCCCCACAAGCACAACCTCGCAACCCTCGTCGCTTGGTGGAGACGCGCCACAACCGCTCATATCGCCTTCTCTTTCACCCCACATGCTAAAGCGCGAATCCCCATCGTCGCCAACCTCTGCGTCCGAATCATCCACCCCCAAACGGCCCACGAGGAAGCGGGGTCGGCCGAAGATGGACCGTAATAGCACCGACAGCAGCCAAGTCATGGCTTCTCCAACCACTACAAAATACCAGCGCTCGAAACGATTACCGCATAACCAGGTTGAGCGCAAGTATCGAGAAGGACTCAACTCCGAGTTGGAGAGATTGAGAAGGTCGGTGCCAATACTCAGGCAGAGCGACGAGGTTGGTGCGATAGGGCAGCCGAAACCGAGTAAAGCGATGATCTTGTCGTCAGCGATTGAATATATTCAAAGTATTGAGAAAGAGAGGGATGCGCTGATCGAGGAGAATGATAGATTACGACGGGTTCAATATGAGGCTTCGCAGCAAAATAGCTGGGATGGAATGAACCTTTGAGTAATACATCTGATTGTTTCTGGGGACATCATGTTCGTGTTGGAGATATTACAGAGAGTCACAGCGCAAGAGATGGTATTATAGAAGGAGTTTGAGCCTTTTACACGAGAACCAAGGCTGCATGTCTGCGGATATGACTTCAAATGTTGATCGTAGGCATAGATTGTACATTACGACACGACCAAGCCACTCTGGATATGAAGGCGCTATGTTAGCTGGAGATAGCTTAATGGACGACGATACCTTGTAGATATCATATAATGATAGACAGCTCGATGACGGCATACTTCATCTTGAATCAAATACATGCAGTAACGCAAAATTCCAACGAGTACAATAACGTAGCAAAGATTTCCACCAATTCTTGACTATATCGAGTCACATGACTAGCAAGTATGCTCTATATTTGGAGAGTGTCTCTTTGCATTATGGATCGGGTTGGTTGGGTAAGTTGTTACTTTGGTCGTGTTTGATGCGGGGGCTTCCCGGTTTCCGGCTCAGTGCAGACTTTTTCTTTCACCCCACTTAGCAACCAAACTCTGCTAACAAGACGATTTCACGAAACCACCATGATTATCGAGGGTGCATATGAGAATACGATTGAGATGACATTAATTCTCCATACTTCCATCAAATCATCAGATTACTTCAAATCGCCCGGCTAGCTCAATCGGTAGAGCGTGAGACTCTTAGCTTTCACGTCCTAAAGACTCGATTGGTTATCTCAAGGTTGTGGGTTCGACCCCCACGTCGGGCTTGAGTAATTAATTCTTTTTGTCCTCATGTAGGGAGTGGTGGTGGTGAAGGACAGATCTTTTTGGTCCCTACTCCCAGACACAGTAATATTCCACAACGACTACCACGACATGAGTACAGTACTGTGCCATCTCTCTCTAGTCTACCCACGGTTGGAACTGCGTGATTGATTCTTTTTGTTCGCTTGTGTTATCCTCCTTGGGAGGGGTGACGGTGAAGGTCATTCTTTTGGACAACTATTATTCTTGCTCGCCAAACGATCTACAAGGGCTACCAACACAGCAATGATACATCAGACTTAGATAACGGTTCTATCGCCGTATTTTGTGTATAATTCTGCTTACTGGTTTTTTGTTGTGGTCTCTCTTATCGCTTTGTCCTGACTTCGACAGCGTACATGCTTCGTTTTTCTCTTTGGATAGATATGCACTCATTAGGAAAGCGCCGAAACACTCAAACCCATACTTTGGTCGTTACGATATTATGTGTGGCCTTTTGGGTTCTGCATTGAATCAGCTATGTTGTATCGCATACCTCGTGCAGAAGACGTAGAAAAGCTACTGCAATATGCAGCCAACAAAACCAAGCGGGTAATACACTATATTAACTCGGTAGACGGTGTGCGAGTACCTAAACAAAGTAGTAACATGCGCTGGTAGTTTACCAAGTTGACTAGATGGCGAAACGCAAAATCTGTTGAAGTCCGACGCGAAAAACGTCTTTCCCTATTCTCTTCAACTTCTGTGGTAAAGCATGAGTAAGCCTCCAGCATCAATAAACATGTTCTTCTCCTGGTCTGTTATCTCTTCCGTACCCCTCGCTTCATGTCTATGTTTGGATGGTTTAGGACGCTGGTACATGAAAGCAGTGGGCTGACGAAAGTACACACTTGCGAGTACCTTGAGACGACAATATAGCGGAAGGATATGAGCTAGGAAATGCGATAGAAGCTCCTAGGCAGGTACTAAGACCAATGATAGATATCATCTTAGCCATGCACCTCAGTGTGCACTAATTTGTTGATTGTACACGTATCCTGCTTGCAACAAGATCTTTCGATCCCGCAACCTCACGTGACAAGAATAGATCCTCGATGGGTAATTCTATGCTCGCGTACGATGCTGTGCCCGTATTCCCTAATACCATTATCGAAAGGAAAAAAATGCAAGTCACCTCAATAGCACGCATCATCAAGCGCTTGAAAGGTCTTGGTCACGAAGACTCGTTAGCAGACACGCAAGTAAGCTACCATTTTCTTTCATGGCTCCGTTTCAACATCCGAACAAGCCTTTACGAATCTGTAGAGATCAGCAAGTGTAAGCTGTTAGCTCAAATGTAGGCACCGGCTACGAGTGCAGCCGGTGGAAGAGTAGTAGTCTCCAACCCACATCAAGCGCTGTCAGAAGTCTGCTAGTGTATCGTGCTATTCGGACCTTCTTTTTGACGTCTAGTCTGTAGAACCATATGCGCTAGGGTGATTCTTCACTGATGTTGTCGGAGGTGCAAGGGGTTAAGGATAGGAGAATAATTGCGCGATCGTCTGCCGAAGGGATAGTGTCCAAACCTTCATAGTCGTTTGTTTCATTCCGTCGTAGCGCTGGGCGACACAGAATAGATCCCCGCCGCATATACTGTTTTACGTCCACAGCATTCGCTAATACTGGCAAAAGCTGTCGCCTGTCAAATGTCTTGCATACTCCCTACCTTACCTACACTATGGTTCAGCCACGCCTTCACAACAAACGGCGCATGCACGTCATCGCCTATCCATACAAATGTGGCCAGCATGCAGGTACTCCGCAAACTGTCTAGCTCTCCAAAAGCCAAAAGCCTCGATCCTATGGCGCGCGGAAGTAAGTTTGCGCAATACGCCATGCGTGAAGCCAAGAATCTGGAGTGCATGCCTGTACGTGATAACATACATACAAGCAAAAAGTTGTAAAGATCCGATCGCGCATGATGCGTCTGTAGCGGATCCAAAGCAGCAGTCTTGACAGCTTGCCTAATGCATGTCGTGTATGTTGTTGTTCTATTTCATGTGCGATTGGGGCGTAGTTCGGAATTCCTGCCCGGATCGGATGGAAGGATGTAGAGTCGACGTGGACGATGAACGGCTAATGCGATGCTGCAGGTATGGCCTTGCGGCGCGGTGCAGAATAGGCGCATTGCGTGCAAGTCACGCCGCTTTGTTGGTATGCAGTTTAGATTGTTTGACAGTTGTGAAGGTTGGGTCAGCGATGCGAGGGAATGGCTATTGGTTAGAGATGGAGAATGTGGTGGCTGCATGCTTTCCGACTCGTTGTCTATGTCTCTGAAAATTTAGGGCATACATGGCAAGGGTGATTGCAGCGCTGTTGATGCTTGATGTTCGCAAAGCAGGCTTGGATCATCGAAACGGCATAAAGACCAAGCGGAACGGGAGGTACGGTGCGCACTCAATGACTGACAGGAAGCACGGATAGGCGGATCTGACAGGGTCCATTTCCGCGGCTTTAAACGCGTGAATTTTCCATGAGTAACAGGCCAGAGGCTCCTACTGCTGGGTATGCGTAAGTTGAGGGATGTGGAAGGTAGTGCTTTCACCTTGGCATGCATGGGCTTTGCCCTGCAGAAGTGCGAGAATGATTGCGACACTCATTGCAACCTTCCATTGCAGGGGTTGGATGCCGATAACTGTCATGCGGTAACGGCCGGCTTTTACGACGCTAAGAAAGTGGTAATCGTGATGACAACATGGTGGTGTGCGTGTGCGGACAGACCGAAAATGATGAGGATCAGGGTGGATACTGTACTAGTGACGGAAGACAACCCGCCAGCACGCGGCAGAACATACCTGTTGTGATGCATTGCTCTGCATGTGAGAAATATGCGATTGGACGCCTAGATACGCCTTCAAATCCTACCAGGAATCCTGAAGTCGTGTCAGCAGAATGGTGTAGCATCGTCCAGCAAGTACGTGGTTCGCGCATAGGGCTGCAGTGACGTGCGCGTACATCTGTGTAACGTTGGAAATCTGGACGCATGAGCTTTGCAGCTGCCAAATGGTTCGCCAGTCTCGCTGAAACTTGCGAACATGTTGAACACCAGCTGGTGTACGTAACCACGCTTGGTACGACTAACGTGTTCGCTGTGGACTAGCGATTTTTACGCACGTCGTTTCTCCACGTAGACCCTCGAGCCCAGCTGCAGTAGCCGCTGCTGGGAATAAGCAGAAAATGCACCTCTTTGCATCGCACCCATGCGTTGAGTCCAGTGTCCACCTCGTCCTCTTTGTCCGATTTAGTTCGCACAGGCACACTTCCACATTTAGAGTAAGAACGCCGAGAGGACTAACAACCGAGGCTTTGATGGTCCATGATTCAGCCTAGAGGGATCAGCAAAAAGATGGTCGGAAAGGACCAAGGGCCATTCCGGAGTAAACGTCGACGGGCCTCCTTCCCGGCTGTGTGGTAGCGGGGAAAAAGTCGTATAGAGGAAAACTGGGAGAAGGCTAAAAGCAATTTCCGTTCATTCCGCAACCATGTCTCAAGGCCCGGAATTGGAGGATGACTACTCAGAGCCCAAGCTTCATGTGTTCTGGAGAAGCGACTAGAAAAAGTGGATCAGAAGCCACCTTGAATGACCGAGGCTCGGGTACTGCAGTCGCGTACGATAGTCTCAAGAAGTCTGGTCAGGAGGCCCGGGCGTTTGCGCAATGTCCGCAGGTTTGGGCTGGGAAGAGAAAGTTATTCCGGCTCCTAGGGTACCAGCGTCGCTTGCACAATAGCTCAAACGTCATGGGAGGCTTCGTTGACAGCTGGTAACTTCTGAGATCATACATGGCGTCGCTAGGATAGAGGACCGAGGTAATAACAACCGGTTTTATAGGTCGTCGATGCAGGTACGGGGATACGATGATACTTCAATTGTATTGGTTTGTGATCGCGTGTACCGTATGGCTTCAGTGTAATGTCATTCGCTATTAGCCGGTCCGTAATCTGCATGCATAATACGATTGACACAAAAAACTTTCATCTTTGCATTGCTGGTACTAACGTAGAAAGTGTAAATGAGACAGATTGTACCGGAGATTACGGACCATCGAACTTCCGTCATGACTGTATGAATGTGGATGAGGGGGCGTATGCCAGTGTTCCAACCATGACGTGATTCAAGAGTGCCTACCTTTACTCAGCGTTGGGCGCATGTCTGATGTTCAAGGCCAAAATGATGGCCTTGAGCATCTGGAGCATGAAAACCACTGTAGTAAGGAAGTACCTTGTTCTCAACCTAATCGTACCTTGCAGAGTACCCAGTGTAAATTTTGACAAGGTTTCGCGTTAGTCACTCCGCGTTCTCCGTGAAACCTTGCGGGTAACGCATCCTTGTGGGGATGCCACACTGTGAACGACAGGAAACTGGTGTCACAAACGTACCGAGGTGCTCATGTGGTCAAGTAGCGATAAGTTGGTATGTGGGTATCAAATTCGGCACATGTGCTTGAGGCATAATCAGAAGCTACATGTCGCCTTCCTCTAGATGTGGTCCAATCGGTGCTGTTTGTACATGTGATAGACGGTGTTAAATGCCGATTGGGAGTGTAAAACAAAACCGCCGAAATTGGAAGATCAAGGCTTCCAAGGCAAAACTTGAATGGACATGAAGAAAGCCACCTCTTATGGAGTGGTTGTAGAAATAGAAACAACCGCAATGCCGATAACGCCCAAGGCCACGTATTGGTCCACGGGAAAGGGAAAAGCATAGCCTCCGAACCGTGTATCGTAATTCCAGTCGTGTTGCGCCCAGTAACTCCAAGAATGATTATTTTCGATGATGAAAGTTCGCAACAAAAATTGCCGAAGCAGTCGAGAATCCGTTCCATGTGCCGCCATGACGGATATGTGAATTTTGAAAGTCCAGCTTCTCAAGACCCTTCAGAAGTTATATTGTCACAAGAGGCGGTGTTGTGGCTTGCAAATACACTTGCTGCTGTAATCCACCTATGCTCCAGAGTAAAACTGTGGTAAGCCCTGATGGTGGTATGCCATTGGTGGAGTAACCTCCTCTTGTACCCGATCTAGGTGTCCCGGCTCTGCATACCACTGCGCACTCATAGATCGTCCAGATGAAGGCATTGGTGGACCGTGATTCGGCATTGCATCGTATGATGACCAGGGGGCTGGATAATATGAGTGATTAGGAACGACGGGTGCAGATAGCGGCGCCGACGTAGATCCGCCTACTGTGGTCGCGTGAATGGTGGAAGGGTTCGTGTCTATGGTAGTCGGATATGGATATGGCGAAGTTCGTCGGTAGTTTTCATGCTGGATGCCAAGGCCTTGACCAGAATATTGCTGAGGAAGTCCTTCAATGTTGCCGTATGACATCGAGCGCGTTGGTGCTTGAAATGGTGGTTGCTGACCCCAGTGGGAGTCTTGGTGACCGTAAGACATAGTCGAGCTCGTACTCATTGCGGCTGGTGTATGACCACCTGAAACGTTTGACTCACTGCCGTATGCCGAGTTTACTGTCGAAGGCGAGTTGCGCCATGAGGGGCTCTCGGCTACGGTAGATGAAGGTAAAAATCCGTTCGCTGGTGGCCACTGGGTTTCTATAGGAGGAGGGTATGGATAGGGAGGGTGCTGTACTGGAACTTCGTTCGTCAGCGTTTGCAAACCTGAGATGGCACAATACCTACGACCACTAGAGACAGACGCATGGTGGGGATCACTTTCGTGATCGCCATGATACCCAAAGCTTGGAGGCTGTCCGTTTGACGCAGGACCAGAGAACGGTGTGCGGAACTCGCCCATAGCATCGCTATGCCGAGGAGAAGTAGCCACTGGTGTAGCTGGTTGTACTGCACTACCCGACTTCGACGAGATAGTTGGGGCTTGCGGCATATCAGGGTTATGCTCAACTGGGTAGAAATTGCATTCTTTTTTCAGCCGAATGCAGTTGGAGCAACGCCCTGCAGGGTCGTCTGGAGCTAAGAGACATCGTATCTTTCTGCGTCTGCAGTGTCCTACCCTCACCAGTCAGTGGTCTAGAAACACATCATTATGACATTCCGCTTGTTAACTTACCACATGCGACCGAAGTTCTATGGTATCCCAACTTATTCCGCGGCTTGTTACTTGTTGGCGACAGGTCGCCAGGGTTTCCAAGTGCTAAATGGCGCATGTGTGGAGTGGATGAGGACTTGCGGAGCTCTCCCGGTTTGCTGCTCTTGGAGGAGCGTCTTTTCTTATTCGAATGATGGTGAGGTTGAGTAGTGGATTCTTGACCAGTAGAAGAATCATGAACGGACTCGAGTCGATCTGTGGGGCTTGGTGTGGAAGCTGTGTCGGCGGCGTGGGAACGACCAAACCCAGAGTTATGGTTCGGGGGAGTGAAGGACATGGCGTCTTGAACGGGCTGCAAAAGTAATGATTGCTCTAACCTAGATGCCGTCTTCTTCGCGCGGCGTTCTGTACCCACAGCCATGTGAGGCACACTGTTGTCGCAAGACCCGAATATCAACACACGGTAATGCGTAGCGCATTGAAGGACCTGAGGGTATAAGCATATAATGTTTAAAGTTCAACAAGGCCCCACAAAGGCCCATGATAAACAGGAAGCTAAACAGTGTACATACCTGGGATGTCAAACAGGGCGACTTCTCAAACGCTGGAGCCGGCGCTACAAGATCTTGCTCGCGGGAGCAGTCGACGGGACACTTGCTGATCTACCGTACCATGGGATTCTCGATCTAATCAATGCTTCGGAGGCGCACTGACAGCAGGGGCCAACAGGTAATGATAGTCAAGACCCAGGTAAATAACCAAGTAGCAGAGGCGATGGTGAAGCAGTTGCGCACCGACAGTGACAGCTAATGTCAGCTAGTCCTTACCACGGCTGTTCGTTAGCGGGGGCGCATTGCAATCTTGAGAACAACAGGCGCCAAAAGCAAAAGCGTGCATACATACGAAAAGAAGTAGGGACTGAATATAGAAATTTACACGACGCTGTTTGGTTGAATGAGTGGATGATTAAAAGTGGCGAAGTATATCCGCGCTACTACGCAACAGGATTGCTGCGCTGGAGCGCCTCTGGCACCTAAGGATTGCACAGGGTTCATCAATGCTCCTTCCTCACAAGCACAAGATCATCTTCTAGAGGCCAAGCGACCAGGTTGCTGTTGGTGGGCCCGCTTGGACCAAGTGATGTGCGGGATGGATGGGTGTGCAGGCCAGTAAGTCCGAGCGTCATGACTTGATGGCTCGGGCCCTTCGCACAGTCGCTGTTTGGGATTCTCTGCCTGTCACGTCTCGACGGTGTGATGCGATGACAGCCAGCGGTAGCCGTCTAGCGTCAGCGGCGGCGCGATCCACTTGCCTCGCTCTTGCTTGGAAATCTAGTCAAGCCACTGTATTGATAGCCTGCGATTGGTGAAGACGGTTGTCATGTATGCCTGATCCCGATTTCTGGTCCATATGTAAGGGCCTATACAAGGTAGTATACTGCAGGAGTATGCAAGCTGTGAGGTTAATTTAGCATGGCTCTGTGCGTACGAACGTCGCCGGGGAAGCATGGTCGGACCAGGGTAGGACTCAACAGTGTCCGGATCTAAGATGACGAGGACGGCGATAAAGGCCTCGATGGAGACAGGGCCGAACTGCCTGAGCGAGAGAGCTGACGCAGACTGGAGACTGGTAGGGTTTGGTTTGCGCAGATGAGGGCCCAATACGCAGAGGTCGTGACGTGACATGCCCGGTAGCGAATGCCCGCTGTGATGATCCCCCAATGCTCACGGTCGTTGGAGAGGTCTCGAAGTGTGGTACAGGGATAACGCCGACGTGAACTGCTGGCGCTGTCATGGTATGCTATCCTGCGACAAATTGGCTGCAAAAGCGCGTCCTTCTCCACACAGTTCATTTCGCTAGCAGGGCCCTGAGGAGGGCTCGACTAATCTCCACTCGCGTCATCGTGATTGAGGATAATCAGCGATTCCACAGTTGCGTTGCACAAGCGTGGTCAAGCGAGTATGTCACTGGCCAAGATGGATTGCAGTACGTGATGGCCGCCGGTGGTCGGTTAATGCGCATGAGGCCTGACCCAGCGCTCTGGCTATGGTCGCTGCATGACTTGCACTCCAATAGTGCGGGCGCTGTCCAAGACGGGCGATTACACGTGGAAGACCGATCTGATACAAAAGTGCTTAGGGCCTACTAATTCGTCTCGAATTTTCTGTGGTCAGACAGTCCCCAGCAAACTTGCTATTTCCCGACGCCATCTGCGCAGCGTCGTCCCCCACCGGTCCGCAGTGGCGCATGGATGGTGAGGCGTTGGGGATATTTGTTTTTCCCAGTGAGCCTCTGTTGTCCAAGAAGCAGGGAAAGCTATCCCACGTTTCTCCATTTTTATTTCTTCCATGTGTCCGCTTGCCCATCGTGTTCATGGTCAGCACTGCGTCCTGCCGGTGCCGACAGCCTGTGTTAGCTTCGCACGTCATTGGAGGTTAATGTCAACTTGACGCCTTTTGACCAGGTTATCGGTACTAATGCTCTCCGATTTCCAGTCCTTAGGCTTGAGCACGCGGAGTTGCAATGGTCGTGCGCCAAGTTCAGTCATGTATTTTGGCTAAATTGTACACGGCGGCAGTGTATCTGAAACGTACCGGACATCAACCGATCGATACGGCGGAGCGCCGGCTGTCCTGGACTCCTGGAGTCGGGGATAAGATGGTGATCATTAGTTGGTGTTTGCGCAGTAAGACAGGCGAACGGCGCTTCATCCGTCCGTGAACGCTCGTGCGAGGCTTGCACCGTGCCTTACCTCGCTAGTTTTGGCTCGCTTAGTCGCAACTTCCACCCTGGGACGCTGCTGTTCGTGCCTACCAATTGTAGCGTAGGAATTTTGCAAAGATAGCAAGCGCACCAATGACCCTGCGCGACCTTCACCTCGACCCTCACAGCATCTGCACATGCACTGATTGGCCGTGATGACATCCGCCGGCGGCGCGATATCAAGATACACCTCCGCCTTGCCTACAAGCTACGATACACCGTCTTCACTCACAAGACGACTGCTAACCCCTCGAAGCAGGTGGCAACGGACATGGTCGACAATATCAAGCTCGCTATCTTGCAGGAGCACCAATATCTCCAAGCCATATCGACGTTACGCAGCTTTAGTACCTTCTCCCTACAACAGTGCGACTACGCAGTGCCCCCACGTTGGCTTGTGTTATGAATGTCGCTTCCACAACCCCACGTGCCTCCGAACACCGACAATTGTTGTACTACGGTATCTTCGGGACTCTTGGAGAAGGGTGTATGACTATGATTGCATCACAACCCCCGCAAAGGCTCCTGTATTATACGCCACTGGGACACGGTGGCGCAACCTGTTGGACTGCTTCTGGTGTAGATACCAAGTCACAAGTACTAGGTGGACCACAGAGCCATGGCGAGTTGTCCAGGTGAAATTTCGCAACCGGAACAGCTGTTACAACGGCACGATAGGTTTACCAATCTGAATATGTCACATCGCAGCACACATACACACACACGGACACCCTACGCGGATTCTTCCTTCATGGCTCAATTCGACGCTAGCGACCATCCGCGTAAGGAACTGTCAAGACCACGGCAGTTCTTCTGCATACTACAGTCATCCACCCTTGCACACATCCAATATCACCGCTCTTATGCAACCACATCATACACTGGTGAGTTGCTTTGAAAGCGCTTACACGATGATTCCCAGCTGTGTGGTCTCGCACTCGCACTCTCAAGAGTTAGTTACGGGAAAATATTCGGGGATACGCTAGTCATACAGCCACACCCAGGAGTCCTGAGCGTCGAGAACAGAAGCTTTACTTAGAGTAACGGCAATTTGATCAAACTTAGAGTAGGCTACGGAAGTTTAGGGTGCTCATGACAATGAGCATAGCTGCCCGAGGAGTCCCAGATGTGATTTCGCCTGAGAAACAGTCATCAACCATACCCCTTTGGACCAAACCAACGCGTTGTTGGGATAGATGTTTTTCGATATTTCGATTTTGCCAAGGCCCTCACACCACACTCAACACCGGACCCATCCTAGCTTGGCAGTCACTACATTTTCTAGCGCGTTGAGGACGTGCAGTCTTGTTGCCACACTGCCCGCCCGACTTGGCGGATCCCTATTCCAGAACGCTGGGGATCAACATCACGTTGACTAGTGTCCGCTTTGGTAAACTCAGTCGAAGATCTTCAGGAGAGTCGGCGTGACACGTTGACAGCCGCGCAATTGCTCGCCTGAGAATCATGAGTGTGACGCCGATCGCGCACTTCTAGACGCGGTTCGACGTTGGCAAAAGCCTCCAGCGTCCGCTATTAACAGCCGAACCATCAAACCTTCGTTTGTTGATCAACCAGAGTGTTGCGGAGAAAACTCCGTACAGCTGTCATGGCCGATCACGCCTTGACTAAGTCTACATCAAATCGCCTTATAGTTAAGGTTCGACTCCATCGGGGACACTTTTCTTGATATAGATAGAACACCGGTATACTAAAGTCGATTCAGATAAAAAGCCGGTATGCTGATGTCGTTGCTTTAGTGGACAAGCAGCCTCACTTGCTGACGAGTGTAGCTGGTGGGTGTCCGAAGTACAATTCTTCCCCCAACTAATCGTCCTACCTGCTACGTCATAAGTTTCCGGTGACAGTTGACGCGGAGACATCGGAGTAATGATACAGGAAAAATTGAAATTTCCTCCACCGACAAACACGGCATAGTTGTATCTAGGTTATACATAGTATGGTTCTCTACGCAAAACTTGTGTATCTCGAACCGAAGAGCCGAATTGTATGTATCGGTCCTTCGTCATGATACGCTGGTTTCACAACCCTTCATCATTAGCGGAAAGTGGCGGTGGATGTGCGAAAAGGCAAGTCCCGTTGACTAGCCATGCACTGTGCTTGACTCGGCAGGATCTTTAGAGACCCTGAATCATTGATCGCTTGCATCTTCGAGCAACATCTGTGAGGGAAACATACCAATGCTGAGCCTGTACAGGATGATTCGAGGGAATCAGAAGAACCATTTCCCCATCGGCCTTGCTCGGGAGATTTGCCCGTGCCACCGGTAGAGCTTCCGATCCGATTTACGGCAGTTGTGGACGGGCGAGCATCCGTAAGCCATGATTCGCCCAAATTACCACATCCAGTATCGTACAGCTCCACTACGTAAAGACAGATCTAGTAGCGAAACCCCTTCGATATGTGCGCCTAAAAGGCCCCACAGGCGACCACTCTCTTCGCATGGGCATGTCTTTGTCTTGTTTCCAAACGCCATGTAAACCTAGTAATACTTGCAAATTTATCACGCCACCAATCTCATCCAGTCCTCACGGCAATCTCCATCCACCACCTTCGAGATCTTACAGGCGGGATATATCCCGAGCGATCGTTGATACAAAGTCGCTACCAACGATCTTCACGCATGGAACCCCAATGCGGGGTTCCACTAGCAAGCGCACCCCTTGAAAACTAAGCGGATCGCTAAAACTACACATCATCGGGTCTTCAGTTCCGCACTAGGATCTCCGATTGCTGCAAAGTTTGCAATTGTACACGTCCTCGGAGACTCTTCACCCGGTGTGCTGTGGTGACAAAAAGTAAACATTGTGCAATCAAGATAGTCTACGTGGAGGTATCTTAACCCAAAATCGTCTACGTGTTTTGGGCTTGGAGTATAAACGTGCATTTTACAAGGGTACACGACTACCCTAGCATGCTGATCGATTTGTAGATTTCTAATCTGTTACTAAACAATCTCTTACGCCTACAATTTTACAGTACAAAACTAGGTTTCCAGGCCTCCCCACCCCCTGGACATATATCGCGCTTGCCCCACGAGCACCACATGGATAGTTCATCATCCGAAGCATGTTGAGCTAGGTATCATGCGCATGCGCTGAATTCATTCTCAGAGAATAGTATCGGTATTCTATCCAGAATAGGTCTTGGTCCGTGTACGTGAGAACCTAGATGAATTGCACACTCCCTACTGTTTTCGGGTAGAGTACGTACGCAAACCTAATCATGGCTTCGACACACCTTCAAGCTTCGAACACACGCAGCCCAAAGCACTTGTTTAACTGCACAGCAACTATGCCGACGATACAATTGTCATAAATCACCTATCGTCATTCATTTCCTATACTACTTCCTGGCTGGCGCTACCTCAGGGTAACCCTTACGGCCCACCAAGGCTACCATCAAGGCGACCCAAAATCACACTTTTCGTTTCCAGACGCCGTAATGCTAGACGAACTGCGAGTTCCTATTGTCATCTTGCGAAAAACATGAGGCGTTTTCTCTCTTGACAACGTACATTAGCAACGAAACACGGCAACTGTGAAACTGCATATGCCCGCATCACCTCCGCCCAATCTGTATCCTACCAAGATACAATTGTACCCCGTACTCAAACAGGATACGATGTATATGAGGTGTTCACAAAAGGAACACCAGTTTTATGACCTCCATCATCCGCCATAAGGACTCTTTGATACGAAATATGCGATAAATGGTACCAGAGTTCTCTCGCGGAGTAGAACCTCACGCGAGACGCTCTTCATGGTTCCGGCACGTGTTCAACATGTTCTTTGCGTGGTCGGATACGTCACGTTCGTTTCGATTGCTATCCAAGTCTATCTTGCATATACACCCTACTCCTCTCCAGGACTCTTCCCCATCTCTTCAATGGAACTTGGCACTAACCCCTCCATATCTCACTCCATCGACCTTCAACTCAAACACCAGTCCCGCACTCTCACACCGCATATCTAGTGTAAAATCTAGGTTATCAAACTCCACTCCTTTCGTCGTCGTCAACCGCGTAAACAAGCTCTTGGGCACCGTGTTCAAATCGGTAGTTAGTGTGCAAACGTTGATAAGTCCCTTCTTGAAGGAGTCAGGCGCTGCGTCGGAGTCGCAGGCAATAAGGTCGTCCTCTACAATTAGGGATTGACCTGGGCGGAAGTTGCGCGTATAGTGGAAGGATATGGGTCGGTTCTCTGAGACTTGTGCGCCCTATGTGGGGTGTTAGTATCTCGTGTGATGGAGGTGGACGTGGTAGAAGGGAGACACGTACCTTTGCAATATGCCATTGCATGCGGTCGGAGACCATCCATCGCTCCCAGAGCGGACTCCAATATCGATCCGATATGGGATGTATTGCCTCATCGAAGACTGTCGCATAGCTTGTTCCGTAATGCCATCGACTTCTTCTGCTAATAACCATGTTGCCTTCTAGTCCGCGAAGAACTGCGCCTCTCACTACCGCTGTCCATGCATGTATTGGGTGGTATATCTCAACCGCCTGCGAAGCGTTCAATGCGACGGCATGCGTGGGTCTTTCCGTGTAAGGAGGTGGGGGTGCGTTGTTGAAGTGCGACTTCATCCGACCGTAGAGATAATTGCTCTGCCCGAAGCCTCCAACCAAGACGATTCCGCACACCAAGCCTCCCTTGGCTCTTATACTGTGAACCTGACCCTCTACCAGATCTATGACTTCTTGAACAACTGGATCGAAGAGCTCTTTGACCTGTTCGGCGCTCATGACCAGGAAACCGGAGTCCAACCCTGCTTCTTCATCGTCCGGTAAGCCCGGGAAAGGTATGTTGACTTCGTTATGCTCCTCCTCATTAAAGTTGCGCTTCACGAATTCCTCGAAGTATTTCAAGCCCATATTCCAAGTCTTCACCTTCTTCTCGCGCATCCAGTTGTAGCGTTCGGTGCCAATGCGCTGCTTGACATGGTCTTCGAATCGGTAATTGATAAATGTTGAGCCACAGAGCCCACCAGTCCCAACTGCTGACTCTTCCACACGGAGAGGATGGAGTTGGGTGATCTTGTAGGCTATCAGATCGACAGTACCACCACCGGCATCGCATACAATGAAGTTATCCCCAATCTTCAGATGATTCGGCTGTATCGCCTTGAGTGTGTATACCGCCGCAGCCTCAGGCTCTGATATGAGCTTCAGCTCGTGTCTGTTGCCCATGCCAGCCTTTTCCGCAGCTTTCAGCGTCGCATCCTTCGCTGAGTCTGACCATACGGCAGGTACTGTCAAGACGAATTCAACCTTGGTCAGGCTTATGAAGGTCTCTCCGTATCTCCGTGTCAATGTCTCCATTGTATGTTTGTATATCTGCGAAAGATAGTCTGAAACTGCTTCCATGACCGTCTTTTCAAATTTGCGCAATTGCGCGGCGGTTTCGAGTGGGGATACGAAGTGTGGCAGCTTCTGGTTCCTATCGAGGAACAGCTTTATACATCGGAGACGCGTCTCCTCTGGTTTGAATTGGAACCCCCATTTTATGTTCTGCGTGGGTTTCGTCGGCGCGTCGAGCGAGGAGGTCGAGCCGTTGCGGGAGGGTGGTTCGCTGTAACCAATTTCTGTGGGTACTTTGTCGGACGTGATACCTACGCGTATATCTTAGTATGGAGAGGCGCGGTGTCGATATACCTCAAGCAGAACATACCGTTCCCTCCTGGCCAGGTCTTGATGATGTCGATGTCGTCAGGGGTCGCACTGTATACAGCAGCCACACCTATCGAGCTTCAGCGTCCAATCGTATCGGTCGCATATCGTAGAATAGTTGCTACCAACCGCTGTAGGTGGTTCCAAAATCAACTCCAACAACCAACCTGTCCTTCGTAGTACTACCCATTTCGGGTACGCTGCCTATGTCGACAGTCGCATTACTTCCAGGATTGAATGTATACGGGATACTACTCCCTCGGTTCGGAAACGTATGGTTCATAGTCGGCCTTCGTGGTGTAAACCGCGGTGCTTATGTTGATGGCTCTGGTAGATCGCGTAGTTGTCGCGTGGGTCGGACCGCGGGGCTGAATCCTACCAAAATGCACGGAGATATCATGAGCGTGTAGGTTGGCGTGGGGAAGACGTGAGGTCATAAATGTGTTTGCCTGAAAAACATTGAATGATTCAGGCACCGGCGAAAAGCGCAGTCTGATGTCGAAGCCTGGAATGGCGCGCTACCCATCGCTGTAGAAGACGCCCAGCCGCAGGCCCTGGTTGACGATCGTCAGCTCGCGCAAGGCTGCAGGATTTCGCCCTGCCAGGCATACTCGTGTCGTCCCACATGAAGCCATCCGATGGTGACGTTCCTCGAATGAGGTGTTGAAACTTGGTCCTGGTGAAGCTGGTCTTGAAGTTCGTTCCGATGCGACCCTAGATCGGAACGCGCCCGGTCCCAGCTATGACGGAACGAAAGAGTTCTGGTAAGTTTAAGCCTTCCAAGCCCACGGTTCTAGTATTCATTAATACCTCCAGAATCTACTCACCGCCTCGGTGTGAAGCGCGGCAACAGATTAATCTCGAGATCGACGAAGACTCCATCGAATACCGTCGTCACTCCACCAAAGGCCGCCGTCGCTGCTCCCAATGCGAGGAAAGACGAAGTACACCGACGCAGATATCCCTTCAATGATATGCTGAAGCGCAAAAGTGGAGGTGCGGTAGATCTCTCGAGAGATACTGCACCTTCAGGGCCCAGCAATGAATTTGTCAGATCAGAGATGCCGCCACCAGGCGACGATGCTCTAGACACGCGAATGGCACATAGGGTCGCAGACCTCGAAAGAGCTCTGGCGATTGCAAGAGAGGAGCATGAATTGGCCAGAGAAGAGCTGTCGAAAGTGAGGCAATCCAGACAAGCGGATCAGGATGCGATTGAGGAACTGAGGCAGCGACTTGTCGAGACAGGCTCGAATGCAGACCGAGCCCCAGTCGCCGGATCGAACGACCATGGAGAAGTGAGTGAGGTGCCAGGAGCTGCACAACAAAGAGAGGAAGAAATTGTGCGTCAGAACTCCGAACTACGTTACCGACTTGCGCAACTCGAGGAACAACTCGCATCGCACAACGAATTGCACCCACGCAGCCTCAAGCGACCGCAATCAAACGGGCAAGCGGACGAACTGCGGCTGCGCCTCCATGCCGCCGAGAAGGAATCACAAGAGAGACTTCAGCAGCTTCTGGCGCTGAAGTCTAGCATATCTTCGCTCACGCGTGTGGATTCGCAAATCACGGATAGCGAGCTCGCAGAGTCATTCTCACAGCTTGCAAACCGCGTGCGCGAATGGACCGTCTCGAACTTCAGGCGATCAAAACTGAACCTTAGCAATCTTCCGAAGGAGACTGCAGAAGCTCTCCGCGCCTTGAACCCTCGTTACATGGCTAGCATTCAATCCACGGATAAGCTTGCGCTGTATCAGGCTATCGTCTCAACATCGCTCATACGAATCCTCGATAGTTCTATCGTCTTTGGGCTACCTAGCATAGGCCCACTGGCGGCATTGCGACCGATTGCTGAGCACACACAACACCTTGGTACTACATACCGAGAATGGGTGCGTGCTACCATACAACTGCTTGAGCGCAGCGAAGCAAATGGAGAGATCAAAAAAGAAAACGAAGCGTCGCTACACCGACTCACCGGAGAGATCACCCACGTACTTTTCACGTTGACTTCTGTGAGCCTTGCGCCGAACGCACAGTCAACGCTGGCCGGGATATTGAAGGATGCCGTGGGTCTGCAGCGAACTCTCGCTTTGCAAAAGGCGCGCTACCAGTTACTCTTCTTTCGTTGCCAAGATGGCAATATGCGATTCGATGATCGAACAATGGAAGCTGTCAATGACATTGATCCCGCCATGGAAGATGATACTGATATGAACGTTGATCGCACGTTTCTATTCTGTGCATTCCCAGGTTTGATCAAGTACGGCGATGAGTGGGGAGAGCACTCCGAAATGAGCAATGTATTACTGAAAGCGAGGGTGTGCTCTGGTGTGAGCTGAAGTAGACTAGAGCCCGTAAACCCACTATACCACGTAACAGTATTTTCCGCCGCACCTGCATAATACCACCGTACATATTCCCGGTCATATCATAAGGTCTCTCTATTCAAATGTCTCTTATGCATATGTCGAACGCGTTCTTTCCGAGCTGCTCCTGCATTGATTAGGGGTGGGCCAGCTGGTGTTTGAAACATGGCGGTTGGACAGACCCGCCCTGTATCTGTTTCATTATTAGGAGAGCCTCTGACCGCTTTGCTCCACCGGACCGCCCTTGAAGTCGCCTCCTGGCCATACTAGAACGATATCATCTGCTTCCGGCAATGTTGAGTCATTGTATGAGCATCGTAAGAACCATGAAGGAGCGGTGAGGGCCACGTAGCCTCTAGGCACTATCGATTCTCTTGACCCTATACTCGATGTACGCTCCTCACGCACATCCGGAGGCTATGCTTCATCCATCATCAGGTACAATGTTTTAGCGCTGAGGCTCACGAAAATAAGCATTTTACCCCGGATTATCAGCTTTTCGAGAACTCCCATTTAGCCAGGACGGTTCGGCTCCACAGCGGTACATCATCTGACCACGCGGCCGCGACGCCATCCATCTACCCATCGCGCGATGTGCCGAAAGCCCCATACATTGCAGCCCTCTATTTGCTCGCTTGGTCGCTTTTCTCCCGAAGACACCAGGATTCATATGTACCCCAGACGACCGAGGCTTGGTCCTGCATGAAACAGATGTGAGCTACGGCAATAACCCCTGTCCGACCTTCATCACAGGACAGCTCAGATAAATTGCGACAACGGATGAAAGGACCATCTGTGCACCAAAACAACGCAAAGCACTACCTTCTACCCCACCAATACGACGTGATGTATAGTTGAGGCAACTGATTTTGCCTAAAAGACAGCTACGATGGCCATGTAAAACTTTCTTTATAAACACATCCATCCGCTGCCCAGACTTGATCACCACACTTCCTTGACATCCCAACTCAATCCGAAGCACAGTATCCACTTCCTCAACGTCAACATGAAGTTCTCCGCAGCCGCAGCTCTCTTTGCTGGTCTCGCCGCCGCCAGCCCTGTCGAGCTCACCGAACGCCAAAGCTGCCCTAAGGTCTACATCTTCGGAGCTCGTGAGACTACTGTCCCTCAAAGCAATGGCTACGGTACCGCTGCTGGGCTCGTAAACTCTGTCAAGTCCGCCTACCCGGGTGCAGGCTCTGAGGCTATTGTATACCCAGCGTGCGGTGGCGGCTCGTCCTGCGGTGGCGTATCCTACGACAACTCTGCTTCCCAAGGAACTGCAGCTGTTGTCAAGGCCGTCACTGCCTACAACCAGAAGTGCCCTAGCACCCAGATTGTCCTGATTGGATACTCTCAAGTACGAATGATCTTATGAATTTCAAAAGTGCCGAATACTAACTGTTGACAGGGAGGTCAAATCATGGACAACGCCATCTGTGGCGGTGCCGGTGCCACTTTGACCGGCAACGCCCTCGCAGCCGTCAAGGCTGCGATCTTCATGGGAGACCCACACAACCGCAACGGTCTTCCCTACAACGTTGGTACCTGCCAGGCTCAAGGCGTAAGTTTACCTATTCTCTCGTCCATCAATACACCTACTAACAGCTAATTCAGTTTGCCGCCCGCCCTGCTGGCTTCACCTGCGCACCTGCCAGCACCAGCATTATCAAGAGCTACTGCGACTCCCAGGACCCATACTGCTGCAATGGAAATGATGCCAACCACCACCAGCAGTACGTCAACATCTACGGCAACCAGGCTCTCACCTTCATCAAGAGCAAGCTCACTGCTTAAACGCATCTTGCACTTGAAGATGAGGAAGCAAAAATTGGCTAGCGCCTATTGGAGGTGCCAAACTTCGATGTAAATATGGATTAGACGAACATATGTATGCCACACAACACAAGAAAGCTTCTTTGCCTTCGCTGGATTGTTATCCTATCGGTGATCTTCACGTGCGCTCCCTAACACCCACCAACTCACATCAGGTAGTGTTTGCTCCCCAATGCCCCAATGTCCCCGATGTCCTAGTTAAAATTGATTTGGTGCGTCCAATCTAATATGTCTGGCATGTGCTTCGCAACCACCCTATAGTATCCTTTGTTGAATGGGCTTAGTCTTCGATACTTTGCCTTTTTAGATGTTGTGACCATGCTACGATGAGCTTCAGCGGCTAGATAATGGTGTTTGAAAGCAAGGATAGCTTTGGAGAGCTCCTCAATTGCGTCGTTGTCAGTGAACGTGATAGTGTTCATTGGGTATGGGAAGTAAAGAGACGTGGTGTCGTGCTATGTTGTAAGTACGGCATGTGTTTGCTTACATATTCTAGTTCGCAAGCTGATGGTCTTGCTTGCACTCGAGCTCGTGGACTATGACAAATCAAGAAGAAGCCACCAACGAATGCACAATCGCATCTTAGGGTGCATATACCTTTTCCTAGTTATGTTCTTCTTTCCAATTCCTTCCTTTTACTGACATCTTCCTTTCACTCCCACATCCTTCGCGTCCAGATATGTCCCCTCTGATTCCCATACCTGGAAGCTATACCGAATCCTCAGTCCACTACGCACCCTTTCATCAAGTGGCTACCGAAACCGACAAGATTGCCGAACTCACCGAAGATGTGATGAGTGCACTACAAAACTTGAAGCATACATACTTGGGCCACAAAACGACCTTGGAACCATCTTGGGGCAGAAACAAGTTTAGGACGCTTGAGAAGAAGCATATGTGCCACTTTAAAAGTTGCATGAAGGGGGTTACGGAGTACTTAGATATCATGCAAGAGTGGGTCGATGAGATTGGGAAGGAGTTGGAAGAGGAGGCTTCGAGCAGGTAGAAAGAAAGCAGTTTAAACATGAAGAAATATTGTTCATAGCATCTACTATCTACGAGATAAGAAATGCCAACCCAGACGCCTTGCAAATATGCAACAACTACTCATTAACTTCATCAATCTTTCATAACACATCTTACAACTTGGCCTTTGGTTCCCACTGATCCAGCAGGTCCGCCATCTCAAACCTAGGCCAGTCAGGGTTGAGGCTAGGCGCTGGCCTCTCACGATCCCAAGCCCACTTCTCCTTGAGTTCTGGTTCTAGCTCATCTTCGAGCATCTGTACGACATACTTGCCGAGCACGGGGAAGAACTTGTAGCCGTGGAAAGAACCACATGTTGCTACGAAGAGACCCTTGGCGCCGGCATGGGGCGAGATGATGAAGTCAGATGAAGTTGTGAATGCGTCCCTGAGCCATGTTAGTACTGATCGAATACCGGTATGTGAGCATCAAACTTACCAGCAGATGCGGTGCTTATCCATCTTCCAGTTCGCACCCTTCTTGCCGTAGAACACATCATTGGCGTGAGAAATGTCCAGCTTCAATGGGCCAGGAACATCCCATTGGTTGTAGTCCTTTCCAGATGGCGGCGCAGAAACGAAGCGACCGGGGAGTACTTCATGTGTGTTCTTGAAGATCTTCTCTCCCCACCACTTGAGCTCGCGATCCTTTGTAGGCGGTAAGCTGCCAATGAAGGGTCCGTATGCGGCAGTGTAGCCCTGGACACCAACGGGCATATCCTTGAACCTTTCGTATGACTTCTCGTCGAGAGTCGTCATACCGGTCGTGATACCACCAGCAACAATTCTTGATCCAGAACGGAGGTCTGGATTCCCGCTTTTCTTAGCAGCCTGCTCGAGGAGCTTCGCGGTGTAAGCGCCGGTTGAAAGGATTGTATGTGAGGCTTTGATGGTGTTGCCTTGCTCGGTGTTGACACCAATACACGTTCCCGCGTTGTCGAACTCTAGGCTTTCAACTTTCTCTGTGACGTACTTGACGCCCTTTGCGATCGACCACTTGGTAACTGCTCGTAGCGCATCGCCAGCCTGTGCCCAACCACTCGTCTTGTTAACAAGTACGCTCTTCGCGCCGTCGTAGTTCGCATCCTCGAAAAGTCCGCCGAACAACTTCTTCGCCTCTTCAACGGTAACTGATTTCAAGTCCGCCTCGCGTCCAAGCTTCTTGTAGTTGTCGATGACGTCTTGTGCGTAATCTGAGCGGCAGACCCAGAAAATACCAGTCTCGTGGAAGTATGGTTGCCATAATGGGTCCTCCTTGAAGATATCTTGCGCCTCCAGTGCAAGTCTGCAGTAGATGACATCGTCGTAGTCGGCGCGTACAACCTTGTTCCAGTCCCACGAAGCTGCTACGCGGTTATCAGCGTCCCAAGCATCTTGGTCGACGACTGTGACTTGTCGGTCCGGGTACTTCTTGATAAGGTGGTAAGCAGTCGAAATTCCGAAGACGCCGGCGCCAACGACGAGGTATGAGGGCTTGCTCGATGCCATGTTGTTCAGGATAACTGGTTTATCGTTGCAGAGCATAGAGTGAGAGAAATTTACCACAGCGATAATCGTGCAAGACCGTCGAACTGCGTATTTATATCATCACTTACTGCACCTATCACTTGCATCACAAACGGCTAATAGAAATAGTGGGCCGTTCTCGGCCACATCGTCGTGGTCGCTGTAGACTAGGCGCGGGGCATTCGTGGAGGTTGTTTCCTTATCGAGCAAGACTTTGCGACGGGCAAGCTCCATCGCCTTTCCGATACCTTCTCCGCCGGCTGCCATGGCTCCAATTGGACATGACATGTAAATAGTCGACCGCCTATCTGCTGATATCGACGTCTGAAGGGTTGCGCAGCCGTCACCGACGGTTCCGACTATCGTGACCGCCTAAAATTTCGCCGCTTCTAAGCGAGCTAGTGGCCGTGGTGTGCTAACCTGATTCAGCCATGCAGCGCGATGAGCGAATCTGGAGTATGAAACAACATCATTTTGACATATGGAGCATATTGGGAGTTTGGAGGAGACAATTATTGAGACAGGTAATATACAGCCTATGTTGATGAGCCCGAGATGTATATGTAGTAGCTATGCGAGGCTACATCAAGTTGGGAAGACCATCATGAGCTTGCACTGGCTTATCAAGAAAGCTTTAGCATCGTAATCATGTTACTCGCAGCGTTGTCGGAGGTGCCTTTGCGTCTCTCACAAACTAGGAATGCGCGGTGAAGGTTATGCTAGCAGTAAGCGTTCTTGCAATACGAACAGGATTATCGATACTATCGCATCCTTGCGAACAGCGTGACAGCTTAGCCTTTCTGCAAGATACAGTTCCAGCCGTTATACTTAATGCCCTCCATATGCATGATACATACATATATCTTGGGAAGGCTATGAGTATCCTGGCCAGTGACAAAGCACTCCAGCGTATCAGAGACCTACAAGCCATGCACAAGGAGACCAGGGGCACTTGAGTACATCCATTAGAACATCACAGAGAACCTTACTAGAAATCTAGGCGCATACGCGAATACACAATCGATGCCGTGTCAGGACACTAGATCTGACGGCGTCTTCCGATAGCCCTGCAGGACGACGCCTCGAGTCTCCATCGCGTGGACACGGCACATTGGTCAACTTAGTGTGAAAGCCGTCCAATCAGTACCCACTGAAATGCTCCATCTGGTTCTTTGGTGGTTGCTTTGTAAGCTATATAACCGTCACGACCGCACTGCCAGTTCAGTAGCGATATTTAATACCTTTTTCTGGCCGTGGGGTCATGCTCGCCAGTCCACTGCCCGCGGAGCGACTATCAAGAACGTTTTGTGTATCTTGATCGCTCTCGGGTTCTGGGCTTGAAAGGACGATGTATACTGATGAAGCCGCCCGGTCAGCCGCTGTGCTGGCACGCGGTTTCTTCGAACTACCCCGGTCTTTGGATCCGGATTGCACCCTCTTGCGACGTAATTTTCTAGCGTTAATTTTCGGTTTCAGTATATATATCTCCTGATCTGGTTCATTGCGAGTCCGGTAGAAGTCGTGACTCCCAGGAAAGCTGCCAGCCCAGTCAAGCGCCTTGTGCTTGATCTTAGTGCCGAGAACTTGCAAAAGGTCAGTTTTAAAAGACGCCATCTTAGCAATAGGATATACTGACAGTAAGTATCTTCTTCGGACCGGGTTGTCAGGTCCACACATACTATCTTGCTGCGCACTGTGGATGGCTTCGGACTTGGCGGCGCTAGCGGAGCTACCGCGGCTGACGGAGGTGGACTGCTACTTGGTGGTCGATACAGAGATCCACTGTCTTCCATCTCATCGTCGCCGCTGACACGGGGAGGTCCGTAATTACTACGCGGTCCAATTAGATCCACAGCAGCAGAGTGAGAACCGGTCTCGACTGAAGCTGATTGTGTTAGTAGGGTATTATCTGGATTAGATGGAAGCAAAACGGCGAAATAGTGTAACTTACATAGTGTAGGCTCGGTGTCCGCTTCGGCTCTGTTACCTCCAGGTGACATGTCGGCCCCAGAGCCTGGATCGCCGGTAGCGTCTTGCTGAGGATGTCCAGATTGGTTGTCTTGTTCCTGCCGAGCCATGGGCAACCGCCTTTTATTCTGCTGCTCGAGCAACATGAGCTGCATTTGGTAGTCCTGAAGTGCATGGCTTCCCAGTAGAGGATGCCAAGATTGATTGCCTTGTTCTTGCCGGGCAGTGGCCCATCGCTCCTTATGCTGCTGTTCGATTAACATCAACTCAGGCGATCGCCAGTTTGGCAGCTCCTGTACGCGCAGCTGAGGAGCGAGAGATTGTAAATGAACAGCATCTTCGTGAAGAGGCTTCATAGGCTTTGGAGATATAGCAATGAAAGACCCTTCAACGTCTCTTGATACTTGAGGGAGGTATCCAAGGTTGGTGTCAAGACCTGAGAATGTGACACCACCGCTGACAGCTTGCGATATCTGATATGGGCAGGCGCAAGACTCTTCTGTTAGCTGTCAGTTTGATGACAACGCTCAATTTCCTCAAGATACTCCTCAAGATACTTACCTTCATGGTGTATAAGAGTAGCATGCAACGGTAGTTTATGCCTAACTCCAACCCGAGACAGAACAATCTTGACCGTCTTGTCCTTGTGCCTGTGTGAGTCTGTCGACTCCCAAGTGACCGAAAGCTCGCCCTTTTTCTGTGTTGGAAAGCATTTAACAGACCTAGGCATCTGCGACAAGCGATTCCTTGCCATACTCTTGAGCCAGCGTTCTTCAGTGACAACTTGAGGATGATGACCAGTGGCTATGAGCCGAGAGATCATAATATCCCATAGCTGCAGGACTGCGTGATCGCAGGAGAATACCTCTTGGTTTGCTGATTGGTCTTCTTCGCAAAACGTTTGCTCGTGCGCGCCTTCCCAAGTAAGCCACTTGCTGTGAATTTTCCACGCATCTGCAAAGAATCCGGCGTCAATGTCCAAGTGCTCGCCGTTCACAAAGAAAAGTTTCATGTCCCGGGTCGCTGGAGAGGACGACAACAAGCACTTCAACATCCTGTTCATATGTAACGCAAAGCTGCTGTTAGGTAGTTTTACAACTCGCGCAGATTTGAAACGATGGAGCAGTTCATCTCTAGGTGTTTTGCAAAGGAAGTACTTCCTCAAGATCCTCCATAACTCGGGGTCGATGGGAACAGGATTCTTGCGCAAACTCTTCTCGATGATATGCACTTCCTAGGATGCAAAGTAAGTAATGCGTGTTTCAATGGAGCTTATCCACTTACATCCTTTCCCTCACTAGCCGAATAGTAAAAGGCTGTTCGACCTTCATCATCCTTGTTGAGCGTCAGCATCTTCGCCCAAACCCTCCTGGCAATATCGCCAGGCATAAGCTCATCCTCCCCCTCGTGAATTTGCATCATTACGTCACCCTTCTTGTTGATGGAGCTTAGAAGCAGATAAGTGTAGTCCGACACTAGTTCGGAATCACTAGACGCATCTGCTCGTATCGCAGCTGACCAGATGGCGGAAATGCCTTCACTTTCTTCTCCTACGCCCGAAAGCGCATCGCGATCGGAGCTTGTACTTCCTTCGGCGAAGTTGTATCCGTATACGTATTTTTCTCTGTTCGTTCCACCGCGCGGTAGTAGAAGACCACGTAGGTACATGCGTCCTTGGTATTCAGGATCGCGAATAAGGTCACCATGAATGGTGCGAATGATATCTTTTGGTGGATTGATGTCGAGCGTAACAGTGATCCAATCCTTGTACTCGGCAATACTAAGTCGTTTGCCCTGCGTCGGGGATCCACAGATGTCGCGAGTACGCCCCGGAGCAGCAACGGTCAAGCAAACATCCTCCCAGGGATGCGAGATGTGAGTCCTGGGCTGACCCCAAGCCTTCTTCTTTAAATTTTCCAATCTCTTCTCATTGATGCGACTGAGAGAGCAGGCTAGGCTACCTTTCTTGTATAAGAATCTCCATTTGAATCCACCACTTTCATAGTGAGCGTTGTAGTTGTTGCGTCGATAAACAAGGGCAGAGAGCTTCATGCCATCGCCATGTTGTCCGGTCTGTCCATTGTCGTGGGCCTTAGTTGTTGCCCCAGTACCCAAATCGCAGTACCTGAGAGTGGCTTTGAAGTTGACTATCTTCAGACCTCCTACACAATATCCTTCCTTATCACATCTGAATTGAATAAAGCCAAGCAACTTTCCAGTGTCTGGATGACGCGCCTCGATGAGTATGACCCCTTTTCCCCCATCGAGTTTCTCGGTATACGTGGGACGAAATCGGGATTGAGCAAGGTCGAAAGATCTCAGAATGCCGTCTCTCCTGTGGCTGGTCAGAGGCTGATATTTCGAGGCGGTCAACGAATAAACTTACCAGTTTTGATAGGACTCACGAAATGCTTCCTTGCATGTCCAATGTGGCCTATATCGATTCACGATGTTGAGATCCTTGGTGGTACGTCGAATGCGGATAAGATCCGTGTTCAGATCATGGTGGACATCGTCGTTGTCAGAGAAGTAGCTGGAGTCGCTGACATCCCCGTCCACCTCTAACGGATGTTGTGTGACACTGGCAGACACAACCTGATGTGCCCGTTCTGCCTCCAACATGCGAATCTTGTCTTGCCTGAGAAAAGTATCCCCCATACTCAAATATTGAGGTCAATTGGGCTAATCACACGCAGTAGTAGTAGGGTGTCAGCCTTGTGATAACGCAAGGCGCAGCATATGTTGTAAAGATTCGTCTATCGTACAAGGAAGCCCATCCAAAGCAGAGAATGTAAGTCCTCAAAAGAATGGTGGGTAGGCGGTAGAGATGACGAGGAGCACTGGATGGATAGCTGAAGTCCCTAGGTAACGCCTGTGGCTGCGGCACGGGTATCGCTTGGCGTGCCTTGTCGGGCATTAGCGTTGCGCGCGATCACGTGAACGCAGGATGAAGTCAAGCTGTTGTTTCATCTTCTCGTGTTTACACTCGTTATCGTGATGACCTAATTACAGCTGTTTCGAGTGGAAGTGTGAGTGGGTTGACTATTCCACGACGCCGATTTCCCAAGGGCGTTGTTCGAGACAGCTTGCGCAACCTCAAACCACCGTAACCGTTCCATTACCCCTCAAATCCATGGAACTCGAACCGACATGCACAATGAAGTCTCCCTTCTCAACCACATATTGCATCTTCCTGTCCCACAAGCCCCACTTGGAGACATCTAAATCTACACTAACATCCACCGTCTCTCCAGCCTTGATCATAACCTTCTTGAAGCCCTTGAGCTCCTTGTTGGGCACAACGACACTGGCGAAGACGTCTTGTACGTAAACCTGCACTACTTCCTTGCCGTCCACAGGTGACTCGTTGGTCACACTTACAGTCGCGGTAATCTTATCGCTCGCGCTGACCTCGGTCTTCGAAAGGGTAACGTTGGAGTACGTGAAGTTGGCGTAGGAGAGACCGTAACCAAACTCGTATAATGGCTGAGGGTTGTTGAGAACGTACTGGTGGCCGAACTGTAGGGTGCCGTTTGGTAGAATCGCCCCGGCGTCGGTAGAGCGACCAGAGTTCAGGTAGTCGTAGTAGATCGGTAGTGTACCGACATCGTAGGGGAAAGAGACAGAAAGCTTGCCGGAGGGGGTAACATCCCCAAAGAGGACGTCGGCCAATCCGTTGCCACCCTGCTCACCAGGGTAAAACTGCTGGAGGAGGGCGGCTGCGTTGTCGGAAATCCAGGGCTCTGTGACGGGCTTTCCAGAGGAGTACACGACGATGGTAGGTTTGCCGGTCTCGATGATGGCTTGAACGAGCTCGCCCATAGCGCCGACAAGGTTGAGTGATGCGACATCTACATGCTCACCAGTAGTGGCGTTCAGACCTTGCCAAAGCTCCTGCTGATCACGCGACCAGGTGCCGACAACTACTACTGCAACATCAGCAGCCTCAGCCGCAGCCACCGCATCGGGGAAGCCGGACTGGTCATTTGACCAGCGTTCGCATCCTTGAGCGTACGTTACTGTGCCACTGGCAGCACCCTGGATGCCCTGCAATGGAGTGACATTGGTGGGGTTGTACTGAGAGCGGTAGACCACGTAATCGCCCAGGTTTGTAATGTTCGCCATGGGCCCAATGACGGCAATGTTAGCAGACTTGGAGAGTGGCAGGGTGCTGTTCTTGTTCTCGAGCAAGACGATGGATTCAGCCTCAAGCGTCCTGGCAAGCTGGACATGTTCTTCAGGGTGGATAATGGACTCAGTCGCGTTCGTGGAGAGACCTTGGTATGGGTTTTCGAATAGACCCATTTCGAACTTCGCTCGAAGCTGACGGCTTACGGCTCTGTCGACAATCTCAATATCCAGCTTGCCTTCTTCGACCAAGCGAGGGATGTTGGCATAGTTGTATGAGCCTCCACCCATCTCCACATCGTTACCATTTGGTAGGGCCATGAGTGTCACTGCTTCACTGTCGATTGGCGTGTCTTCTGTCTTACATTGGCACAACTTGAAGCTGCAGCAAAGCCTGTCAGTGGCTCCCGCATCCGAAGTCAGCCAGTACTTGTAGCCCCACTCCTCGCGTAGAATGGTTTCTTGCATATGGCCATCGGCGATCGAAGGTATTCCGTCGTAAGAGTGATAAGCACCCATGATATTCCAAGCACCGGCATCAATGATAGAACGATGGAAGGACGGTAGCCATGTGGTTCGTAGCTCACGTTCACCTCCATGAACTGGTCCGGTGTTTAGGCCCTGCTCTGGGTTGCTGAAGCCGGCGAAGTGCTTGACTGTGGCGCTAACGTTCAGACTTTGTACTCCTTTGACATACTCATATGTCATCTCGCCGGCCAGGAATCCATCTTCGCCGTACGTCTCTTCCACTCTTCCAAAACGCAGCTCACGCGCTAGATCTGCGACTGGTGCGAACAGTTGGTTGATACCGAGAGGTGCTGATTCTTTCGCAATCGCAACGGCCATGTCGTGTATGAGCTGCGGATCCCACGAGCATGCTTGCCCAATCGGACTGTTGTAGATGGTCGCATTACCCACGAGTAAACCATGAATAGCTTCGGTCTGAACCAATGCCGGGATACCCAATGTCGTGTTATGCAAAAGGTAGTCCTGACCGATTTTGACGCCATTGCTGATCCACTCTGCAGGTATCGGATAGCCGACATAAAACTGGCCTGCGCGGACACGGAAGTTCCATTCGAGACCAGTCTCGTTGACAACATTGGTGGTGACATTGATCCAATTCGAGATATCTCCTTGGATGAGCTGAGCAGTCTTTTCCTCGATGGTCATACGGGAAAGAAGGTCTGCCACTCTGTCCTCGACTGGAGCGGAAGCATCCTTGTAGGTTGCATTGGCTGCCTGTTGTCTGCGAACCAAATCGAGTGCGCTACTGGGAAGAAGTAGAGCGCACCCAACAAGTAGAGAGGCTGAGCCGAAGAAGGACTGCCGCATATTGATATGAATTGGAAGTGCAGTCTCGCCCGGATACTGGGTTCTAGACAATGTACCATGAGTCTTATAGGTTCTCCTCAGGGTCTACGGGCCGTTGAAAGGGGCGCATACAGACTCCATGATGTACCGCGGACAATTTGCCCCCGAGAAGCTCATCGTATATTGAGGTATCGGTTCAACGGGCGACGATCGATGCATGTTTCCTAAGCGAGGTGACGCCGAGGGTGTTGAGATGCGTGCAACTCGTGCTGAGCATTTGAATACAGCCCCGGTGCAGATCGGAAGGCTTGCTATAATCGTGCTTTCCTTGATTGCGCGTGATTTGTCGACTTGACGCGTAGAATCGAAGTAAAGAATGTCATGGAGAGTGTGTGGAGTCTGAGGTTTGATTGACGGAAGAAATGGTGGCTTGCGCTAGCCAAGGCGCTTCTCCCCCGCTTCTGATCTTCAACGAACAACGCTCTCCGCACCTCAACCCCGGATCATCTCAGTCATTGAACCTTTCCGACATAGTTTGATGTACTGTTTGTGTTCCTTCGGAAACTAGGGATCAGATCCGCGAGCTTTGCCGCGTCTTTGCGCTAATTGTCAACGCAATGACGTCGCGAATTAGTAGAGGGTATGTGTATTGAAGTTACACCATTCATTGTACATTATATAATGTCCGATTATGTCCCGAAGCCGACCAGGGCTCATCATCGAGTTCCCTTGATCTCCCTCATTTGTAGTGTAATATGCACCGTGCCAACATCATCTGAATCCATCTGTAAGCCGAAACCATATCTGCAAACCCAAACTCTTTCCAAAACGCCGTGATGTATCGCATACCTGGTATATCCTCCTCTTAACATCCGCAACCGCGAACTATGATTAATCATATAAACATTAAACTAATACTCTCATAATAATAAACATAAGAATCGTAAAGGTCATCGTCTTCTCTCGTAACAATGTCTCGCTCATAGAGGACGAAAATGGTTACAAAGGTTATGCCATGAGCAAGAAAGGAACAAAGAAAGCAACCCACCATACCTTCTCCTTATTTCTCTTACTCAAGAGACCAGAGGCTCCCGCTGCGCTAGGCGCAGGCGGTATACCAGTGTATTGGGAGATAAATGTTGAGGTGGGTGTTGCAGTAGTGCTGAGCGTCGAGCCGGCGACGTTCGCGCTGGAGGGTTCAGGTGTGGGCCGCGAAATAGGGGAAGCGGAGCCACGGGAGGCGGAGGGGTTGTATGAGAATGGCGGGGCGGTGGGAAAGTCGGTGTTTGATGGGGTGGATTCGGTGTTGGACGAAGATGATGGTGTTGAGGACGTGACTGTGACTGTGGAGAGAATGGTAGATGCTGAATCTACGGCCGACGATGACGGCACAACCGAATCGCTTGTTGATGTCGAAGGCGGCGAAGCTGCTGGTGTAGATGAGGACATAGTTGGGAGTGCAACAATGGTGGTTGTCGTTGTCTTCGATGCACTCGATTCGATGTCTGAGGGAGACGGAAGTGGAAGAGTAGGGAGCGACAGCACAACAGTGGTTGTAGTTGTCACGGTCGCAATAGGTCGTGGGGTGGTATCGGGGAGGAGGATGGAAGACAGAACTTCAAGATCTATGGTGGTATCCGGGAGAAGGATGGACGAGAGAAGTCCAAGATCTATGGTAGAACCGGCCAGTTCATCAGCGTTGCCAAGTGCAGCCATGGGTGGGCTAGGAGGGATGCTGGTAACGACGGCAGACGAAGGCACAGCGTTGAAAGAGCTCTGAGTTACTGATGCTGTAAGAATAGTGGAGCAATCCGATGTCGATACCGTAGGAAGAGTTGCATTCGAAGCAGGAGACGAACTTTGTTGCGCTGTGGCATACACCGTTTCGGAAACGACTACCACAACCATGGAAGGATCCCCTGAAGTCGGAATTGACAAAGGCTGGGTGACGGCTGTTGAGCTTGATAGCGGCGAGTAATAGATGGAAGTCGCATTCTGTGCGGTAAGATTGAACGAACTTGATACCGACAATGCCACTGTTGATGCTTCTGGCGAGGAGCTTGATACTGCATATGTATTTGATGACGAGGGAGAGGCTGTGGCAATTGATGTGTTCCATGATGGGGTCGAGTAGGGGGCAACGATTGCTGTGCTGGGCTCCGGACTTGATGAAGATAAGACAGGCGGCGGTGTTGGTAGCCCAGGAGCATGTACGTGTGGTCGTGGTGTTCCGGCATGTGCAGCTATTAGGGTCAGTATATCGCAGCCACCCAAGCCATCCCCACCATCTACTTACTGCTGTTGAGATAATATGGTCCTGGAACTACACCACCGAGTACACCCATCGACAGTGCACTCAGCACGATTATGGTTGAACTTCTTTTCATGATGAACGAATGTATGTTGTGATTACGCAAAGAATGACGTGCTGCTATTGGCCAAACACAGATCTGAAGAAGATCCGAGAGGACAGGAACAAAAGATTGCAGATGAACAAACACAAGGCGTTGGAAGAACTATTCCCACGCAGCACTAGCCCTATGTTCATATGTATTAATACTGGGGGGCTGATATCGACCGTTCCCAGAAACCAGGGTGGCTGGTCGCCAGCCACCGGCGGTCAATCCTGCGAAAAAGCATGCTTGCCGCAAAACAACGTTCGGTGTAGCGAAGCGCACACGTACAACCTATGCACCGTGCCAACGGCGACGATATGAAACTTTCCGGTTTACCAATTCTATGTGCATGCAATGGTGGTCGAGATGCTACAATGTTGCGGTGAGTGATGCGACAGAGACGTTGGGCAAGGAAGGCGGGCATTGCACAGGCCTTCACCACGTCAAAACTTGGTAGCCAGCGCGACAAGGCTTCGTGATACCCGCGCGACGCGTTGTACCATCAGAACCTGCAAATCGCCGTGGCACTGATCAGCATTTATCAAGCCGAGACGTGGACATCTCACCGCCAGCGCAGCGAGCGGAAAGCGACAGACCGTGGACCACATTACCTTGGCTTGAAGTACCTTGGAAGCATAGGCGTCAAATCGACGGTGTGAGCTCGGAGTTTACGGAACGATGGAGTCAGGGCAGATGGAACATATGCAGTGGAATAAATTATATTGATTAATGTCTAGCATGGAGCGCATGGTGCTAAGTGAACACACCGCACAAGACCTATAACTTCTTTTGTTAGCGAAGCTCCCAAAGGAAGGTAGGATAGGAACATAATGAGTTCGATGCAAATCAGACAGCAGTTGGTACAATTTTTGGTCGACATTAAATTCCGATCAGGTCTGTGATTAAAAGGTTTTTTCATCATTGCATTAGGGATTGAAAAGAAAATATGTAGACTTACTATTGATGACTTCATACAGTTTTGCAACGTTTGAAGAAAACCTTGATGCTTGTTTGCGATGGATCGTGGCGGGAGCTTCCGACACCACCGCGGGTGCGTTTGAGGCTGCGGAGATGGTCCTTACCATTGATCGCAAGGATGGTACATGACCATCCTATAGCGATGCGCGGTGTAATGGCCGGCGAGGCTACAACAGCTGCCCGGATAGGCACTTCTGAAACCTGCTGGCGTGCAGGACCATATTCAGTTGCGGCTTGTGGTACCTTGACCTCGTCCAGACCTTCGTCGGTAGCCGGCATCTCTACAGGCGACGAAGAAGGTTCTGAAGTAGAAACCACAGGTATGTCCGCAGTGATACTTGGATCACCATGTCCTACTCTCGTCATGTGCAACTCAAGGTAGCCAGTGTTGGACCAACCACCCAGATGCTCGACCGATGGTCGCGCCGTAGCCTGAAGCTCCGGACAGAACGCAACGCTGTTGTGCGGAAGGCGCAAAAGCAGGCGCTTCCAAAGGGTGGAGAGAAAGATGCCGTGCGAGACTATCGCAACCACGGGATCCGCATCTTTCGACGCGTCAACGAGGAGCGGCACGAGATGCTCATCAAGAAATGAATCAGCTCGACGTGCCATAGTGTCTTTCGACTCCACATGCACAAAGTCCGTTGTATCCTTGTTCTTTGGCCGATCAAAGAATTTCTTCCCTTCCATGGACCCAAAGTCTTGTTCCATCAGTACCGGTAGCTGCATGACATCGGGTACCGGCTTCACAGTATTGTCATCGCTTGTCGGTATCAACTGAGCCTCTCGGATCTTGCCGGCCGTTTTCACAGCCCGCTGTAGATGCGATGAGAACAGGTGGGTGAATGTCAAGCCAAGGGACTTGAAGTGCAGACCCAGGCGGGTGGCCTGTTGGTAGCCGTGGTTGGTGAGCGCTGAATCTCTGCTACCGGCACTGGAACTGTTAGTAAGGAACGGTGTCGACTGCTGCTGATATGCTTACTAGAGCTGGGCGACATTGTCGACTGTTTCTCCATGCCGGATAAGAAACAGTCTCACCGATCGCGCCATGGTGCCCACAAAGGGCGGTATGAAGCGCCGTCGAGCTTCATGGATGAAGGAGCGATGCAGGGAAAGGTAGAGCTCCAACAAAGAGCGCGGATTATTTTCGCTGATTGGGCCCGTGTTAGCGTCGTGATGACTAAACTTGCACCCTTATCTGGCTCAGTCAACGGCTGATGCGCGTCCAACATACCCAGCCCGGTCTTCAATCTGGCACTTCTAAACTAAAGATAACGATCAGACGTTTGGAACCGTAGCAATTCGATGCTCGGATGAAAGCCATGAGGAAGTAGAGCCAGGCTGGTTTTGGCTTCAGAAGGCGATCTATCCACGTAGGTTGTGGAAACAACCTAAGGCTTTGGAACACGCTTCGTCCAGCTAATCTGTGACACATTTCACGTCTTTGAAGGACGATGCATTGGTATCGCTCTCAACATACTCCGTCGTTCTATCCAAATCCTGCTCTAGGTTTTCTTGTCTCCAGAGCTGCCGCCCGACCGTTTCTTCGTTCGTTAAATCGACGTTGACGACATTCCCGATCTCTTCTGTCAAACACCCTGAGCCCGCCCTTCCACTCACAACTAGAAATCTTTACTTTCCGCATATCGCTCACGGGCAGTCAGGTCTGCCATATCACCTTACGACATATTCCATTAGACGGGAGTCACTGCACTAGACAACCCTCTAGATATCCCGGTCTTCGAAGCCATTCTCAACACTTTTTTTTATAGCCAAATTGATATCATGTGGTCTACTCCCGTAGCGGACTTCTGTAGGTTGCCATAGTCGCGCATTCGGCAAAGGTTGCCAAATTCTTGCGGTTCTCTCACCTCGGCCTGAGATACTCTTCGCGCCACAACTCTCCAAAACTCACCTTGCCACTAGGTCGCTTAGTGGGTTCATGTTACGCTACCATTTATAACTATCACTACATATTGTTTCTTATTCACACCTCTTTGCTGCCTTTCTGCTTCGCTTCTGCTTCGTTCGCATTAAATAGTCACGTCCCGTCATTCAGAAGGGACAAACTCGACATGGCCGACGAAATTATGCCACCCAGGCCTGAAGTCGAATTTGATTTCAATCTCACTCATGGAATCGATGCCGACAAGAATGCGGCCGAGAACCATCGAAATTCTCATGGTTACCAAGAGCATGACACCTCAACGAAAAGCATCCGTAACAGCGCCGAATATGACCTTGATATCGACATGCATGAAAGGAGTGATGGCGTTCACCACAGCGAAGAGACCAGTCAAGACCACAGTAAGGATGACCAGAACTTAAGTCTCCAAAACATGAACTTCAACATGCTCGAGAAAGGCTTTTCCGATGACGACGATGCACCCGAAGCATTCGATCGCTCCTGGCTCGCTCACCAGGCCCGGAAGTCTCCACCGAAAACAAATAAATCGCCGAGGGCTGATGATGGAGACGATGAAGCAAGTCCGAGAAGCAAGAAGCCATGTCAGTCGCTCTTTGGGGGACCAGCGGATGAGGCCGAAGGACACCAGTACGACGATCTCTTCGAGGAACGTCCTGCAGATCGCCTTGGGGATCAGGTTGACGACTTACCTGAGACCGACAATCCCAGACGAAGCATTGGCAATCGTATGTCCAGTCATAATCTCGAACAGCAAGAGAGGGAGGACTGCCCATCTGAGCAGCCACTCAATCTTGGGTTCGTATTTGGAGACTCTGATAGAGAGAGTACGTCCCCCAGAGCATCTCTAGCGCCATCAGACAGCGGGATCGGCATTCCCGCCGATACTCAGGTAAGTGTGATCGGTGTATAACTCTTATCGTAATCACATACTTACGTCACAAGCCGGCCTATAAGTTACGTCAAGGCATCGACCGAAGGACTACGTACACATATGTCGACCAGGATGAGTCTGGCAACTTCGATCCCGCAAGTGAGCCCAAAAACAACGTGCAGAAGCTCAAACTGGCAAAGGCAGCGAAAGCCGCCAAAGCTGCACAACAGTTCAGGAAAGACAAGCAGCGCACACCTAGAGAAATGGTCATGAAGTGCATCGTCAAACTTCGCATCGAGAGGTTCGGCAATGTAAAGAATATCACCGATGATGAGGAGAACTGGCCAGGAGACTGGTCAGACGTTGATTCCGAAACTGAGCGCGAACTACAAGAGTATCGTGCGTTTTTCCGCCGCAATACACCCGATCGCAACATGCAGCTCCCAATCCAAGATCCTCGCTCCGAGGTTGAGGATCTGACAGGCCATCCAGTAGCGCGAGGCTGCATATCATGTCGCATCCACGGAACAGATTGCTCTTTAGTAGCAGGCGGTACATACCCTTGTCAGCACTGCTGCGACCAAGACCAAGACTGCGAACCTATCATCCCACCTACCGAGAAAGGCCGCTGCAAACAATGTGTCGATGACGGCAATGATTACTGCTCCTTTGAAGACGAGCCTGGTCAAGCCATTTGCGATCATTGCGCGGAAGATGAGCATATTTGCGAAGCGCTTCCGCCGGTAGGCTACCGCGCAGAAAGGATCATCATCGACGAGGTGATCTATACCGAGGATCGACCCTACATACAATGCACGAACTGTCGTCGAGAGAAAAAGCGCTGCAGCTTGAAGAAGAAGACAGATAGGCCTCCATGCAAATACTGCAAAAAGCACAATATTGGCTGCACCTTCTACGAGATCCCGAAGGTCGCCAAAGAGAAAAAGGTCAAAGTGAAGGGACCGACCGAAGGAGATGCACCTGAAGTCGCTGTGCCGGACCATGATTATTTCACCAAGGAAGATCTGGACGATTTGTACGGAGAAGATGTGCAGATGGGGTCACGCTCTCCAACCCCCGAGATTGAAATGGAAGATAACACTGGCCACAAAGGTAGGCTGACAAAGGTCAAGACCAGCTTTGCCCATCCCATCCAGTTCGGCGCCGTCGAGAACACTTCCGACTGCAACTTTTGTGACATCCCTGTGTTCGGTTTCGTCGGACACTTCGAGAGGGAGGTTCATGTGATTCGTTGGTACGGTGAACATGGCTATACTGAAGTTGGCGGTGGTCATGCGGAGAACCAGAGGGGCGGAACGACCATGTGCCAGAGTTGCACGATTGGTAAGTCGCATTCTACTTGCTTTCCATAAATACTGGGACACTTTAGGTATCAGTTTTGCTAACAATTCTGCCAGGCAGGGCACAGATCGTGGCTTGCGAAAACCATGACATTCAGCACATCTTTCCCGATGACACGATCTCAAGTTTCGAAGAGACATTCGCCGACCTTCTAGAAGCCGCTGAAGAATCGGCCGAAATCCAACAACAACTCCAGCGTTGGTGTTCGATGTGCTTCTCACCCGCCAGGTTCACCTGCTGCACGCGCCAGATCTCGCTGTTCTCGACCGATGATCCCGAGGCGGAGATCGACGGATGTGGTCTAAGGCTCTGTACTAGCTGCGAGATCAAGCTTAGAGAGGGCTTTGATGGAGATACCAGTCTTATGGCCGAAACGCTGGACCGTGAGGGGAAGGCTAAAGCGGAAGATGAGGACCCCACTGACGTGATGGTGGTAAGGGCAGATGTAGGGTTCCTTTCTAGGGAAGGACTACTAATGAGAAACCTGGAACTCGAGGCAGAGAAAGCAGACATTTAGCTTGGCGTGTAGGCGTTGGTATCGACTTGGTGAAAGATGCGCTATGAATGCAGACTGTCTGCTATTCAGTTTACCGTGTCCTGACCGAAGACGAAATGGCCATGGTTCTCTGAGAGTGCCGAAGAATGACGTGTGTGCCTCCAGGACACATCAACTGTCCTATGACTCACTTTCGACAATACTGAATCTCCTGAGTATAGCAAGAACTTTGAACATTATCGCACGCTAACTCTACTAATACTCAAAGCCAGCAGCCTTCCGCTCTTCAAATTCGGTCTCATAAGGAGCCTCGGCCTGCGGCGTAATTCTCGCCAAATGCCTGCGCGCGCCATCATCCCAGTCGAGCAACGCACTGTGCGCTGTAACGCGATTATCCCAAACCACAACGGTACCAGGCGCCCACTTGACGCGTGCCTGAAAGTCCTGACCCTTTGCAATATGATCGTATAAGAAGTTGAGCAGGAAGTCCGACTCCTCCTTCTTGAAGCCTACGATGCGTCGACTAAATTGGGGATTCACGAAGAGCGCCTTCTCGCCTGTCGCAGGATGTGTTCGCACGAGCGGATGGATTGAGGTCACCGGATCACGACGGACGACGCCACCTCTGTTCTTGCTATTGTCGGCCTGCTCGACAGCTAAGACAGTGTTAGCATTTTTCGCATCGCGATATCGAGGTTAAAGCTTACCTGAGTGAACGACTCTAAGGCCGTGGAGTCGCTTCCTGAACTCTGGCGAGAGTCTGTTGTACGCTGCCGCCTGGTTTGCGAACAAAGTATCGCCTCCCGCAGCTGGCCCATCTAGAAGGTACAAGAAGGTAGTTCCAGGCGGCTGTTTCTCATACGTCACATCTGAATGCCAGGTAATCGAGTTCGTCCGCTCTTCGAAGAAGTCCCGCGCGGTAGTGTCATCAGTACCTCGGTGAACGAGGTGAACCTCGGGATAGCCCTCAGGAGCCCCAGATGTAGGGTGTATATGGTGTCGACCGAAGTATCCACCGAAGGCGAGTGCGTCTTTAATCGGGACGTCTGCAAAGTCCTGGTCGCGGAACGCTACGACTTTCTTCTGGGCGACAAAGAGTGCGAGTTCATCCTTGCCGGCATCGGTCAACTTGCTTAGCTCGACACCATGAACTTCAGCACCGATGTTTGCTGTAATATCGGCGACCGTCGCATCCTTCAACAGGTTGGGAAAAGAGGGATCGGCATCTTTTCCATGCTCAGTGTGCTCGAATGGCTCCCATGGTGGATATCTGAGTCTCCAATCAGCTACGGTATCATTGAAAGTACGGTCATACTCGCTTCTGTCCCTTCTCATTGTCCCAAGTCGGGAGGTAGTGTGGGTATTTGGCAGGCGCGTGCTTGTCCGTGCCACGCAGCTCGAGCTCCTTTTGGAATACTTTCGGGCCACCAAAGGCAGCTTCTTTATACTGACCGACTCCAGATTTGTAGCCGACAGTAGACTTTTCGGTGACTTCTTCGATGAGTGCTGGAGCCATCTTGCTATCAGATCAAATTACTTGAGGCAATATTTGTGGGAGTGTCAGTTTGGAAGGCTGCTTTATCACCTACTGCGCAACCTTATATCACCCACTGCGCAACCTTATATCCCCGACATCGCATTGTTATAACCGCGAATAGCAGTTCTTCGACGTCAGGCCCAGACATCGGATATGCGCAACCCCGCTCTCGCAAACTTAGTGGCATGTTGCCGCTGTTATCGACTGTCGCGGTTAAGCAATACGTCTCGGCGATCCGGAAAGAACGACTGCTGGGATGTGTCTGATCAATCAGGAAGCGATCAGATTGCATCAAGCATGCACTCTATTGCTTCATACCTACTTCTCGCCCCACACTATCCGCGAACAGGAAAGACTGTCTACCCGTGCAAGGCTTCATACAACCGAAACATCACACGCGATGTCGAATATCCGACTATTCTGGCGTCAGAATAATATCCGCGTGGCTCACTGGGGTAGTGGTAGATATGGCGTTCCTTATCCATGTCGCCAACACCCCAGCCAATCACGCAATCCCTCATCAAGACAGACGACAGCGAATCAACCTCGGATATACTGAAGATAACTGCTGTGCCCCGCCGCAACATACCAGCCACAGTTTGCGTGCTCGTCAATTATGGGAGGGTCCATGTCGTCGTCGATACCACAGTGAGTAGCAAAGAGACCCGAATGTGATTCGGGTGCGTAGTGATGGCGAATATGGATTGATAGTTTGTGGATATACGGTTATCGTACGTCAAAACGCTAGCAAAATTGCGAAATTTCTTCTCCGAGAAGGCGCGAGTCCAGAAGCTTTGTACATGGGGTGGCTATTGTACGAGTCGACAGGCGAGGGAGCCCTCACTGATATAACGGAGGGACATCCTCCAAGACACTCCCAAGATCTCCAATAGCTTAGCATTTTAGCGGCCATCGCAGAACAAGTCACCTCCGAATATGGGTAACGCCACTGACGACTACCCTGTCAATGGTAAAGTGCTATACGATACTACTGGAACCGCCAACGACAGCGACACTTCAGTCAACAGCTCCGGTACCAAAGGAAAAGATGGCACGACTTTCGTCTCTACCGGCCTTGGGAAGGATCACTACAGACCTGTAGAGTCTTACGAAGGTATCCATCGCTATGATCCGGACTTTGTATGGGAAAAGACAGAGGAGAAGCGTCTCGTGCGGAAGGTATGTGGCACCGTGCCTAGAAAGCTTATGACATTCAAGCTGAACTCCCACAGATCGATAAACGCATTTGTACCTGGGCTTGCTTGATGTTCTTCGCATTGCAACTCGATCGAGGCAATATCTCCCAAGCTCTCAGTGATAACATGCTTGACGACCTCAACATCAATACCAATGACTACAACTATGGTCAGACCATCTTCTACCTCTGCTTCTTATGTGCGGAGCTTCCGTCTCAGCTCATTAGCAAGAAACTTGGGCCCGACAATTGGATTCCTATTCAGATGGTAAGCTGGAGTCTCGTGGCTAGTTTACAAGCTTTCCTCAGCGGTCGTAGCTCGTTTTTTGCTTGCCGCGCACTGCTAGGGTTGATTGAGGGCGGCTTTATTCCTGACAACATCCTTTACCTCAGCTACTTCTACACTGGGTGGGAACTACCTGGGCGGTTGAGTTGGTTTTGGGTAAGCTACCAGTCCACGTCAATCGTCTCCGCCTTTCTTGCCTTTGGAATTCTGCGCCTACGTGGGCACAATGGCATGGAAGGATGGCGTTGGCTGTTCGCTCTAGAAGGCATGTTGACAGGCTTGATCGGTATAGCATCATGGTTCTACTTGCCGCCAAGTCCGACGCAGACTGCAAGCAAGACCTGGAACCCTTTCCGTGGAAAAGATGGGTGGTTCAATGAGAGGGAGGAGAAAATCATGGTCAACCGCATCTTGAGAGATGACCCCAGTAAGGGTGACATGCACAACAGACAGGGTCTGAGCCTCCGCATGTTGTGGGAATGCATCAAGGACTACCATATGTGGCCAATCTACTTGATCGGGTTGTCTTGGACGATCCCATCCTCACCTTCGACTGCGTATCTCACGCTCCAGCTTCGGTCGCTCGGCTTCGGTACATTCGAGACCAACCTACTTACCGTAAGTATCACAAATGAGAAAACCCTTCATGAAATTAACGTTTATAGATCCCGGCATACGTACTCTTCATCCTACAACTCCTGCTATGGACGTACATATCCGAGCGCTTCAATCAACGCTTCCTCGTCGGCCTTCTCTCTCAGGTCTGGGCTCTTCCACTAGTCATCGCCCTTGAACTTCTCTCCGCAACCGCGTCTCCGTGGTCACGCTGGGTCCTTTCGACCCTTCTTGTCGGACACCCATACATTCACGCTATCCTTGTCGCCATTACATCGCGCAACGCCGGCGCAGTCCGGACTCGTACCGTGGCTAGTGCGCTATACAACATGACTGTCCAGGCGAGTAGTATCATCAGTCAAAACATTTACAGAAACGACGACAAGCCGCTTTATCGTAGGGGAAATAAGGTTCTGATCGCGATTTGCGCATACAACTTTCTCTTGTTCATTGGAGCGAAGGTTTACTACGCTACTGTTAACAAGAAGAGGGATAGGATTTGGGAAAGCATGACGAAGGAGGAGAAGGAAACGTATCTTGAGACGACGAAGGAAGAAGGGAACAAGAGATTAGACTTCCGGTTTGCGCATTAGATAGACTTTTGGAGGCGAGCGGTTATGGAGCTCGGTTTGATAGACTCGTGGTGTCTTCGATAGATCGATTTCCCAACCAATCAACACGTATACATATTGCCAATCAGATCAACGCAAACATCCCTTCTACCAAGGAAGTTCCTCCCCATTCCTATGAAAGAACATACCTGTACTCTCCAAGCCCTTCCTACTCAACACATCCCACAATCCCTCAGCCGCCTCCTCTGGCTCCACCGCACCTGGCACCTCCTCTTCCTTATGCCTAGCATCTAACGCCGTCTTCACAATCCCCGGATGCAAGACAAGCACCGCCACACCCTTGTCCTTCAAATCCACACTCGCACTCTTAAATAAAGAATTCACAGCTGCCTTACTCGCTCGATACGCGTATTGGCCTCCAGACGTGTTATCGGCCATGCTACCCACACGACTCGATACCACTGCTATCTTCGGCGACAATGATTTGAGGATATTAGGAAGCAGGGCTTGCGTTAGTAAAATCGGACCGAATGTGTTCACGGAGAAAGTGTTTTGCAGTGCGGATAACGAGACTGTGGTGAGGGTGTCTTCGGAGGGTGGAGACATGACGCCGGCGACGTGCAGGAGGAGGTCGATGGATGTTTGCTGGGATATGGAGTTGACGAAAGAGGTGATTGAATCTCCGGAGGAGATGTCAAGTTGGTAGGCTTGGCAGCCTAGGGATTGGATTGTTGAGCCAAGGGTTTTGTCTGCTGCTATTACTTCGTAGCCCTGAGTTGATGTTTTAGCATGTTTTCAAGAAAAAGCGGAGAATGCGACGTTTCTTACTTCTCTGATGAGGATTTTGGCGAGGGCGTTTCCGATGCCGGAGTTTGCGCCCGTGATTACTGCTGTTGGCATGGTCGTAGATAGATGACTTGATAGGTAGAGCCGAATCTTTGTTATTGTGAGAGCATGCAGTATATTCGATGCTATACGGTTTCGTGTTAGCGAAGGAGTCGAGATGATCGCTGTTGTTTAACATATAGCTTACAAATGGCCTATGACGTTGATGACGTCCGGCTTACAACTCAATAACCTTGCCATCATTCTCAAGCCCAGCAAGCATTGCTTTTCCAACATATGCGTTTTATTGATGATAATACGCTAATTGTTATGGACGGAAAGAGGCCTGCTAACGAGTATGCATTTGCTCCTATGTACAGAAGAAGAAGGATAAGGAAAAGAAGAGTAGCGTCCTCCTTGTACGGTATTTATCCTCCGTACACTAATACAAAGATAGATAAGCGGGAAGTTCTTCGGCGTAGCCTCTTGTGGTACTTAGGCGTAGCCCCTTACACTAATAAGTCTTTACGGTTTCCTAGGAGAAGTCAAGTTAACATGTCTATATTGAGGGTTCCTTTCGGTAGGCTTGAGAGCTGCGCGATACCTAATATAGCTAGCCGACGCGCTAGCCTGAGGGATGAGATTTGGCCAGCACTAAACTGCTGCGCGACTAGTTGAGCATGCACCCTCACTGCAACGATCCGATTCATCATCATCGAAAGATCATGCAATAAATGCTCATGTACAGAGTTACCAGTGAGCCGTCAGATGGCATTCGATCTTTCTTCAACGACAAATAACGTAACTCAACGTTTTAACTTCTTTATTCTCTTCCCGTCGACATCGTTTCGTTTGCCAATCGCGAACACGCTCTTACAACTTCGATGTCTTCTCCTCCCTCCCTCTCAGATTCGGATGCGCTACCCTGACCGGCCTTGTAACAGCGTAGAACGCTATACCACTTGACTTGGTCGAAAACTGGACCTTGGATCCTACATGGAAGAACGCAAAGTCGCCGGCGACTAGGTGATGTGTAATGCCAGTTGCCTCGTCTAGGACGTCGATTTGACCGCTGAGCACATACTTTGTCTCTTCGAAGTCGTATGAAGCGGGTTTGGATGGTCCAGCTTCGATCTTGTAGAAGCCAGATGTTAGATGTGCGGGTGATGCGGTGGTTTGTGTGCGGATACTGGATAAATGTTAGAAGGATGGGGACAACCTTGGGGATGATGAAGGGAGGTTTACGTGTGGAAGTCGGCTACAGTTGCATTGTCGCCTTGTGGGAGTGGAATAAACTCGTGGCCTGCGCCTTTGATGACGGTGAGGGGAACTAGGTTCCCAGACACTGTATGGGTGATGCGGATTAGCAACGTTGTAATGCGTTGGAAGCGGGACTAGGGAAGAAGTATTGAGCTTACTATTGGATATAATTGTGATATTGTTGAGTAGATGTGAGTCGAAATTTGGTGCCAAAGATGTACGGAGACCTGTTATAAATGACCACGATGATTTTATTCGTGGTCCATCTCCGCAAGCTATGAATGCGATAGTTGCCCTAATCGGGTAAGCCGTGCCTGACTGCCCAGGTTAGGTAAGCCTCACACCCGCATTCACTCCAAACTACGTAATGGATGGACCAGTCAAATTTCGAGGACAACGAACAGAAAGCGGGTATAACCGGCGCTAGCTAGCGCATGGCTGATGTATCGTCGCGTCCACGTGTTGTCAATCTTTCGAAGACAGATTTATATCAGCGAACCTTGCGTCACCCCCAGATAGACTTGGCATATTTCGAGAAAGATGCAGTCTTGAATGATAATACAATCATTCGGTACATTGCACTGCCTTTACCAATTGGAGTGTTGAGCTACTATGCGTTCCAGACTTGGCAGCTAACCAGTGTTCGTCTGGCAGATTGAGGCTGAACCACCAGCATACAGATACGAGGTACTTCATGTTAAACTCATCCATAGGATACCATCTATGTTATTGATCCAGCATTGGCAGCCGATGCTCTGGTATTACGATGAGAGCGGTGGGCAAATTGTCAACGCTGGAAAGCAAATCCTAGCTTCGTATACTACACCGTCTATGTGAGAAATGTAGCCAATGCGACGCAATAGACGCGATGGTCTGGTAAATGAACAGCAGGAAGATGCGATATCTAACAATTTGAAGATGATTGATCCTGCTGACGGATAGGAGATTAGTTGGTGGTGCAGTCATACGACATGTGCACGCGTGATGATGCGAGGAGGTTTGGTCTGGGTGATACGAAGCATCGGAAAGATATAAAAAATACCTCTGTAGCTTCAGTTTGATTCAACATCGGATCCCAGCGGTTTTTGCTTCTCTAAGTAACGTTGGTCTTGCTTTGACCAAACCGAAATTGCAAAGAGCAGACTACCATACACACTACATTGTCCTTTGCAAGGACAAGCAGAATGCCAACCTGTAGCTTCGATGCAGGCCCAGGTATAAGTAAACCAAGTTAACTTTTTTAGCTAGGGTAAGAAGTTAACGGAGTATAGAGATTGGTTCAAGGAGACGCTGTACTAGAATGGGTACTGTAGCGTGTAGCTGCGTCGGAAGCTACCTTCCTATGGCAGGTGTGGAGAGGCGATCGAAGAAGGTACATCTGATGGCAAAATCGACCTGCCTAATTGACGCTCGCTTCTAGCAGTGTGGGAACACTGAAAGCGCCTCAAAGTATCCTGTAAATTGCCTTTTTTTTTGCCGTGTGTTGACAGTGCTATCGCCCCCCTACGGTGCACGCGACGGTGATCTAGGGTGGGGTCTCGGGGGATAAGTGGGCAACGTTGGACGGTGCTGTGCCGCAATCCTTTGACTGTGCCGTACAATCCTTCAAAGTGCTTACGCTGACCCCCAGATATCACCTGACTCAAATTGTAACACTTTGGTTCTTGTCAGCGTGCAACAGACAACAATGGTGTATACACTGGATTCGCTTCACTTTATCTGGACTTCCGTGGCTCTGAGGTGACTTTGTCACTCTCATACAGCAAGCTTCGCGCATCAATCGTATCCTAGTATCCAACAGCTTAAATCAGGTCAAGAGCAGACGTGATTGGTCTTTCACAGGAGGCAAGACTATACAAGCATATGCAAGCCTTTACCACCATGTATGCGACGTTGTGCTTGCATGTCATGTAGTTACCACCAGTAGGAAATGTCCTTGGATATAAACAAACTCGTCCCTTGGCCTGGCATAAGTCGCTACGTGCCGCAGCACTCACATCCAGCTAGCATGCTGTTGGTTTTCAAACTACTGTGGCTCTTTGAAGGTCTACGTGCGATGGTCGCTCCTGAAGGATTCCCTCTTACGTTATGACGTAGATGAGTATGCAAAAGCTACACCAGCATCGACGACATGACCGAAGTTTTTGAAGTTTGGCGTGGAATCCGTAACCATGCGTGGATATGTTTTGGTCCTCGGGGGGCATGCTTCGAATATCAAAGGAGCCTGTTGGTTCTCTCGTTAGTTTAGCCATCATCTGCCTATAGTCTGCAGCTCCTCATTCGTCCGTATATAGTGTCACCCGCTACCTCTAGGCAACATGCTCCTCTCCAATCTAGCTGCCTTTGCAACTCTTCCCAAAATCATTATCGCCACGCCTACCCTTATAGAGGACCAGAGCGCTGATAACGGGACAGTTCGCGCGCTTGCTAAATACGAAGTCAATTGCCGCAAGGAAGGTAACACATTACCACGCTGCTACGAATCAGCCTCAGCTGGCTATCGCTACTCTACCATTGGTGTCTACAACTCCCAGGATGCAGAGTGCCAATAATACTGCGGGTGCAGCAGGTATGTGCACCCAAACCTCCACATGCCAACTGTTGTTACCTACCAGAGCCACTCGTCATCTTGCCTTCCCGACTTATGTGAACATGACACTAATGGTAATTATAGAGTTACCTACCCCCAATGGCCCCACTGCCCCTAAGTCAGAATCACCAAATGCCAGCTTCACTCCGCATGAGGGCTTCGACATCTCCATCATCTGGCACAACTTGGATTCTCGGAGTGACTTTCTCACGTTTCGCAAGGAGTCGCGGGGACCAATTGAGCGCATTCTAGTCGACTTTGCAAGAGTGCTGGAGAGTGGGATGTTTGAGGTGTATAGTGTGAATGCGAGTAAGCACCTGTTCTGTGTGACAGTGGCTTGTGCGAAGAATAAAGATGGGGGAGTCATGGATCTGGTGTTGAGTGTGCGCTAGGGGCTGTTTGCGTTCGTTCCAGGCCTGTCTAACTTCGCATGCCTGATTATCATTCTTTTGGGATCTTGAAGTCTGTTAGCTTATCCATACAAGTCTACACGTTTGTTAGTACATGAAGGTCCGCTCATGGCTTCGCTTCCTTGCTAGGGTTCAGTTGGTTATGCCGACTAGGTCCACACTCACTCTGATTTGCAAGATGTACAATTCAATCAAGCATGTTGGTCCACTTGCGCACATGCTCACCCTAGTCCAGTGCCATGACCGGATCCCGGCTCACCCCCGCAGTGAATAAGCAGACTATACGAACAAGATCACCTGAGTCATAGGAGCAAGGGACGATACGAGCACGAAGATTGCAGGACGAAAGGCGTTGAATAATTCCAAGAAAATTGGGCTTGATTTAGAACTGTCTTTCCGCAGCCAGCAGACATATTCCTATGGACTCTTGAATTAGTGAATATCCGATAAAGCAAGTCAGAGAGAACCTAACCTATAGTATACGAATGTTTGGGTCCGATTGCACTATATCCCATGTCTCCAATTCCCCCGCATCATCATCAAATGGTTCAACGATACAGGAATTTGCTTATGATAACGCCTGGATTCAGCTCGCATTACTGTGCAGTCTTGTGAGTCCTATATATAGCACATCCGCCAATCATCCCGTCGATGTGTTTTCTTTTGATGTTCGAAGTCTGGTTGATGAGAAAAAGCATTTTAGTTTCATAACGGTTAGCAACATGGTCATATGCAGATGACGGTATTGCGCAGATGCCTGTTTCTACGGGTTGGCCTGGTGCTCCAACATCTAACACTCCACTTGATGGCTAAGATTATATATCTGAAGCTCAGCTCTTCGGAGACTTTTGCAAGAGCTATGAACGACATTCGCAGAACTTGAAATTGCAGAATCGGGCCAGTTCAAGTGGTTCGAGAACTACATCATCATCACACCTGACATCCTCGTTAGCACCACCACCACTACCTCCCCATTATCCAGAGTGTATCAGAGGATGCAACGGTACAGCGATTCGGCGTTCTTTGACAATGTTGCAACCGACTGCGGAGGCACAATTAGAGGGCCCAGTAAAGAAGACTAGGAAACAGGTCGAGCAGAGGAGGACATATATATATATGAAAAAGAGAGATCACTTGTGGTATCTGAAGGCTTGAGGGCCGTGGGGAAGTTTGTGAAAGGGGGGTGGCATGGTGGATGGCCCTGGCATTCGTCTAGCAGGTTTGCGATGATAATCATAGTGCTAGCTCAATGCAATGTCGTTCTCAACTTTTCATATTCATTCATCATTCGTTACTAGCTATTGTGGATCCACCAGGTTGGCGTGTTTATTTTATCCAAAGCCAGCCCTACATTTTACACCAACATGTGTACTATGCGATTCCATTCTTCAGCGTAGCTCAAGCTGTTCTCTAAAGCTAACTATGGGCGTGGCCTTCTTCCCAAGTAGCTTGGAGATGTCCTTGGCAACCTCATCCCAGAAAGCGCAATTCTCCGTTGAGCTCTGCGGATCCTGGCTCGACTTAAAGAAAGGAGGGTTAGAAGCAAACAATCTTCCCATCATCATTGAGTTCGTTAGCGTGTTGCCGTCATCCACGGTGCGCTCCCATGTAAGAGCTCTATAGGATTGTAAGGAGTTGGGATCGCCAGTCAGCACATGTCCCGCATAGTACCTCTGATATGTCGGGGCGAATCCGGGCCAGATCTGATCGTAAAGATCGAGAAAAGCGCCAGGGACCTTGGGTGCGGCGTACTTAATCAAGTCGCTTACAGCGACACCGTAGTGCCAGATGATGGCGAACATGTCGAAGCCGTGTTGGGCAGGAGGCATTTCGAATTTTGCAGTGTAGACGCTGGAGTCGGTGTGGAAGGCGTTGTAGATCTGACGCTTGTTGCAGACGAAAGTCGAGTCGCGTAAGACATGCCTCATGCGCTGCTTCTGTTGGAAGTCGAAGAGCTTAGCTGGATATTGAGTCTCTATTTTCTGCCGTATAGAGGCAAGCGCGTCGCCAGGGAAGGCATAGCCTAGGAATTGGGTGAAGTCTTCCTTCGTGTCGACCCAGTCTGCAAGGAACATGCTGACTTCGTCATGATCGTGGGATACTATGATAGAGCTGCAGTTGTTGTGCCTTCCTATTCAAGATTAACATTCGGTTGGCAAAGCAGCATCTATGAGTAGCACATACCTTCGCTTAAAAGGGCAGCCGGGAGCTCTGGCACAAGATCTCCATCCACGGCTGGTCCAAAAGGAAACATACCCAGCCCGATAGCTGCGCTAACCACTTCTTGATTGGCTCTGCTCAAATCGTGCGTGCTGGCCTCCTTGAGACATTTGAGAGCATTTGAAGAAGAACACTTAGCCTTGGTTGTGAAGTTGTGGAACGTTTCTTCCAAGGCCCCAGCCCGATCGTAGCCCCATTGAAACGCAGGACTCCACATAGCTGCCCTTTCGAACAGCGGTGCTTCGTCTGTTTTACTCCCGCCATACGCTGTCAGGTGGTGAAGGATGGATCCTGCGCCCGCGGACAGACCCCATGCGCTCACGCTTTTCTTGTCTCCACCTACTAGCCCAATGTACCGCTGGACCCAGTCTAGAAGAAGGCGTTGATCGTGCAAACCCGCGTTGGGCTGTGCTTCTTCTTCCATAGTTGAGCCAGCCAAGAAGCCGAAAGCTCCCATTCTGTAGTTTCCCGTCACCCAGATGACACCATTGTCTGTCTGTTCACGGATGCCTTGGCCGTCGTAAGCATGGAAGGTGCCACCTTCCAACTTGAAATCAAGGTCCTTTGACCCGAAGACGTATGCTCCTCCGTAAATCCATACAACAACGGGAAGAGGCTCCTCGTTTGGATCTTGTTCAAGAGCCCACGAGGGAACGTAGACATCGAGGAAGAGGCAGTCCTCGGCCTGGACGCTCTCATTACCAGGCGGTTCGAAGGTGACATCAGCTTTGGGAATTGCCTGGATACAACTCGGGCCGTAGCTGCTATTCTGAACTTGAGTGGGATCTTCGATAGCTTCGGGGTATTTCGGTGCTGCAAAACGCAACTCCTCCACAGGAGCTTGGCCGAAGCGGACGTTTTTAAAAAGGGTTGTCTTTAATGTTCCAACAAGTTGTTAGTTGAAATAACTCACTGAATTCCACAGTGTTATAGCGGCCCCCGACTTACCTCGCCATCTTCGCCATAGGTTTGTCCTTCCCATGTTCCCCATGGGAGAGTCAATTTTCGAACTGTGTCCGCCGTTCGTCGGTGTGCTCGATGGGCGTCAATTGGCAAAGCCAATGAGGCAGCCAGAAGTAAGATTGCAGGGCTGAGCATCGTTCCAACTCAGAACAGGAAAGACCCTTGGTCGAAGTGTGGATGGAATATTACATGACCGGCTGAGTGACTGTTCTTTATACGTAGTTCAGCACCTAGGTAGTCTAGGAATTTGTTTTTACATGCATATTTTAGTTTTTCTGCGACATCACGTACATGTGCATGTGAGTACGACGACTAGTGGGATCATGGCTTTTTCGTTCCATAGAAGAGATCAAATACCTTGGAAGGCTAGACCAGACGTTATTCGGGATCGACTGCACGTGTACGACCTAGTGGAGCGGTCCGCAACCGATACCCTCGCATCGTTGGATACCTTGCGTAGATCGGCAATCGAAAAAGCAGTCTTGTGCATGAAAGTAGTGGAAGCCCATTATCCCAACCCATCCATTTACGTGCTCATCATCCCTTGCACTAAAATCATCCAGGCTTAGCCTTCCCGACAACCTCGCAGCTGAAGCACAGTGGTCGTTCCTCTTGTCTGTCGGAACCGACTTTGTGCAACTGGAACGTACGTGGCACGGTTTGACTCGTTAGGGGAACTCCACCAAGGGCACCGCATCCCCGACGAACTCTCACTGACTTGAAGCTACTCAGGTAGCCAAGGAATGCGGGATTCTGGTCGAGGCCGATTATGCAGGCGACGCGTAAACACAATGCCTCTTTCTAATCATTCGAACTTCGGACATAGTGAGAAAACATATCGACGAGATGATCTGCGGATGTGAGAGATGTGGAACTAACAAGACTGTGCAAAGAGCATACAGAAACCTCGAGAGTAAGAGACAGGTATATGAGTGAGCGGACATAGCAATAAGACTTGTAATAAGCTATATTGTAGAGAGAAGTGCAATTCGTTAGTTGATAGCTAGTGTACTTGGGTATGTCACTCCACCACCACATCAACGACATTCAACAATAGTAGTAAAGACAACCACCTCTCTTACGTATCCTATCCATTCTTCCTCACCCTATGCCCCCACCCCCGGAACACTAACACCCCCGCTTCTTAAATCCAAACCCCTGCTCCTCGGTCCCACAAATCCCTGCCTCTGCCTGCCCGTCCTGCCCCTTCCCAACCAGTTATACTTCAATTCTTTATTAAGCCTCCCAATCTTCTCCTGCGCGTCATCGCTACTCTGCAGTGACACCAGTACCGAAACGCACTGCAGCATGCGGCCGACTGTTTCGGTGACTTTGGTGCTATCCATGGGCGTTTGGCGGAGGGAGGATGGGGCGTTGGAAGTGTTGGGATATGAGGTTGGAGGAGGGTGGAGATGTGATATAGTTGGGTGGAGGGGGTTGAGGGCGTGAGAATGAGGGTGTTGGGAGGGGTTTGAAGAGAAGGAACCAGCCGACGTGTTCGAAGTAGCTCTTGACCGTGTGCTAGCAGCAAAAGTAGAAGACGAAATACTCGTCGTCGACTCTAGGTACCCTCCAGAACTCTGGGACGTCGAGTTGAGACTGCCCATGTGCATCTCATTTGCGCTACTCGCTGTACCTGGTCGCTGTTGCTGCTGCTGCTGTCCCATAACGCCGTCAGGAATCGGACTCGGAGATTCCAACCCCGCATTCAAATTCTCCAGACTCAATCTCGAGAAAATCGCCATGAGCGCTTCGTACCGGGGTAGTATGACAATATCGCGGAACATAAGCAGGGTAATCCTCCGCACTTCCAACTCGCCCAAGATGGGTATGTTACGGTGTTCAGGACTCTTGGTATTCATTTCATCCGGCAGCATGACGCCCCAGAACTCTGCTGCTTGCGCACTCGTCATGATGCCGCTGCCCCTGAATTCCAAGTCCAGCGGTAAGAATACAGCTTGCAGAAAGGGCAGAATGGTAGTAAACACCACGAGCCACATTTCTACAAGATGCGGGATGAGGCGGTCGTCAGGTACATGACGCAGTGTTTGATCCAAAGAGCCGAAACCCGTTTGAAGGAGCTCGTTCAGGTCTTCGATGAGGATGATGGGGGAGCGCTTGTGGATGCAGCGTTTGATGTGCACGGTGACTAGGGCGTTGAAGTCTTCAACCGGGGGGCGGGGATCCTCACCCTCGAAAATGAGGAGTACCCTCGCTTTCAGCAGTGGCCATGCGTCGTCGGGTGACAGGCCGTTGATGCCGAATGAGCTTCCTAGATGCAGCATCTCTGTTGTGTGGGATATTGTTTGACCCGGTGCTGCCATGTTGGGGGTTGTCGTTATACTGCTGGATAGCGATGGCCATTCTGATCTTTCGGTACTGAAGGATTGATTTCGTTCTCGGTATGGAGGTTCCAGTTGGGCATCTAGGAAAGCGGCGGCCTTTTCTTCCTTTTTTGCTCGTCGTAGATGCCGTCCACCGTGTCTGAGATCCAAGCCAGTCACTGAGTTCGCAAACGAACTCGAATGCCCGGGTGATGACGGTGCGGCGAAGGAATAGAGCGGCTCGGGAGCGCTTGGATTTGTCGGTTTCGAATTACTGCTGGCCGATGATAAAGGAAGAGCAAATCCATCCTGATCCTTCAACTTGTGCTTTTGCCGCGATAAAAAGTGATGCTTGTGCTTCTCCTCCTTCCTCTCTGGTAGAGAATCGTTCCGTGGGGGAACTAGTGTAGAGGTTGACGCATTGGCCGACGAGTACAACGAAGCATTACTGCTGTTGGTCCCAGAATCCACCAAGCTCGTCGTCGACCCTGCCATCATCATGCGATTCAGCGCCTGCGAGCTGTGAATGCCAATGCCAATCTTCCCTGGCGACGGCAAAGCTTGCTCTTTACCGCCCAGCCGATTATCAATCTTGATGTTCTTCGGTTTAGACGAGAACAGCTTCCCACCTATCCTGCTTTTTCCCTCCTTCGGCTTCTGCAGTTGCGGCGGTTCGGGCGTCGACGACGCTGGCTTGGGCGATGCGTGTGGTTGTTGTTGCTGTTGCTGTCCTTGAATTCCAGGAGAGTTCAGCGGACTCCGTGGGAAAGCCGCGTTCGCAGCACTCGTCGCAGCCATCCTATCTCCCACAACCCCATTCGAATATGTCATCCCGTTGGTCCTAAACGTGACCTGCGCCTGTGTGGGCACTGGCGGAGGACTCATAGGCTGGCCTCGTCCGGCAGGCGCAGCTTCGCTCGGTGCGGGTATCGTGGTAGAGCGCTTGCGATTGTGCTGGGAATTCGAAGCATATGCGGCCTGCGCTGCAATCTGCGAGGCAGTAAGATGACTCTGCGAAGCCATGGTATTATCTCGATCCCTTATAGAGCCCTCCTTCATAGAGCTCAAACTGGGCTCAAAGTAACCCTGGGAGCGTTGGCGTGGGCGGTGTCCTAGATGCGCGCCAATGTGACCCTGGCTTTGTACGGCATCGCGCACAATGCCTGGACGTGAGTAGTTTTGCGCCGAAGCAGCACGCGAGTCTGATGATGTCGGCGACTTTGCGAACGAGGGCGAGAGTATTGAGCCGGGCAGAGGAGAGCGTCGTTGTTGTTGCAGCGTCACCTGTGAGCCGTCTGAGTCGGAGTCGTCGAGCGATGGGCGTTGAATCGAGGGCGTGGGTGGAGGGGGTGAAGAGGGAGGCATCGTGGGCCGTCGCACTGCAGGCGAGTTCGCGATACCACGTCCGTTGCTTTTGCGACAGTGTGGCTGCTGCAGGGACAGGGTACAGAGTAGGTGGCAGTGCGGTGGCTGTAGAGAAGTGAATATACGGGTATACGCGAAAAGTGAAGAAAAAGTGGTTCTAGTCGTGTTCCCTCATGGCCTGCATGAAGAAGCGTAGCAGATACAGCGTTAACCAAGCATTGGGTGAAGTCGCAGGAAGAGCTGACGTCCGTCCGACTGCTATGGTGAGATGCACCGTTGATTGATCGACACATAGTGGCCGTGCTGTCTCCGCCCCGGCATTGAGCCGCTTAACCCCGCCTACTGCTAACTTCAATCTACAGTCCAATCTCTATCATTCCGACAACCAACACTACCAATTCAATACCACTCGCATCTGGAGCATACCAAAAAACAATACCCGCACACCATCACCCAAAATGCCCTCTCTAGCAGCAACATACACGTCCCCAACCTCCTCGTCCCAGACCTTCACCTCCGAACTCCCTGCACTAGCATCACCGCCCTCAACAACCGACCGTGTCGCATACCTCACCTCGCTCTCCTCGTCGCTCAAAACAATGCAAAAAGACGTCAATGAGTTCCTAACGCAAAAAATGGCCGACGACAAAGCAGCCGACGATGCGAAAGACGAGGCGACATACGGAGAAGAAGTCGTCGATGAAGATTGAGCACGGCGCAACGTAACCACCTACACGGATGGATTTCTACAGCGGGTATCAACACAGTCCCTCCCGACTACACCTTCAGCCGCCTACCCCACCCACTCCCACCACTCCCACTCACCCCCTCCTCCCCGTTATTCCCAGCCCCGACCCCACACCCACACTCCCCTCATACATCCACTATGCACCACGCTATTATCCGGAAAGACCCTAATCGCACTCCCCGAACCTCTTATGACACACCGCACAATGCCTATCCTCATCGATAACCACTCTGCGATTCAACCCCCCGGGCACCTTCCTACCATACATATCCCTCTTATTATCTTGGCCCAACAACACCGCGCTCTCAACTGCAACCTTCTCCACGCCCCGCAGCTGCGCAACGATGCGCTCTTCGTTGAGGAGCGAGTTGGCGTTGCGGATACGGCCGAAGAAGTAGGATTCTAGGTCTTTGACTGGGAGAGACGGGGGATGAGATCGAGCGTCGTAGCGGCGGGGAGACGGGCACCGTGTTTGCTCAGCAAATCGAGAGCGGGGGGCCAGTTGGGTTGGTGCGGGGGTGGGGGTTGCAGGTAGAGGGATAGGAGGACGTGGTAGATGGATAACTCGGTGTCTTCGATTGAGCCTCTTGTCGCTGGGGGGGATTGCGATTGGGATAAGTTGGGTGAGGTGGGGATCGTTGGGGGTGCGGTGTACACTTGGTTGCAGTATCTGTGGATGGTGTCATTAGTGGTTGTTTGGTGAGAAAGGAAGTAGGATTAGAGTAGCGACTTACTCCTCGGCTTTATGGTAGTCCTTTAGCTGGAAGACGTAGATTGCCAGCGCTTGCTTATGCGATCCCATTTTGCTCAACACAATAGCTCTCGCTTCGTAGTAATCTGGATCTGTTATCCTTGTTAGTAAATCTCCAACCCGTTCCTTCGAAGATATACTTACCGTTCCCAGGCAACTGCTGAAACACCCTATACCGATTATACTGCGCATTCCCCTTCTTCAAGAAAACCTCTAATCGTTCCTTCCAATCCGCCTTCTCCTCCTCATCCTTGAAGTCCCCACTCTTGAGTCTCTCAAGTAGCAGATCGACAAGCCTCTGGTGGAAATCCACGTTGAGATCATTGAGCTCCTCAATGATGTGCTCCAAGTACCGAACCGCAAGTTTAATATCAATGTTCTGCAAAAAGTCGAGAACACGGTCCCGAGGCAGCGTCTCCGCATTCTCCGTATCAGCAAGGAAGACTTCCATGCCCAACTTCGGATCCTCGCGTAACGGCCACTCAGCATACTCGAGGATGAGATCAATAAGCTCCGGCGGCAGCGCCTGTAGATACCCCACTGTCCTTTGCGGCCCTTGCAACGCAGGACTGACCTCTTCATCCGCCTCATTCTTACCAAACTTCTCCAGCAACTCCAGAGCCTGGCGATGTAGTTTCTTGCCGTGTAAGAAATCAATCAGATCAGCATACCGACCTGTTTCGTACAGCTTCTCCTGCACAACGTCTGGTTCGCAGAAATTAGGGAGGCGGAACAAGGAGCCTGCGACACTGGGATTCGCAATCATGTATGCGCGGAAGAGCGTCGTGTCGACGAGTTGTGCGACGTCGAGAAGCTTGGCTTTCCAATCCACGGGAGACTGGAGTGAAGACTCTTCGATGAAGATGTGGAAAGGTGGTTTTTCAGCTTCGAGTTGGCTGCCGCTGGGTGTAGGGAGAGGTTCCTTGAGATTGCCGTCGGTGTCGATGTAGCGTTTGATTTGGACGCGGCATTGGGTTAGGAAAGATTGGAGAGCGCGGACCGAATCTTTGAATTCCTTTTCTGCAGCGGCGGTTTTTTCTGGTTGGGAGGGGTCGGTTGGGCGCTTACGAATGCTGGCTGTTTCCATAGTGTCGTCTTTAGCAGAGTTGGTACGGATAGAGGCTGCGTCTGAATCGACCTTCTTGTGTCCTCCGACGCCGAAACGACCCATCATTGATCGTCCAATGGCCGCCACAGGCGCAGGTGTGCTTTCTTCCTGTTCTTTCGCTGGCTTCTCGCCGTTCGTCTCTTCATCATCCGCTACGCTTCCATCGCCCTTTACGCTCTCTTCTGGAGCTAGGTTACCAGCGATGGACCTGGGGTACATTGCGATGACACGCTCAGGCGGAGCCTTTGCATCAACGAACAATTCCATTGCCTCACGGTACTTCTTTTGGTCGAACAAGGCTTGAGCCTTTAGTATCTGTATCTCACGTACCCTCTCCTCCTTATCAAGAAGCAGAGTATCTTCCAGCATATGAAGAAGACTCAGCGACTCATCGTAGCGCCCATTGGCGACCAGCTCATCGATCTGTGTCTCGTAGCTCTGTGCTCCCATCCGCCATATTGATCGATCGCTCGCGACTAAGAAGCCCTTCCCGGCGTGGGCCAAGCTAATGTTCGGCTGTGGTACATGGAGGAAGCTAACGTTTGGTAGTGAGATCATCTGCAACAAGCTCAGAGTGTCTGGATTTCTGACTTCCAGACTACCCTTTGAAGGTGGCAGCAGCGTGAGCATATACGGATACGAATAGGCGATGGTCTCCGGGGCAGATTGCCAGGGTACTTGTCGCTTCTCGAGGGCATTTCCGTCCGTATCGATGAACAGGCTGTTCACATCCTTGGCCAGCAGCATCTCGCCCTCTCCGAGTCGTGTCGCGAGAGGTTTGGGCACCCAGCTACCCATGCCCATGTATCCCATGCCTGATGATGAGACGGCGCCGAAGCGTGCTCCGCCCTGACCTCCATTCTCTGCCAACGCGCCCGGCTTGATTATATCCTGAACCTCCTGTGTCTCTATGTTGACCATGACGAAGCCTGGATCCATGCCAGCGACAATCTTCGTCCCTGTCGCCCATGTCAGGCTCTTGACGGAAGCAATGAGCGACATCTCCACCGCGTCGCCCGTCAACTCCATATCCTGCCATGTCCACAGTATGATCTTCCGCTTCACCGCCACTGCCAGATGGCTCACGATAGATGGTATGCCAGTCGAAGGATCCTTGACGATGTTGCTTGCCGCCGCAAACGTAGTCGCACCCCGTGTCTTCTCTAGCTTCTCCTGCAATTGGTATGTTTGTATGTCGTGGATCGAGACATAGTTGTCCGAGAGCGAGACAAGAATATTCGCTTCCTTGATAATCGCCAACTGCTGTATCGGCCGTCGTGAGAACTTCTCCTCTTCGCGTAGGAGGTCGGCGGGTCTGGCTTTTGGAGGCGCAGGTTCGCTTTCACCGTTCTGGTCGCCGTTCTGCTTGCGGTCGGCTTCTACATCCTCAATCTGGTCGTTTACACGGTAGATACGCAGGGAACCAGTGTTCAAGCCTACGAGTACGCGGTCGCCTGGTGTTGTTAGTAAGCTTGGAGGACTCTACAGTCGGGTGCTGTACCATATGCGAGGATGGACTCGATCTTAGACTTGTCGCGCTGCTTGAGCTCGACGATGGGTCGGGCGGTGAATGCGGACAGCATTGTGACTATTCGGTCGACTTGCAAATCATTTGGCCATGATCAAGTCGCTATGCGACGGCTGCTGTGCGCAAGGAAAGCTCCATGGGTGCTGAGTTGCGCCTGAAGCTCGGCAGGCCATCGTCATTGCCGCGGAGCTTTGGCCAGGGTCCAGCCACGTGCAGCCACATCAGTCCGGCCACACAATCCCCTACATTCTAAAGGAACATGAGAATGACTGTTCCATTGAACCATCCAATTCTATGTACTTGAAACATGATATAGAGATCACGTTTTTCAGTAACATACCCAGCACTGGAACTCCCACTCTCCAGCACTAGGCCATTTTCACTATTGTCAGACACACGATTAATCACATTCCGGAGGATCTTGAGATCAGATGCTGTGCATTGATAATCTATCTAATCTACCTAAGGTGCTCGCCCGATTAATAGGCAATCCGAGCGAGTAACAGAATGAGAGTGGGTGTTGCTGGATGAGCGAGTGAGAGATAAACTTCAAACATGACTGTGCAGTACAGGATAAGGGAGGGATATTTGAAATTTCTACCGATGGTCCATCATGCGGCAGGACCACTCTCCCTCATTTTCACACCCACTGACACACCACTCGAGTGGGGTTCCTTGGGCCATCCAGCACTACCACCTTCCCAGAAAACAAATGTAAAATAACAGGTCCCGGGCGCAAAGCGCCTCACAGGATCAACTCAAGCGGCGGTTCTTAAAAGAAAGAACACAGCAGAAACCAACCCTTCATCCAGAGGGACGAGGATGCTTCCACCCGTACAAACAAACACAAAAATGTCGGCTTTCAACGTCAACATGTTTTCCATTCATCCTCCCAACGCGGTCCTCTCGAAAAGCATTGGAAGGAAAGGAAAACAGGAGGAAAGCACAACGCTTGTTACCAATCAGCACATCAACCTCTCCGTCATCTCCTTGCCACCAGCCACAAGCAACGGGTGCAAAGCATACAAAGCCAGAAGTGAGAAGAGGGCCGGTGGGTTAGCGGGAGTAGGAGAGGCGTGGCGAATGAGCGAGTCATATCCAACATATTGCCGGTTCATGTCGAGCAAACACAACGCTATCCCCCATTGCAGCCTTAAACTATAATCATTATGCACACCAAGAGGTCGCCTATGCAAGCGCGCCAAGCGGGCAAGCCAACGGCGAGGCGGGGTGCGGCGGCGATACAGCGTCGAGGTGTGGAATGAAAAGCAAGGGAAACAGAGGATAGGAGGGCAGGACAGAGGATCAGGCGTAAGGGACCTCGGGAACAGACATACTCAAGGAGATATACACAAACCTCATCATTTGATGGAAAGACATCTGCAGAAACAAAACGCACATGACATCTCAAGGTAACGAGGAGACGTCATGCAAGATTGATGTTTGTTCCGCTGCAGAGCTTCACTGTCAAACTTCTCGCGATGAGGGGATATCAATCCAACGCGCAGCCCGCAAGAGAGAGCAGTGACACAAGACAAATAAACACAAAGAGATTCTTTACATCGGTGGGGTATATTGAAAAGAAAAATGTAAAAAATCAAAACACCGACACATGCAAAAGCGGAGAAGCAAGCTTCATCAACGCGGTAAAAACATGTGCCAGATTCCCTTCTTCAGAGAGCGTGTTATCGCATCATCATGAAAGAAAAGGGAAAAGAAAACTTCAAACACAAGGTTCGGTCTGAGCAATTACGGCTCATCGCAGGTCGGTCAGGTTCAGTATAATTGTCTAGTAGCAAGACCAGTTCGTTGACCGGTTGACGCAGAAGGCAAGCCGAAAGGTCAGGTGGTTTACGAACTGGCTTACAGATATTTTTCGACAAATATGGATCGAATCTTAGATGAACGGATTCCGCTGCTGTTTTTCCTGCGGATAGGGCGACTGAGCGTATTGATTTGGGTCTGAGAACGGGCTGGTGCGGTCATCGGCTGGCGAGGGATCAGCGAGCTGGCCATGGCTGCTTGTGCGTAGGTGCCCCGGGCGTGCAGAATCAGTCACCGCGCGTGCACCAACTTGGCCGACCTTCTCTGTTGCTGGCGTGATTTCATCACCATGTTCGAATGTTGAGAAGGGTCGGGGTGCGAGCGTGTAAGGCGCTGCTTTATTGACGTTGTAGTCGTTGGGCACGTATCGCGGCGGCGCGGTAGTGGGGTAGTCGGCACTGGGCTTGGGCTCATGGTCGAGGGCGGGATTGACGACGTAGGGGTTGTGTCCGAGTTCTGGATCATCACGGCGGAAGAGATGGGTCGAAGCGTAGACAAGGCCGCCGAGGGCGATGAAGAGCCAAATAAGGATCAAGGCGGTGGAGATGAGCGCTTCGGTTTGAATGCCGCTCATCAACTTGTCAATGACGCGTTCGACGGCTTCGGTAATCTCGTCCTTTGCTTTTCCGTTCGGGTCAGCGAGCAGTTGACTGGCAGAGTCTGAGTCGCCTTGCTCAGCAAGGGCACCAAGAGAGAATGTGTCGTTGCCGACGCTAGGGAACTGGACGTGCGCGTGCTCCTGAACCCAAGTGAGACCACTTTGGAAGCTGGCGATCTTCAGGCCGATCAGGCAGTTGAGAACTTCCTTGATCGGGTCGTAAAGTACAGTGCCACCGAACGTGTCGTTGAGCGTGGTGCTCATCTGATCCACGAACGCGTTAAGTGTGTCGTTGACTGCCGTCGTACTGGTGTTCACCCAGCGGACGATATCATCGTTAATGTTACTGTCCAAGTCACCGAAGGCACCATTGACACCGCTAGACCATGCCATAGAGGCATTGTTGAGCGATGTGACGACTTTCCCGGCAAAGTCAGCGACTTGATCCGTGAGCTCTGGGGTCTTGTCTTCGATGGCCTTGAGCAAGAGATATTGACAAAAGCAGGCGAAAAGACCAGCGATACCTAGAGAGATCAAGAACATCATGGGGATGGAGGTGGCGTAGGCCCAGGCCCAGCGCATGACAGCTTGTCGACGAGCTGAGCCGAAGCGCCTGCCGAACCACAGGCCGATGCCAGAAGATGTTGGGCGGGACGTGAGATAGACGACGTCCATGGCTTCGTGGCCCTCCGCGAAGAGAGCAGCACGCTCTTGCATCTTCCGGTAACGGCGCATCTCCATCCATGCCATTGGGACGCAAACGAGGACAGCAGCGACAATGAGCACACCGAGAGCAATCTTGCGTGCGTTGTAGGCCAGTTCGATCAGATCATCGAAGAAGGAGTTGATGGAGTTGCCGTCAGAGCAGAAGGTAAGTGCTTCTTTCTGCGGAACGGGAAGAACTGAGCGGTCGAACTCGAATGTGTTCATACCACGAATCAACTTCTTCACTTCCTCAAAAGGCAGGCGGATGATGGAATCCGTAAAGTTTTGCACCTCTTCGAAAGTCGGGATGGACGAGTTGAGCTTCTGGAGACCCTCTGACATCTCAGGAGGTATTTCGAGTGATTTGAGCTTTTTGATCTGGTCATCCAAGTTGATGGTTGGCTTGTCGAATCCCGGAATGTTGAAGTTTATCTTGTCAATGATGGAGTTGATACCGTCAGAAACGGACTTGACGGCGTCGCCCATCTCTTCAGTAACAGAATCGATGGTCTCGTCCAGTTTTTTGTTAACAGCTTCGCCGATTTCCACAGCGGCGTGAAGGCTGCCGCTGACAGCGAGGGTGATCAGGCAGAGGTAGGTACTCGTCATCATGTGAATGACGAAGAGGATGATCTCTTCGACACCAGTGACACTCATTTCGAGCATCGTCATGAGGCCACTGACTGCCTTCTCGATTCCGAATGCAGTCATTTCGTTGACGCCTTTGGACATGTAGTGGGGCATGGAGGCCATGGAGCTGCCGATCTTCTCGACCTGGGTGCAAGCACTGAGGGCTTCCCGACGGGCGGAAACGAGGCTTGAATCAGTACTTGCGATGGCGATGAGTAGTCGCACAAGGACTAGAAGCAGTAGAATCGTCCAGCGATTGATCCATATCTGTGAGAGCCTAGCTCGAAGGCCGAGGTATGGTTTGAAGTTTGGTGTCTGGTTTATTGTAGGTCGTGGTACATCTTGCGGTGGGTAGTAGTCTCGCATCTCATGACTATCGCCAGCGGACATAGATGGAGGCACAGGTGGGAAGAGTTGCTGTTGGCTCGCGGAGGAAGCCATGGCGAAGGTGTACGGCTGTGAAACGTGGTCTGGCCGGTATATTAGAGTCTGAGGTTCAGGCGCAAATCGATGGCAGTTGTAAAGATGCGCGGTCGTAGAAGTAGGCCAGCTAGATCTTGGATATCTACCAGAGATAGGTCGCAACGTAGGAAGGAATATTAGGTGGAAGTATTGCAGTGTGAAGACAATAGACAACAATAGGAAAACCAACGCTCCGTACAATGCAATAAGAAAAGGTGGTAGTGAAGCAGGCAAGGTGAGGAAGACTTGAGTGGGGAAAGACGCTGTGAATATCTACTTCACAGCGACTAAGATAAAATGAGTGGATTTCACGTACCGCGAGGAAGCGAGGACCAGTTGCAGGCCTCTCCACAAGGTACCAATGATACCTCGAGAAGAGGCCTGCACGACCAGATAGTTTCAGCAGGGCATACAAGATCGTGAGGCTCAAGTTAGAACACAGCGATTCTAGGAAAGGTGGTGGCCCGAATAGGCGCCCGCAGAAGTGGAGCAAGCCACTCCCGACCAGTCAGCCCGGTCAGCTGTAGAAGGCTCAAAACAAGACGCTAGAACAAAACGGATTGACAGCGTCTGTTATTCTGGGCCGGTTTGTCCTCGAGTGGTTGTTGCAAGTTGAGCCGGGTGTCCTTTGTTCCACGGCTTGCGCCCATTGGCATGCGATTTTTCCGCAGTCGGGCGAGGCAGGCGGATGCACTACCTCGTGACATCTGGATCGTCGCAGGATCGTAAGGTTGTCGAGCGCAAGGGAACACGACCTCTGAACGTCGGTCGATGATGGCAGAGGAGGTGCTCAAAGCTCCGGGAGATGCGCGACGCCGCCGTTATGTAGCAACTTCTCGCCGCACGGCTGTCCGAAAGGCCTGTGGCGCCCTTCATGCCCTGTTTTCTGCGGCTAGCGAAGACGTCATACCCAGCTCGGTCTGCTGCAACTATCAACAGAACCAACTTCACACCATGAAATTCCGCCAGCAGTATCGCCAGACTCTGCAAATTCAGTGAATTCCAAAATAGCACCATTGTTCAAGCCAGGCGCTGTTATGCCTGATCGTGAAAACGGCTGAACCATGGGTTTGCATCAACGCGCCAAGTCTCGTATGCGTGGCTGCGGCGTAGCGCTGGTGTGGGGTACGCGGCCCATGCGTCGATCGCTCCTGACCAATCAAGCTTCCTTTCCTTTCGAGGCTCAAACACGTGTCGCTGTCGTCCCAACTTCATCTCCATTCTGTTTCGAAACATTCTCTCGTCCTGCGTCAACGCTAACGGTGGTTGCTCGCTCTCCGGCATCTCCAGTGACGCGTGCTTTCATATATTGACACGAACACTCCCGCTTACGAATACGTCTTTCGTGTTACACTCTCTTAGGGCTCAGGGCAGCAGACTTCCATAGACATTACGATTTTGCCGATACAGCCAGCTATCCCTATGTCCTATCATGTTTCTGTCATTTCTATCGTCGCTCGGCGTGGAGCTGTTGTGTTGAAGCTGGCAAGACGACTATCTGATTTTCAGAAGTGCAGACTTACACTCTCGAGGTCGGCTCTACGACGCCATAGGTCTTGCTGTGAAGTCAGACGGCAATGCTCGGTAGACTAAACATCCGTTATCGAAAGTGTAGTCTGAACTTCCAGCATCCACGGGGCGTATCATCTTGACCGATGTCCAAGCATCGCTGGACTCCTCACATTTGATGCTTTTCGTAGCGCTGTTCCTCGATTTCTTGTTTTGAAGCGCGACTCTTCTTTGCATATGCCTCCGATGCATGCGTCGTGGTAAGACCATCGTGGCTTACAACCCTCCAGGGCAGTTACTTCCTCCCGCTAGACGCACTTGTTGTATCTCGAACGCACTTTCCTTGCAACTCCGGCGGATCAAGATACAAAAGGATCTTTGTAGGACATCTTCTAGCTCTCAACTCTCGTCAATCATCATCTCTCCACCCATCCCCTTCTGTATCTTCTTTGATGCCTATCTGCTTGCTTTCTCCTCTACAGCACTGGTCGCTTCCTGTCGCTCGTTCTCGTCATTCATTTCCTGTGCTCGGATATTGCTTTGGTGCGAGGAGTGGTGAGATGAACGCGAGCGTCTAACACGTCCTTGGTCTGTTCGCCATGGGCTTGCGCGTCGCCTTTGCAGCTCGCCCGCGCAGGTCGTGATCTGTGACGATAACCTCGTTTCACCCCACTAAACGACGATAACCTCTTGTTCATGCACCCCCGCTTTGCCCACTCGTCCACTACTTTCGCACCATACTCGTTCCGGAACCTCTCAGTTGCTCGACCTTTGCACTTTCGAATGTGACGTAACTTTATTAACGAAATGCAATACAGATCAGATTTTCCCGCTTTTAAACAGACCGCACCTTTCCAGAAGTCGCTCGAATCGTCCTCTCCCGTCATTCTACTTTCTGTTCAGTTTGGAGAGCGCGCAGCAGAAGGCATCGCATGCTCTCAAGCATCACCGCTATTACAATATCGCAACGCACCCTCGTCAACGCACCGCTCAATTCACCGCTGGTCAAGCAGGTGAAGACGCACCTGAGTCCCGGTGACCAATATCACAGGCTGCCATTGAGAGTACAATAGCTTCAATCGTACAGAACGTATGCTCTTCTTCTCACCCTTCTATCATCGCTAGGTAGGTCCTATGACAACTAAGACATTTACTAGGCAGCTCTCAGTTCTACAATAACACAACTTCATGTCGCAGAACCTCCTCTAGCCAAGACAGTACCAGATACTCCACACATATCGACCACCCAACCCTTCGTAAGCCTGCTCATAAGAACAGTTGGATGTATTATCTTCGCTCACTTTGAACTCTAGACTCCGACCGCTTGATTTCAATTTTCCGGACGCCTCACTATCTTCCTGGGTATTCTGTAAACCCCGCACTTGGGAAGCCCAAATTCTCAGGTACGTGACCAAAACACATTACATTTCCGCGCAGTGTTCTCGCGAGGCGGTGTCGAATAAGGGCGTATTCCATTGGTTCTCTTAAGAATGGCGGCAACACCCGCACTATCTATCTCACCCCGCGAACCACATGTTTGGGCAGCAAATTCCTATCGATTGCGATGGGGCTGGCAGTGACGCAGTTACTATAACCCGTCCCAGCGCACTGGTAGTGAATCATTGCTAATAGATATGAGCGCATAGCCGGAATACCTAGACAATTCTAGTGCCTCACTACCGCTTGGACTCTTACTGCTGTCAGCTCTTGGGTATATCAGACTTGAGAATCACATTCTTAGCGCACTACCCTTCTCCACCACATCAACAAGTCTCTTATAAATTACATACGCACGCAAAGCTGAACAACATTAGCCCTCACCTTCAAGAGTGTACACGTATTGCACAGTCTACGCTTCCATCTTCTCTTCCTTCACACACACACACACACACATATTAGGCATCGCTCGATGTCACCTTCGATGGTCGATTCTATCAAAGCCGGAACTGGCGCCTCCGTCGCGACCCCCAGCAAAGTCTATGCACCTATCGTCGCGAACGTTGAAGCCACATCACCGAAAACCGACACCAGTGGTGATACCCTTCATGATGACGAGAGCTCCGATGTTCGCTCTAGTGGCGACGGTCTCCCGACTCCCAACAGCCCCATTAGTCCAGAGAGTCTCAACTTTAATGGCCTGTCCATCACTGGCGGTGGTGTTGATCTTCGCAAGAACAGTGTAGAACGTTATAACAATCCCTTCCAGCGCATGCAGAAACAGCACAACAAGCCCAGCGCTTACAGTCCTCCTGGCCGTGACTTCCGTAGCAATCGTCAGCTAGGAGCCCCGTACAACGGCCAAAGTGGTGGAGGCTTCCGACAGTCGCGTACCTGGATGTCTCCGGATGCACAGGTGCAGCAGGAGTTCCTCATGGTGCGCAACGCGATGCGTCGCCTGTTCAAGAACTCCGACATTGCCAAGTGGAAGCTCAGTGACTACGTTGCTCACAAAGAGGCAATGTTAGCATCCCAGTCCAATAAGCTTGCGAACAAGGTCAAGAACAGGGAAGACGCCCTAGCCATGTCTTCTCCCATCCCCGCCGATATCCAAAAGGTTCTTACTAGGTGCGGTATCGAAGGCAACTTTGAAGATGTCGGAAACTTCGGTCGGGCTCTTGGCGAGCAAACCATCTGGTGCAACGACTGGGTGAACGGCAAGGATGAGATCGCACCCTGGCCTTCCATGGCGGAGATGAAGTGGGAAGGAGATGACCGGGCCAAGACTGGTGTTGGTCGCTTCCTTCCTCTTCCCCGTGAGGAGGGCCCTCCAGGTCTTATGTGGAACCAGCTCCCTGTCATTGAGCAGTATCCTATCAACCAAGTCTGCAAGATTCCTACCATGGAAGATGTCTATCTTCCCGTCGACTACGATATCGAACCAGACCATGAGTATCTCTGGAGCAGGGAATTGGCGAAGGACATTGACGCCTTCCTGGAGTCATAATAAGTTCCTCCCATGCGCAAAAAGCCCCTCCGACTATAGCACTTCCGCTTCTACGCCACGGTCTGCAGGTCAGCTTTCAACTTTGGAAGACGTCCGGTCACGCAACGATTTGGATCGCGCCCTTCCAATGTGACCATTAGCTACTACAACTGTCACCGACTTATCTGTGGCCAAGTCGATCTTCTTTCTGGGCAAAATACAGGGCACGGTTTGCCGTTGTCACCTCCATGTATGGGCTTTCCCGGAGTTTCTCGCGCTTTTAATTTTGCGTTACGACATATAGACGACACGACACATGCACAAAGCCTTGGTGAATGAGCACTTCTACACAACCCAAAGCCTCCCCACCACTTTTCGATACCATGGCTGTTTATAACTTGCGACGATGGCTTCCGCCCAAATCGGAGGGATCTCTGGCATACGCACCTTGAGTTCATGTGCACTGCTTGCGTTGATTGTTCTTTGCTTTGCGAATCATCACAAAATGGGGGCTTACTGGGAAGGGGGAAGGCTGGTTTCTCGTATTGGAGCTGGATGCTTTCGGTTTCATTTTCTTGGTGCGTTCTTGAGATCTCAATTCCTAGCTACTCTCCTCCAAAAAAGCTGCGTTAACAACCTTGCTTGTCAACTATCCATCAAGGGATACCGTGACCGATATGTCCAATTGCCAGATGTCGGCCCCGTTACGAGATCCCACGACTGCTTTCATCATTGCTGCCCTATCTTGCAAGCATCTCCGCCTAGCTTCGGTCTCCCGTCCCGGTGCTCCTAGTTCTCTTCACTGTTTGCGTTGTTGTAAGACAGCGGAGGGTACCGCGCCAAGTACCACGTGGTCGTCCCTGAGATGATGATTCCACCACGAGTTACTGGCCGTCGCTGTCATCATGGCGGATCTGAGGAAGTCTAGACGCCACCGCTTCTTTGGAAACGTCCAACCCTCCCCGAGCTCTGCATACGTTGGGCTTTCAATACACCGTACTCTTCTACCCCCATGAACACGTCTATATTCCAGGCATCTAGTTCATTGATGACGCAAACTAGCCTTGCCGAATGAATCGTAACGGCGACATTATGTGCCTGATGGTACAGTGATGATAACAACAGCCGTGGACAATGCGGCCGCTTTGGGGGCTTTGGGGTCTGACATGCTGCTGGTGTGTCTTTGATTGTAGCGTGAGGCTGACGGTACGAAGGTAGACTCGGGTTTGTAATAGGGAACAAGGCCTTTGCGGGAAAAAGAGAGTTCTAGCGATTGACTTTTAGCGACCTCGCATACTTCATATATAGTCCACCAAGAACAAGATACAAGTTTCTCTCTTCTCGCTACATCGTACTCCCCAGCCAAGACCGCATCATAACGCCACAACCAGTATATTCTCCAGATCGGGTGCCTTACCGCGAGGCCACTATAATCCACTAGACCAAACCCGGCGGCGACCATGCTCCCTTGCCAACACATCACCGCATCTCACAATCGTGCACAATTGAGTCCCAAAGGGTAATCTTCGCGCCGCCTACCACAATCTTCCCCCAAATACTTCCCAGCTGATTTATCCCTCCCCCATTCAGCCTCACCTTCAAACGCACTCCCCCAAATCCTTGGTCATGTGCAAAATCTTAATTCCTTCCCCATTAGGACACCTTACTACATCCACCCTTCCACTCTTCACATACCCACACCTCTCATACAACGCCACCCCACTCAACGTCGCCCCCATTTCCAGCCTCTTGAACCCATCCGTCTCATCTTTCTTCCCCTCCCGAGCTCGCGCCTCACAGTACCGCATCATCATAGTGCCCAGACCCCGTCGCGCATACTCTGGAGACGTGAAAATAGCACGGATAGACGCGCGGTCAACAGCTGGATCGCGCTTCTCTGGCATACGCAGGGGAGAGGGTGCGGAGTCCCCACCGTAGAGCGTTTTGCGGAAGGACCACCCGCCGCAAGCACATATTGTGGTTGGGGAGGAGGCGGGGTGGAGAATGTAGTACGTTCTGCATTGATTGTGGTTAACTATAGCCGTTGGGTGTTGTTTGGTACGGAGTTCCGCTCATTGATGATGGACGCCTTATGGACTTAGGCTAGGTACGTACTGGTCGTGGATTAAGACGGAATCGGGGCCGAAGAGGTAACCTATTGAGCCGTCCAGCTCGGCTTGCGTGTAGTGACCTTTTCCTAAACTGCGGAGTGAGGAACCGATCATTGTTTGGAGAGCAGGTATGTCGGCGGGGGTTGCGGGTCGGAAGGTGTATTGGTGGGTTGCTTCTTGGGCTTTTGCGTCAGCGATGGGATCGTGCATCTTTGCGATTGTTGAATTCTTCCTTTCCAGGTCCCACTATTGGTTTGTATGTGTTTCTTGCTCGATGGTTATGTCTTTGAGACTATGCTGTGCCATGGTCGTTATTCTGTTCAGCCCAATCATGCGCTACCGTTATCGCAAGGCTTGGGAGGGTCTGGTTCCCGACGGAAACCATCCCTGCTTTCCAAGCTGCTCTGGTTCGTATCATCCCGATTTCGATGTCGCCTATCTGTATTTTTAAGGGCCACACAAAATACTGTGAAGATATGCACAGTGTGTGCCTTGTCGTTGCTGCGCATCTCGTAGAGTTTGCCAGATGGGGCGCTTTGACCACCTGTTGAGTTGACGTCAGGACCCTGAGAATCCCGTCTTCGGCACCCTAGATCTCCTTTCTTCCAATAACGCGACACACTCTCGCAACTACGCGCAACCCACCCGGCATCAACGAAGACTGTATATTTAAGATCTTAGGAAGATTGATATATGGGTTGGAAGGTTTGGCTCAAAGGGCAACATCAATATGGGTTCCGCATTAGGCAAAAATCAGTCTTGAAAAGCGAACACGAGCATCGACATGTTCGTCACAATCAATGACCTTTCCTGTTCGGGTCATATTGACAAAACCTCAGGCATAGAACGACTCGTCGGCAGGTACCAGGCTAAGCTTCGAAACGACCGCGCCTCCCCATGCGAGTCATCCCGCCGTGCCGGGTGATGCGGCTGTTTCAGGTTACAGAGCGATCATGGGTCGATCCCAAGAACATCGACAACAATCCTGCCATGATTGAAGCTTTACCTTTTCTGTTTACTTCTCAGGCTTCTCGATCATTCGAATGTGCAGAATGGTACGAGAGACAGGCTCGTGCATCGAGGCTGCTAGGGTGATTAGTAGTACATTGGGGACAAATTGTACTGACAATGTCTGCAGCGCGCTGGTGATGAACCGCCGTCGGCGTAGGCGAAGTTCGCCGTACTTGCTCGAATTGACAACATCACGTACTCCATACACATTCATCTATCGAAGTACCTTTGTGAACAGATTTCCCTAATCGCCAGACGTGACGGTCAAAGACAACATGGCATGGTTCCCAGGCACGGAAAATTCCACTCACAACGGTGAACATGCAAAGTGGATGTTGCCAGTGTTTGGCCATCTCTGGTGCACTTGCTTTTTGTGTCATGCCCGGTGCTGAAACAGCTAAGAGCGTCAGGCGCTCGTATTCCAAACTAAAATAGCCCCCGGTCCATAACGGGACACTCCCGCGGCGTCGATCAACCCTATACCACGTTGTGAATATGCGAAAGCTTATTTCCGCTCGGAATCGTTCTCAGAGACGAGCATAACCTTTGACATACAGATCAACGCGGTATTGTTCAACATGGTCCTTTTTCTCGGATTCTGAACTCGTATGATCGCGCATTGCTTGCGATGAAGTCATTCCGCTATTTCGAGACCGCCGTTCTCTTGTCACCTTAACTTCTTACACTGACAGCTCGGAGACGGACGTCGCTATGGCCAATGATGCACACTATTGTCTACAACGTACCGAGGCACGGCAAGCACGTTGCGAGTGTTCTAGGTACATCCTCGCGCGAGTCGCTGCCCTGTTCCAAGATCAGCCGGGGTGACTAAGAAGAAACGTCCAAGCGCATTGAGAGTGAAAGTGTTTTTTCGGTAGTCGGATCACTTTGAGGTCCTAAGTGGTTGACAGCGCAGCATGTTTGAGGCGCAGAGGCACAACATGGAACCAGTATTCTTCCGAACCCCATCTTCGCCATGACTCTTGAGGGAACATCACCTACTTGGCAGCACTTGGTAGTAATTGCATAACTGGGGTCTCTCCTCCTTGCAATATATCGATCCAAAATTGACCAATCTGGTGTCTAGTTGACGAATACCTTCCTCGGCTGCTATCTCAGTTGACGGTTGTTTCCGCCTCGTAGCTGGGTCCATTGATAGCTTGGCGGCGCCTTGGGCAATGCCCTTGCTCGCATACCTAACCATCGTCATCGTTAGACGAGCATGGTTCTTAAGTCTGGCCGAACAACATAGCATTATAAGAAGGTAGGACGCCAGCTTCAGTTGAACACCATCAGTCAACACTGCCACCAACACTACAGGCCCGGTGCTTACATTCGCTACTGTCTTCTTCACTTCTTCACTTCTTCTTCACTTCTTCACTTCTTCTTCACCCTCTTGTCAATATCAGACTTAGATTTTACCACATTTCCAACAAAGCAACCAACCATCATCATCATGCACGCCCAATCGATCCTCATTGCTGTCTTTGCTGGCTTCGCCGCTGCCGCTCCTTTGGAAAGTCGCCAGCTGCTCGGTGGCACCGGTTCCAGCTCGAGTGAGTTCAGCCAAGGTGGATGCAGAGACATCCTCTTCGCCTTCGCCCGTGGCTCCACCGAGATCGGCAACATGGGAACCGTAGTTGGACCTCCCACCTCTGACGGTCTCAAGAAAGAGTTTGGTCGCGATGCAGTCGCCACGGAGGGAATCCCTTACGCCGCTTCAATCGGTACCAACGTGCTCCCCGGCGGCACTGACACCCGCTCCAAGAACCTCCTCAAAGACACGCTCAACAGCATGGCTCAAAAGTGCCCAGACTCCGTTATCGTCTCATCCGGATACAGCCAGGGAGCAGCCGTCAACCACCGCGCCATTGAAGAGCTCGACGCTGCCGTCATGGACCAGATCGCCGGTGTTGTGACCTACGGCGACACCCAGAAGCTTCAGGACAGGAACCAGATCCCCAACTTTCCCAAGGAGAAGGTCAAGATCATCTGCCAGCCTGGTGATGCCGTTTGCCTCGGTACGCTGAGCGTCTTGCCCGCTCACTTGACTTATGGTGTCAGGGCGGATGAGGGCGTGCAGTTCTTGGTTCAGCAGATCAAGGGTGCACAGGCGAAGATCAAGGCCAGGAACGCGAAGCGAGAGGCTGAGAAGGCGGCTGCGGCTGTTGCTGATGTTGCTAAGCGTGTTGCCAAGGAGATTGTGGCATAAGCTGATATACAGGCGCGATATCTGGATACTTATGTGGCTGGATCACTTTGTTCTATCCGGTCGCGTGGGATTTCACGACTTTTTTCTCTACTTTCTTTCATATTCTTTGGTTATGTGGTTTTATATCTTACGAATTTATCGACTTGGGCCCAAGACGCTTGTACTTGTTTAACCGTTTGCATTGAGTGATGTGTGCCTATGAACAGTGACCACAACAAAAACGTCGGAATCATTTGCAGAGATCAGGAAGGGGCGGGGAGGAGTGGCAATAGGCCAATGTGAATTAAGTTATGGTGACAGGTCAACTCGTTCAGAAAGGTTTGGGTGGTGCATCAACTAGACTATTTCCTATATAGACAACTTCTGATAAGGTGTTGATCGTGGCCCCGTCGACTGCCCCGATTGCCCCGACGGCCCCTCACTGCCTGCCCCGCTTTGGATAAATCGCTGCAACCACTTCGGGCTTTGCTCGCAGTCTGGTGTGATAATATTTCAGAGAAAACAGAGGCATGTTCATGCCGTGTAATCTCTACATTAATTCTTCTAAGAACGTCTATTTACCTCCGCTCGCCGTGCTCTGTCAGGCTTTAGTGGGGGAAGCTCACAGCTCCAAGGCTAAGTTCTCGCGCATCCCATGTCAGATATAAAGGTGCATCAGCAATCATATTCGTTACTCTCATCAGAAACACAAAATAATTCTAGCTCCAGGCGGCAGTTCCCAGTGCCTCATCAAACCAAATCACCGACAGCCACTGCTGCCCCGCTATCCAGTCGTAGAATTCCGTGGTCACGCCGTACGACGTTCCTGCTAGCCTTGTACACGTGTTCGGGATGCAGACAAATGCAGCCAGAGTAAGGAAGTGCCCTGATGAGAGACGTAACCATAGATTGGGCACTTTCTCCGACCATTCACATCATACCCCATTACACCACCACGCAGTGAACCAGAAGCGGCATCTGGAGGCGTCGATAGAGCCAATCACTATGTTACACTACGTTTCGCAACATGGAGATAAAGAACCGAACTGGAGCGAGGTGGTGGCTGGGCATGCCTGACTACGGTGGAGTTACGCAGTAGCTCATGGATTATCATTCGCTGGGGAAGTAACCGTTCTAACTAGGAGACTGCATGGGCTATTTCCTACCTCGAGCATATCGAGACCAATCTACAACACTCACCAACGAAACAAACGTATCAATAACATCCATCTGGGAAATATCACCACCAGAATGCCGTCCCCACCCCCATCTCCAGAAGAAGCCCTCCGCCGTCAAACCGAAGCCCGCGCCGCTGTAACCGCATCCCTCACCAGTGTCGGCGCCTCTGTAGACAATGAGATGCGCACACGAACAGCGGACTTACACGCCAATTCTGCCGCTATAGCAAAGCAGGAGAAAGAGCTAGCGAAGCAGACGGCGGCGCTGGCGAAACAAACGGCGGAGTGGGATAAGTTGTTGCAGGGGGGCACGAAGAAGTTGAATGAGGTGGGGGATATTCAAAATTGGGCGGAGATGATTGAGAGAGATCTTTTGGTTCTGGAGGAGACTGTTCGGTTGGTTGATGATGGGAAGGCAGGGAGGGGTGAGGGTGGGGAGAGGAGAGAGGAGAGGGAGGGGAATGCGAGTGGTACAGGTGGGTGGTTTGGGCGGTAAGGTTGGGAAGTGAAGTCGTGGCTTGGAACCGGTGGCGGATGATTTGGACATGGCGCAGAAGGTTTTGCCAAAGCTTTGTTCATGAATTATGACCTGGTATATAGTAATGTATAATATCGTTTATAACCTCTCCAGGGCTCTGAGAAGTGGATGCAGTTCCCTGTCATGGTACGGCATGATGCATACTATCTCAAGTTGACTTGGAAAGAGTTGTCAAGTCCATGTTGCCGCCCCGTGGATGTCGTGATATGCTCCAGCGCACCTAACCTCGTCATGTCATCCGTAGAGACACTGGCGACAGCGCGTCGCTTTCGTGACGCTCTAAGCTCGGATCAGCGGGCACGGACCATGACTCCATCATTGCGGAAACTGCGACTTGCAGTGCTCGTAGCTACAGCTCCAACAGCAACTTCACCTCACTCACCCGCTCTACCACCGACATAGAGGCTTCCACTTATCGAACTTTGGCACTTACACCCTGCCAAAAAGACGTCCACTAGCTGTCCAAGATCCGCGCCTGCACCGTGGTATCTAACAGCGACCTACCCACGCCTCTTCTCCGCCAACCCGCCCGCTCACACGCATTACACACATTTCGCTACGGCCGCTTTTGTGTGTGGATACGACGCCAGCATACATCACCAAGACCCCGCTTTTCGCTCCACTAAAGACGTAGCCACTTTGGGTTTCTGCGCTTCCGGTAAAGGCAACCGCAGCCTGCCTCCAGACAGCCTCCTACGCCACGGACATCTCGCCGTGCTATCCGACCGTCTAGACACAACCACTACTCGCTAGAGACCAGCTTCATTGAGCTTGCATGTGAGCAAGTTTCGTCTTCCGAGCGCCCGGCGCAAACATGAAGATCAAGAAACAGGCTACATCGCGACATGAGTCGACTCTGGTAGGTTACACTCCTTCTCGCACACCTCGTCACTGCTAATACAACACTGTAGTCGCCGATGATAGCAGACTTTGTGAAGGCGACCGAGTCAATACCGCTGTTCCAACTGCCCGCACATCTCGCCTCCTTCCCTAGGCACTGGCCCTTTCCCCGCGGTGACGCATATCACTGGATCCCCGCCCTGAACCGCTTCGACCACATCCTCGAGCTATTCAACAAGGAGTATGACCTGGTAGACGGACCACAGACACAGCCCTTCCAGCGCCGACTACTACTCAAGGGCGATGTCGAGGAAGGAAGCACCAGCTCGGAGCAAACCACGACCGATGCCGTCCTGGATACCCTGCACGTATCACGGGATGGCGATCGCGAGCTGATCGAGCAGATTCTCAACTTCACGCGCATGCTATTGGAGAACTGCGGCAACCGTAGTCTGTACTCCAGCAGTGAGCGCCTGGACAAGCTGCTAAACACGACTTCTACATCCCTTCTCAAGGCTACGCTTCGCCTAGGTCATCGCCTCGCTCAGCGCTATGCTGCCGCGCGCATGCGCCTGGCCCCGGCCACACTACACCCGTCTCTTCTCTCCAGTCACTACAACATCAACCTCGATAAGGTTCAGAAGCTGGCTAGCCCATTCGCAAAAGGCCCCGCTACGCCAGCACCTGTGTTCGGCACACCAGCAGGCAAGGGCAAGGATCGTGCTGGCAGCACTGATCGAGTCAGTTCGTCTGACTTGGTTGCCATGTACTCTCTGTCCGAAGCGTCGATGAAGCAGGAGTTCGGAGGCGTCCTTATTTCGTACTACGAGCCCACTCCCACATCGGAAGCAGAGAGCGGTAAACCGGCATCTACAGAAGCACCCGCGCCCACGACACCAACTCCAGTACGAAGGACTTCGAGCATGGGTCCCAATCGAACGCCGAGACAAACCCAGCCTGCGCCCACCACCGATTCGCCGAGCACACCAGCTTTCACACCTGGACAACCCGGTAGCAGGACGAATGGGCCCAAGACTTTCGAGCTGTCAGCCGAGAAGGTGTCTAAGAGCGACGTACACGACTTGATCAAGGAAGGACTCGCAAGTTTACCGGAAACAGTCCACTACGAATTTCTCCACAAACTTCGTACCGCAAAGATGTTTCACGAGGGACACACAGGGCGCGATAGCGCAGTCGCCATCCGCCTTCTATCCATCGCGAACATTGGCTACGTACATATTGAAAAGGAGTTCATGGCAAAGCTGGGCCAACAAGACGCAGACGAGCCACGCCGGTTACAACTTGCCTACCAACTCTCTGAGCTGGTTCATCCGCCAGGCAATGGCGAGACTGGTATTTCGATGGAACTGCAGACCTATACAATGAGCGCCCTCGAGGCTCTTGCGAAGCACAAGTCGAAAGCGCCTGACGTCTGTACCGCCCTCAGTGTCAACGTTAACCACGGTGTACTGTTCTACGTTGTGCGTAAGCTCGTCGCTGGACTTGGCGAGGAAGCTGGTAACCCTAACGATATCGAAGAAGATGAATGGCGCGATGCTTTGTTCTCCCTCTTGAACACCCTACCTACTTCTCAAACGCGCACTGGTGAGCAGATGGTGGCCGCTGGCCTCCTGGAGATTCTTGTTGATGTCCTTAAGCTGCGTACGGCAAAGGCAGAACGCAATCACCCTAAGATTCTCAACTTCCTTGACACCTTCGTGTACAATTTGCGCGATGCCTTCTCAGCCCTTGTGGCCGCAAAGGGACTCGAAATCATCGCTGATCTGATGCAATACGAGGTCGATACCTCTAAGAAGCTCGCAGAGGAGGACAAGGGCATGCCCAAGGAGTACAAGACGCAGCTTACTGATTATCAAATTCCGTTCTACCATCAGCAGAGTCTACGCTGGCTTTTCAAGTTCCTCAACCACATGATGTCGCATACAGGCGGAAACTTCGATCGCCTGATGCGAAACTTGCTTGACTCACAACAACTGCTTAGCAGCTTGCGCACTGTGCTATCCAATGCCAAGACGTTCGGTTCAACTGTTTGGAGTATGGCTGTCACGATCCTGACCAGCTTCATCAACAATGAGCCTACTAGCTACCAGGTCATTGCCGAGGCGGGTCTTAGCGATGCGTTCTTGGAGACAGTGGCTGGAGAGCCCGCTTCAGAGTCGATTGCTGCAGCCAACGCTGACATCAGTGCTTCAACACCATCGACATACTCTCCACGAGAAGGCGGAAAGCCACTCGCCGAGGGTATCTTGCCTGTGGCCGAAGCCATTTCCACTCTGCCGCCTGCTTTCGATGGTATTTGCTTGGCTGAAGCCGGCATGAAGCTATTCCAGTCGTCCACCGCTCTCCAGCGATTCTTTGAGATCTTCGAGAGTCCTGCTCATATCAAAGCACTTGACGCTGATACCGAGATGCCTACCTTGATCGGAAACTCTTTCGATGAGCTAGTGCGTCATCACCCACCTCTCAAGGCACGCGTTCTTTCATGTCTCAGCGAGCTGATCGCGCGCGTGGTTCAGCTTTGCGCCGAGAAGGCTGAAAAGGAGGGTGTAGGAGCCAAGCTTTGGTCCGAGGACGCTGCGGGTAAGCTTACCGTCGCTGGCGGCCGCCAAGCCCTTTCTGGATTACGCTTGCAGCAGAACGCAGCTCAAGCATCGGCGTCTACAAGCACTGATGTGGAGATGAAGGATGCTGATGATACTGCTAACGAACCAGTCGCTTATGATCAAGTCACCGAGACTGAGGACAGCACCAAGGGCCCTACTACCGGCCAATACATTCGCGTACTCTGCCGCTTCCTCTCTGGATTCTTCTCAAACCACGCCATGTGCGCTGCATATGTCGAGCTTGATGGTGTAGATTCTATCCTAGACATTTCTAGTCTTGCCTGCTTAGACCCAAAGGCAAGCGAGTACCGCAGTATGTGCGAGCAGTTCGGTCATGTCGTCCAGGTACTCGTCGAGCAGAAGCCGCATATCGCAGTGCCATCTCTGATTAAGCGTACACAAGCGGCTCTGGAGCGCTTGCAGCCTCTGCTCGACCATACCGGCAAGCAGGCTTTCTTCGCTCCTTTCACAAGCGCTGGTACTTCCCAGAGTATCGAGCCCTTGCAGCGGGGCACACAATACGTCAAAGCACTAGTTTCTGCCCATACTCTCGTTGGAGCCATGACCCTAACGTTCCAGAGCCAGATGTACACTACTCGCTCGGCTCACAACGTGTCCAGCCAAGTTAACCTTGCCGACATGTACGCACGACTCGTGGATAGCCTCGGAAAGCTGCATCGAAGCTGTGTTTGGGAAGAGTTGTTGCTACAGCGTAACATGCCTACAGAATGGGAGAAGGAGACTCGTGTCACTAGCTCCGGTTTTGGAAACGATGAAGCCGACAACGTGTTCCGCATTGGAAATAGTGCTACTGAATCACCAGGTAACGGAGATGCTACTGCTTCAGGCACAACTTCTGAGAACACCGTCTCGAGCCAGAACAGTGCACAGTTCAAGAACACGCAAACGCTCCGCAATCTACTTAGCAGGATACCTACCGAAGTTGCGCCGTTCTTCCAGTCGCTTGGTAAACTGCTCTTGTTCCGCCGCAGTCTGGAGGCGTACCAGAGGCAATGTGCTACGGTTGTGTCTGACCAACTTGCCCAAGCCGTCATCGATCAGCTCGAATACGAGGGTCCAAAAGATTCAGAGATCGTCGAAGATCGCTATGCGTACTGGATTGTCATTCTCACTTCCTTGTCGCAGCTCATCGTCGAACCAAACCTGGATCGATCACAAGCGCTGACACTATTGCTCGTGTCATTCCGCAATCTGGGTGGGTTCGATGTTCTAGCAAACATTCTCAACCAGTTTTACGAGTCGGCGCTTGAGATCACTAAGAAGCAGGGGGAAGACACCAGCGAGGAATCGAAGCGACTGCTTAATCTGTCTCTCGGTGGCATCAAGATTATCTTAGCCTTTTTCTCCCAGATCATCAATTTCAAGGTAATCTCAGAGTCGCCGCAGACGTCATCGATGCAAACCCGGCCAGATCGTGATCGGGAGCGGTCTGATTACTTTTTGACTGCTCAATTCCTCGTCGAGCTACGCTACGCCGTCATCGTACCCGTCGAGAAGATCTGGAACTCGGACCTCATTGACAAGGCCACCCCGTCGATCGTAAAGACATCTGTCAACATACTGAAATCCGTTCTCGAATGCGAAGGTGAGCACGGAGCTTACAAGAGTATAGACAAAATTCCAAAGCGTAGCAAACCCATCATCAAGCCTTGGTCAGCTCGAAATGGAGACCACTTGCCACGTCTGAAGGAGAACGGATATGAGGAGAGCCTTGCTGAGGAAGCTCTGTATCGCTGCTGTGACAACTTTAACATGGCGAACGAGTACTGCAAGAATCAAGCTCGTCCAGGGGTTTCAAGAAACCCTATTCCGCAGTACGAGATTCAAGCACGAGGCCCACCATCTGCGTCACCTAGCCGAGCTGAAGTAGTGGTTCCCGAGCATCCAGACGACGCTAGTATGACATCCAGCGAAGTAACGCGAGATGAGGATGGGTCTGAGCAGCCGGAGACACAGTCTGTTCAGATGGAAGACGCCGACACTTCAATTGCAGAGCCGGAGGCGACTGCGTCCGCTGCACTAGTACCGGGCGAGCAGCCAAGTCAAACACCCGCTGCTCCACAGGATGCTCTTGCATACCAGAAACGGATGGCTAACGGCAATTCGACACAGCTCGTTGCTCTAGACCAGTTGGATGAGCAACGATCCAAGCTCCGTGAGCAACTCGTTGAGCGATCTCTTGATGTATTAAACTCACACGAAGACGTCACCTTCGAGCTTGCTGATCTCATCTCGGCCGCCGTTTTAAAAGCACCAGATCCACCCGAGATGCGTGGTGAGATTGGAACGATGCTCGTGCAGTCTCTCATGTCGCTGCAGAGTGATGACGACTTCCGAACCCAGAGTAAGAAGATCGCAGCTTCAGCACATCTTTTGGCTTTGATCCTTCAAGAAAAGGACTTTTACGAAGTCATTGTTGAACAACTAAAGGAGCACTTCACTACGTTGTTGGGCTTCATCAAGATCTTCCCAGATCAATCTCCGGAGGACTCATCACCTTGGATCGGCCAAGTCTTACTTATTGTCGAACGACTACTAGCTGAGGATCAACTACCACATCAAATCCAGTGGACTCCGCCAACAGAAGAATCCACGGAAGAGACCACAGTTGACGAGCTACCACAACCTATTGTCAGTATTGAAGAGAAGGATCTGCTGTTCAACGCAATCATCGAGATGCTACCTCGCATCGGAAAAGATGAGTCGTTGGCTCTGTCTGTGACGAGGGTACTAGCCATGCTTACTCGCACGCGCAAGATCGCCACCCGTCTAGCAGAGAAGCGCAACATCCAGCGGCTGTTCCTTATGGTCAAACAGCTTGCTGGCATCACCAATGAGGGCTTGCGTAGCGCTTTCATGATTGTTCTTCGCCACATGATCGAAGACGACGAAATGATTCGGCAGATCATGCGTACCGAGATCCAGCAAATGTTTGAGTCGCGGGATCGAAGACAGACGGACACTACTGGCTATACTCGCCAGATGTACGCGCTAGCCATTCGTGCACCTGAGATTTTCGTCGAAGTCACCAACGAGAAGCTTCAGTTGAAGGGCTTCGACCCTAATCAGCGACCGCAAGCCCTGGTCCTCAAGAAGACTGAGCCATCTCTAACGGAAGGAACAAGCATCGTGGAATCCTCAGAGACCACTGCTGAAGCCGACAAGCCAAAGGAATCCAGTGAAGCGCCCAAACAGCCGTTCCTTGAGCGGACAAAGACCTCCGACCTGAAGGTCCCCGTGGTTGAAAACCCCGACGGCGTCATTCACTACCTTCTTTGCGAACTGTTAGCTTACAAGGAAGCTGAAGACAAGCCCGAGCCCGCTAAGCCTGCTGAGAATGCACCTGAAGGGCAGACAAGTAAGGAGTCGAACTCAGATGCTGCCACCGCGCCTGCTGCTCCAGCGGCCACGCCCGCAGAGCCTGCGAAACCTGAAAAGCCCGTGTTCAAGGCTGAAGCACATCCGATCTACATCTACCGTTGCTTCATCTTGAAGTGTCTCGCCGAGCTTCTGCAGAGTTACAACCGCACCAAGATCGAGTTCATCAATTTCTCCAGGAAGGCAGACCCTTATACCGTGACACCATCGAAACCTCGCTCGGGTGTCCTGAACTACCTTCTCAACAACGTTGTTCCCATTGGCAGCTTGAACCACGAGGGTGACCTCGCCTTCAAGAAGAAGCTGGCGACATCAAACTGCGCAATCGACGTCATCGTCTCACTTTGCAACAAGACGGGAGAGTTCACTCTGCCAAAGACCGATGTACCAATATCGCCATACGTTGAGACTGAGCCAGACTTGCTTTTCGTACGCAAGTTCGTCCTTGAGCATGCCCTGAAGGCATTCAAAGATGCAAACGCTTCTGATGAACCACTCGATATGAAGTATTCTCGTCTATTGAGTATCGCCGACATATTCTCCAGGATGGTATCGCAGCGACCGAATGGCGAGATGCTTACCCAGAACGCCGACCTGACACCCAACTTGAAGCAAATGGCCAAGATCATGTATGAGAAGAACTTTGTCACTATCCTGACAACGGCGATTTCAGACATTGATCTCAACTTTCCGAATGCTAAACGCGTGGTCAAATACATCCTGAAGCCTTTGAAGTGGCTCTGTTACGTGGCCATGGACCTGAGTATGCACTACGATACATCTTCAGCTCCAGACTCCGCCGATGAGTACGAGATCTCGACAGCATCCGATGACGACCTTATCGGCAACGAGCGCGAAGAGACGCCTGATTTGTTCCGCAACTCTACACTAGGCATGTTCGAGGCTCACGAGTCAGAGTCTGACGAAGACTCCGAAGACGAAGAGGGTGAAGAGATGATGTACGACGATCCTTACGCGGACGACATGGAGTACGACGAAGGTGATATTGGTGACGATGATGTCGTCTCTGATGATGATGAAGAGATCCTGGAGATGGACATTGACGGCATGGGCCCAATCGAAGGCCTTCCCGGTGATGTCGATGTTGAGATCGAACTCGACGACGATGGCAATGCCATGGGCTCCGATGATGATTCCGAAGACGATGACGAGGACGATGAGGATGAGGACGATGATGACATGGACGACATGGATGATGACGGCGACGACGACGGCATGGACGACTTGGAAGAGGCCATGGACGCCATGGAGGAAGTAACAGGCGATGACGAAAACGCTAGCCTCGCCGAAGACCAAGAAGATGATTGGAGCGATGACCAGGACGACTTCCCTGGCGGCCCTAACGGTGAGGCTAACATGCCTCCGGGTGCGCTCGGCTTCGTTCTTGATCCTCCTCAGCTCCTTGAACAAATGCGTCAACAAGGTGGAGATCTCGAAGATTTCCTAGATGATGAGATGGCAGAAGAAGGTCCGTTGCTTCATAGGATAGAACAACGCTTGGAACCCCCGCTAACCCAATTAGATATGGATGAGGAGGAAGAGGAGTATGACGAGGACATTCACTACGATCCTGGAATGGAGGATGACGACGACGCCATGCCGGAGATTGGATGGGGTGGTGGCTGGGAAGACCCTCAACCGCCTACTGTTCGACATACCCACCGCCTCAGCCCATGGATGTTCCCCGCCGGTCCAGGTGATCGTATTCTTGTACCAGCTTACCGCTCACATCGCCCAGGTGCCGGTCCCCGTGTTACTGACGATGGTATCAACCCTCTGCTTCAGCGGGGCGGCCGCTCTGCTGGACGAGATGGTTTACCGCGCAACGAAGGCAACAGCGATTGGGTTCACGCTATTGAAGGTCGCGGCCCCCGTGTCTTTAGCCAAAACGACAGCCCTGTCTCATTCATCAGCAACCTGTTGAACGCGATGAGCTCCGGCGCGGGCGGCCCGACATTACATCAGCATGGAGGCGCGCTACATCTTTCTTTCAGCAACTCTATGGGTATGCCACCGTTCGATAGTGGCATGCGCCGTGATATCGCTCGTATGCGAGAGTCGTACACATCGCGCACTGCTCGCGAAGATCCGCACTCTGCGGTATCATTCGTCAAGGCGTACACAAGCCAGCGCTGGCAGGAAGAAGCACGCATTCTGTATGGCCCTGCTGCAATCGAGAAGAGCAACCGGGTTATCAACTCCATTCTGAAAGTCATGGTTCCGCCTGCCATGGAAGCAGCGAAGAAGCGCCTAGAAGAGCGCCAGGCCGAAATCGCCCGCAAGCTCAAGGAAGAACAAGAACAAAAAGAACAGAAGGAGCGTGAAGAGCGCGAGAAGCGCGAGGCACAAGAGAAGGAAGACCGTGAGCGACAGGAACGTGAAGCTGCTGAAGCTGCGAGCCGAGCTCAAGAGCAACCTGCTGAAGGTGAGCCAAAGACGAAGCCTGAGACTGCACCCGAAGCACAGGCAATGGAGGGCGTCGAGGTCGGACAGTCCTCAGTGGAACCCGCAGCTGCCGAGGCGGCGCCTGCGGAACCTGCTGGGCCACCTCCACCACGTATCACGACAATGATCAGAGGTCATGAGTACGACATCACGGACTTGGGTATCGATACCGAGTATCTGGACGCTCTTCCCGAGGATCTACGTGAGGAGGTCTTGATGCAACAGGTGGCTGAGCGTAGAGCAGAACAACGCGCTCAAGCACGACGACAAGAACAACAACAACAACAACAGCAGCAACAGCAGCAGCAGCAGCCACAGGCCCCGGTACAAGGACAAGCTCCAGCTGCACCCGAGGAGGCCGGACCAGCAGGCGAGCTACCTACAGACATCAACGCAGATTTCTTAGCAGCGCTCCCTGCAGAAATTCGGGAAGAGCTGCTTGCGCAAGAAGCACAAGAGCGTCGACGCCGGGAACGCGAAGAGAACCGTCGTCGCAATCAAGCTAGCGCTGGTGCTGCTCCTCCACAAGCGGAGGAAATGGACCCTGCGAGTTTCTTCGCGTCGCTGGACCCCAATCTACGAGCTGCTGTGCTCATGGACACAGACGAAGACATCTTGCGCCAACTTCCACCCGAGCTATCCGCGGAAGCGCGAGCAATGGGAGGTGATCGCCGATTACATCAGTTCAACGACTTTGGCTATAGACGTGGTGACCGTCGCGCCCAGCCAGACGACCCGTCACAGAAGAAGAAGACCCGTCCTTGCGTACAAATGCTCGACAAGGCCGGCGTTGCGACGCTCCTTAGACTCATGTTCATCCCACAACAGGGAAGCGCCAAGGGTAGTCTGAGCGCCATCCTACGCTATGTTTGTGAGAACCGTCAAAACCGCGCGGAGGTTATCAGCATCCTGCTTTCCATTCTTCAAGACGGCAGCGCCGATGTCAACGCTGTTGAGAAGAGCTTTGCCCAACTGTCGATTCGGGCAAAGCAGCCTCAGCAACCCGCGGACAAGACTCCAAAGATCTCTCGCAAGAACGGCGCCCTATCAATCAACGCGGATGTTTCTCCACTCATGGTCGTTCAGCAATGTCTCAACACGCTGACCCAGTTGACTGAGAAGAACCCAGCTGTTTGGCAATTCTTCCTGACTGAGCACGAAACTGGTGTTGGCTTCAAGAACCGTGCCAACCGGAAGGGCAAGGCCAAGGAGACGAAGGCGAATAGGTATCCAGTCAACGCTCTACTTACCTTGCTCGACCGTAAGCTCATTGTTGAGAGCTCTACCATCATGGAGCAATTGACGACACTGCTGAAGGTTATCACGGCTCCATTGCAGGTTCTCAAGAAGGAGAAGGAGAAGGCCGCTGAAGAGGCGAAGAAAGAGGCTGAGACCTCTGCAGAAGGCCAGACCACTGAAAGCCAGCCTGCCGATGCCGCAACAACGGAGGCTCATCCCGAAGGCCAAGATACAGAAATGACGACTGCTCCGGAAGACGCTGCTCAGCCTGAAGCTGCTACTGCTGAGGGCGAGGGTAGCACTTCCAAGACTGACGAGTCAAAGGCCGAAGACGAAAAAGCGAAGAAGCACCGCTCGCTCACGCCACCTGATGTGCCTGAAGCCAACCTTCGACTTGTCGCTAAGATTCTGGCTGCTCGAGAATGCAACAGCAAGGTCTTCCAGGAAACTCTGTCAGTCATCAGCAACCTATCACCCATCCCAGGTGCCAAAGAGATCTTCGGTCAAGAATTGCTTGGTATTGCCAAGGATCTTGCTAGCTCAACACTACAGGACCTTGCCAGCTTGACGGTTCAAGTCTCAAAGGCAAGCTCGCCTACTGACGTCCAAGGCATCGCACTTGCCAAGTTCTCCCCAGCAAGTTCCGATCAAACTAAGCTGCTGAGGGCCCTGACGGCACTTGACTATCTCTTCGACCCATCGCGCGACAGCAGGGACAAGCCTGAATCTGCCGCAGAGGCACTTGAACCGGCTCAGAAGGAAGACATACTCTTGACCCTGTATGAGGACAGAGCTTTCGCACCCCTTTGGGAGAAGCTTAGTGAGTGCCTCACCGTCATTCGACAGCGCGGCAACATGCTCAACATTGCCACTACGCTGCTTCCGCTCATTGAGAGTCTTATGGTTGTGTGCAAGAACACCACACTCAAAGAGATGCCGTTGTCCAAGATGCTTCCCAAGGAGTTCGCCCTGTCTAGCCCACCACCTGAGAGCAGGATGGAGAACCTGTTCTTCAACTTCACTGAAGAGCACCGCAAGATCCTCAATGACCTTGTGCGCCAGAACCCCAAGTTGATGAGCGGCACATTCTCTCTTCTAGTGAAGAATTCGAAGGTGTTGGAGTTCGACAACAAGCGCAATTACTTCAACCGAAAGCTTCATTCCCGAGGCGGAGACCGACAAGCACACCCACCTCTGCAGCTCTCTGTTCGCCGAGATCAGGTCTTCCTAGACTCTTTCAAGTCGCTGTACTTCAAGTCGGCTGATGAGATGAAGTTTGGCAAGCTCAGCATCCGCTTCCATGGTGAAGAAGGTGTTGACGCTGGTGGTGTTACTCGAGAATGGTTCCAATCCATCTCACGCCAGATGTTCAACGCTGACTACGCTCTTTTCGTACCTGTTGCTTCCGATCGTACGACGTTCCACCCCAATCGTCTCAGTTCTATTAACCCTGAGCACTTGATGTTCTTCAAGTTTATTGGTCGCATCATCGGTAAAGCGCTGTATGAAGGCCGCGTTCTGGACTGCCATTTCAGCAGAGCGGTCTACAAGCAAATCATGGGCAAGCAGGTGAGCCTCAAGGACATGGAAACGCTTGATCTGGAGTACTACAAATCCCTGGAATGGATGATCCACAACGAAATTACGGATATTATCACAGAGACGTTCTCTGTGGAGGTCGAAGCCTTTGGCGAGATGCAGACCGTCGACCTCATCGAGGATGGTCGTAACATTCCGGTCACCGAAGACAACAAGCACGAGTATGTACGCCTTATTACAGAGCACCGTCTCGTAGGCGCCGTTCAAGAGCAGCTCGAGAACTTCCTCAAGGGCTTCCACGACATCGTCCCGGCTGAGCTTGTCTCCATCTTTAGCGAACAAGAACTTGAACTTCTCATCTCTGGCCTGCCTGACATCAACGTGGACGACTGGAAGAACAACACCGAGTACCACAATTATACGGCTGCCTCACCACAGATCCAATGGTTCTGGCGCGCTGTCCGAACATTCGAGAAGGAAGAGCAGGCCAAATTGCTGCAATTCGTTACTGGTACCAGTAAGGTGCCGCTCAACGGTTTCAAGGAGCTCGAGGGTATGAACGGCTTCTCCAAGTTCAACATCCATCGCGATTACGGCAACAAGGATCGTTTACCGTCCAGTCATACTTGCTTCAACCGTAAGTTTATCCTAACCATCTAACCTTTATTGATGAGAACAAATGCTAACAATGAAACAGAACTTGATCTTCCTGAGTATGAAACGTATGAGGATCTTCGCAAGGCCCTGTACACCGCTATGACGGCTGGTGGCGAGTACTTTGGCTTCGCGTAAAAGCACCTTCGCTCGCTAGCACGATGGCCCTACTCACGAATAGCGACTTTTCGAATTACATATTACGATCTCTCTTTGCATTGCCAGGCGCAGGGAGGTGTATGTATGGGGTATGGATTATACCCTTAGGTGGGGATGGGAGGCGAAAGGGAAGGAGCATTAGGTAGATTGGAGAAGTGATTGTACGAGTATTGCAATTGGAGGATCTCAGCGGTTTCATGGGTTCATGAGATGATGATGACAGAGGTCTGGTGCGAGCTAGGTCGAGCGGATGGGAGAGAGAGAACTGGGAGTGCAGGCCCGTGTTTTCTTTCCTCTTTGAGGCGACACTGCTTGTTATCAGGTGGGGATGATGGATGATGTGTGGTTTTTTCTCCGAAAGTCCTTTTTTTTCGTTCAGTGCCAGAGTTTGGGAGTAGACAGATAGTTCATGAGTGTTTTTTTAACTTATATCTGTGTATTCGAGTGGCTGTGATGTTGTGAAGAATGGAACTTTTTGGCCTTCATCTACAGCCTTGCTCGCTTGACTGTGCCGCAAACGCATGGGTAGTCACGCGACCTGGATGGAAGGGCCGAAGCCTGTCGCTCGACGTGTAGATCGGTGGGTACCTCTGTATCTCTGGCCTGTTGCAGGAAAAGATGCTCCGTGGCGATGTACTTAGGCACCCCGCCTTCGTTGCAATGGGCGAGATGATGCGTTTGCCTTGGAAGGACTGCCAGGTAAAGTCGTCTGTCTTTCTACCCAGATACATGCACGAAGTTACGGTCCTACTCCTAACATCATCGCATCAATGGTCGTTTAGATACAAAATATTCAAGGCCAAGACGCCGTCTGGCGAATAACTTAATGTGCTGAGGTTCTATATGTTGTTGGCAGCTTAGAAGAGAGACGGCCTAACTGCATTCAGCACGTAACCTGCATGTACCCTTGATAACGACTGTGCCGCATAACAATTCCCCCCAGCCTCGTCGAGGCTGTACCTGCGGCCTCACCCAACCACAGGGCCACGTCTGATGAAAATCATGTCAAAACGCCCGTAAGCTCAACACAACTTTGGAAGCGGTTTCTCCACCTATCGCTCGCACGATTTCCTGATCTCGTTGAACCTTCACACTGAGCAGATTGCTCCCATACACATTCTTTTCAGCGCTCTTTTGAAGGCAAGGTTTTTACAAAATGGAACCACGCAAGCATAAAAGAAAGCCACAGGTAGGGGATAGATATACCTCATCTATACCATGGGTAGTCTCGACATGGCACACAACTACAGTCGACCTTTTCCTTGACCGCAGCTGGCAAACGGCGACTCTAGAGTTCCTAGAAGATCCAACCCGTGTGCCTGCCACGGTTTACTACCTCACACACGGGTTCACGTGGAACACTCGACTCCCCGAGTTGGCGGCTCCAGGAGCGCCACTGCAGACTTCCGGAGAAGTCGCAGTCTCCATGACAATCGTGTACCCAACGACAACACAAGCTCTATTCATATATGGAATTCTAGACATATCGGCAACTTCCACTCTTTCTTCTCTCGCTGCAGCCTCCAGTTCAGCGAGCAGAGCTCTAGTGACCACGTCCCAGACATCGGCGCAGCAACAAAGTAGCCCAACGACAGGTCAGCAAGCAGCTACAACAACCGCGGCCAATGGCAATGGCAACGGCAAAGACAATAACTCAAGTCTAAGTAGCGGCGCAATCGCTGGCATAGCTATAGGAGGTGTACTAGTCCTCGCACTTATCATCGGAGGATGGTTCTTCTGGCGGCGTCACAAATGCACAAGGGCAGCGGGTTCAAGTTCCAGGGATGACAGACCAGCCAGAAGAGACGGAGAGATATCAGAAATTGATACAAAGCATCCTCCGCAAGAAATGCCAGGGAATCACCAAACACAGGCGCAAGAGCTGGATCCCACACATTCTGCCATGGTCGCAATGATTGGGACTCATAAGCTCAAAGCCGACTCGGAGCCTAGTGAATTACCGAACGGTCGAGGATATCACTATGAACCAGCTCATGCGCTCAATCCCAATACTCGGCCTGGGGGGCTACCAAATGGCGAGACGGGACGGACATTACCAGTGCGTCATCAGGATCTGGAGCCTGCTGCCGAGACGACGGAAACGACAAGCAATGCGACGTCACAGAACGTTGAGGCGCAAAGAAGAAGAGAAATGGAATGGCTAGAGATGGAGGAGGAGAGGATACGGAAACGACGGGAAATGCTTGCTATGCAAGGAGGGGGGAAGACATGATAGGAGTGAAAGGAGAAGTCGCACTCACTCCGGTTCTGATAAGGGGATATGAAGAAAACTGTTGTGAGCGAGAGTTGGGGCAAAGCGGTGGACTTTTGCGATGATACCTAGGTACGAGGAGGTCTCGACGTCTAGTAGTCGACGTTTTGAATGCACAGTCGCCTCATTTATTAGAGGCTTGCGTTGTATGGCGCTAGATCCAGGGGATCAGGATGCGAGACTGCGGGGCGCGGGTGTTCGCGAGGTGTAAGAGGCATCTAACGGGATGCGCTTTAGTCGGCTTAGCCATATACCAGGATTTGCACTCACGAATGGCACCGTGTTCGAGAAGGCTGAGGATTTCTTTATTTATCGCGGCACGGTATGCCGGCTGTATGCAGGATGCAGTCTTGCTACTAATGTTCAGAGTCGTATTCAATGCTGGTGTGCAGCCATGTCCCGCGCTATTCGCCAGGCTGAGTGGTGGTGGCGGCGTTGGCCCCCAATTGCATGCGCCTCCAACATTTCAACGCACACTGATTTGAAGTTTATGTCGCACAAGTGGGGTCCGAGATCAGGGGTTTCGTCGGCATTGGACGGACCTGACAAGGTCCAGCGAGTTCGTTTGGGCAGAGTGTGGTAGTAGCAGGATGAAAACCAAGCGACCACCGTGTAGTTTTAGTTCCATGCCTTCCCCTCATATCGTTGTCGCGATTCTTTAGCTCTTTTCTTTTACACTTGCCCGTATCACTGGGAATCACTCACTGGATCAGCGTCTAGGCATTGTGACTCTGGAGACCCTGCATAGATCTTAAGAATGACAACAGCGTGTCCTGGTCCAATATCTTGGGATTCTGTACTGTCGAGATATGTGTGTGTTACAGATCAACCTTCAGCGACAGCGCTTGCACCAGATGCAATTCAGACATTGGTCCTACCACCATCTGTAGTACCACCATCTGCAGTACCTCCATCAGCAACACCGGCATCTCCTGTCCCTTCACCAGGTGTATCAGTAACGTTGGCAGATTCACCTAGCTTTTCTACATCTCCAGTATCATGGGCTACGGTACCGATCCGGATTCAGACCTCTCTAAGTGATGGAAGATATCAAGAAACTCTATTCCTCGACAATAGACCGCTCACCACTGTTACGGTACAACTGACGCCATCGGTTCTTATTGTCGTTGGGGACTATTCGGTCCAAACAGGACAGCCAGCAATAACGACAGATAATCTTATTTTATCTCTTCAACCCCCGGGAATGACAACTGGCATACAGGGCGAGCCGGCGATAGCTCCTCCATCAATCTTGTTCTACACTGATGTAAGAGCTCAAGGCTCAGCACCGCAAACCTCCGAATCTATTTCGACAGCGCCACCTCGTGCTACCTCGTCCAATACTTCCAATTCAAGTCTAGGAAGCGGCGCGATCGCCGGTATAGCAATAGGTGGTGTCCTCATCTTCGCCTTCATGATAGGCGGCTGGTACTTCTGGCGCCGCAAAAAGCGGAGAACACGACCCACGATTAGTACCCTCGCCGATGACGAAGTAGCCAGGCGAGATGGCGATGGCGACAAAATGGTCCTTGGTAAGCAACAAACTGCCCCCACGACTGGCGCATACCAAACCCAATACCAAGAGATGTCTGGTAGCGGCGTTACTCAAGAACTTGATCGCTCGCACTCGTACAAGTATGCAATCGGAGGGGCGCATGAGCTCAAGGCCGAGGATCGACCAGGCGAATTACCGTATGCTAGAGTGGAGGAATATGGGTCAACGAACGAGTATGGTGTAGTTGCGGTGAATGATAGAGAGAATCGGGGGATGGAGGAGACGGCACCGGCGACAGGAACGAACGATACGACTTCGCAGATTTCGCACGTATCGCCACACGTGGAAGCGCAGAGGAGAAGAGAAGTGGAGTGGCTGGAAGCGGAAGAAACGAGGATAAGACAGCGGCGGGAAGCGCTTTTACAACAAAGTGGTGGGAAGACTTCAACAGTAATACAGAGAGAGAGAGAAGAAAACCCTTGAAGGGAAACATGCCTACTAATATGCTGTTGCATAATAACGCAAAGAGAGGAACTCCCATATCCACTTTTGGCAATGCTCCAGCACACCTATGCCAAAGGCGTCAAACCTTCATTTAGCCTCGCCAATCTGCTCTTAATCTTGCCCATCTTCTCCCCATCTCGATCGAACACTACTCCCGTACCTAGCACCTTCTCACTACTTCCGACATCGTCTTCCAAGCTCTGCGCTGCCTTTGCCTTCTTATCATCCTCCCTCACAAACCTCCTCTTTCACAGCCCCACATAGTTCACAGCCGCCTGCCTCATCCAAATGTACCACCAGGCCTCCCTAGCCCACTGTATTAGCTCATCGTCTGTCGCACCAGCATACTGCACATCCATCCACTGCATCTGAAAATCTTTTTCGCGCGGCATGGTAGCAAGGAGAGGGGTACCGGTTTCGGGATCGAAGAGCGTCCAGCGGAAGAGACAGAGAAGCTTGGCGGTGGGAGACATGTTGGGTGGTGGGGGTTGAGGAGCGAATGGTACGGGGGGTACACGAGGAAGGGCATCGATGTAGAGGGGTGGATTTGGGGGTTGTGAGAATAAGGGGGAGAGGGAAGAACGATGGGATTGGCGAAGTGGTGATGGATGGGCTGGGTGTTAATGGTGGAGTGACAGGTGGTGTCATGTCGCCGACAAACGTAGGTTCGAGTTCGGGGGTCATAAACTGTGGTTGCTTAACGACCATAGTTGGGCGCGGGACATCACTGGTCCATCCGTTCGTACCAGATGGGATGGCATTGGCGATCACATCCCGTAGTCTCTGCTCTTCACGTTCTTTTGCCCAAGCGGCGCGTTTGTTGTAGTATTCGGTTGCGATGTGAGGCAACATGGTGAAGACTTTGTCGCGGACAGTTGCCCGGGTACGCCTGTACCATGCTTGGAGATCTTCGTCGGTATACACGTTGGTTTTGCCGTCGTGTTGTTCAGTCTCGGTAGTGTGATGAATGGGACAGTAGCCAATGTAATGCTTGGGTACCCATTCTTTAATGAAATGTGTCCAGTACGGCGCGCGATCTTCAAGTCGTTCGTTGTACTTTTCCTCGGCTAGTCGTGCAGCGAAGTGACCTGGGTGGAAGAGCCACGAGCTGGCGATGTATTCGTAGACTAAGACCCTGTTTAGCTTGTGCTACGCATCAAATTAAGACTTGTAAAACTCACTCTCATCCCTGATCTTGAAGCCAGCGTTCAATATCCTCCGGTCCAAGCCCAAGATTCGCAGCGCATCCTTTGGATCCTTGCTAATCCAGACCATACTACCAGGAAAGTTCGTCTCTTCGATTTCTTCGACGCGGATGTGTATACCTTCGGAATCGATTGTAAGTCCCAGTGGCTTAATCATACTGCCGATCATCTTGCTGTTGCTTGCATAGTTGAGCTCGAAGTGGCACCAGTGAAATAGCTCAGGCCTGAAGCAGACCTTGACGTCGATTTGGATGAAGTAATTTTCTTCGCCATGGGGGGCGTCGATGGCAAAATACATGCAATCTTGTGTAAGATAGCCCTGGCGCCCGTGGGTGGTGTCCAGAACATCTTTGATGAGACAAATTGTGCTTTGCCAGGGGAAGTCGTCGAGTGTAGTGCTGCCTCTTGAGTGCAGAGGGCCGCATACTAAGAAGTCGACATCGCCGTAGTCATCCTGCTGTTGTCAACAAGAGAATGATGTACACGATTCCTAGTCATACCTTGCAAGGCATCTCGGTTGGTACCACCACTTGCGCGAAGATGGTCTGCAACGCAGCGGTCGTCTGTGCTTTAACCTTGTTATAGACAGCTGGAGAAATGCGCGGACAGTATAGTCCTTTGAAGGCATGACCACCCATCTCGTACGGTAGTTGAGGAGAGCAATAGTGATTAGTATAGTTCGAACTCTTCCAAGCCAGTAGAGAATGATTGACTTGAAGTGACAGTTGGTGATCCAAAGACTGTTGAACTGTATTAGCAGTTCCAACGTACTTTATATTGGTGTACCGTGCTGAGCTACTGCTAGATGAAGAAAAGGCAGCGGCAGCTGAGTGGTGTCAGGTGAAGGTAAGAGGAGTTCAGGCGACATGGCGACTGCTTGATGGAACAAACACCACGCATATGTACACCGACCTTGAAAGAGGACTTTGCTCTCGTTCAATGCCACCTTTACCTTGAGAGTTTGAATCGCCTGTGAGACATAACACAACGAATTGTCTTAGACTCTCCTACCTGTTGTTGATCACCGCACGATGGATGAAGCAGTGCATTTTGTGATCATGCCCTACAAAATCTGGTTGTGAAGCATTTCTGAGCGACTGCGCAAAATGTCGGGCACATTCCAGCTGCATGGCATTCGAGGTCGATTCTTTGAGTACGATCACTCACATTTCTCAAGACACAGTACGCCTCGTCAGCAGCCTTGCAGCCTACTCTCCCCAGCCTCAGCTGTAGCGCATCTTTGCGGCGTTTAGAAAACGGTTGGACGAGGCTGTCCTGCACCATCTTCACCATCATCGCCCATGCGGCGCAGCAATGCCACAAGCGCTAAATCTAAACACTTATTAGCAGCACACCCACAATCACCACACAGGCAATGCAACCATCTAGCAACATGGCAATGGCACATCTCCAAGCAATTCTCGCATGCCTTCCTTGCGGTACTGCGGAGTCCACAGACGACACCTATCCCGACGAGAAAGCCGCCCTACTCTCCGCCGGTGTATCCAACCCATGCCTTGCCGCTGAGACCGCCGACAATGTTGTCGCAACCCTCCTAACCACGTCCCTCACCGGCCCAGCCCTACACATGCACCTGGACTCCGTCGTCGGTGCATCGGGCTGGCGCTCCAACATCGCCGAATATGTCCTAGAGAAACTCGCATCCGCACTGCAGGCGTCGCATGAACGGCTCGGTCCCACCATCCGCAGCGCATATCAGCGGGCGTGGGAAGCTGCGCAAAGCATCCAAGGCTTCGTCATCAAACATCCTGTAATGAGCACCGTCATTGCCCTGGGCGTACTCGCTATTATTGCGCCGTGGGTGTTGGAAGCGCTCGGTTTCGCCGAGTTGGGGCCCGTTGAAGGTACGTGATGAGATGTGTTAATGATGATAGGTTCGTCAATTGGAGTAAGACGCGCGAGAAGAGAGGCGACAGTTGACGGTTCCGCGGAAATTTGAAAAAAGCAAATGGACGAGAACCAAAGAATAACAGAGATTTCACCCTTCCCCCCCACCAAAGCTATTGACTATGCGAATGGATTGCTAATTGCGGAAACTGACGCGCTGCAATGCAGGTACCTTCGCTTCTTGGTGGCAGTCGAGATACGCTGGGTTCGTGCCAAAGGGCTCGCTTTTCTCCTTTTTCCACCGTCTGGGCATGGTGAAGTGGCATTGGGTTCTTGTTTAATGGGGTCAAGGGATGGTTCGTTCGCCCTATCGATCAAGGAAGTTGCCCCATTTTCCAAGGAAGCGAGGAAGAGACCAGAAGTGGAACGGGTACTAAGGGAGCCGATATAGCTGAAGGATTTCAATGCGCAGGTGATTTCGCGTATCTTGCTTGTATGCTTGACATGGGCGTCCTAGATCGTTTCTTGCCTAACGCCCTGAGGCCCTGCTCGATTCATGTCATCGTAATCTCCTCACGACGTCATACCGTCATGGCGAGAAAACCACTGAATGGAGAAGCTGTTTCGAAATCACGCAACGGTTCCCGTCCCGCAAAGTTACAACGAACAAGGTTGTGTTGAATTCATGACTGAAGCGTACCGTGTGTGGAGCCAAAGGAGAAGATTTGTGGGGGACGGTCGAAGAGGCCGCGTACTCCCTACGCGCCCGCGCTAAAACTGTCAAACAACAACTCTTGCCCGCGGGCACGGCGCTCTTCCTCCACCTCCGTCCACTAGTCACGCCAAGCCCACATGTCGCGACCTTGTTCCCAGTGATCTACCCTACGCACCACGGGTCGTCGCGGGAGGGGCTTGACGCCGCTCATTGGTTCCCCCGTCTCAACGTCTTTACCTTGTCGACTTGCGTTATCTTGCGCATCGCAGATCGCGATCATTATGCGACTCTACGCCTTTGGTCTGAAACACGATACTGACCGCCCTGTGCCTGTACCCATACTCCAGGCACCCTCCATCAGAGTGCTTTGGGCGGCATGGTGCGACGCTGTTATCGCATACAGTAATAACGGGGATGAAGATGGTGGTGGACGAGGTGGTGGTGAGGAACCGTGGCCATGGGTTCTAAAGTATGTCGGCACAGGCCTTACGGCTGCTCAGAAGAAATGGTTGACCGAGGATGGTCATCTGAAACGGGTAAGCGGTCTCGGGGAGGTTGTGTTCTTTGGTAGTGCAATGCATGATGGCTTGAGGGGGTACATTGTCAAGAGCGGTGACAGGGATGCAGAGTGCGCAGACCAGAGGGTTGTGTTGTTTGGTACCGACATGGAAGTTGAGGATGGTGTACCAGACGTACAGGCTTACTCATTGAGCGAAAACGACACTACATCGATCATCACTGATGTGAAGATCGATAGTGAAGGGGTCGTGTTGCTTTACATGAAATCACGCTCTACGGTCGAGGAGTCGGTTGTGCACTTTGCAGACTTCAGACAGTTCCAGCGATATTTTTCTTCTGGCCTCGCTCCCAGTTCGCCAGCGCCAGAAGTAACACCCCTCCCATACGAGTCTCATTCCCCGCCACAATGTGTCATAAACGCTACTACAACAACTGCTGTAGACGACGGTATGCACGTTTGGACCTCAACCAGGGACCCAAGGTACCCACGTTGCTTGGGCCGGCCATATAATGCCAGTTCAGAGACAGACATCGCACCCCTGTCTTATCTAGAGGAATCATACGTCACAAAGATTGCATCAGGCGGTTATATGAGCGCGGCGGTAAGCTCGGATGGGGAATTTTTTCTTTGGGGTCAGGCGTGCCCTGGGTCGGAGGGGGAACTGGACGTGCTTAATGGAAGCATAGGAGCGGATGGGTTAGCAACGGGTATTGGTGTTGATGAGGAACAGGATGAGTTTTTGAAGTGCTTGGATGTGAGGATAGAGGGGAAAGGGGCGAGGGTTTGTGATGTGGCGATTGGTCATGGGCATGTTCTGGTGGCTGCCGAAGTGTGTGGAATAGGAGAAGAGACTAAAAGGGTTCTATTCGCGGCTGGGGATAACGGTAGAACCCAGCTTGGTCCTGAAACTGGTACACACTTCAAGGAGAGATTTGAGGAAGTCAAATCTATGCGAGGCAAGCGGATTATTCAGTTAGTAGCGGCTGGTTGGTCCAGTTATATCGTGTCAGATGAAGAGTAACTAAGTCATATTGTATGCTCTGTGGTACTTCCGGATGTAGTAGTCTAGGTGTACCAATAGAAAGGGGAGAAGTTTCCAACTGTGTATATTATGTCCAGAGACGACACCTGCACACCGGACTTGGCTCAGCAAAGACAACTACAGTCACGCGATGATCCTCCACAGAAGTATGCTACAAGTCTCAAACGTCTTCCAGGGCCTGGTTCGACATCAAAGGTCGGAGCTTCAGCGTCGACCTAACCATCGTGAATGCTTACTATTGGTGGTGGCTGGGGTGGCATATATCCGTCGCGCTCAACAGCGATCGCCGTGGTGACCGTAATAGAACCGGCTCTGCTCTGGTCTCTGGGAGAAAGAAGGACTAATCGAGGGCTCTGCGAGGCCTGAGAGACTTTGGAAGTGGGTTTAGATCTGCCAGTGGTGAGGTGGGTGAGCCGGTGCGGCAACATGCATTCGAACAGGGGGCGCAGATGAGGACAGCAAGCTACAATAATTCCAGTGCTTATCTGGGCGATAGCCCACATCAAGGTGGTGCCTATACCGTATGTTACGTCGCCTTGATATGCGACATCAGCTAGTGAGTCGACGCGGAAACCACCGATGAAGATGTTGCTACCCGTGTTAGCTTCGAATAAGAAAGGACTATAGGTGCTTCAATCCCACAATAGCCCGAAAGCAAACATAACGGAGACCGCCAGCTTGTGGGATAGTCGCAGCTTCAAGTGCCAGACCACATAGTGCGGGAGACACCAGATCAGCGCATCCAAAACCACTCCTAGCACTGCTGTGCACACCACACAGGGTTTCAGCTGGAAGCAATGTCTTGTATTCTCCAAAGGTGTCATGTAATTATACTTGAGCGGCCGGCAATGGACCATTATGACGATGACAGAGGCAAGACCTAAGGCGATTGCCGTAAAGACGCAGAAGTGTGCTGAGTCAGATTAATAAACAAGCATATACCAGAAGTGTCTGGATATCCAAGGTTTGACAGTACCACAGTGTCTAAGCCAGCTGTATGTCTTGGTGTACAAGGTTCGGATGAAGAAGATGAGGATTGCGCATCGAGTCAAGGCGATGCTGATGGCCATGGGAAGCCGGAAGAGCCATAGTATCTGCATGCGTAAGCTCTTTTCTGGAAGAAAGAATCATCGCCCTACTATCAACGTTTGCTTGAGGTCTGCCATGGTAGCTGACACCACATGCTGACGGACGAGACTAGCAGCCGTCGCTTCGTCGCGTTAGCAAAGTGATGTACGATTGTAGATCAGAGCAACTCGCAAACTGTGAATATTGTCATAACGATGTATAGGAGGAGCTGATCCGCATGATTAGACCTCGCTTTCGCACTCGCTATAAGGACCAGGCAGTACCAGAGCAAGCACCAGGAGAGTATCGTCGATACTCCATGGTAGTAGCCGTGATCGCTTCGCGCAGCACCGTGCAAGGAGAAAAAGCAGAGGTAACACCGCAATATATTTGCCGAGTAGCATGGGTTATTCGGAACGTGCCGAATGGGAAAAAGAACCGGCGGAGGACTTCTGATGTTGCCCTAGGATGTAGTCGAGTGTATTTCGGGATGGGGTAGGGCGATGCAAAGTCAAATGGGCGAATAGGTCTCAGAATAGATTGTAGGGTGGTGGAGGTGGTGGTGGTGGTGGTGGTGGTCAATCGAAGATGCAGCTCCGTATCGTGATGGCATCTCTTATGCGGAGCTACTGCCGTCGATGGTGGTGAAACACATGGGAGACACAGTAAACGCAAGAGGGCTGCCGCTTGGAAAGTGAAGCAATCCGGGAAGCCGCCGTTGGGATGCCAACCTTGAGCATGGACGAGTTGGGTTGCTGGCCCCCCTTTGCGGTAGCGACGGCGACAGAGTTCGGTTGCTGGCCCGGGTGTCTCAGATGTCAAGAGGAGCTACCGTGCACATCAAATTGCCATATCCGCGACCCCATTAAATATCAGATGATGTCAATCATGGAAAAAAATGTTGCGGTGTTGATGCCCGGGTGACCAAAGCTGTAAACAACCTGACATTGCGTGACTGCCCAAGTTGGAAGCGACAACGCTTTGACGGGGGTAGCACGGAGATCTGGGCAGACGAAGCCTTACAAGGCGGCGAGAAAACTAAATGAGGGGTGTCCCGATCGAGCGCGAGAGTTCTGTGAGGGTTCGTTAAGGTTACCGGTAAGTCGCAGAATGCGGTACACAGGGAATTGTCCAGTGTGTGACGGGTTTCAGAGGGTGCCCATCGGAATGTAGGCCGCCACCTCAGCCTTCATTGTACTACGGCCACCCGTACGCCACAGTCGGACCTATCGATGCCCACGCGGCACCGGATATCCGACAACAGGCACCAGCTCGGAGGTATGACTCCTCAAGTCCCTGGAAGAAATACACCTCTATCACGAGTTTCGAGATGCGAATGCTTTGCTCAGCCTCGGACCAGTGTCGCGTCCGCGCAAGTCGGGCCGACCGTGTTCTTTTTTCGGCGTACCTGCTTTAGCACGGGGGTATTGACACACGTCGGACAATTATGAACTACACCCCGTATATGCATCGATTTTGGGATACGCAATTCATACATCACGACGAGAAGATGTTTGCAAGGCAACGGTACCCGCACAAATGTTAGAATTCTCCGCTTGCGCGGTCAGCGCTGATCGATCGCACTTGAATCTTAGCTATGCTGGCTGGCGTCCAGTCAGAATAGATCGTCGTGCCCAACGCGTTACTGGCAGGGCTGATCAGGCATTAGAGAAACATTTCAAAGAAGGCAAAAAGCAAGGGTAGCGTCGATCATGATCACCACCACTTCACGCAACAAGTTTCGTTTGAAGTGGGTACGATGGTTCACGCAGGCTGCCGCGGCGCTGCTGGACATGGCCTCCAACGTCGCTGAGAGGCTGTGTAAAATCTCACCATCAAGCGCTCCAACGCGAACCCCCCGTGGCCCCATGGCAAAACGGAGAATCCGGTGCTGTTGCCACGACGGTAGCAGACGGCGCATGACAGGCCTGCCGTCCTCTATTCGCTGATTGGGCGATTGTGCGAAACGCCAGCGGGATCCGGCAGATGGGTGCACGCCATCCAGGGGTGCAGCATAGTTCATCCTTCTTTCTGCGCTTTTCCAAGGCCGTGCAAGACTCACCCATGTCGGTGGTCCAAGGCTGTAAACGTCATGTGCCCGTCCAGCTGCCTGCCAACTCGTGCTTTTCGGCTTGGGACCCATAGCATCTCCTGTCGAGCTAGGGCTGCCTGGGGAGTGGGAAGCGAGATGGGCCACTAAGGCCATCCTGACCTGATCTGTCGACCGTTTTTCTGGCTTCAAAGTAGCCTTGCCATCTGTTTTACACGCGGCACCTCTCTTTTCCTTTTGCTTCGACGACCCATCATTGTTACAACATCCGGAACTCCTTGCGTCTGCACTGTGTATATAGAGTCCTACACTCCCTCCATCGACTTGTTCCGTGAACCAGTGGCCATGAACTAGGACCTATACCCGCTCTATCCGGACTAATACTTACTATGGAAAACCGACAGTCTTCGCCATCCCCTCGCAGGGCGAGCCCACGACACAGCATGCAGAGACAAAGAAGTAACTCATTCCCTATTGCTGAGGCTTTGGGCTGCTCAACGCCAGAAGCACTCCTCATTCTGGCAGAGGGCAGAGCAGCAGTACGCAAACGCCGAGCCCGGCGCAACCAGTCGGTCGACGATGAAGTCAACCGCCTTTTCAACCCTCAAGATCACATCAAATTCCTGCAAGGACTCGCAGCCCTGCCCACCCCTCAAGATGAATCGTCACCGTTTGACCCAAAATACTCCCTCCACTCCCGGGTGCCTTCCGATGCTACGGATCACAGCACTTGCACAGTGGTCCCACATGTGAACGACGGCGAACCTCGGAATCTCTCACCCACGCTAGGCGACTATTCCGCCAACCTTGCCGCTTTCATCAAGAACCAACTCAAGTCGATACCAACGTACGAATCTAATCACCGCCCCACTTCATCCCTCTCTCCCCGGTCATGTCCGGATCTATCGTTTCCCATGCGAACGCCTTCGTCACCAAACCCGGCTGCACGGCGACAGGCCGAGGGACCAAAGGCAATTGAGATACCCCCAGTGCGACCGCCGATGAAGAGTCAATTCTCAGCATGGAGCTCTACCGACGACGACACGGACGACGAAACGCTTCCCCTCCCAGAATACACCTTACCCACAACGGAACCAAACTCCAAGGGAAGCAAATACACGCCTTCCATCCTAGGCTATTACGAAACCTCGCACAACAACTCGTCGTTTCTATTTTCGTCGACGCCGCTAGAGGAAGAGTCAGAGCCCACTACGGCTAAAGCCTTCAAGTTTCCTGACCCGTCAGCACTACCACGCTCCTCACCTGATGAGCAAGACGATGATGACGACGACGATAACGAACACGACTACCCCTCTTCGTCTTGCCCCTCTCAACCTCAGCTCACATCCACGTCAGCGCCTTCGTATACCTCGTCTTCGGTCTCTTCGTCAAGCTACTTTGACTGCAAACGCCCTGTTGCCATTACTCCCCAGATGAAGGAGCGTGTCATCGCAGCTGTCACGCCCCCGCATCCACACAACAAGAGGCTTACTGCTGTATCGCCTTGGGAGGGCAATGCGTTTTCCAATGTGCACGATGTGTACGTTGAGTCACAGCATCGCGTCAATGTCGACGGCATGTCCTTTGACATGCTCCGTGACCTGAACGTCTCCAGCAGACTTACACCTTGCTGATTCATCACCAACACCATCATCACCACTTGTTTTCCAATCTCCTTGTCTTACTAGCGTACGCGTTCGGGGGTGTTGTTGTTACTCCTGCCGGAAAAGACTGTGGTCCAGCCGGTCTGCACCGCATCCCAACGGCTTTCTCTTTTCCAACTTGCTTCTTCCTTGTCGTTTTGCTCCTATAAATATCCCTCTTGTAATCTGGGTCCTGGGCGTTTCATACAAGACTGCTAAGCCTTTTCTTATGTCCGCGGTTGTGGCTTGCTTTGGCATTGCTTTTCTGGTCTTTTTTCCTTTCTACCCACATGCATTTTCACTTTCGGGCGCCTTCAAGCACATGACGAGTGTACGCGACACACGAATTCCATTCATTTTTAATCCAGTGGCGGAGACGTTCTGGGGAGAGACTGTATATCCCAGTTCAGCGAGCAGCTATAGGGACACATGTAGCGAGGGGGCAGAATGCAAGCACAGCAGGCAGCAGCGGATTTTGGTATAGCTTGAGAATAAGAACACGCAGCATACATTTGCACACAACAATACGCGAAACACATGGTAGTTAGCAATACACAAAACTATTTGGCGCATCCTGCATCCATCATGTTGCTTTTCTCCGCACTTTGTTCTCCACCTGCGTGGTGATGCTAATATCAACGTTTCAAGCCTACATACCGAGTACCTGGGTTGAGCAGGAAAGGATCTGAATCATGAGACACGGCAGTGCGAGCACGGATATTAGATTGATTAGCAGCCTTCAGAGCGGTGAAGGGAAGGGGGGGAACATGCAAGGTCCCGCTCGTGCAGGCGGCGTGTGTCGATCTGGAGACGGGCTGGGACGCATGGGTGTCGATCTGTGATTCGAGAGGCGACGTCATGTTTGATTGGTTTGCTTGACGAATCTTGGGGTACAGGTAAGCAACGCGACTGACCGCGCCGCTTCAGCAGACATTACACGCGTTGTTGTTTGAAAGCGCAACGGATCTGGCGTTTATGGATTTGTGCGGGGCGCTTTCTGTCTATTTTTCGCCTTTACTGATGTTCCCCGCCTTTGTGGTTGGGTGAAACTATAGGCCACGTTGTGCGTAGAGAGTTTGGACCTTGGATTCACCAGCGCCTCCCCACACTCACGACCTCTGCCACGACGCGACAAGAATTCCATACAAGCCCCCCACCAGCTGCGCAGCCACGGGGCAATATACAACTCACAGTCTGTTCAACATGGCAGACTCTGAGCCCAGCCTCATTGCCCTCGCGCTCGGAAACGCTGCCTATGCCTTTTCGAAAGTGCAGCCGTTACTACCTGTGTACTTACACATGATCCTTGCGAGCCTCTTCCCCATCTACGCCGCCGCCCACGCCTCTCTCACACGCCCATCGACCGCCGCGAAAGCCACAAAGAAGCGAGGACACGGAAGAAAGCGCGAGGCTGAAGATGACGACACGGACAGCGAGGATGACGAAGAAGAACCCGAAAACGAAATGGAGGGTCTCTCCCCCAGACACATTATCCTCTTTCCTCTTTTCGCCGGCATTTCTCTGGCGACGCTGTACTTCCTCCTCAAATGGCTCAAGGACCCCACCATCCTGAGTAAAGCCCTCAACGCCTACTTCGCCATCTTCGGTGTCGTTGCGGTGACAACGCTGGTATCAGACGTTTTGGATATCGGCCACTCAATTATTTTCCCCCGTCGACACGCCCTCGGAGGCGCGCTCTACCACGTCGATGCTACGGAAGCAAAAGCCATACCAGTCGCAGGCAACATCGGTTCCAGCCAGCCCCTCACAACCCCCCTCCCAGGCTTCCTCGCACGCATACCCCTCTCCACCAGCGCAAAAGAATGGCTATGGGCTGACCGCGCCATGCCGAGTAACAAATGGACGCTGAAACTGCACATGCACCGCGCCCTTGTTGGCAAGCTCAAAATTGGACCTCACACTATGGTTGGTGTTGTAACGGCACTCTCCACACTCGTCTACTTCAACCTGATAGACAAAACCTGGTATCTGACGAATCTGCTTGGGTTTAGCTTCGCGTATGGGTCTATCCAGGTTATTTCCCCCACGACATTTGCGACGGGTAGTGCGATATTGGTGGGGCTTTTCTTTTATGATATCTACATGGTCTTCTTTACGTATGTCTCCCCCCATGTCTCGCTCCCTCGTTCACTCTGCTGAAAGCTTCGCTAACATGCTCTACCTTGTCTAGACCGATGATGGTGACTGTAGCGTCCTCCCTCGACGTCCCCATCAAACTCATGTTTCCCAAACCTGGCTCCGCGGGCAAAAGCTCCGCTGCTATGCTCGGCCTGGGCGATATCGTTATACCAGGCTTGATGATTGGTCTGGCGCTGCGCTTCGATCTCTACCTGTTCTATCTCCGCCGCCAGAAACGCGTCCCAGCAACGACTGAGGGGGGAGAAGACGAGGTTGTAAAAGCGGAATGGTATCCTGTTGCTGGCCGGTGGAGTGATCGTTTTTGGACACATTCGTTTATAGGAAGGCCGTTGTGGAGTGCCTCTGTCCCTAGTACGAAGACTGCACAAGGCGGAACAAAGAAGGAAGAGCCGCCGTTCACGTTCCCAAAGACGTACTTCAACGCCGCGCTAGTGGGCTATGTGGGCGGTTTGATCGCTACGTTGTGCGCGCTCCATCTTATGAATCATGCGCAGCCTGCCCTTCTCTGGCTGGTGCCCGGTGTACTAATCAGCCTCTGGTCGACGGCGCTCGTGAGGGGCGAGGTGGGGCTGATGTGGAATTACAGTGAGGAGATTGTTGAGCAAGAAGACAAGGATGGGAACAAGGACAAGGGTGAGAAAGGTGAAAAGAACGAGAAGAGGAGGACACAACAATGGATCAAAGACGAAGACAAGCCGGTGATCAGCGACAAGTTGCGTAGGCCAGAGCGAGAGGTCTTCTCCTTTTCTATTGAGGCGCCGCGGAAATCTAACCGGACGGTATCGACGAAGATTGATGATGTTGGTGTATTGGGGAATGGGACAGTTAGTCCTGCCGATGGTGGTACTGTACAGTCTGTTGGGAATGGAACGTTCTGGGCGGGTTCCTCGTCGAGTAGTGCTCGTCAAGAGGTCGACGTTGAGCCTGCTGGGAAACGTCTTAGGATGAGATAGCACAGTAGTCTCACGAGAGAGATAGAGAGAGCTTTTATGTGTAATGACTGCATAGCGATGGAGTTACAAAAATCACAGTCTGTCATTCAAGGCTGGTGGTTCGGTAGATACGAATTGCAATCTACTTTTCTACCGCTTCCAATATGACATCTAGTGTCGCCCGATTCTTCGTCGTAGACAGTCCCATCTATTTCATGACAGAGGTTAAGTTGGCTATGCTTCAATGTACCGACTATCCTCTTCAACCTTGTTGCTTTGGAATACAGACACATGCTCCACGTTCCATTTTTTTTCTTGGCTGAGCATCGCTCTATCAACAGCGTCGTTACCTCCCACATTTCGCACATGCTTCCCCATGGATACCTTCGCCGCGGTTGATGTTGGAGCAGTGCGGACACAGCCATTCGGACATGTGTGGCATGTCTGACTGTATGTTGGGAGTATGTGGTATGTGGTAAGTCGAGGTAAGATGCGAATTTCAGACGCTGTCGTGCTCGTGAAGGAAAGGGTGTAGGATGGATGTTTTGTTCGATGGGTGAACGAGGCGGGGGATTAGGCTTTTGGTTGCTTGCTGTAGAAGTGCAAGGTTGGACAACGATTTACTTGTGTGACATGGAGGCTCTTTTTCTCTCCTCGAGATATGATTTTATCCTTGAAGGGGAATTGGGAGTGACAGGGAAGGGCTTTGTTGTGTGCTTAGATTGAACGTTTGAAGTGATGGGACATTGTTGGCTGTAGACAAGAACTTGTTTGCAGACCTTGCACATTGTAAACATCATAACCGGCCCGTGAGATGGGGACACAAGCGATGATTCCTGCAAGCATCGGCACGTTCGAAGCGTTCTTCAATATCAGATCAGGGTATCTTGATCGTCTACCCGATATCTCTACGAATCTACGTACCAACAACAGCGCACTTACGCATTTTCCCAGCCTCAACCTTCAACCCCAACAAAAACGCAGTGCTCACGTCCACCGCTGGCGAATCAACCCCAAAACACACCACCGCAGTCTCCAGCTCCTTAGCCGCACACCCGACAGCCAAGTCCAATCTCCCATGTCTCTTCCACCCAACAGCAGCATCATGATACGCAAGTCCCAGCGCCTCCCCCACCAACCCTTCCTCTTTGAGCAGTCTGACCAGTTCAAGCGCGGCCTTCGGCACAGGTGATCTCCACAACTGGCGCCGTCCAGTCCGGATACGCGCGTCCAGTACTACCATGCGTGTCCTGCGCATATCGCTGTCGGGGGTGGAGCTACTGCACGCTATACACGAACATGTAAATCCGTATGCAGCTAGTTTCGCACGTCGCGAACTGGTGGTCTGGTAGGGTCGCTCGTAGCTTAGTTTGATTTGCGCACCAACTGGAATTTCGACAATGGCATGGACGGTGATCTTCTCAAGTCGTGCGTTCCACGCGAAACTTGCATTGGGGATGCAGGAATGGTTGAAGCGTGCAGCCAGTGGGCAGATGGATGTGCGGCTTCCGGTTTGCCAGGCGTTTGAATTGAAAATGTCAATCACTCTTGCATCTACACTACTCTGGGCATAGTCTTTCTGGGCGTAGAGCGTAAGATATTGGGTTTGTTGTGCGCTTCCCAGATTTGCAAATGCCGTTGTGACGGCCCTGTTTGTTCGCGGTTCTGCGACGCTGAATAAGGGTGTTTCGCCAAGGATGAGAGTACCGGGTGAGATGGTTGTGGTCGCAAAGCAGCCTAGACCTTCGCCTGGAGAGGGGCGCACCGTGTAAAGTGTGTCCATTGTGATTTGTTGTTGATAGTCAGACTAAGAGTTGTTGAGATACTTCAATCTGTGATTCGAGGCGGAGATCTCGATAGTATAGTTGCTGCGATGGTGCAGCCTGATTTTACTAGATGCATTGTGTTCGGGATGGATATAAAAAATTAGCAAAGTCGCCTCGCGGTTGGTGTGGAAGCAAATGGCAATCTCAGGCAACAGTGTTTTGCGGCTTTGTCACCCATTCCTGGAGCCCGTGCCACTCGAGTTGCGCGCTAGCGTGATGATGTCATACGAAGCAGCCACCACATCGTTTATCATCTCAACCCCCCGTGGGATTGGTGGGTAAGCGGATGGCTCTTGGACGAACCTCTAGATTCATCACGTGTTGATGCCCACTATCTACACGATTAATGCAGCTCCGCGTCGCTTGGGCAGCGTTGGTGTCAGATGAACCGTAACCTTTGCTTCCTTCTACACATTGCCGTGGTTCTTCCCCTATTCTCACTTCGGGGCCTCGAGTATGGCAGTAACGGATCATTTCTTGTCGCGTCTTGATATGTACTGCTCCAGGCCTTTCCTTTGGGACATTAACCTTACTTTTTCGTTTTGCTTCGTTTTTCCTCGTCTTCTCTTGACTTTCCTCCACATTCTCTTCGTTTGACTTCTTCATCTCGCACCGCAATGTCGAGCTTCCAGGATAACACCAACGATCGTGTCATACATGAGTGAACCGAAATCGTTCTGGCTCAATCCGCTTCGGTCGCTGGTACCACCATCGTTGCAGAAGCATTACATGTTAACTATTACAGTGCCTCTCAAGCCACGAAGAAGACGTATCCTATTTGGACTTGTTGCTCTGAGTGCCAACATGTTCGATACCATCCTACTAATCACGTCTGTCATTGGACAGTGTTGGATGCTATATGAGGCTAGCGTGAAAGTCACGTTATTGCAAAGCTGAACCTACAGCTTGTGAAGAGCTGAACTATGGAAGGAACACCATACACTACACGCATTGCATCCGCAACTATGTCCTTATGCACCGTTTGCAGATCTATTCCATTTCGCAAACTCATCGCCGGTGAACATGAGGTGGTTGTGAACGACGGTTTCAAATTTAATGCGGCTGGACGGATTTCATCAACGTTCCTACACGATGTTCCTTGGAACAGGCGTCGATGCACTGTTTCAGAACTTGTGTCTCGCGCTAAGACATGCCGACTCTGCGCTATTATCCTGAGAAAGATCAAAGAAGAACGGTGGATCGTCGTGGACGGCAACATGGTCGAATGGGAAGAGGCTAAGACTTCCATCTCGCGAAATCTCATGGTCTGGCTACAGCTACCCAGGAAGAACGATATATTCAAGTGCTTCCGCATCAGTCTAGGCACCCCACGTCAGCGAAAGACCAATTGGTTGGACCTAGACCTCCGGAAAACTTTCGGTAATTTTCATTACACTAAAACACAAGACTACTGGAACTGACTGGGCGATATAGACAGCCCGTTGAAGGTCCACCTCACTCATGTCGTTTTCCAAGAGACACTGCACCCTAAAATATTGGACCTTATGCTATCCTGGCTAAAAAAATGCAACACAAGCCATTCTGAGTGTACTCATCTGTCAACAAGACTTGTTCCACTACCGACAAGGGTATTGGACGTGAGCACACTTCCCGGACCAGAACAGATGTTGGGAAAACAACCGATATGGAGAGAGCAATTCCAGGATGGAAAATGCAAGCTTCTCCAGACTACCAAGGGTCAAACGGGCCTCTATGTTGCCTTGAGTTACTGCTGGGGTACTAGCTTACCCTTGAAAACGACTACAATCAACTTGCAAGCACATGAGTCCGCCATCAGATTTGACAAATTACCGCAGACTTTGCAAGACGTTATCATGATCGTGCGGTACATAGGCATCAGATACGTTTGGATTGATTGCCTATGCATATTGCAAGACTCCAAGGCAGACTGGGAACATGAAGCTGCACGTATGGCAGATGTGTACTCCAATGCGTATCTGACTGTAGCTGCTTCACGAGCAAAGCACTGTGAGGAAGGGTTCCTTGGTCTTCGCAGTAGAGATCGCCCAATTTGTATAAATCTTGAAGATGAAGAGGGCTCGTTCGAGCTATACATTCAAAAGCTTTCCATGGCGGAGGGCGAGGTTAGTTGAACATTATAAACTCTAGTATTGATTAACGGTTGACCTTGTTTAGTGTTTGCAGGCTTTGGATCGTCGTGGATGGGCTGCTCAGGAAAGCCTTCTCTCTCATCGTGTCCTAAGCTTCAATGAAGACCAGATGACCTGGGGATGCGCTCAGAATGATGAAACTGAAGAGAGGTTCGCAAGCTCAGCGCGACCCCGCCATGCAAAACACATTGAATTGATAGTAGAAACTTTAAGGCAACCAATGTGCGAAAATTTTCATCGCAGTGACTGGGCCGGCTTTACGAAGTCATATAGCGCACGCGAAGTGACCTATGAGACAGACACCTTTCCAGCGATATCCGGTGTCGTCCAAAAAGTTCAGCAATCCACTGGGGATATATATTACGCTGGACTATGGAAGCAGCACTTCCTGGAAGGTCTTCTGTGGTGCTTGGAAATGGGAATGGGTTCGCGTCAAAGAATGGAAGGACATCCTCGAGCACCGAGGAGACGACAGGAATGGATTGCTCCGTCGTGGTCTTGGGCATCTATAAAAGGAGACGTACGGTACTCATATAAGGTGTCAAAAAGTGGGTACTGTGCCCGTCTCGAAGAATATTGCGTTATTTGCAGCGGCTTGGACCCATTTGGCGCACTTACGGCGGACTTCGCCCGTATTACAGGGCCAATAACACTCGTCACAGATGTTCCGACTGAAGACGAAGTTGCCATGGGCCGAGATTCACGTTACATGATCCGACTCGGAAACGGCACACTGGCTTTGGCTACTGTCCGTTTCGACTTTGTTCATTCTGTGTCCTGCAGTGCGTTAATGATCACACCAACTTTGGACGTGTGCATCGAAAAGGTCGAACAAACGACGAACACGTATGTGCGGATCGGAATCGTTACGGTGTGGGACTCCCCTGTTCATGGATTGACTGTTTCGGATCATGTTCCGTCACGTTCTATCATATTGGTTTAGTCGTAGTCAAGTACGGCTCGTATTCAAGTCTTATCGTCTCCATCAATCTCAGTACGCTTCTGCTGCGTTGCGTAACGTCAATGTAAGACCCAGATACCGGTCTCAAAGTTTGGTAATTCTCGGTCTTGTCTGATATAGTACTCAAGCCACAATTATAATGACAGCGAAGGAATAATGAGCAGCGTGTGCCCCGGAACTGGCGACATAACCAAGTGTATACTGACGATGGCCACAACACAACGCATCACACCAAGGTGAATCAAACTATCTTGCATTCATTATCTTATCAAACACAGCAATTCGAGCCAACTTATGATCGTCTCATACTCCTCCAGAACCAGAATACTATCTAGAAAGAGCGGTACATATACGGTACTTGTCTAGGTTTGAGAAGATATGGACTGTGCTACTAGGAAACTTGACCGTACTCTTTGCCTGGCTATTACCGTTATAATGACAGCCGGTGTGGATCTAGTCTTCTACACAAACAAGTTCTCAATCATTCCCATCAAAGATAGCTTCATATTCATCAACAACTGCTTCATCTTTCACCATCTACCACACGTCTCCAGTCCTCAGCAACAACACCTCATTAATAGGCCCCTTCGCGCACGCTTCCAAAGACCTTTTGAGTCGGCTTCCCTACTCCACCTTCTTCCTCTCTTGATACCGTCCAAACCACACAGGCTTACAACAAAGTGTAAAAATTCTCCATACCACGAATGGCACAAATTGCCCTGCTGTAACCAGTAACGAGTTTTGTGGCATGCCCCCATCCATCATGAACGCTTGCCATACCAGTAGTGGTATATACGAGAGCTCAAAGACCAGTACGGTGCGATACAAGATTTGACGGGATTCGATCGCGATTTGGGTGTTGGACATGAAGAGACCAACTCCGACACCAACGAGGATGTTTGCAGCGCCATATTGCTGAGTCATTTGTAGTGCTGTTGTCGTAACTTGACTAGCAGCAGCACCCATCGTGCGGAGCAAATAGTGGCGTGGAAAGAACATGAAGTAGGAGCCAACACCGACTGTGACAACGGATTCGAAGGCAAGAGCAGCTCGAATGATGTTGCCTGAAGTTGAAGGATGGACTCCTTGGTGGGAAGGCGCGGTAGGTGACATCTTTTTGCTGATGATGAGTCGGTGTGTACAGGATGTTTAGGTGAAGATGTAGTGTAGACAGGAAGTTGCGATGGCAGATAGATTCTAAGCTCACCAATCTGCTTCTATAGTTTGTTCTTCTAGACTGCCTTACATGAGGCACATAAGGCATGTATGCCAAGATTCGTCGCCAACTAGGGTCCAGGCGCCACCATAACGTTATGCTCAAGACGAAAAAGGAAAGGCGCGCTTGATAAGCATGGGGCCAACGCTTAAACCCCAGCCTCTTCACCGCACCATGTGGTCATCCTCCTACACGCATCTGAATTTTATCTTTACAGATAACGAGAAGCATAATGTCGTCTCAAGAAATCTCCGTTCCGCATGGTCCGGATCGTAAGCGAGTTCTCAATGTGCTCGCCCAACGGAGATACCGTACAAAGTCCACCTCTATCACTTCCTATCTAGTACTTACTCTGCCTAGGTCAGCGTAAGCGGGAGCGTTTGCAATCTCTGGAGACAAGACTTCACGCCCGCGGTACGAATGTAACGTATGCTCTTGATGAGGAGATACAGCTTCAGCACCCGACGCATCCTCCGCTTCCGGGACCATACGGCCCCGACACGCCCAACAACCCTTGTTATGATCTGTATCAAGGTTTCAAGACTGGGACAGCTAGTACGCCCTGTATGTGTCTTGCGTCGCATAATTTGGCTTGTAATACGTCAGAAATCTCGTCGTCATATGTGGGGGATCAGTTTGGAATTGACACCACTCTACCTTATGGTATGCCATGGTGAATCTGAAGTCATACTCCCTCCTATTATTGTGCTTACTGACTTGATTTTCAGAGAATAGTGCTCAAAGTGTTGCGTCAACGTTCAATTCCCAGTTATCAACAGAACTCCAAGACCTTGAAGTTTCCCAGTTCACCTTCCCATCAGAGCATGTCATCGAGATTCCCGCCCTCAAAACTATGGAGGTCACACTTCGGATCGCAAATATGCTTGGTCTTGCGGACGAACTGCTAGACCTCACTTTGAGCCGTGTGACAGACGTATCAAAAATCTCAGTCCCACTGGCAGACTTACCCGAGAACCTGCGTCCAACGGAAGCACAGCTCTTGCTACCACACTGTCCAGCAATAGATGTTCTCCCTTGGCCATCAGTCAGGACGAAACTCATTTGTCTTTTCAATCAGCCAGAACAACTTAGACCACCAATCGCCAGAGGCTCCATGGCTATGGTGCGGCTGTTTCAGGATCTTGATGACGAGTCGGAGGGACTTCGCATTGCATTGGATGTAGATAGGCATGGGTATGATGTAAAGAGTTGGGAAGTCGGACAGGTCGTCCTCAAAGACTGGTGGTGGGCATTAGACTCCGCGATCATTTCTAATTCGGATCGACTTAGATACATAAGAGGAGCCCCCAGATTGCAGTTCTGAACACCATGACAAAAGAGTGGGGTTACAGACTGTTTCATGATTTTGAGTTGCCGTGAATCCAGTTCTTTAGCGTACGCAGTGAGGAAAATGAACCGACAGGGCTTCGAGTTAGAAATCAGAGTGTGGCATGCACTAGACAACGCGTGAGATCAAGAAGCTCTACCCGAAGAGCGCAAGAGATATGTTCTCCCACAAGGATGAGGAACTATGCGATACAAAAGGTACTGAATGCAGGAAATGTAACCAGTTGTCAGTCGCTGGCGCGTCGTTTCCGCAATTGGCTGTCAACACTAGAAGTGCCACGCGCACTATACGTCACGGGGTAGAGAACGCTTCTAAGGTATTACTTCCTGTTTTAGTATAGCGTTTTCGATATAATGCAGTTGTCATTAGAAGTAATAATAGAAACGCTCATCTCAAACCGTCCATCTCCAAGCTCACGTTGTCCGCTCTTGAACCATAGACGCCACCATCCAAGATCCACTGCTCATTGTCATCATTATCATCTTGAACGCGTCGCCAGGTCTGCCTCCTTTCCCCTCCACTCTCTTTCCCCTTACTTTCTTCAACCTTGATCGTCGGCCTTATCAAGCCGCCCAACAGCGGGTTCTTGCTGAAAGCCCCACTTCCACTCGATAGCGTATTCCCCTCTTGGGGTCGTTGCATAGACTCAGGTGGTTCGTCTTCGCTCTCCGGTGTGGCCGGCCTCTCGGTAGCAGCCATACGCTTGACGAGCTTCTTCCCAGAGAGATCGATACTGGCAACAACCTTCCGTTTCTCGTACTCAGGGCGCGCATTCCAATCCTGTTCTCGCAGTGCCTTTTGCTGCCGCTTGAGTTGCATAGCACGTTCCTGGGGACTAGCCCACATGCTCAGTCCGGCCGTCGTAGTCTCAAAGTCGGCAGCTTCATCGTGAACTTGGGTTCGTTTGGCGTTTTGGGCTTGGAACGCAAGAAGTTTGTCTCTGTGCTGTTTTGCTTTTGCGAGCTTCTCGTTCTCAGATTCGACGTCTGAAGCAGGGTTTGAGGATACGGGTGTTGTTGCACGGGGGGTTGAGAATGGGCGTGGAGCGAGGGAGACGTCGGCGCGCTTTTGGTTGGCGTTGTTGGCGGCCATTTTTTCTTTCCCGCGCTCTTCGCGGAGGACGCGTACCATGGATTGGATGTCTTGTGCGCTGAACAAGGCCGAGTTGCAGAATGTGCATGGGCCGATGCCTTCTTTTACGCAGATGATTTTGCCGCAGTTTAGGCAATTTGGCGCAGCTTCGAGCAGTGGATGTCTAGTGGCCATACAGTTACACTTTCGCTTGCTGTTGTCTTGCGAGGCAAGTGTAGGGTTCGTCTGGATCTCGAGCGCTCTGATCGCAGACTCTAGATCATTGAGCGCTGTAGAGGCACCGTGCATGGGCGTTCCACCAGTGACATTGACCTTCGCTTTCGCTTTTGGTTTCGTGTCAGAGATCAACTGACCCGGAAGTTTCTTCGCCGCTGGCGGAGTGGGTGAGACACCACGAGATTTGGGGTCGAAGTCCCCGATGACGTATTGAATGTTGGTAATTGTAACCCATCAGGCTGTTCCGACAAGCCGAATTTAGCTGCTTTGGATCTTGAGCTACCAGCCATATAGTCTTCTTCATCTGGTTTGATGTATGCGCCAGAAACATTTCCATAGTTGTCTGGCTGCCGTGGTGGCGGAAGTTTGTTCAAACCTGGCTTCGTCTTCTTTGGCTTGGCTCTTGGTACTTCTGATACATTATTTGATGGCAGCGACTGGGAAGAGATACCGGAGGCTTTTGGTTTTCTCCGGTTGTTGAACGAGGTGATAAACTCGATTGCTTGTGGGCTGTCCCCCAGTAGGTTCTGTAGATGATCCGCTGACTCGTTGTGTGATAGCGATTCCGTATAGGATATTATCTGCTTCAATGACTCCTCGTCAAGAGGCAGAAGCTTTGATAGCTGTGGCAGTGCCCAGGTTGAGAGATCCATCTTCTGTTGTTGGGGTTGTGGTTGCCAAACGTCAGAATAGTTCGTTGGCTGTGATTCATCACTCGGAGCTAGTAATTGCGGCGCAGGCGTGCGTGGCTGGTGAGGCGGGCCGTGCTCCAAGGTTCACATGGAATTCGTAGCTGGCGGGGAGCTGCCATCACAGTCCTCATACACTCTCTCGTACATTCACCATGGCTACCGACGTCGCACTCGACACCACTATTGTATGTCCCCTTTCTTGTACCACAGATGAAACTTCCTAACTAGAGCAGGGCACCATCGTCGTCGAACTCTACCACGACCATGCGCCGAAAACATGCAAAAACTTCTCAACGCTCGCGCAGCGCAACTACTTTAACGGCCTGGTTTTCCACCGCATAATACCAAACTTCATGATACAAGGTGGCGATCCCACGGGTACTGGTCGGGGCGGTGAATCCATCTATGGCGAGAAGTTTGAAGACGAGATCACTCCCCAGCTCAAGCACACCGGTGCAGGCATTCTGAGCATGGCGAACTCCGGCCCCAATACCAATGGCTCGCAGTTTTTTATTACATTGGCGCCCACACCGTGGTTGGATGGCAAGCATACCATCTTTGGAAGGGTCAAGAGCGGGATGCAGATCGTGAAGAAGCTGGGATTAGTCAAGACTGACAAGGAAGATCGCCCTGTGGAGGAAGTCAAGATCGTCAAGGCATACTTGGTTGACGACGGAGCCTTTGCGGTGCAGCGATACTAGCATGTGGCGAGAAGTTCAGTTAGGCGCAAACCCGGTCGTATGGCATAGCATGTCAATGCGACACATGATGCTCGGACGTGAGTTTCCCATTAAATTGATTTAGCATAAATACTTATGCGTTCAATTAGTTCAGAGCTCCGTTCGGATGGATCAGCACCTTCGTATACCCCTCGATCCTCTTATCAAACTTCTCGTATGCCGTCGGCGCATCGTCGATATTGATTTCGTGCGACACAACAAAGCTCGGCTTGGCTTTGCCCGATACGATCATGTCGCGCAGATACCTATTATACGCCTTCACATTACACTGCCCCGTGCCGAGATGCAACCCCTGAGGTCCTTAGTGATGGATTCACAATTACAAGACATGGACGTACCTTTTCGAATAGCTTGCCGAATGAGATCAGAATCTGACCCTTCTTGCTCTGCTCATCTGGCGCTCCTGGGTCGGCTGGCACGTACAATCCCGGAATACCCAAACCTCCAGTCGGCCGAGTCACCATGATCAACTGGTCTAGGACAACATTCGGCTTCTCTTTGCTGCCTGACGCATCCACGGCTTGATAACCGACCGCGTCGACCGCGCGATCTACCATACCCCCATTGAGCTTGATGATCAGTTCAACGGGATCGCTCTTTCTGAAGTCGATGGGTATGCAGCCAATCTTTTCCGCAGCTTGCAGCCGCTCAGGCACTGTATCGACCACAAAGACCTTGCTGGCGCCTCGAAGGATCCCGCTATACGCTGCCATCAAGCCGACAGGACCCGCGCCGAACACCGCGACGCTTTCGCCAGACTGGAACCCGGCGAGCACCAGTCCATGCCATCCTGTCGGGAAAATGTCTGCTAGTAGTATGAAGTCGGCTTCGTGCTCGGTACCTTTGGGCAATTTCAGCGCGTTGAAGTCGGCGAACGGAACCCGGAGGTACTGTGCTTGACCACCTTGGTAGGGCCCCATAGCTACATAGCCGTAGGCTCCGCCAGCGAAGCCCGGGTTCACTCTATTCAGTCATTAGGATTTTTGAATCACCTCCCTGCTGGAGGCTCGACTTACCCAGTACAGAAAGCTGTCTTGCCTTCTTCGCAGTTGCGACACCTACCATCGGCGACATTCTGAGAACGACGATATCAGACCTAACGCTCTTGTGCATCGCTTTCGAATATACTCACAAATGGCAACACAATTCTGTCGCCCTTCTCCAATAGCGTCACGCCCGATCCGACCTCAATGATAGTACCCATATTCTCATGACCGAACACAAGACCGGCTTCCGCTGCCGTGCGGCCTTGGTACATGTGTAAGTCTGAACCGCATATCGCTGCTGTCGTGACCTTTACAATCACATCGTCGGGGTGCTGGATCTTGGGAAGTTCGACATCCTTGACTGAGACCTTGAATGGTCCTTCGTAATGCACCGCCTTCATCTTGTCACCGGGCATGTTCAGATGTTATCGCACGTGTCGCGTGGAAGCTAGAAGCGTGAGGAGTCTGTTGCGACAGAAGAGCTATGCGTGCGTATGTTATGAAAAAGAAAGCGCATAAGGGAGGAGTAGTAAGCCAGACTTTACTGGGCCTTGACCCAACGTATGACGACCCTCACCTCCGGTACTTGCGGGAGTTGGGACGAGAGCGTCATTATTGAGGGGCTGGCAGCGGATGCTAGCCCCTCGCGCGCGGGGTACATGTTCCGAATCGGAAGATGCTTCGGAAGCTAGCGCGTAGAAATAATTGGATATCGAGCAGCGGACATTTATCACCACATGAGATGCCAGTGGTAGGCTACGGGGTATCATGATTTCCTGGATCTGGTGTTGAGTGCGATTGGAACATGTCGATCCATTTGGTTTTAGTGATGCGGATAGTAATGTTCAAGGAGTCACGTCATGGACACTTGATAATACGACGGCAACGAATAGCTCGATGGCTTACTAGTATACAACAATACAAACCCATAGGAACATGTGAACCACGAAACAAGAACGATCGAAGAACACGCACCACTCCACATGACCGCATCCTCTTCCCCATCTATTAACATCAACTCAACCCCTTCAAACCCTCCCCAATCTTCTCCCAAGCCCCCGGAGACATAGTCAACGTAAGCCAATATCCTCCAGTATAATCCCTCCCCAAAATATGTACTAGCAACCTCGCTGTAGGATTCGGTCTTCTACTCGACGCATGATGGAACACTGGTGTGCCAGGCGGATTGAACCTCTTCCCGTCATTCCCACCCTCCTCCCGTTCCCACCACCCCCGCTTTCAAAATCGCCGCACTGAAGTCCACTGCAGAAAAGAATTTCGCCTTCGTCCAGTCCGTAAACGGCACTAATAGCGCATCCGCGTCGCTATAAAGTAACGTCGACGGATCACCGGATACACGTTGTTCACGCAGACTGGCTAGGACTTGGGCTTCCGTTGCTTGCTCCAGTAGACGCTGTCTGTTATGTAGGGCAATCTGCCCAAGTGGTCCCGTGGACATTTCAGGATCCAAAAAGGTGAAGCCAGGGACTAGCATATTGGATAGATATGCACCTTTCGCATTGATTAGGGATGGGAGGCGGAATCGAGCGTTCATTGCGTGGAGGGCGGTCAAGGGACGCGGGGCAGGGAGGGAGATTGAGATGCAGCGGAGGGTAAATGCTGTGAGGATGTCGCCGTCACTTATAAACGGTACGTCCTCTTCGTTACCATTGTTCGCAGAGGCGAGATCTTTCTCTGCTTGCGCCCTCAACTTCCCCACAACCTCCTTGGGCAGATGAATCGTCTGCGTTACCGGCTTCGGCCCCGTCAACATATCCCACGCGAACCTCGCCCCAAACTTGACGAAGCTGAGTCCTTTCAGCTGTTTGGACTTTAGCATGTATTCTTCCGACATGCTAGTAGCGCTATCAGTCAACGCCGTCAATGCATCTTCCTGCGCACCCAGTACAGGCGGCACTTCGGCCTCCCGACCGGCTAATACGCTCGACCACGCTTGAACAAAAGCAGCTTGGCCCATAACATCCATTAGGGTGTGCGGCCATGATAAGCCTACGAGCGTTGCGTCGGTGAAGGAAGTTATGTGGACGGATATCTGGGGCACATCACCAGAAAGGAGATCCTCGATTGTTGTGGGTGCGGAGGGTGAAGTGGCCAAGTCGTTGAAGTCTGTAGGTCCGGGGTTGGTTGTGATGGTTCCGTTAGGTGATTTCGGGAGTTTCCCGGCTAGTTCGTTGGCGGAGATTGGGGCGGCGATGGTGTTGTGGGTATAGGAGAAGGCAGGGCGGGATGATGTGAAGGCACGGGGGACGTGAATTTCTAGTGCGCCATCGGCCTACTCATGGTATCAGCACGCTGATCGCAGTCAACGAAAGAAACATGAGATATCGCTTACCTTGAGTCTCAAGCGGCCTCCTAGCTTTCTCCAATCTCCAGTTTCCAAGAGCTTTGCTAGCGAGGATTCAAGTTTGTCTGCGTCAAGGACATCGTTGAAACAGAGCGTCCATGTGATCAGGATGCTGCGGAATGTCTTCGTGTCGTCTAGCACATGCACCGGATAGACGTCATCGTCGGCATACGGATCTGGTGTATCGTTTGCTGAAGATGACCGTTTCGTAAAGCGCTTTAGGAAATCCATTTTTCAAATGCCAGATTCGGAAAGCTTGGTACGAAGAGCGAATAACAAGTTTAACAATCCATTGTGACTATCTGCTTCTAATATCCACCTTTAATACCGTGTAAGAGTTCTTCACCGCGTTCGCATTCGGAGCACGGATCCTCTAGTAGCCGGAAAAGGCTCTTATCGCAGTGTTCAAATAGGGGCTCGCTAACATCGACGCTTTACCCCAGGTTTTCAGTATCAGGTAAATCTAGCCGCACGTGCCAATACGACATGCAACCGGCTGACAAGCACTAGCGATCTGCATAGATCGCCTCTTGAAACCAGGCGTTAACCTCGTCGCCTGCAACACGCTCTTCGTCCTCCTCGTCCTCGTCCTCGTCCTCGTCATCTTCCTCATCCATTGCAGAACTACTCCGTTCTCGCAACGCCAGTCTTTTAGCGACCTCATTTGCTTCGACCAGACTAACGAGCTGTCTCTTCTGTCCTTCACTTTTTTTTGCAAACTCTTTGCAGACCTCCCACACCTTCTCCTTACCTGAGCGAGTGTCGTCGGGCTCTTCGACGAAAGTCTTTGGGTCTCGTACAAGCATGCTGCTCCTCGTTTGCCCGCGAGCGCGACGATAATGTCCCCTGTGGGAGTGCAAATGGCCCGAAGCCGACAGAGACGGAAGGTTGCTGAAAACTAGCTTAGCTAGGTATGTGTCCTCGGCCATTTCGAACGGCGTACGTCCTGATGCATTCTCACGGAAAAGAAGGCCAGGACAACATTGTAGCATGATGCGGAGGAGCGCGTCGGCACCGCGTCTTACGATGGCGTGGATGGGTGTATCGCCTTCGCCATTCACGATGCTGAGGTCTTCACCCTTACTGAACTCGAGTATGAGCTTGAGGACTTCTTCGTTGTAAGGCACGACTGAGCTTCCAATGGAGGCAACGTGAAGCCAGCGCGCAAGAGGCGTAGCTGCGCCAGGCATATCCGTTGTGCGCTCGGTGAACAAGCTGGAGAGAAGACGAGCATCTATAAGCCCGAGTAACTCCCGGGTCTGTTCCACACCTTTGTTCTGTCGATTGATGTTGTTGAAGATCGAGTGGACAATATTTGCTCCGGTGTTATCGCGTGTGGTTTGATCAGCACCAGCTTCCAGCAGGACCCTCACCATCTCGATACGATGCAAAGCAAAAGCAAGCTGTAAGGGTGTCATGCCATTTGCAGAACGATGCTCGAGGGCCTTGGGGTGGATCTCACATAGATGCCGGAGGAGATTCAAAGATTGTTCGTTCGTCTTGCCGAGAACCACTGAATGGAGCAGCAGATGTGAACGTAGGTCGAGCCACTTGGTTATGGATGACTGCAAGCCACGTTCAGTCTTTGCCAAGTTCTGAATGCGAATATCGTCTCGATGGCTGTCCGCAAAGTCTGAATAACAGCACAGAGCCGTGTCGCTTGAAAACCACTCAACGCTCTCCAAGCTTCCGTACCAAGCAGCATAAAGTAAGGGCGGGTGCTGCGCCCCAACTGCTTTCGACTGGACCTCTCTCCCTTCATTTGCCCAATCCGCTCGCTTCCTCCCGTGAACCGATAGTCCCTGATAGTACTTCGGTTTCACAGGTATCTCGATACCGCTCTTCTCGACAAGATCGTCCAAAGGGATGCCAGCTCCAGTGTTCTTGATGATGATCTCCAGCAGGCGGGTCCGGCCAAGGCGGATCGCGTAGAGGAAGTCGACTTCATCGAAATGGAAGAACCTAGGAGCGGTATCCTCATCAGCCTCGATGCTGTGTTGCGTGTACTCCTCGGCTCTGGCAATCAGAAACTGTAGTAAGTTGGCATCGTCGAGGTATATCGCGAATTGAAAGATATTGCTTGGTTTCTCGGCTTTGGGAATATCTTGCTGAGCCGAATCCGGTACGCCATTTGTACGAACGTTCGTCCGAGGCCTGCCCGAATAACGTTGGCTACGAAGACCATTGGAGAGTTCTGAGGGCGGAAGCCATGCTGACGTTGATGTATCATCATGGTTGAGAAAATCAAACACCGGGCAGTTCCACGATATCAGTTGGAGTGGTGTGACATTACTTTTGACCTGGTTCTGCACCTCTCCAATGTTCTCGATAGTGAAATGATCGTCCACAATCTCAGCATAGATCTGGAAATCGTCCTCGCCATCACAGCTATCATTGTCTTCATCTCGTGGCTGTAGACTGTGTTTGACCATTGGCTTCTCTTCGGGTGCATATTGCGCATGTGCGATTTCTAGGATGGCTCGAGCGATTCCATAATGCTTTCGCAGAACCGCGATAGAGAATGGCGAGAATTCTTGTGAGTCCTGGACTGCGACTTGTAGAGGACTCTGGTTCTCCCCCCAGATCGTCAAGGTAAGCTCCTTGATGGTCGGAAGGTCGGCAACCCAACATGCTTGAAACAGCCTGAGGTAAGCGACTCGTCGTTCGTCGGTCAAATCAGAAAGCCGGAAGGTAAGTAACGGATTCCACGGTTTTGGAGGGTCCTGGTTGTAACTATTACCATAGTCGTACTGGCTCGGTCCAGGTACTTTAAGTTCGAGATCCGGATGGAGTTCTTTGAAGGTCTTCGCGTTTCGTTTCATCAGCTCAGCTTCTAACGTCTCAAGCTCGGTCAGCAGAGATTGTATAGCTGCCTTCTTCTCATCTGTACCCTTGGGTTCTTCCTCAGACGCCTTCCACTCTTCGTGACCCTTCAGGTCTTGTTCGTAAGTCTTCTTGGCGGTTTCGATCTGGTTTCTTACCATCCAGTGACTGTAGGTATCCGGTTCGAATTCTCGGAAATATTCAGCGTCTTCTTTCAAAGGTACTGGTGCGAAGCGATTGCGATTGCCGTAGTAATAACGAGATCGGCCCACCCAGCCTGTAGAGTACAGATATCCGTCTTGACCATCAACTTTACCCAGATCAACGAACGTACGCAGCTTCCTTAAGGTGATACGAACAATATCCAAGAGAGTGCCTGTATCATCGTCGTGGTAATTGTTCTTTTTTTCCACCGCGCTCCAGGCTTTTGGGGTGAGACTGTTGATATCTGCTCCGGCATCAAGAAGTGTCAATACGATTGATGGTGCATCAGCACGGACTGCAGCAAATACAGGCTGTTCGATGCTTTGTCTGAACTTCCTCTGGTTGCTTTCAGCATCATTGCCGAGATAAGACCATTTGCTTTTCGCAGAAGCAATGTAGGCAGCAAAGTCAATCTCAGGCTTCGCCCCAAGCTCCAAAAGGGCGTCTACACCAGCGGCATCACCACTTTCGATCGCTACCTGCAAAACACTGGTTGCGGACGGATCGTAACGAGAGCCACTCAAGGAAATGTGACTAATAGCTTGTTGTGCTGCAGGTCGATTCGCCGATATCATGATGTTGAGCAGGTCGGCACCATGCGCAGCAAAGTAGTGCAACGCCGTAACTTGGTCCAGATCGCCCTGAGCCGGTGATGCTCCGAGACTGATAAGCATTCTAGTCATTTCCTTGGCTTTATCGGGCGAGAGCTGCAAGGCGAGGACCAACGGTAGAATTGCTGCGCACGGAGACTTGTTGTAGTCATGGACAAGCTTGATCGGCAGTAGTACATCGGCCCCAAACTCTTGGACGAGGGTTTTCACAACGTCTGTGTGGCCATTCGCAATGGCTAGATGGAGCGCAGACACGGGCGCGTCCCACGCAAGCACGTTGACGTCGTATACATCAGGCTCATCATCATTCGCATCGTCTGGGAGGTTCTCATGATCCTGTGACTTCTTGCTATCAATCTTGATCACAGAGCCTTCAGTAGTCGCATCGGCGTTCTCAGACTCATCGTCAAGGATATCAATGTCCTCGTCTTCACTGTTGTCTTCGTTCATTTGCTCATCGGGGTCGGCGGTATGCGTGCCACTTGAAGCTTTCTGGTCATTCTGGGTCTTCTTCTTGAGAGCGGCTTTCTCTGCTTCTATCTCTTCATTCGCCTCACTCTTGATAAGCAGAGCTCTGACCATCTCTACTTCACCGCGCATAGCAGCAAGATGGAGAGCAGTCTTCCCATCGAAGAGGCGAGCAACAATACGAGCTCCTGCATCGATCAGAGCTTGAACGATCTGCGGGGTTGAGGTTGTGACCGCCAGATGGAGTGGGGTGCGCCCGGTGTAGTCTCGTCGATTGGGATCAGCATCCTCTTGGCTCAGCCAATCCTGCACATGCTCGAGATCTCCCTCGACGATAGCCTGACATAGTCGTGCCGTGTTACCAACGTATGCCATCTCGGTCCAGTCGTCATCGGTGAGAGGATGGAAAGAACCAATTGCTTGCCGCCCAGGATTGTCTTTGATGAAAGACAAAGTGCCTGACACGTAGACCTTGCCCTCTACTTCCGCAATCTCTTCGTCCTCGGGTGTCGTGGGCTTAGGACAGTAGCCACAACAGTCTCCTATTACGTCGGTCGCATTTCCAAAGAAAGCAGGGTGTCGATGCAACGTAGTTTCCCGCTCCTTGGGTCTGTTCCATTCAGCGTTTAGTAACAAGTCCTTCGCGTACAACAGCCTCTCGATTTTCCGGGCGTGAAACTTTGGCCCGTATGGGATGGTGAAAGTATGGTAATCACTAATCTCGTCGGTTTCGACCCATTCAGCAACATCTTCATCATGCTGTTGCTTGATGTCACCATGGAGCTTTTGTGTAGCCCATCGATTGATGGCTGGTCTGCCACGTTCAGCACGACGCTGATCAACATAGGCGTCACGATCGGTGCTTTTTGGCAATTTCTCAAGCACCAGTAGCCTGGCCAGTCCGAGGGTACGACCGAATGAGCGTTCGAACAGCGTCGGATCAATACGCGAGCGATCAAGGAGCGGCCAGTACACTTCGAATCCCCGGCGTGCATACTTGGACAAGCGATTCTCGTACGAGGGTGAGCGGCGCGTTAAGTCAATGGTATTGATCTGGGTCATGTATGCAGCGAGCGCGCGGGGGCTAGCGTAGACTTGCTTGCCATCGTATGCAGCACAGGAGCAGTCAACATCGAAGCCTGTAAGGATCTCGGAGATGGATCTGTAGACCCGCAAGACGATCTGAACGTGTCGAGTCGGATACTGCGAAGCGATAGTGATAGCGTTCTTGGTCCGGACAGTAGTTGTCTCGGTCAGGATTGAGTCTTTGATGCGTTGTTCAATCTGCTTGATCTTCTCAACGGCTTGTTCCTCGGTGAGGTTGTAGAGAAAGAGGTCGACATCGGAAGCTGGCGCTAATTGTTGGTGATAATACTCGCGCAGCGCGCGCTTCGAGCCATTGTATTTCTCAGGGACAGGTAGCAACGAGGTCACGACGGCGCTACCCGCGACTACCACATTGGACCAATCCATGTCAACGAGAGATGACTCGGAAAATAGCTGGAAGTTAGTCTGGAACTCGCTGAGTGATTGCACGACTGCTGGAGAGCCAGTCGACTTGCGGTCTGCCTTGTTGAGGGGCATAAGATACCGTTGGCGCTCAACCTTGGATTCATCGGCAAGGTTGCGAGCGCGTATCTTAAGTTCATGTTCGCGACCTACGAATATGGGAAGGACGTTAGGAGTCGCAATGGCCGGATGATCGGGTTGCTGCGCGAACACCTCGCGTAGTTTAGAATCATATTCCTTGTATGGTGTGATCAAGTCGCGCAGCGATGCTTCCGGATGGGCAGCAGCGTGTGCAATCCAGTTGTCATGGCTGACTGGAACTGGAGGGAGTTCCATCAATGTGGATGTCTGCTCCTGCGATGGCATAGTCGGAGATGGAACTTGTGAGAAGGTAGAGAGCGTGTTCGTTGCGATGAAGGAAGTTCGTTGCATGATATGACCAAATAAACAGGAAAACCAAAATAGCCGTACATTATATATTCTCATTTTCGGCAGAATGTTCTTGCATAATAGACGGCGGCAGCCTGTGTCATGATGAAATGCAAGCCGCAGCGTTGTGGTATATTGACGCGAAAAAGGGGTGAACTAGGCAACGACGCGCCGTGCCCCGTTTTGACAGCGTGGAGACGTGTTTGGTGGACATGGCAGCCTGATGACACAGGCAGCAAGCGGTCATCTACGGCAGCATATAACGAATATGACACGAATTGTACGCGAGCTCATGTAATGCATGACACGATGAGAGGGGGGAAAGTTGCGGGCAAATCTCGAGGTTTGACGGAAGTACCCTTGTGCCAAACAAGGATGGCGCCAATCATGGCTTGGCGTTTGCCCTCGCTATCAGCGTCGACACTCGAATTCTCGACATCTTCTCCATCATCGCCCTTGCACCTAACGTGGTTATCGTAGCCATCATTGGCTGTGCATCTGGATTTGTTGCAAGCCCAACGCCCGGCTTGCGTGAATGCGCGAGCCAACGGTGCCTCTAAGATATATAACCCGAAACTTAATACAAGTCAAACAGATTCGAGAAAAGCATGCGGCCATGCGCAATGCTACACGATGAAAAAATGCCTCCAACAGATTCCCCATCTCTACTCCCTGATTGGAGAATACAGGGAAACTTGTCCAACAAAAAACAAGATGATCGAGAGGCTCGCAAAAGCCGTGAATATAACCGCAACCTATCATCAGATTAGTGTCGGGACCCTCAGAAACCACGTCGCTTGAGATAATACTTTATTCTGTTCATCCCAGCTCCTCAGATCGCTCAAGTGTGCCGTTGCACTCCACACCAGCAGAAACATACCCACAACCATACAAATTGTCCCCGTGATGAGAAACATAACTGGCATCTGCCAGGTCAAGATCTGGAGGTAGCTTGGCGCACGTCTACCCGTTGATTTCCAGGTACTTCCCTTACAGAGAAGTTTGTGAAGGTTAGTGAGGCCATCGCGGTGAGACGAAAGCCGGTGTAAACGCACCGTTTGGTCGGCCGCGCTGATGATGGAAAGAAGCGAGATGATGATACCACAATACCAAGATGTTCGGACGTACCAGGGAGACGGCTTGCCAGCCGTGAGAATATTGGGCCAGCTACCTGTCGATGTGAGAACACCGGCCAGCAGAGCGGACTCGACGATGGTCAACGGTGCAGAGTCACAGATGGATGCAGTACTCACTACAACACCAACAAAGTTCAACTCGCTCAGTTTGTTGTCTCGCCATTTTTTGACAAGTTCATCCCTCTCGCTTCGGTCATGAGTGTTGAGCAAGATCTCGATGGGATCATACGTTGAAGGGTCCGGCAGGTATATGCCACCCCCGAACATTTGCGGCGCGCAGAAGCAAGAAGCTTGCCGCTTTCGTTTGTTGTTAGACGTCTCCGGTTGTAATGGACCATTGCTAGTGACAATCTGTTCGTGATTCGCTGCTATCCACTCGACATCGTTCGGCTCGTGGGAAAGTGCACGAAGCATGTTGGGACTTGGATGCCTTCTGAGTGGTACCAGCTGACAGGATATATATAGAAGGACCGCAACCGAATCACGTCGAGCAAGGCATCCAAGAAGATGCGGCGAAGAGGAAAATTGCTATTTCCCAAGAGTTGGTCGACAGCTATGACGCACATCGTACTTGGCACGCTTGTGGTTGTAGCCGTACAGTGCCGCGACGCGGCCGAGTCTAGGTGCAGGTAGAAGACGGTACGAACACCAAGTGTCATGCAGGACGCCGAGTTTCGACAATGCGCAAGCGTCTAATTAAGCTTTAACTATCATCTTGAGAACTGGCTACAGACTCACGCCATCAACGCCGAAGACAGACATGTCTTAACTCCCTGCAGCGGCTTAGTGCATCACCACAGCGACATGATCGTCCATGTACTTGGAGATATCACCCAAGAAGCACGCTGCGATGATACTAACGCCGCCAAACGCGATACTCACGTAATACACGTACTTGTACGCCTCAGCGTACGCGAGTTGCCCAGCATAAACAACCAATTCGTACGCACCAGGCACATCCTTGATGCCTGGGAGTTCCTGCAGAGCCGGTAGCAGTGAGGCGCCGGTGATAGCAATCGCTTCTCCAATTATCTCTGGGGATGTGATGTTGAGCTTGGTCACCATTGCGCCGCCGATGAAGTGAGTTGCGGCTGGGACGAATTTGGCTACGAACGTTAGGAGTGCTATGGCTTATACTGCGTGACGAAGACTTACAGATGAAGACGTTGTAGTATACGCAGTATCCGATCGAGCCACCGATGACGCGAATGGCGAGGGTAAGAGCTGCAACGGTTGCGATAAGGTCATCTGGGCAGATGATAGTGGCTATCGACGTTAGTGAACCGTCCACTGATCAATGCGACGTAAGACTTACAGATGATAGATGCCGGTACGACAATACCGCCGATACCGAGACCAGCCATGACTAGCAATCCCCATAACTGATACAAGTTGTCGACGCGACCAACTGCAAGAGCGCCACACCCCGCAGTCATCAAGATCGACGAAGCGATCAGGAGCTCCTTGTTGTGGCCACGAAGCATCGACAGCAGCCACAGAACGATACAAGCACCAGCCAGAATCGAGAAACCGACTGGAATACCTCGGATACCAACACCCACTGGGTCATGTCCGTAAACGTTAAAAGCCTGTGTAGGCCAGAACATGAGGATAGAGAAGAAGTTCGCTCCCGAGATAAACGTGATGACGAGCGTCAGACCAAGAATGCGAGGCTCTTGGCGAAGTCGCTTCGGGAACATGGGGTGTTTTGCTCCGTAAGCCTCCCATAATACGAAGGCGACAAGGAAGGCGACGCCCAGGATCAATGGTGCGAGTACGTGTGCACTTGACCACTTGTACTGGTAGCCACCCCATTGCATACCCATCATGAACAAGATCATGCCAGCGACGGAGAGGAAACCGCCAACGTAGTCGATCTGCGCAAGAGTCTCCCTGCGGCTCATACCCGCGCTGTTGACACGTGGAGGCGGGTGGTAGAAGACTGCCGTCAAGGCGAGGCCGATGAAAGCCCACAGCCCACACCACAATCCGATCCATCGCCATGCACCCGGTGATTGCGAAGCGATGAGCTGAGCCCATAAAACTGACGGGCAGAAGGGGATAATGGTAAAGACGAGTATGGCAACATACTTACCCCTCTGGCTCGTAGGCGCAAGCTCCGATGTAACAGCCAAAGCTGTCAATTCATTGATGCCCGCACCCACGCCGGAAAACACCATGCCGCAGATGAAGACGTTCATCGTATGCGCTGTTGAACACACAATCATGCCTAGAATGAGGAAGCATGCACCGATCATGGCAACCCATCGTCGGCCCACGATATCGGAGATGGACCCGACGAACGGACAGATTGCAGCTAGGGATAGTAGGTTGGCGAGGATAAACCAGATCCAGCGGTCTGTTCCGCCTATGTCGGCGTAGATGTATGGTGGGACTCCGCCGAAGAGGTAGACAGGAATTTGACTACCTGTCCAGACTATTGGCAGTGTTAGTCGAGTCTGGAGTGTAGGATATGGGTTTCACGTACGAAAAGCCATGGCAACTAATGCCATGATTCTCGCGAAGTTCATTGGAACATCCTCCTCGTGGTCGACGCCATCTCCAGCCGTCCTCAGGCCATTTTTCTCGTAGTAGTTGCTGTGACCGGGTACTTGTTCGTTTGTATGGATATTTTCGATATGGTTGAACGCTGGTTTCGATGTCGACAGTGAGTGATCTGAGACATCTATAGTACCCAATTAGTATACGCATGGGAGCATGTGGCTTGTAAGGCCACTTACCGGAACCGTCACTTTGGTCTCGCATCGTGTTTTTCATGCCTGTGTATGATTTGGTCTTTCCAAGAACACAAACGGACCTGATCACTTTTTATTTTGGAGGCTCAGCGGGGCTCTTATGCATGGATGCAAACCGACCGCACTTCACAGAATCCCAGCAATCGCACATCCACGCCGCGATTCAGTTTGCGGGGTATTCTTCCTAGCATTCCCGATGGCTTGTATAGCTCCCTTACAATCGTTCGATAGCTCCACGAACCGTGGTCTGGCCACACTTTCCGCCAGCGATACAGTCGACGGGATTCGTCTTCCTACTCCACCTCCGCAGTAACTTTCGCTCCATCGCCGCGGTACTTTTCCAATTCTCCTAGCTGTCACTTACGCCACGTTCTCGGATACCTATCACACCCTGCCGTTCCATGGCCATGGGACTCGTGGTCATGGCTAGGGAGGGCGCTATATGGCTTAGCGCCCATGTACCCCGCATTGCTTGGTCGGGCTTGACGGAACAAGCAAAGAGGCGGCTAATCAAGCTTTTGCGACTTGCCGATCATTGTATCTGGGGATGTCAACGGTTGCGAGTCGAAGAGAGGTCGATCATCCGGAACCACGCAAGTATGATCCGACGCCCTGGTATGGTGTCCTGCTAGCAAAGTAGAAGCGAATCCGATACCTGTCACTTGGGACTTCTTTTCGTTCGCTGTTCATACATTTGAAATGCGCGGCTTCCATCTCGGTCCTACTCGTGCGGAGGCAAGTCCGCATCGGTTTTGGTACCTTCCGTGTGTGCATGGACACTAGCCCTATCAGCTCTGCCGCCCATATCAGCGATAGCGGCACAAGAATGCTCGCTCAATGCGCCGTAGTTGAGGTTACAGTCGGCTATTGACCCATGTAGCCTACATGTTCAGCTCGACATTCCCGGAACAAGGGCGGACGCAACTGCTAGACCTCGTGGCAGACACTGCCGTTTTCTTACATGCATAAGATGAAGCTTGTCTCTTCCGAATTACAGCTGATTTTCCTACCTCACTAGCCTATCCTATGAATAGGCACTACCTTGTACACTCTAGAAGTGTTTGTTTCTGGCACCGCCGCCTCTAGCGGTACTGGTGCGCCCTACCCCGAGTTTACTGGCGCCGCTTCTGGCTCCAATGTTGGTGGTGCGCTCGCCGGTGTTAGTGCCGTCGCTTCGCTCCTTTTGTAGATATGAAAGCGGAGGAGGCTTGGTGGGGATTGGTGTTCTAGATACCCTGACTTATTGTTCTTGTTCACCTCTTTGAATCACACTTTGAGCTGCGTTGACGTATGCTTGTTTTGCATGTTCTCGTGCTAGTGGTATTCGCACTCTTCACGTGCCATTGATATATTGTAGCGAGTTTTCGGGTGATATCACTTAGCCCTATCTGCACTGCTTCTATCACGAGCTTGTCGTCAAGAACCTTTCCGCAGGCGCTTTCCCAGTAATCAAATACCTGCCAATGAGGTCGCTTGTCTCCCCACCCAGAGGTAGACTTCCATGTCCATCGCCATTACGGACTATCAAGACTGCGTTCTCGATCTCTTCTAGCATGCCTATCGCCCAAGGTAGGCCCGTTGAAGAATCCCCAGTGCTACTTGCCATGAGTACAGTCGTATCAGATTTGATATTTAGCTTCCTAGGCGGGTTCTTGACCGCAACCGGCCAACCCATGCATGCGTGTTGTGCCCTCCATCTATGACTTGCGCCTCGGACGAGAGGGGTGTATGCAGTCGCCATTGCCAATTTCGCTTTGATGTCTGATAACGACTCAGAACGGTTCCAGTCTAAGCAGTGAATTGCCAGGCGAGAGAAAACTTCGGGGTTTGAGTACGGCGTCGACAGGGTGGATGCGTCGCCATATGAGGCATCGAACAGAGCCGAGGCAAGCAGCTGCCATGATACACCCAGGCCCACCCCTGCTCCTGGGAAATTGAGAAAGCCTTGAGCGTTGAAAAGTATTTCCTCGGCATTTACGTCCGTGAGACAGTCGGTGCCATTACAAGACAACGCAGGGATCGGTGTTTCAGCTGCCTCGGTAAGTAAGTCCAACCACAGCGCTCTCACATCTTGTCCATGAAGCGCTGAAGACGCATCCGTAGCAGCCCAGTCGAAGAAGTGTTTGAGCACTAGTTCGTAAGAGGATGTGTCGATATGGATATTCGCTGCTTCAGATTGCGAATGCTGTACGATGGCATCAAGAGCCAGTGTACGGAAGTTCTCTGGAAAGAGGCTGATGTACTGTGCCCCCAGTTGAGAGCCATAGGAAAGCCCAAGGAAATTCATGGGCTCATTGCCAAGAGCGACGCGCACAGCTTCGTGGTCTTTCGCCGCGCTGATAGTATCGACATGCTCAAGAAGTGGTCCTGTTAACTCACGGCAAGACTCTCCCAGCCTTTTGTTCTTGTCCACGAGTGCATCGTATTCTTCTTCAGTTTGAGGAAACCATGATACACGCTCAGCGTAGATGTCTTTGCTGCAAATTATCTGGTGACTCATGCCGGTACCACGCGGGTCCAAGCCGATGATGTCGAAAGCGGCTCGAAGCTGGAGCGTTTGATTCTGGAATGCACCTTGCGCCATGGATGATACAATCGTTGATGCCGGCACGCCAGGTCCGCCGGGATTTATGAATAAAGAGCCGACTTTGGACGTGGTATTTGAAGGTATTGCGGGTAGCTTGACGAGCCCAAGATCGAAGTGTTCACCATAGGGGGTATCCCAATCAATGGGAACAGAAAACTTGGCGCATTCTAGGCTGGATGGAAGTCCAAGTTCAGAAGGACATCTAGTCCATGAGATGGATAACAGTGTACTATTTACCGGGGGAAAGGGATGCGAGTTCGAATCGCGTACATTTGTGCTCCGGGCACTTGATGCACAAAGAAGAAGTGACAAGGTAACGAACATGGGATAACAATAGAAGGCGTTACATAATGACATCTTGCTCGATGCAACTATAGTAACGTTAGGGAGGGGTGGAAAGTGTTCAGAACGACAACATACGAGGATAAATCGAGTTTTATGTCTCGGACCTGCGTACCAAGATACGTAGTCATGATGAGCCATTGCCGACAGCCGTACGTTGTAAGCGCTGCGTCTCCGAAACCGAAGAGGTGCAGGCAGACCTGCGTCCAGCTTACCTTACCGGTGCCGAAATGAGCAGTAGTGCTGATATCCAGCAAAGCCAAGTGAGGCGAAGAGCATGGTGTCTTACCAAACAATCGCGAATTGGCATGGGGTTTCCGGTCTCTGGAAGTGTTCAGAAAGCTTTGAGAGGGAAGGCTTACTTAAATTGTACGCTGAACGTAGTCGGGTTGACGTGAATAAGGCTATTTCTAATATCATGAGAGCTCTCAAGTGGCTTTGGAATGGCTTGGCCACACTATGTATCGAAAGAGGGAATGGCGGGGTGGTACAATCGTTCTCGTAAGCATGCACTAGCGATGAGGTTGTGACGTAGCAAATTACCTCACACACGAAGCCACCCCGCGTGGCTGCACTCAGGCGTTTTCACCTAACTATCAGGGACGCCAACGCTATTCGAAGCTGCGATCCTTTGCACACGGTATTCTCACATTTAGTGGAAATTTACAGAAAAGAAAACCCTTAGTACGTGAAACGCTGATGGTGGCGACTATGAATAAATATCGGTCGCGTCGGCTGCATGCTGTAAGTGACACCGCGTTCGACAAAGTACATGCCAAGGCAACACCGAGTTCGCAGACCCATTCTTAGCCACGCTCATCATCATCATCCTAACACGCAGCCTGCGACAATATACCTCATTCGTCGCCACATACAACAACACAGCTACTACTAATAGCAACGACGGACCAGCGCCCAATCTCACAGAGGCAGTCATCGCACTTCAAGCTGTCGTACAGAGATTTTTAGAAGATTTAAGAAGCGGGCGTCAGATATTCGTACTAAACCCATTATATTACCCATCCTTAGAAGGTAAAGCAACGACTGTAATGAGTCTTGTAGCTGCGGATAAGAGAACAATAGCCCGCCTAATGGAACTGCAACAAGAGCTCATAACGTTAGAGAAACAACTTCGCTTAAGAGGCGAATGGCTTCCCCCAGAGTCCTTGGAAGACGCGGCACCTTCGTCTTTTCTCGACGTACCTAATCTTTCGAACGCGATAAACAATCTAGGCTACTTAGTTAGCTCTACAAGCCGTGCTAGACATTATAAATTCTGAGAAATGCTCCCTACCTATTTATAGAGTTAGGATCTTGCATAGCATAAGTTTTACACGGGTTTTCCTTCTTAAAACACATATGTTTATCTTCTAAGATAGAAGTGAAACGAGGCAAGCGTACAGCTCGCTACTAGACGCGTCTAAACGACGCTTAGGCTACCTTTACGACCGTGAACGTGCACCAACATCCCGACCTGTATTGGGCTCTTCGTGGCGCAGGGGGTGGAAATATTGGCATGATCACGTCCTTCACCGTTCGAACGTTTCCACAAGGTCCTATGTTTGTCGACCGCTGGACCTGGAACGACACGTCCACAAAGTATGTGGTCAATAAGCTATACGATCTGTATACTAGACAAGATAACAACACCAAGTTGTCTGCCGACTTTTAATATGGCTACATTCAAGCTAGAGACGCCTTTTCTCCAGCTGGAACGCTAAGGTATCTTGACCTCATCGAAAACCCTTCCGTCTTTGCATCCGTTGATCGCATCCCCGCCGTGTCGTCAATCGGACGAATCATTACCCTGACCAATGCCTCTGGTTCAGGCGAGATAGCAACTACTCCACCGCCTACAAGGTAAGGACCTAGGATGCTTTGACTGCCCCGTTTTCGCAATCTTACTCACCAAACATAGACATTTGTTCCAGACTACGACTACCTTTCCATCTCGTGAATGGCTTTCAAGGTCGTTACAGATATTTCGTGAGGAAGTGGAAAGCATGAAATCCGTACCAGGCCTTAATCCACAACTTATCACTTACCCAATCTCATCGCGCGCCATCAGCGATATGGCCGATCGAGGAGGCAATTCTCTCGGCTTACAGAGCACACGAGGGCTGCTGCTTAGTAAGTCTGCGTCCGGAAGATCATGAATGTACTAGGGGTGTTGACTGGTGTTTTAGTAACATTCCTGAGTGCCGCTTGGCTTCGTGCGGAAGATGACGTAATGGTTGGCAGCTTCTACGACCGCGTGTTCGCACGCTTAGAGGATGCTTCTGAAAGTTTATCCGTCTATCATCATCTTAAGTACGTAGGCTACAGCAGACTAGGGGAAGACATCTTCATATCTTATGGGGCGGACAACCGTAGAAGGCTTGAGCACCTACAAGAGAAGGTCGATCCTAGAGGCGTTTTTACTTCCGTCGGACTATGCCGCGGCGGATTGAAGGTTCGCCAAAGACGGCAGTGTTGGCGAAGGGAACTTGATCGGGCGCCGAGGCGCACCAGGATGACGAAGATGGACAATTGTAGCGGCTGTCGGTGTGTTTTCAGGACCCGAATGCACCTGAACACATCTATATGCCCCTTGGAACAGACGTTGTCGGCACGGAAGTGAATAGTTATAGATACCGGATTATGACCGAGTTGTGTGTGGATATCGAAGCGTGAACAATCGTCTTGCTATGATTCGTTGTTTCTGTCTGAGTGGCTTGCAGAACTGGAGTATGCTCACCATTGGGCTAACAATTGTTCCTGTCTTGTTCGCGGTGCATACCTCGCAACATGATCTTTCCTAGAGTAGGATATTTACTTTTTGCAGCACAACGCATTAGATGGGCATGTGTTGCAGCCGAGGGAGAACAGCCAACCATGGCTGCTTCAATCCTAGTTGCTGTCGTCGGCCTTTCCTGCGACGAACACCAAACGAAGAGATGACGATGATGGAAGACGGAGACGGCGATGCCGATTTTTTAGGGGCGCAGCAGTGACGAATGCAGATGAACTCGAAATTTGTCGTAGTTAATGCGCGGGGATAGGAGTCGATATTTATGTGAGTCGGCGCAATGTTCCAGCGGTGGCTGCTCGTGGTGGCGCTCCGCGAACAGCAACGGCCGTAGCGCTATGATGTTGAAACTACACCCTTGCATAGGGATCCGGAACGCTATTGAGGTTGCGCCGACTATCATCTGTGTACCTCATGTCAGGCCAGTCGTCACAGACACGGAGGTGCCAGAGATGCAGTATATGAATGGCATGCTGCGACGGTTAACGCTCAGCACCTCAAGCTTACCAACAGCTCACCACAACAAGTCGAACCTGCCATCATACAAGACATTTAAATAGCTCCTCTCGTTACAATGGCCGCCAACATCACATTCAAGCCCGCATCCGATATCCCAAACCAAGCTGGTCGAGTGTTCCTGATTACTGGTGGTATGTGACATACTTCAATTCCGATTGGCGCCCACTAACCTTCACAGGCACCAACGGTCTTGGAGCATCATCGTTATCTTTCCTAGCATCTCATAGCCCTGCACACATTTTCTTCAGCGGTCGCAACAAGGCTCGTGCCAATGACCTCATCTCCAAGGTTGCGCAAGCCTCGCCATCCACCAAAGTTACATTCGTCGAGTGCGACCTCGCCAGTCTCGCATCCGTTCAGTCTGCCGCCAAGCAGATTCTATCGTCCACCGATCGTCTCGACGTTCTGATGTGTAATGCGGGTATCATAGCCACGCCTAATGATATGAGCAAGGACGGTTACGAATTGCAGTTCGCGACGAACCACCTCGGCCATGCGTTGCTCATGAAACTACTCTTACCTCTTATGCTCGAAACTGCGTCGCAGTCCAACGCCGATGTACGTATCGTCAACCTCTCTTCTGTAGCATACAGACAAAGTGTGCCTTCCACTGGCATCGAGTTCGCCAAGCTGAAGACCAAGGGCGCAAAGTACGGATCATTCTTCGTCCCCAATAAATGGGCCTGCTACGGGCAATCCAAGCTAGTCAATCTTCTTTATACTACTGAGCTGGCTGCTCATCATCCAAGCATCACATTCGTCGCGGTGCATCCGGGCTTCATCAAGACGGATCTTTTCGTGAACATAAATTTCATCGATCGTCAAGTCGTGAACATCATTTCTGGTGGAAACTGGCTGGATACGGAGCAGGGTGCGTACAATCAGACGTGGGCAGCCACCACGACGAAGGAAAACCTGGTTAACGGAGCGTATTATGAACCCGTGGGTATCAAAACGACGCCGAGTACGAAGTTAGGAAAGGATCGAGCGCTGGCGAAAGAGTTGTGGGATTGGACTGAGAGAGAGTTGAAGGCGTGGGTTTGATGCCTAGAGAAGGGGATTAGCGGTTTGGCTTGCGGAGAGAAGTAGGCAGTTTTGTTTAAGGTGCACTTTTCGTTCGTAGATATCATGGTCGTAGTTTTGTAATGCCTGGACTTTCTTACTTGCAAGTTTAGGTGGGATACTGTGTGAGCGGAGTGAAAGGCTTTGACGTTCAAAGTTTCCCCACTCTTTGGTACACGCGTTACGCGTCGGCTTTTCATCTGAGGCCCTGAAATACGGATACTTTTCCGTGGCTGTAACGTTGTCGATATATAAAGTGCTCCCTGCCGTTGCAGAAACCGTTGTCGCAAGCAGCGGCCTTTCGACGTCCACGTTGGGTTGATGATGCTACCCGTTGATGGAAAGCCGCATCCACAGGAGTGATCGACAAAGCAGGCGAATTTTTCCAACAAGCTGGGTGACGGTCTTGCTCCGCCCCCATGGGGTAGTGGACGTTACACGCTCCGTAGACCTACCTTCGCGTTCACACCCGCCCACCAGGTTGACACGGCCGCGAAAACCACGAGGACGACCCGATAATTTCTCTTAAGCACGTGGTCTAAACAAAACCCACTACAGTTCCACTCGGTAGCATTGGACCGGAAGATGCACCGCTGCTATACCTGAGGCACCGCTTAGACGGCAGCTTTCCAAGAACCACCAATGCGGCGCATCTCCGTTTAAAATCAACACTTGGCGAAGAACGTACCCGGTATGTCCCGTGGAGAAACCAAGAAAGCGTTGGTACTGTCGCCGCAATCATTGAGGAACCAAGACGATGAAGGCCCGGCGGGCGGACTTGGCTCTGCCCTGATTGGTTGATTTTACAGCGGAAAGACTTTTAGCTCCTTCTTCTCAGCAACGGCCTCGAGACGAAACCTTACGCTAAACCACATGTTACAAAATCTCCACGGAGTTCTGTCATCCAGACGCACGATGCTCTAAGCGCGACCCATAAACCACGCACTGGAAAAGTACGTCTATCACCCCATCCGTGCCACAAGCGTGCGCGCCGTCTCTTTCCTTCCCCGCAATGCAACCCAGGTTGAGATCTTGGACCTGTCTCGGCCTACTTGGCCTAGGTCCCAAGTGCAACGCTAGCCTGGATTAACAAGCTATGAAAACACTTGACATGGCGCAACACCAAGATTTTGGTGGCTTGCCAACTTGCCAATACGCCTTTGTTCTGCGACAAGACGATGAAAATTCCAGGGTCAGGGCTGGGCTTCTCACCGGAACCAGTCATGAGTAATGATCTCGGAGCATCAATGCGACGTTGTTGTCAGGAAAGAGCCTTGGTATTCTGCGGGTTACCTTCCTGGGATGAGTACTGTTTTGCATGTTCTTATCGCGACGTCAGCCAGGATGGACAAAAGAATTGGAGGAGCGAGGGGAAGAGATCGCATGGTGGATGCCTCCCAGTACTATGCGAAAGAGCGCGCTACTTCTCTCTGTAATGTTTTGTCGACGCTATGGAGGCGGCTACACTACGCTGGACTGGAGAGTTCACGATACGGACAGCACTAGACCGAACAAGAGACCACCGAACACCGGCTCCGACACACCAGTCCTTGCTAGAACTCAGTTGAGGCGCCAAGGCCACCTGGGCACTAAGCATGCCCAGCACCTATGGTAGAGGCTCTGGGCTTGTATGCCGCATGTTTGCATACTCGCTATTTGGTAGGATGCACACTGATAGTCAGTTTCCAAGACCAAACGAGCGGGCATACTTGCCATCGGAGACCCCGCAACCGCATAGCCCCCAGCACCATCAAGCCTCGCCACTGTCCAAGGCGGCCGGAAGAAGCGCACTTAGATGTCTTGGAAGACATGCATGCGCGGAGGTACCTAGACAATTGTCGTGTGATTTCGGAAGATGGTGACTAGAGATGATCTGGGGCGATATTGATCCACAACACCTGCTACATTCTGGGGGAGGCGCCTGAGGTGTATAAGAGTCCTACTCCACGTCCCCGGATTGTTGCTTCCCCAGATCAACCAGCTCGCGCTTCGGTGATCCAACGGGCTTCTTCCCCACACTCTTCATATCTGCTCTTGATCTCCATACAACCTCCAAATATCCTACATCATGTTCGACTCCAAGAAGAATGAGATCGTCCAGCTCGAGCAGACTCAGACTCGTGATGAGGAGCTCAGGAAGCCTGTGCCTATTGTCGGCAAGGTGGATTACTCCGGAGCCTACGAGAAGACTGATCCCCGAGAGATTGCGCTTGTCAAGAAGCTCGACAGATGGATCATGCCCATGTTATGGAGCATGTACTGGCTCAACTACCTTGGTAAGTCCCTATTGTCTCGAGAACGACTTCTCATGATGAGTATATACTAACAGATATTTTTGTTTAGACCGCAATGCCATCGCACTAGCCCGTCTTGATGATCTTGAGGACGATCTGAACCTCACCAGCACCCAGTACCAAACATGCGTGAGCATTCTCTTTGTAGGATACCTGCTCGGCCAAATCCCCAGTAACATGTTCCTCAACCGAACACGCCCATCGCGGTATATGGGCATCTGCATGATGCTTTGGGCCATCGTTTCAGCTTTCACAGCCCTCTCGAAAGATTTCACCGGCCTTCTTCTTACCCGTTTCTTCCTCGGTGTCACAGAAGCGCCCTACTACCCCGGCGCGGTCTACCTGCTCTCCATGTTTTACACCCGCAAAGAAGTCGCTACTCGTATCGCCATTCTCTACACTGGAAACATCCTCGCCACCGCCTTCGCTGGCCTGATCGCCGCAGGTATCTTCCACGGCCTCGGCGACGTCGCTGGTATCACCGGATGGCGCTGGCTCTTCATCCTCCAGGGCGCCGTCACATTCGTCATCGCTATCGTCGGCTTCTTCCTTCTTCCCGACTTCCCGCACAACACATGGTGGTTGACACAAGAAGAGCGCGATCTAGCTACCAACCGCATGGCCCTCGATACCGTTGGCAACAAGGGAGAGACCTCTGTGTGGGCTGGTTTCCGTCAAGCTGGAAAGGACCCCATGGTCTGGATCTTCGCTTTCATGGCACACATGCATCTTGCTGCCAACGGGTTCAAGAATTTCTTCCCTACTGTTGTCAAGACTCTTGGTTTCAACCGGACTATCACTCTTGTTTTAACTTGCCCACCGTACCTCATCGCTGGTGTAGTTACTATCGCAGTATCCTGGTCTTCTGGAAAGTTCAACGAACGTACTTGGCACATTACCATCTCGAAAGCCGTTGCAACGTTCGGCTTCGGATTGGCTTGTGCTGAGATCGGTACCGCGGGTCGCTACGTCGCCATGATCATCTTTACAATCGGTACTTATGGTGTCAACTCCTTGATTCTGGGCTGGTGTGGTTCAACATGTGGTCAAACACCCGAGAAGAAGGCTGTGGCTATTGGTATTGTTACGACGGTTATGAATGCTTCTTTCATTTGGTAAGTCCTCCTATCTCTCTTCAATATCTCGCAAAAGCAATCGCTAACAGTAACATCAGGACACCATATCTATGGCCCGAGTCTGATGGTCCACGCTACATTATCGCGCTTAGCTCTTCCGCTGCTTTCTCTATTGCGACTGCGCTGACGGCGTGGGTTGCGAAGATTATCTTCACGCGCAAGAACAAGCAGCTTCGTGAGCAGGACAGTGAGAACATGACCTTTTACGTGTACTAGGTGCGTACACACACGGTTATGGCTGGGCATGCAAGTACGATGATTGGGGAAATGGGAATCGGCTGGTAAGAGCTGGCGCAGATTAAAGGACAAGGATGCACACAGTCTATGTGGCTCGTTCCTAAATGCGACGAAGAAACGCGGAAGGATACCCATGGCTTTATTGGCCAATACATCGCATACTTTAGCAGTCTACTTTAAGAGTTAGACAAGAAACATTAGTACTAGGGCAAAGAATCAAAAGCCTTTGGAAAATGCTATTGTTTTGGTATATTGACAATACCGTACAGTTGGTGTACTTCGCGTGAAATGAAGAGAGTGTTAGGTGCTGTGCAAAGGTTGCCGATACCTGGTAACAAGATTGTATTCGATGGAGAGTCAAGCTATCTAGGAGTGAGTCCGAATTTATATCTACCCCGCTATAGTCGCGAAGCTTCCAGGGGCTTCGAAGGTCCCTACTCTCCCTAACGACGTACCGAAGGTTTCACCGAGGAGCAACACTACAACGATGCTTCTAGCCTATTACAGATAGAGCGATTTGTTGTTATCTGCATGTCACATAACCTTTTTGGCTGTAGGAGTGTGAGTATTTGTGAATCCATGTGGCGATGGAACGCTTAACATCCGGGTTTGCAATGTGTGTCAGTCGTGCCACAAAAGCCACCGGACGAACAGCATTGGCCGTCACATGGACCACTTGCACAGGTGTATCCAACTTTGCTGGAATCGCAGTCACCGTTTAGTGATGCCACGTTGGACGTAAGACATGCGCTAGAGAATGAGTTCTGACTGCAAGATTGTCAATATAGGGTCATCCGCAAACAGGAGGAAACTCGTTTCGAACCAGCCTTTAGCACAGTGATTCACTGAGCTACCAGAATATCCGCCGCTACTACAGGAATTTCCAAAGTTGCTTCCTCCGCATGTCAGGCCAGCACTACCTCCGCAGATGCCGTCCAACGAGACTTTACCAGAAGAAGGAAGTTCGCCAGACCCCACCGGGATGAAGCAGTCACCGAAGTCTGACTGGCATCCTGTACCACAATGAGAGCTTGTAACACCACAATATCTAAGGGAGACGGAAATTAATATAGAACGAATCTGTGAACGACCGACAGCAGACGTACCCAGAATTGCTACAGCAGTTTCCAAACGGAGAGCCTTTGCATTCGTAGTGTTTTGAACCACCACAAGTGCCTGAAAGAGTTAGATTAATTGCTGCTCGTGTGCTTCCTAAAATCTGAATTTTGCTTTCACGTACCGTCAGGCGAAATGGTCGCGCTATAGCAGTTACCAGTCTGGCAATTCGATGTGTTTGGGGGCAAGTGTTAATTTTAAGGACCCTAAGTTTGTTGCAACGAGGTTTACAATGTGCAGAGGTAGAGCCACAAAATCCAGAAGAGCTACAGTAGTCACCAAAGCTACAGCCCTGACACCTATACTTATCTGTACCACCACCTGATCAAATCAGTTGGACGTCACACTTGGTTTTCTACTCATCCCAAATTCATTGGCCGATCACCGTGCGAAGGCTGCGCGCGAGTGTATCAAGTTTTTATCTGGGGTGCCAAGATACCTCCATCGATGTTCAGGCTGCTTAATCGTGCGCGGGAAAGCGCTTGCATACTGGACGAAGAAACGTATATCAATCTCCGCTATTAGCTGCCTGATATCTGGTGATTAAGGAAAACATCGACCTCGCTTGCGCAGGAACAACGCTTTACGAACCGTCATACCCGAGGGACCGAAGTCGTGCCCTCACTATGTCTGGCTCCCTGCCTGTCTTTATCGGCGTACCACTTGACCGCATTAAACAAGAAACCGTTGCGAGACTGCGTTGGAGCATCCTTGGCTCCGTTGAGGATATTTACATCGAAACTGGACTCCACGAGGACGGCACTGAACGGCGTCACCCCTTTCTGTCTCACCCACTAGCCATGGAACCTCTTACCGTACCGCCAGGAAGTCGCATCGAAATTGGCAGTGAAAATATAAGCAGCGCCATGCACTTTCACCTAGCCCCCGAAGACTATCCATACGAGCTTCACACTATCGAAAACACCGATGGAAGTCCAGTCACTATCAAAGATTTTTTCATCCAAGTACACAAATACCTATGCCAACACAGAGATGTTTTAATCCGGTATCGCAAAATGGTTGGTTTCAACAGCCGGCCACCACCACCAGGAGCGGATGTAGGCCCTAGTTCCCCGGTGTCGTACTATACAGCCGGTATACATGATCTGCTTTTTAAACACGCATCTATTATGGCCTCATCAGACCACTTGATGGTTAATGTATCCACATTTTCTGGAAGGGGAAATGGGAGAATCCGCAGAGGCGTTCTGGAAGTCTCAACGAGCAACTGCAGACGCGATGGCTTCGCGCAGAGCAAATGCGCAAGGATCACAACTTTTGGGATAGTCCACATGCACAGACGAGAGTTTCGCGTATACCTTACCTTACAGATTTGATAGTAGCTGTGACACGCACGGTACAGGGTAGCAGGTGCAGCGGGCGCACCAGGGAAGTGCACACAATTTGCTGGAATACTTTCGAATCGTGAGATCCGACAAATGATCAAGGATGATGGTATCACGCCCTATCTCAACTCTACCGTCATGGTCAAATACTTCAAGTATGCGTGCGACAGCTAGGTTGGGTATGATAACGCCGAGACATTCGCAATGAAGGATCCATACACAAATGACCGATGCTTAGTGAGTAGTTCTTTGCAAACGATCCGGATGGTTTACGCTAATCCTTACTCTCCTGTAGAATGGCATAATTATTTGGTCCGTCGATTTCGACAACGAGACTGGCGTCGGCTTTGGTCCTGCAAACGACTTCAAGTCTCCAGAAACCGCGGCTGTTATCCCAATGGCCCACACTACTGTGCCTCGTGACCAGACATGTATCACAAATGCAGCAGCCGCGACGGACGTTCCACAGCTTTCGAATAACGGCATGCAGAACGTACCCTTAGGACCGGGTGCCGATGAATGCCAGCAGTGCAGCTTCTTTCAACTAATTACGTCCACGTGTTGTGGCACAGGAGGAACTGTGGGTAATCCCATCACGATACAGCCAAACGTACCGACACCAATGGACATCCCACTGCCGGCAGGATTCACTCCGAATCAGCCCTTCCAGGACACATCAGGTAAAATCATTCCTTCAAATCAACCCCTGGCAAAGGAGACTATTATTCCACGCGGAACCATCTTCACGCAGCCTTTCACAATTCCTAGTGGTATGCCACTGCGCCAAGGTGAGAACGATGATCAGAGTTCTAACTCTTCGCTCATCTGGCTATCACCTGAGATTTGGGAAGACCTAAACCCTGAAGTTCAATGTCTCTCCCAGTGAACGTTTGTGCTCCCACCTTGGCCATCGTACACGACTACGATTGGCTATCCCCACATCACAGTAACGCGGAGTGGTACCATCCAAACAACCCTCACTTTTCCTCCTATTACTGTGAGCGAGTGGGAGCCATCCACCATCATTGTCAGTGCGTCCTCGCGCTGCACAACTGAATCATGCAATGGCAATGACCTCAGGAGAACTTCGAATGTATCAATTCAAAGCACGATAACATGGCCACCAGTGACATGGACAGAGTCTGGTACAATCAGGACCACATATCCACCGACTGCCACGACGACCGGAGGTGGTGCAAATCCTACAGGCTTGGGCAGCGGTGGTTACCTTCCTTGTCTTTTTCCATTATTTTGCCCACCGGGCCCTCCTCCTCTTGGCCTTCCCCCCTTAGCAATCAACTGGGGACCACCAAAACCCGTGACGACCCCTTGTGCTTATCCTGCACCAAATTGTCCCCCACCCGGTGCGAGACCACCAAGACCCGGAGGCTTAGTAGTTCCTCCAGGGCTTCCTCCACAAGAGCCTTCGGAAGTGGATCCAACAGAAACCTGTCCTCTCATTCCATCAACAACCAGGACCAGAACATTAACAGCAGTGGTGACAACGACGTTGACTTCAACCACTTGGACACAAACACCTACACCAACACCCGTCATCCCACAACGGCCACACACATGGAATACGCCAGCTTGGTCCAAGGACGAGACCGAGTGCTACGACAGCGGGATGCGCGCACTTCGAGTCGACCTAATCAACCCTACAGATAGCTTTTGCGAATCTTACAAAGGCGAACCCCTCTCGCCCTCATAGTTATCAGGCGTCATAAGAACGGCCTTCGACTGTTGCGACAGACTCCATGAGGTCGTGCCGCTCGCGGTCGAGATGAGCATGAAGATGCATATGGGCTGCCAGTGGGAAATTGATGTTAATGATAGTAAAGCATCGTTCAGGAAGATCATCGATGATTGCGACACGAATGGAAGAGACGATAAGCAGGGTGGACGAGTAGTGGGTAACTGCGTTACCTTCAGAGTGGATCCGAATAATGGCTCGTAGTGAAGAAGGGACTGCAGCTTCGCCATAGAACAATCACAGAGCTGGACCACAGCACGCAAGTATATACATATCCATGATTTCGTGTCACTATCAACGTGAACCCACCTGCCTAACTATCTACCGATGAACTTCTTGGCTTTTGTGTAGATTTATACTACGACTTTCAAGTATTGGTAAGACTAGAAAGCTGTGATAAGAAGTAAAACGATGCTTGACGACTTAACCGTATCGCAATAGAAAGACTATTAATTGTTACATGTGCATTACGACGCTAACGTACCGTGTCTGTGCGCGTGATGCCTACCAGAACCCAGATGTTTGAAGCGATTGGATTGCGTTGTGAGTGGTCTGTCTTTCCAGGGTGCTCTTGGGTGTCGCAACCAGCAACAATTCAATAATTGGAACACAATATGAACAGCATGATTCAGGCTTTGCTTTGGATCTTACTCCACCGTTCCAGTGATTTTCACGTACCTGCACAGTTCAGGTTGTTCCTTCCTCTTACAGAAGCCACTAGCCCACATCGGGAATCTGAGAATCAGGCAGACGCGTTTCGGTTACGAGGCGTGAGCCGTTTGTTTGCAGCTGAGATGACGATGAGGTAAATCTTGTTTTGATCATAACGAATCAGGTTCACTTGTTGGGTGTTTGGAGTGGAACTAGACAAGGCGACTGCATTGGGGGCTGGTTTAGGGTAGTGAGGAAGGTTGGGTAGGCTATATATACCATAACATCATACCCTGAGCCACTAAGTTCCACCATTCCATTACCAAATTTTCTATCATCGCCAATATACCATCAATGCTTCATTACATGCACTAACAATTTCGTGCTGGCTGCAAAGGTCCCCAAGGAAAGAGATGAGAAAAATATTCTCCTAGTCCAAAACGCCATAGCTATGCTTTTGTGTCCTGGGTATGCCATTCTGTGGACAAAGAATCGAACGCTGGTAGAGTGATACAGAAAGAGAAGAGATATGGGGGGAAGAGATGGTGTCCTGAAGAATATAGAGACTCGGCAAGAGGTAGCGTATGGTATGCCAGATACCCGGAAGCAACATCAGTGTCGGCGCGGTTCGAGCGGTCTCGGTGCTCTCGCATGCTGTGTCCGGTGTGTCCTGTCACCCCTCTCACGCCTGCGACCGTTCATCTCAACAAAGTTCCCAGGAGGATGAGTCAAGTTGTGATTTCCGCCTTTCAACTCCTTCAAGTCCTCAGCATCGATCAACCGCATCCGCCACAGGTATTCGAAGAGCCTGAAGTCTGGCCTCGATGTCCGCAGCGTCTGGCCCCGCATGGTATGTTCGTATGCCAAATGATGCATGCGCATACCCCACGCATGTCGGCCCAAATCACATGTCACTTCCCAATCACACAACGGGCATTGAACCGTCTGAGGTGGTTCCTCGCCGCGGAAGTGCGACGAGCAATGTGTCTCCCACTCCTCTTTGTTCTGCGAGATGTAACCGCAGTTCAGGAACCAGAAAGCACATTCGTAGACTGGTGTTCTGAACTGCGCGCGGGGTATCTCTAGTATGCCATTGTTGTCTTCGAGCAGCGGGACGCCAGAGAAGTGGCTGACAAGTCCGGTGCTTATGCTTGTCTCGGTGGGCGTTGCTTCGGTGTAGCAAGAGCGTAGTGAGGGTGGGTTGTGGGTCGAACCGTTGGACTGGTGGAGGAGCGCAGGAGCCATCGACCCGCTCTTGATCGTACTCGCCGCGTCCAACAGGCTCTCGGTATCGATCTGCTCTAGTTCCCGCAGAAAATTCTCGTCAAAGTGAACCAATCGAGCAGATACGTCGGGTTGCCGTACCCAGTCGTCAAGAGGGCGGTTTAGCACACGATTATCGAGTCCGAGGGCGGCCAGCGACATGCCTGCGCGACTGGCGGGGTTAGCTGCTGTGGCGCACGCATCATCAGCCTCAGCCTGCTCGCAATCATTGGAGAGAATGCATGTTCAGCCTTGCGAACGAGTGGATGCAAGGCGATACAAGCGAATCAAAACTCACTGGGTGTTCGGGAGGGCGTAGTATCTTCGCCCGGCATGGTGTCGGTGGTGACGATGCTAGCAAGAAGGGTAGGGCTTAGCGTATCGTCTATGTGGGATTCGTCTGTCTAGTATCGAGACTTGGACTTGACTTGCTTGACTCATTTAGTCAAAGGGTATGGCGTCCTTATATCTCAGGTCATGGCGTCTATGTAGGGAGCCAAATTGAGTGAAACTATCTGCTCAGTTGCGGCTCTGCGGCGATACCCTCTCAAATCCCACCCACTTTGCACACCAACTCATCCACCATGGACAGAACTACTTGCCAACTTACTTTTGTCGCGTCACTTCGACACTCCACGGCCCGAATCGTTGTTAAAGCCGTCGATTGATTGGAGCGGTAAGTTGCATGCGACGGCTTCTCCAGAAGCGGGGTGGTGCGTGCCAAACGAACACCTTCTCCACACCTCGCCGACCGCTTCTTTGGCACTGAAATGGTACCCTCAGTATGGTGGTTTGTCGGTGTGCTTTATCCTGCTCGTAGACCGCTGACCGCCGCAGTGTCTTGATATGTGCAAGCTACTGCAACTTTATCTACATGGCGGTATTTGTGCATCGAGCACATGTGATGACGAGACCAACTCCACGAGAGTAGCCACACTCTATCGGACGCAATTTTGACCCAGACTGTCGCAATAGCAGTGGTGTCTACGCGAAACGAAGTAACATCCGTACTCCGTCAACCCTGAAAAGACGACGGATTTCCACATTGCATGTTATTCCCATCTGCTATGCACGCCATGATACCAGAATGAAGCGGACGCCGCTAATGCTGCCGACCGCACTGACTCATGACAGAAGCTTGTTCGTCTTCCCATCCGCACCCGTCTCCTAGATCCCGTTGTCAGAGGGCAAAACAGTCGAGTTTCTATCGCAGTTGAAAGCGGCTGCATCACTTGCGTCGGTTGCAGCTTGCCACCCACAGTATAGAATTGTAGTATAACTTTCACAGCGGGGAATGGTCACGGGTAGGTCTTGGCGTTATGCTTCGCGTTTCACATGCCAGTCGATACTTGCCCTATCCAGCGACTTGCGACGCGACCTTGGCGAATGAACACAATCAATCCAAGAGGAGCTTTCTACCATGCAAGCGCTGGTGAGCATGCAGTTCAAGTCAGACTTGTCTCTGGCGAAGATCAGAATCGCCATGGTTGTCAACCTCCAGATCGATGCTCAACACCATGATTCGGCGTCGGTCCTATATCAACGCTACCGTCTCAAACCTCGTGTCGGAAGATCTAACCGTTACGGCGCGTCTTAGCACGGTCACAAAACTGGGGATCAGCCTTGCAATGCTTGCCGGCGGCCGGCACCCCTTCATGCGCTTTCCTTTTTCAACTAATCGTCACGCCCATCTTCTACGGTATCCTTGAAGCTTGAACACCCCGTTTCGCCCAGTTTCCGTAGGACGAACGCGGTTTACTGTAACCGTAACACCGTTCCCCTCCAGCTTCGAACAAGATCGGCACGACCTCCATGCTCGCAATTCCCAACATCTCGCGTTAACATTTCGATCGACCGAACTGTCACCGGCGGCTTTCATCGACATGCTCACGCGCCACACGCTCTTCCACCTCCCTCCTATACTCCTCGGTGCCCTCGCAACACGCGCATTTGCAGCCCCAGATGGCGTTATCGGCGACGACAAAGGCGATGCAAGGCCTACATACGCGACAGCTCTTACCGGCGGCGAGGGCTGCGACTTCTCCGACATCGAAGACATCCGCGACGGCTTCTCAGAAATGACAAGTCTATTCGCCGCCGCGACTCCCTTCGACCCCACATCGCAGCCCGCACGGGAGTTCTTTCAGCCCTCGATCATCGCCAACTACACCGACATGATAGCCACGAACCTCCAACGAGCCGCAAACTACGGGGTCTTGGAAGGAGGAATCGGCGCTGTAAATTCCGACGTCCACATACGCTGCGACGACCCTATGAACCTCTGCGACAAGGGAAACAAACGCGAAGGCGACCACGCTGCCTACAACATCGGCAACGAACCGCACATAGTCTTCTGCCCGGACTACTTCCGTATGGATTCCCTCACAGGCCGCATAAACAAGAAAGCAGACAATCAGATGGAAAAAGATCGGCTAATGGAATACTACAACCGCGCCTCTCTTTGGGCAAGAATGGTCATGCACTTCTCCTCCGTCGGCACCGCAGTCGTCGAACGCCCCACCCCAGCACCCCCCAACTCCACTTCCGAATGGCTCCTTGTCACATCAGAAGGCGCAATGAACACTTCCGTCCTCGCGGGCGTCCTCAACGAACAACCCGAAACCCCTACCGACTTTCAAACCCTCAAATATGCCTATGGGGCCACGCGCTCGAAGTTGCTTGCCGTCCTCTCCACACAAATGTCGTACGATGCGGCGAATAATGCGGAGAACTATGCCCTGTATGCGTTGGCTCAGTACATTATCAAGAACAAGGGGTTTTATCCTGCGGTTCCTATCATGGATTTCCCGAACGAGGCGAGTGTGCTTACGAATGAGAATTTGCAGGATGGGGAGAGGGTCAAGTATGCGTATTTTGACGCGGTAGATGTTGTAGCGAGGCCGACGGGTATGGAACTGAAGGGTGCGCCGTTGCCGAGTGCTGCGAGTGAGTTGAGGAGGGGTGGAGTTGTGCCGGCTATGATTGGAGTGTTGGCGATTGGCGCTTCGTTGGTATTATTGTCGCCTTTTGGATGAGATGGCTGGAGGCTGCTCGAAGATCATGAACTTCGACAAACGTATCAACATCAATCGCTAATGGAGAGTTTCAAAGCTCTACCAGCGGTCGCACCAAACAACTCAACTACAAAAGAGGAGGACGCGACCTCCCGTAAGAGCCACGGAACCCTGATGTTATGAGTCGCTTTACTACGCTCCACTCGTGCCTTGATGGCCCTGGAACGTTTGTACCAGCAGATAGCATCCAAGTGTGTCCAGTGGATCAAGGATCAGAGCCTACTTGTGCAAAGTACGTTGGCTATGATCAGAATATACGGCCGGGGTGATATCGGGTCTAGAGTGCTTAGAGAAAACAGTCACAAGACAGTAGAGTCTACTGACTGCTTTAAATCCAGTAAGCGGTTAATACGTCATTGGACTTGCGGTATTGCTTGGACTCTACGCCACATACAACGGGGGACGGCAAGGGGGATTTGTCGTCAGATCCTTGCGCATCTTCTTGACGTTCCTTCACGTGTAGCCCAAAGACACCACGAGCACCACAATAGCGCAATATAATCCATTATCAACTTCCGTCAGAAGTGTCCTGATAGATACCATCATTCCTCCGTCCAGGTTAGCGACCCCGCGTATGCTGAGTTTAAGCAACACTGATTGGCTACACGAACCACCGCAATTAATATATGTATATGAACAGCCTCGATCCTGCAAGCGTTAACAACTAGTTTCCGTTACAGAGATCTGTCTATACCGCGACCCCTACACGTGTCCAGATGAATTCGGGTAACTTATACCGCGTTGTAGTGCGACCGTTTGCGAATGGTTCACCCTTCATGTTAACCTTACCAAGATGATGCTCCTCCCATCACTTCTAGCAGTGCTAGTGCACCTAACCTCCTGGACTCCACCCGTAGCTGCCTCCCTCAGAATCACAACCGACCACCATTCCTTTGGCGGTGTCAACTATCCTCAACTCCAGTTCTTCACCCCCCAACACCGCGATGACAGCATCCGGGAAATCGTCAAAAGCGGAGCAAGAGTAATCCGCCTATTCATCCGTCCAGACCAGCAACACCTCGATCCGGAAGGTGAGCTGGGCGGCTTCGACAAGTCTCTCCTCGACCAGTTCGACGATACCCTGGCCGCTATCCACCACCTATCCAAAGGTCAGTTGAAAGTCATCATCGCACCCCATGACGCGCATGCGCTCCGCGGCTCAAATGGTGTACCTTGCGATGCGTACTGTCAAAAGCTCGACGGCGCGTTTCTCGATTTTTACAGCAGCGAAGAGTACCGGAATCTGTACAAGACGCGGCTTGAAGTCTTCTTCAAACACTATCCATCCAAGAACTTTGACGGTCGTTCGTGGAGCGAACTGTCAGAAGTCATTTTAGGTGTCGACCTGCAAAACCAGCCCTTTTCCGGTATATCGCCCATTCCATCTGGTGAGTCTTGGCTCTGCGATATAGCTTCGTATTTGAAATTCACTATCGGGCTCGATGCGTCCAACATTGCTGTCATAAGTGGCGGCGTCTCGGGCCCTCAATCTGTCGACGGAAATGAAAATTTCCCGGATAGCGTGTTTGAGTGTAAGGCTATTGATGTTATTGGCATCCATGGGTATTTTGATAAGAGAGCGGATAGAACGGCTGGGACGCCATGGGCGGACATGTTTTTACCGGGGAATACGTTGATGGGGAGGGCAATGGGGAAAGGGAAAAAAGGAAAGGGGGGGAAATTGTTGTTGGTGGAAGAATGGGCGTATGTGCATAATGATGAATTTGGCTTGTTTTATAAGAAAGAGGCGGTTTTTGATCAGGGGAATGCGCTCAATTATCGGGGAATACCTTGGGTACGTTTTTCTTTTTACCTCACTTCTTCATCCTCCCAACCCTCTCTAATTACTGATAAACATATGTCACGTTACTAACGGAGAAACGTACCCAGCTATACTCACACCTAACCACACTTTCCGAAGGCAAAACCGCTCGCATTAACCCCCTTCATCCCACATACACCACGTGGACCGCCCTTCGCGACGTCCTAAAACGCTCCTTCACAGCCCGCAGCCCGTTGAACTGGTCTATGTACCTCCCCCCACCCGTCTCCATCATCCCGCCCTCGGCCGATGAAAAAACAGCACAACAATTGCAAGCCATGCTCACCGGCAGCAACACGCAAGAATGGCGGTTGAAACCCATAGGCCTCTCAAACACGACCTCCATCCCGCTAAACCCTTACATCATTGAGCAAAGCGATTGCACATTCGGCTGTCCCGGTCACTTGTGCGATTCAGCGGATTCCTGCTCCCCAGATCTCTTGTGTAAGAATAGTGTTTGCCAGGTTCATCCCGAGGGCCAGCCGGGTGGAGTAGGGGAGAAGTGTAATAGTAAAGCGGTTTGCTTGCCGCATCTACGCTGTGAAGGGGGTGAGTGCAAGGCGTGCTCTGCGCGGAGGACGATACAGCCAGAGGACAACGGAGGAGCCAAGAGAAGGAAGAGAACGATTGAGGGTGACGAGACGGAACTACCGATACCGCGTGGGAGGGAAATCAAGCCTAATGATCCAAACGGACAGTGCTATACAGATTCATTACCGCATCTTTTCAACATCGCCCGACTACTGGAACAACAATCATCCCCCTCCGCCTCCTCCCAACAACCACCCCGAAATATATGTCTCCCTGCTAACTCTCGCCCTTCTCCCTGCCACTCCCCGCTCCACTGTTCCGCCGACCAATACTGTTCCTGGGGTTCCTGCGTTGCGTGCTCACCCACAGACACCTGTCTCGGCACTCCCTGCCGCAGCAACAACGTGTGTAAAACAGGTTTCTGCAACGACCACGGGCGATGTGATTACGTCCCCAAAAAGAAGAAGAAGAGTATGGGACCGGGTGGTGCGAGGGGAAAGAGAAACACAAGGATTGCTGGTGTGCCAAAGGGACATGAACGTGGGCCGGCGAAAGTAAGGGATGAGGCCATGAGGATCAATATACCAAAGGACAAGGTTGTTGAGACGGGAGGACCGGCTGCTACAGCGTGAAAGGCATCAACATAGCCCTTGGACCCGAAAGGTAGAGGGATGATGGAACCACACACGGGAATACAAGCTCAAGTGTGAATCGTTGGAAATAAGTTTATTTATAAAGTATAGACAAGAATATTATACTGGTATGGGGTATCGTAGCCTCCGTAACTCCGTTTTTGTTTCTCTTCAGATGTAGATGGTGCGATTACGAAGTTGTCATCGTAATTCGTAGATGCATGCATAACATGAAATCTGACCAGCGAGCCCATCTCGCCAGACTGGTCGTCTTACTGGTGTTGCCCTTTTCCGCTCCGTCGCAATGTCAGTTGAGCCTTCATGCTGGGGATACTACGCCTCGTATGGTGGATGGGGAGTGGGTCGTGGCAAGCTCGTAGCATACACGCGTTGTTTCGTAGTTTCTCCATAATCAGCCCACTACCCGGCGGTAATTATTATTGTCCTCAATCAACTTCTCCAAAAACGCCGCAGCCTCGACAAGGACCTGACTCTTGCTTAACCCACCGCCCCTGACAGCAGGCACAACCTCATTCAGATCCTTATACCCCTGCTTAATCAAATCCCTCCGCTTCTGCTCTGACAGGATGTGATTGCTTCGCTTCTGTTCCTCGGTGAGGTTCTCGCGATGTGTCTTCTGTGTCGCAGCAGGAGCCCGCTTCTTCTTCGTAATATCTTCCGCTACAGACACTTTCCGGGCTTTGCCATTTCGCGCGGCCTTCTTCGGTGTGTCCCTACTGCTCCGGGCCTGGCTCTTTTTTCGCTTCTTCGTCGGCCGGTCTTCGTCTTCGTCTTCGGATGGCGGATCATCGGAGGGCTCGTCGTCGTCGTCGTCGTCGTGTGGCGCGTGTGTATATGCGGCAGGACTTGTACTTGGCCCTTCGATACCTGCTACGGCTCGTAGTATGTGGTGTGAGGTTTCTTCCAGATCATGTATCGATGCCCTTGCTGCATCTTGTTCGCTCGGATGGCCGTTCGGTCCCGAGTAACCGGATGGGCTACCGAAGGAGTTGTCTGTGCCAAAGGCATACGACCTCTTCAAGTCTAGCTTTTGTAGCGGCGGGCCGAATTCCGTCTGTTGATGCTGTGGCGCTTTGCTCGTTGCCCATTGCGGTGCAAAATGTGTGTCCATTCCTGGCGTGTTGTGGTTGGGAACCAGCGAACTCAAGCGCTCGTGTAAAAGCCCGTGTTGCGGCCCTACGGGCAGCGTACCGAGATTCAGATTGTGGGCACTATTTGCAGCGAAGCCGTTGGAAGCAATAGGCAGGTCGTGAAAGCTATGCGAGCGGCCATTCGTATACGACGGCTGTGCCTGGTTGAAGAGAGCGGTGGCTGCCTGGAGCTCATCCTCGGTATTGCCCAGGAAGTTTGCATGTCCGTACTGCTGATCTTGGTGAAAGTTGTTCTGGAGCCGGGCTTGGTCTGGTATAGTACTAGTAACCCGATGGACTGTCGGTGGGGCTATAAAGTCTTCCCAGTTGTTGTAGTCGTGTGCGCTCGCTTTGGTGTCGAGCGCGGGTGGCAGGGCTTGCGAGTCGAGAATGTCAAAGGGATTGGTCGAAGAGAAGAAGTTGTCGAGCTGCTGGTTCTCCATGTCGCTGAGTATGGACTGGCCATTGTTGTCATATGCCGAGGGTGCGTTGTCGAAGAAGTCGTTTGAGAAGGTGTCTACGCTTGTCAGTGAGGTTACCTAGCTTGTGAGGAACTGTCATGGAGCGTACAGCCAAATGGCGGGGGATCTTTGTCGTTCATGACGGGACGTGGGAGGCCTCTGGCCGTAGCACCCGCGAGCCCCGCGAACGACTGATGCGACAAGGTCTCCAGCTTGAGTCGTTGCGGTGGTGGTGGATAAGGCCGAGAGACAGGCTACTGTCTACCGTTTATCGGCTTGGCCGGACTCGATAACGTCGAGATCTAGGCAGGCGACAAGCCTCTATGGCGCTTATGCGTCTGGATGCGTCGAGATTGGTGATGTTGAAAGCTGTTGGGAGAGTCGCGCGCGATATGACGTGAGGAACGACCATTCGCACAAGGCCGCTGGCTGCGCAACCCGGGATGGGTGGTCGGGGAAGATGGTGGCTATGAGCAGTCGCATCCCCAGGCAGCGATGACCCTGCACTCAGGTGATATACTGCAGAGCGAGAGACTCTAGGGAGAGAATTGAAGTGGTTGCATGCGTCTTGCTGCGCGTGAGAAGTTGCACCTTCACATGCCAGATGTCTTGCGCCCACATGAGCCCACTAGCGCTGAACTACTCGCTTGCTCCTTCCCCTGCAACCCGGGCGCCAAGCCCTCCGAGCCCTCTCCAGATGACATGCATTCACCCTCCACTTCGACGTAATTGTGGTTATTCCACGTAGCTCAGGAACAGAAGTCTCGACCCAAGCTGCCCTCACTCCATCTTCGTTCGAGGTGCTCTACCCTTTACTCTCTCCTGATGAAATCGATCCTCGTTCATCTCGGACAAACCTTCTTACCGCAATAATCCGTCTCTCCGTGATCCGAGTGCGCCTAAAGGCCAAGAAGGGCAGCTCCTCCGTGAGTGTCTTAACTGACGCGCAACCATGTCCCATCATCCTGCAGCGATCCAAAATGCTGCAGTGGCGTCAAACGACTTTTGTTTTCGTTGGCCGAACCTACCGTAGTTCCCGTCCGATCACCTCCAGGCTTGGGCATCCCAGGGGTCAATCTGGGGAAATGAGGGCTGTTTCTACGGCTTATTCCCTTGCATCCAACTTCTTGGAGTCCTGGACGATGAACCTCCCGTTTTGTTCCGTGCCCCCCTCAATCTGCATCCATGTAGCCCTTGTATTGTTATTTGCCTCGGCTGCATACCAGCATCGATCTACAATGGTCATGTCGGAGAGCCCGAAGCTCGTACGACACTAGACTTGCTTTGTTTTTCGAAAATGACCTTTTCTCCCCATACTTTGTCAGTAGCTATCTCTACTTCTTTCCACGTTCCAGAGCTCGAATACAATCATACGTCATGTTGAAGCGTACGCTGATAGCATGAACACTGCACTACCCACGCCATAGCAGTTCTGATTCAACACCATAACTTCGTCGCCAGTTCCTAATTTCCTAGCAAAGTACTCTCATAAGATTTTGCACCAACATTGTTTCCTACGTGCGATCGCTCAGTATCGAGAAGCCAGCTGACATGCAGGATACACGCCATAGCTGTCTACTACCGGAAACAAACCATGTCACTAGAACGCATCAAACCTCAAGCCGCAACATCCTCAAATACTCCGTCTGATACCAGCCTTACTATCATCTGGGTCAAACAACTTGCTAACCCCTAGACGAAGATTGCTGTTGTGACATGTAAGCTGGCATGCATGGAGAGTCCATTTAGAATACCCCTGCCTAACCGAATCTGGTCAAAGGCGCGAATTTACCAAAGATTACCAAGTTTGAACCAAGCCAACACCAAGATACTCAGCCATAACCAAGATATTTATACAAAGGAGACTTTGAAATACGACCGACAACAACCGAAATGATTTTTGTTTATTATCTAAAACCGCCTCTTATAAAGAGTAAGGGAGTGCCACGACAAGAAAATAATTCAATATTGGAATGTTCCAGCTCATCGCCAGGCTTGCCCTCCTTTTTGTCTATACTCCATAGATATGGACTGCTTTACGCTTATAGTTATCATCTTGATCATGTTCACGCTGCTACTCTGTGCATTCTGGAGCCCATCACCGCCGCAACCACCATCACTACCACCGCTTCCCTCTCCCTCTTGTCAAAAACCACAACCAGAGCACATGGTCTGAAGAAAACTACCTCTCTCAATACGAAATGGATCCCTCAAATATCTGTAATCGACCATAATCACAATAACACCTCAGACCCCACACTGCACAAATCGACCTACTGTCCACGGGATCCCACGTTAAGCTTCTTCCGGTCAAAGGTGCGAATTGCTATACGTACCACCCACGATACCGAGTAATCCACGCAACAGACTTAGTACGGCCGAAAACTGAAGACAAAGGACAACTAACGAGGACGAGCATAACTTCAGTAATTAGCACCAACTGCCTCTCTCAAACTGGACAATGCCGCGAGAAGGCCCCGGATATATGACCGCCATGTCCGCAACCCACCAAATTTCGTTCCCTAGACCGCACGCACATACACCATGGACTTGATCGCTGCGGTGATTGTTATTCTGGTCTTGTTTACCCTGGCACTCTGTTGGTTCTGGTACCCACCACCGCGTCCGTCACTCGCAACTTCAAGTCAACCACTAGTCTCGTCTCGTCAATTACCAAACAACAACAACAAAAAAATCACACGAAAACCCTTCTTTGCCCAACAAGCAAAAGAACTGCGCACGCCATCCCGCATTAACAACGATTTACAGTGCTAGTGCGCATCGAGAGGACATAGCTGCGAGTAACCTACCGTTGGACGACTGAGAATCTCTATTTTCGTCGAGCAGCAGAATGTCGGGTTTCCTAGATGGTAAAAGCGGGACAATGGGGCTGAGCGACTACCGCGCAGGCTGCAAGAGTAAAGGATGTGGTGCGGAAGGTTGATAGGATTTAGGGCTTGTGAAACAAAGACGGAAAACAAGAATAAAAGCGAGGGGATATAGGGATAAGAGCGTTCGGAAAGGGGATGCGGGGATATGAGTGTGGAGGATTGTAGGGCTTAGTGACAAGAAAGCAACGGGTGTGGATGAACGTGGGAGGAAGTCGTTATAAGGGAAGCCAGCGAGAAGTCTTTCAAACATTGCCACATAGAACGAAAGGATACGAATTCTTGATTTATGAGAGCGGAAGTGCATATAACATTGCGACCACGTCTTGTTCTTGTTCTTGTTCTTCGTCCTATTCTGATATTTCGATTGGATCACTCTTACGACCCAAGATTCGATACTCTTTCCCGGAAAGCCAGAAGTCAGCCTTTTATTCCAGGAACGTCATGTCTAGTGCATACTATGAGATACGAATTGTCCAACTTGTGCCTATCGCTCTTATTAAAGAAGTCAGAGTTATCGTTTAAAATGTCCAATCTTGCGATCGCGTAGTGAGGACAATCAGGGCGTGTGTCCGGACTGGACGTTCTGCAACGTGCTGCGATTCTCTACGAGCGAATGTATAACCCAAAGTCACAGAAGACTTTTCGGCTTCCATCTCCCGACTAGAGGCATTCCACTCGCCGACTGGGGAACCATGTCTACTCGGCATAGTGACAAAGCTGACGAGTACCTCTTACAGGATACTGCTTGCCTGAAGAGCACAAGCAACGCGCAAGCATACTATGGCAGGATAATCTACCGCTTGAGCCATAGAAGCGCTGGTGCGTCAGTCTACGTATGCAGAGTCCGTCGTCCAAGTCAAGGACTGAACTGCTCGACCACTAGCCGGTTGTTCGTGTTTGTACAACGTGTTGTACGTGCAAACGATCTGCAGGAGCGTCCCATCTTCATCCTCCCGGTTTATCGCATACGGTCTCGAGCCGCTTGAGCGTAGCCATGACCTCCTCCCCAATCCCCTCACCGCTGGATGAAGGGGCGAACCGGCCATGCCGCAGTTCACTGAGCGCGCCCACAACGTCTTGGACTTCTGCCAAGGCTCTTCTGTTCTCTTGCTCCATTTCTGCGATCTGAGCCTCAAGGCTTTGGCATGCTTCTTCGATGTCGGAGTGGACGGTGCGTAGAGTGTGCGGCTTCTTACGACTCTGGCCGGAGAGCTAGTCATCATGTTAGCACGACCCGTAGCAGTCTTTTGAGTTGATTAATGAGATACCTCTTCTTCCATTTGAAGCGTATTCGGATCTAGTCCGGCGACAGTGGCATCGTCTACTTGGCGTCGTTCCCGTGCATACTCGCGCCTTAGCTGCTTTGACCGTTTGACCTCGTCGATGATGTCTTGACGAACGAGCTCGACATCCTTGTCGCGTATCCTCTGGAGCTCGCGATATATCTCCTGTACAGCGGGGTTGGACCGATGGGCGCGGGGGAAGATGTCGGTGAAGTCGCGTAGGGTGATGAAGTCGCGCAAGGGAGCAGAGGCGAGGAGGAAGTCACCTAGGATCTTGGCCTCTTGGGACGGCATGATTGTGATAGTGGGCGCCAGATTCAGACCGAGTAGAGCTCATCCAGGTGACTGGTAAGGCAGTGATCGTGGTGGGATCGCCCACGGAGGGAGGCTCATCGGAAAGCGCGACGCGTGCCTGGCCCGTGCCCAGAAAACTCCCGTGAGACGTGCATTCGGCGACTCCAAGCAAACGTCGACTGAACCATCTTTTACCAGGCTCATCGACTTGCTTGCGGTAATTAGGCGACAAAACTCCAGTTTGCGCCGCTGAGTCTCTTCGTCTGGTCGAATCGCTCTCACAAGAACGCGCTACGTGGATCGTGCAATCTCCAGCACCCTTACCGCTTCCTTTCTAAGTACCAAACCCATCAACATCACATCCATCGCATTTCATCGCAATCATGGCACCTGCAGCAGCTCCGGAGGCTGCTTTTAAGAAAGACGAGAAGGTCTTTTGTTTTCATCATGAGTTGCTGTACGAGGCCAAGATACTTGAAGCGCGACCAGTAGAGGAAGACAAAAAGAACGGCTTCGAATATAGGGTGCACTACAAGGGCTGGAAGAACACGTACGTATCTTTGATTTGTTTGAGTTTGCCTCTGCTTGCTCGTCTCTCTGCCTTGCACTGCAGAAGTCACGTTTGTCTGCATATACACTTCAAATTCCTCATCTGTCCGCTATACCACCGTCGTTTCACTGCGTAACACGTCAAACTCCCGCTCTAAACATGCAGCATCTCGTGGCTTAACATCGAAATCGATTGCTAACGCCTCGTAGCTGGGACGACTGGGTTCCTGAAGACCGGCTTCGCAAGCTGTCTCCCGAGAACCGGGAGTTGGCCAACAACCTCAGGCACGAGATGCTGGCTGCCCAACGTGCCGCAAGAGCCCAACCCGCACCTGCGAAGAAGAAGGCGCAAGGTTCGGCACGTGGTAGCGAAGAGCGCCAAACTTCCGTCACTGCTGCACCGCGTGGTCAGAAGAGGGTGCGTGACAACGACCTAGAGAAGGTATGTATCCCAGCGTCTGAACCCACGAAAGCTTCGTAACCCATTTTCTCACACTTCCCAGGAAGAAGCGTTCCAGAACAAGCTGGCTGTGAGGATTTACATGCCAGACAGGCTGAAGAGCCTCCTAGTCGACGATTGGGAGAACATCACCAAGAACTTGCAGCTAGTACAGCTGCCTTCAGCTTACCCTGCAGGCGTCATACTAGATGAGTACATGAAGCATGTCAACGACAACAGCAACCGCACTAGTATCGAGCGCGACATTCTCGAGGAAGTTATAGCAGGACTAAAAGAGTACTTCAATAAAAGTGTCGGCCGCCTTCTTCTGTACCGCTTCGAGCGAGAGCAGTTTTACGAGATTTGGTCGCGCATTCAACAACCGACTGATGAACTTGCGGGAAAGCCGCTGGCTGACATCTATGGCGGCGAGCACCTTTTGCGTCTTCTAGGTACGTGTTTGCGACTTGTTAGATTCGAACATGACTGACGTGAATTTCCCAGTCACCATGCCCGAGCTCATCGCGCAGACCAACATGGACCACCAGGCTGTCACGCGCTTGCGCGAGGAGCTCAGCCAGATGACGACCTGGCTCTCCAAGGAAGCTCAGATCAACACATTCTTTGTACCTACCTACGAGAGCCCAGGGCAGGCCTATATCGACAAGGTCAAGTCCAGCTCGTAGGAGGATGGGTGATTTCAGTTTTGACGGGTCGACCGTTTCGCTTTGACATTTGTGTATCATCACTTCTGCATGGTTGGTAGGTTTGGAGGCATTGTCTTACGGCGCATTGGCGTTGACGGGTATCAACATTTTAGTTCGGAATCAAGGTACATTGTATCTTGGATGAACGGAGCTCCAAAGTGATACGGATACAAGCATAATAATACAAACTTCGAAGCCGCCTTCATGTTCCCTTGATCACGTCCTCCAATACTCCAGTAGCCCAGCGCAAGCACTCCGTCATATCCCCCTCCGCTTCCCTCGGCATACCACATATCCCCACACTCTCACAAACCTTCTCATCCAACTCTCCATCCACATCCCCATCTTTGAACAGAAATTTATGATCTTTTACATAATTCGGCCACACAATATCATCTACATACCCCGGCGGATCCTTCCAGAAGCCCTCCAGCGTCACATACCCACTCCTCGCCTCTCGCCTCCGCTTCGCAGTCTCGTAGCTTGTGCGTAGAAAAAGTCTGACGTCAAACAAGTCACGAATCTCCTTCATATCTTCCGAGAAGAGGAGGAAGCCATCAACGATGCAAATGCGTCGGTCCTTCCACTCTGTACTACTACTACTACTATCCAGCCACGTCGATACATCATCCCTCAATCTTTTGATCTCAGCCTCTGGTACACCGTGTTCGCCAACGCTATTCTGGTCTTCCTGGCTGACTAACCAATCTGGGCTGGTGCCGTGCTGTTTGATGTGTTGTAGTGCTGTTTTCAAGGCAGGTAGATTGAGCGATTCTATACAGTCCCAATCTTGGACTCCATTCCTGAGTGGGATTTCGGCGTCGGTGAGGTAGAAGTCATCGAGATGGAGGATGAAGAGCTTCGAAGGGGGGAATATGTCGCGGAGGAGGCGGGAGAGAGTTGTTTTTCCGGAGGAGGAGGGGCCTGATATGCCGATTAGGAGGGGTGGTGGTGGCATGGTGCTGGTGCGGGCGCGGAGAGGTCTTCACCACGCACACGCGCTTTCTGGTTGACGTGCCTGACTTGGGAAGATGACTTGGCGGTTTGCGATGACGATATCTCCAGGAACTATCTATATTATACGAACATTCCTCGTAAATCTACTCTTACACGTGCGAATGGTGGGGCTTATCGGCGTCTGATCGCCCAACGGCCCGCTAGTTCCCCCATGTTGCGCGACGCGACTGCAACTGCCTTCATCTGAAGCTAGACCCTGCATTTCCCACCACCATAATCTCCAAAGTCGGACATACCCATACCATGGAGCCGTCGCCTCTGACCCAGGACTCGCGGCCCGAGGTATTCCAACCCAAAATCATCCACCTCTACGAAACGTTGTTCAAGGTGTGTCCTCTTGGTCCACTTGCGCCATCCGCTACTAATCAAGCCCAGGAAGACGACGAAGATGTCGAGCTATCAGCCGGTTTCTGGCAAGAATTCTTCCTCCACCGACCTGATTCCAGCGGCCTGAAACGCATACTGGCCTCGATAGCGCCAGAAGAGATGCTCCACCAACAAGCGCATTCGCAGCAACTCTTCCGCCAGGCCATCGACCGCGTCAAGCAAGCCAAAGCGCCCGCCGACGAAATCGCCCTCGAGGTACCCATTTGCCCACCGCCCACGCACACATCCATCTCCATGCGCTTACCGCTTAGACCTTGACAGTCTTCCTCGATGCCGCTCTTACCAAGAAATACACGAATCCTAGCTCCGATATCATATCTGTCCTCACTGGTCTGAACGATGCGGATGCTGTTATGACGGATTTTGTGGCGACGCTGGATACGGCTATACGGGGCGGGAGAGATAGTATGTGTAGAGAGACGCTATTTAGGAGAGCCTGTGCTGACTGAAATCAGTTCCTTTGCGCCTGAGGGCCGTCCGGGCAACTCTTTCTATAACCGCCGCTGGCTTTCAGACAGCGCTTCCGAGTTACTTTACACACCGCGACCTCTTCCCCTCGCTCATGAAGGTACACCAACCCTAGCGAACCCTTCAACTGCGCATCACGGTCAACTTGTACTTACAATTTGTAGTACATCCAAGACTGCGACTCGAGCACCCAAGTACTCCCCGCGCTCTACCTCCTTGGCCTCCTTACCAACTACAATAAGTTCGAGTTTCAGAATCCGTATAGACTGCGGCTGGACGACTTTGTCAATGATGCCATTATACAGGATATGGTGGCTTGCTTTGGGGATACGTGTACGAAGCTGAGGGACGCTTATGTAGCTGTGCAGGACGATATGCCCGAGGGATGGTCGCTGGGGAGTACGTTGAGTTATATAGGGCTGGGTGCTCTTGCGCCGAATTCCAGGCCGACGACACCTGTACCGGCTCCTGAAGAGGCGAAGAGCCTTTTTGCTGGGCTGTAAGTGCTTGCTTTTACTATTCAACCTGAGGACGTGGGTATTGCCTTCGAGCAGTGTCTTTGTACAATTCTCACAGCTAACATGCATTTCCAGACCCGGGCCAGAAGTCGGCGTTCTACTCTCCACATACGACTTCGCGAACGCCAACAAAGTCTTCTGCTTCAATCTGGTCAAATCTGTCTCAGCGGACAAGAGCGAGCAGCCATCCTCCCTCAGCGCATACCTTTCCTTGACCTCCTACATGTTCCAGCATGCGCATCGGTCGGCGAGGGCTGCACTGTACACATACCTTAGCCTCTTTGTGCTGCAAATTCTCGTCGAGGACCAGATTCTCGCCAAACGGTTATGCAGTGACGAGTCGAAGCTTTCGGTACGCTTGTGTCGCCAGAGACAACCTTATCTGCCTGTAGTGAGGGGCGAACGTGTCCCTGCGGCTGTCATCCTAGACATGATGTCCGACGCCATCAGCCACAACTTGCGTCGGCGGTTAGACGTCGACTTTTACATGTAAGTCTACGTCCACAAGCTGGCAGATCGTGGTGGATATGTCTCAAAACTACGAAGATTGCTCAGCTAACACCTTTTTACAAGCCTCTGTCTCGGTGTCTTGCTACGTCTACTCTCCCACCTCGGTCGAACCAAAACGCGCATCACATACCACTGGTCCGAACTCTGGCGCACCTTACTCTCCTTTGTCCGCTTCCTTACTACCTACGAAAGCGACATCAAGTCAAACTACAAATCAAGCGGTATGATCAATATTCTGGTCAATCTGCTAGCGTTTGCACTTTCCAGTGGAGAAAACTTTTTACCGGACCCCGCGGCCTACGATGACCTCTTTTACAAGCTCGTCGAAAGCGGGGATACACTCATCAAGTTTAGAGATGCCTTTGGGCTCAAGGGTCAATCGGACAGCATGCAGACACTTATCAATGTGTCGAGTCATTACCAATCCCTACTCAATGAAAAGGGGAGGAAGCATCTTAGCCCGCAGGAAGTTGGGCAGGTTATTAAGCAGGGGTACGAGACGCTGTCGATTGATGCGAGTGAAGGGCTGGATCGGTGGGAGAAGTTCAGGGAGGCGGATTTCAAGTCAGCTCTGAAGAAGATTGCGAGAGTTGTTGTGGAGGATGCTAAGGCGCTGAATGAGGGATAGTTGAGGATTGTTGAGGTGGAATGGAAATAAAACGGTAGTCGGAGATGGCGGGCGGGGGAGGTGGTGGATGTCTCTCAGGTCCTAGGTGAGTGAGCGATCCGTTCTCCCACGTTCGGCCGTCCTTGAACTTGAAGACAGTCGCAGCCTGTAAACCGACCATATTACGACCTGCACACATATCTAGATATCCAAATACCAACAAACAAACAACATTCAGGGACATGTGCTTGAAAATACTGGATACAAAGCTGTGTTCGGCAGGATCAACGTGAGGGGTCGTACAGGCAGTGGTTGTTGGGCGATATCATGACGAATCCAGGGTCGTGATCCACAACAACCACTACACATATCAAAGACGTCGATCCCTTGCCCTAATACGACTGTCAACGAGGATGGGAATGTGTGAAGGGGTCTGATAGCGAGGGTCTGGCTTTCGTGAAGGTGTAATGCCACAACGCAATGGCCGACAAGCCAAATTCATATATACCCTCATCTCCCCCAAGCTCGCTTCTACGTGTGTGGCCTCCGTCTTGCCTGGATTTCGTTATCCCTTGTCCATCTTGTTTTGGTGGACTGAGTACCTTCCCTCCCTTCCTCCCCCATCCGTCACATCATTGATGAGCCATTCATCCGCAATGGCAACGATGTCACGATGTCGAAGCGATAGTCTCCAAGGACGGAACATCAAGGTACGCAGAACTGCTCACCATGTCACACTGTTACACCCATTGAATCTTTCCCGGCAGAACACCTTCGTCTCAAACGGCTCATCGACATGTACACAACAACAAGCCCCTACTATCAATGTCACAGCGGACTATAAAAGACAAGGTGGCAGTAACTACGGTACACGTGCACCAATTGCTGATACCTTCATGTCTAAGAGGTCTTCGACATCGTCTGCATCATCAGATTCTACCACCAGACCAGATGTTTCCCTTCTACCGACCGCTACGTCCACAGCAGTCCCCTCCATATCTACACCAATTCCCCCCTTCCCATCCCCACCAACCTCCGCCACTAGGATATCTATCCCACAAAAGACCTATACTGCCACGCCGCGTCGCGATTACCGTCTCGAGCCCGGAAGCAACGGGGGCTACGAATCCGAGACCTCGTCTGTGTATACTGTGCGTCCGATTAAGCACGACGCGTACGTGTCTGGTTCATCTTCTCCACGAAGAGATAACCCCAAGACGTGTGGGTTGACTACTGGTGGAGAGGGCTGCCTCGTGGTACCAGCTCCAAACGAGAAACCAATGTTTGATGTTGTTGCCGAGTATCGGGGGTTGAATTTGTGTCGAATTAGTGATGCGGTTCCTTATCGTGAGTATTGAGACGCTCGCTACAACTGACGAACCTTGGAGTCAAGTCACTGATGCTGATTTTGCAATGTTAGTACTCGGCACCCGCAACGTGCTTACGCGCCTCGCATCTGTAACTGAAGATTCGCTCTGCCACACACCTTCCATACCCTCCGCTAAGATGATCTCTCCGGACAGCTCACACACATACACTTCCCTTGACCTCTCTCTTATGGCCATCTTACACTCCCTTCGCAGTTCCCCCTCCGCCCGCCAGCGTACTGGAAACTGGTACCCCCAAGGCCTAGCCACGCGCAACGACTCCCTCATCTTGTACGAACACACTGCAGCCAACGGCCCCCAACAAACCCCAGTTTCGCTGAAAAGGTTTGTAGACATGGCACAGACGTGGTTATTGATTCGCAACCCAGCGAACGTATCTGGCGACCCACCCAATTCCCTCAACTCCTGGATAGATATCATTACCAACCTCCGCAAATCCAACGTCGACGTTAGAAAAATCGACACAAAACTCTACTTTGAGCTCACCACCATACTCACTGGCGATGCTCTCAATGAGCGAATCAATGAAATCGCCCAGTGGAGCCGGACTGGTCATTTAGACAGGCGGTATGTCGCGTGGCGCAAGCACGTCGAGGCTAAGAAGAGGAATGCAAGAGCCCAGGACACCGGTACTACTGCTGCTATTAAGAACCAGAAAGACGCTCGCATGGGTAAGTTTTGAGATGTGTGGAAACGGTCGTGGCATAATGTATATGTATGCTGACTTTTGCTATCTTCTAACCGCAACAGACGGTCTTTACTCCAAACGCTTCACGCACAAGCATCCCCTCGGCCGCCCGCGTTCTCTCGTCTCCGAAGACGAGAAAGCGGAGCGCAGGGCTGAGAAGGTCACTAGGGCCAAGGCTGAAGCTACTACTGGAGCTGCCGCAGCAGTACATATTGCTAAGAGAGGTTGGGTAAGGAGGTCCTGGGGTAATAGGAAGAAGAGGCATAGCATCGTATTTGTGCTGGGTATGGTGTTTGTGTTTGGGCCGTTGCTGGGTGTCTTACTTTGGGCTATGGTGATGCATAAGTTTGATTGGACACCAGGGGCTGGGGAGGGGTATTAGAAACTGGTCTTGTTAGTTCTTAGGAGAATGGGGACGGTCATCTGGAGGCGTGGGGCAGGGATGAAAGTCAGACTTTGATCTTGACGAGTCTACATCGCTACTCAGTATTGGGTATCTTTGGGTAACGGGAAAGGACACATGGGAGATACTGAGGTCTGAAAAGCACATGGGTACTTCGTAGTAGCTTATCCTTGTCCGTAGCTATATGCCCAATGGATTCTATAACCTCCCGCCCCGAAAATCTACTAAGCGACCAGGTTGTTTTCTGCAGTCTTGCTGACTTGGCGTTCCTGAAGTTTACAAGACCGGACCGGCGCTCATCGTGCCTGGAATATCCCAGTACCAAGGTTCATACCCCTAACTGCTTATTTTCAGCGCCGACAACGATAACTTATGCTCAACCATTCCACCTGCGGCTGGGGGTGTCAGCAGTAGTGGTACTTGTAATCTTTGGTCTTTTTGTGTTAGCAGTGCTGGGATGGGAAAAACCGCCATGTGAATAATGTAACACGGCATGCATTACTGGTACGCTTTATCGAGGACGCTATGTAAGCCGATCATTTCGAAGTCCTCACTACTCGCTTCATCAACGCTTCTTGACACTGTAGAATCGACGTTCACTAACTTCCCTTACCATTACTCAAACTATCGCATCGCATCGCATCCCCGTATACCGAAACAGGTCTTATCCTAACATTCGCTTACCTCTATTGGAACTGACTGTTGACAATGTCTTATCTCCGACCATTTTAAACCTTGATCCTCGCACCCGCATACCCAACAGCGTGAACCATCAACGCCATCACACCCTCATCTCCGAGGTTCCGTGCTTTCCGCCCCGCTGGTCACTCCTACTCCGCTCCGTCCCTCTAGTCTTACACACTACTGAGGCACCTATGAACCAGCCCGCTCCAGACCGTGTTCGCGTGGTTGTGGTACCTGAAGATCCTCATTTCGCTAGGGTAGGATTAGTGTGTAGAACCATCCAAAAGCAAATGACAACCCGCTATCGATGTTGACGAAGAATTCATGTCCCGCGGGATGATACTTTGAAAGGGATGAGAGGTGAATGGTCCAGAGTCTGTGAGCTATGTTGCGCCTATCTTTCGCTCGTGCTACTACATCTGACCCTAATTTCCGGTAGAAAAAAAAGCAAGAAAAGGAAATAAAGGTAGACAAACTTGCCATTCTCCAGCACCATGTGCATCGCGATGACCAGAAGAAGAGAAAGAAAAAAATAATAATAAACGGGCTGCTAGTGTCTTCCCTATTCTTAGCAATCAAACTACAAAAGAAAGGAAAGAAAGTCCAGAACGTCAAATTAGTGAACCCTTGCCCAAACTGTTCCCGGCAAACTGCATCATTAGCACTCCCGAGAAAACCCCATTTCTTTCGACTTGACTTGCTGATCGCATCAGCGCAATGCCCCCCAGGTGCAATTTGCCGCAAATGCGCCTCATGTACGATGACGACGCTATGCACGCGCATGAGTTTTCTGTAGTTCGCGTTTGCTAGCGGGCTCGAGCTTTTGCCGGATAGTGATATCGGTAAGGGTGCTGGAGCAAGCGCTGCAGGTACGAACATATGAAGGGAAATGTGTTTTCCACGGGCTATTTTTTTTTTTTTTGGGCAGGAATGAAGTTGCGCTAGAGTTGGAAAAGATGGAGACACACGAACACGAACACGAATTCCATGGATAAAGTCGTTTCCTGGTGTCTGTTGTGGAGAAGGATATTGTTTGGACCTTGGAGCAGTTTGTTGTATTTTTGTAACAACAATTTAATGTGACAGGTGTCAGACCCTCATGTTTTTGCCAAAAACAGTTTAAATCACTACTGTGGCTTGCTTTCTCGCTACGAAGATGCTTCGAGTCGCGGACAAAACACAGTCGGGGGTTGAAAGATGAGGTGAAACGTGAAACCAAAACAAAAAACACATGCGACAAACATCTGTTTGGGGGAAAGTTGCTTCTGTTACAACGTTTCCAACTTCCCGGAGTCCCACTTTGTTGTTGCGCACCCATCCTCGTGCTGACCCGGTCGCTATTGCTTGAAGAAATGGACCTTGGGTGTGTTGCAGCTTTCGGTTACCCACCCATTGATACTGCTACCGAGGTAGGGGGTACGTGAGCCGGCAATAAAAAGAACCACCGTACTGTTGCTGACTGCCCGATACGGTTGCTTACCCTTTCGTATCTCGAGATCTCGGTGGTTTTTCTCTCGCTCCCCGCCACGTCATACCCTGCAGCATCATCGTGTTCATCCTGGTTACTGGTTGATCTTACTTGGGCTCGTGTTCGGATCTTGTATCCTTTTACGGCATGGACTCTGGCTAAATTGCAACCAAACGTTTTTGGGAGTACATGGGAGTTTGGCGGTGATGATGATGATGTCATAGTCGATGCGGCGTGATTGGACGGGAGGCGAAGCAAGAGCGTGGCAGAGGCGTTTGGGCTATCCCGCTCCAATGCTTGATATACATGCGCGTTAGTGGGCTTTCTCGCGTGCACCTGCACAACGCTGCAAGATCAGCAACGTCCATAAGTCTTTGTCATGTGTGGTATGTGGCTGTGGGTTTTGATCGACAGACGATCCTGTCACATGGTCAAGTCACGGCGATGATCGCAGAAGCGATGTCCACATCTACATCATACGACTTGTATATGAGCAAAGTGCAATTTGTAGTGTTTAGTACAGAGTGCCATGTTGATATGCGAGATAAGAATGTAATATCACTACGACTCCGTTGACGAAGAAGAGTGTGAGTAATAATATGTATGTATTGCGTAGTATAGTAGTAATGGTGGTGGTGGTGGTGGTGATAATAGTATATCGATGCTATGCAAATATTGTCGCCCAGGACAATGGTAATGGTATGCAAGTGGTATCATAGAAATCGAACAAAAACACCGAGAAATGCCTATGCCCATGTAAATGTAACGCCCCGTCATCTTCGTTCCCGCTCTGTACAGTTCGTAATCATGCGTCCAACCCATCAACTACTATCCTCACTAATCGTGGCGTCGCTCACAGACGATAGCGACGATTTGTTGTCAGATGGCAGCGGACCAAGCGTCCACCGCCAGTCCCTCGTCCGCTTCCGTCGTCCAGCGACGGGTGTTTCGGGAGCAGAATCGCTGTCGTCTTCTGAAGACGAGGAATCCCTCTTCTCGCCTGTGCGGGGGGATTTGGGTCGCGGTGAGTTCTCGGCAGACGATGAACTGTTGAGAGACTTGAGGGAGAGTTGAAGAGGCGATATGCTGGTGTTGGAAATCGTGCTAGCCTTTAGACTCAAAGTTGGTTTTGAGGCTGTGGATGAGGCTGAAGCGTCAGAGTCGCTTGTTGTAGTTGAGTTGGACGTGGTGGATGTGAGGGAGGAGAGAGTTGAGCTGGACGAGTCGAGGTCGGAATGGGCGAGGGTGTATTTGGTGGTTGTGATTTCCTCTTCCAGTGGTGTGCGGAAGGAGACGCGCTTCTCAGCGGGGAACATGGGCCGGTTCGAGGCCATCTTGCGTGGTATTATTGAGCGGGCGGGGCTGTTGGAGAGGATTGAGGCGAGGTTGTGGGGCTGCTTGTAGGGTATTGAGATGGTGGCCGAGTCGTTGGAGGCGGATGTGAGTGTCGATGAGAGGGTGGATGCTGAGCTCGGTGTGGATGCACTGATAGAGGCGCTGGTGAAGGCGGGTTGGTCACTCTCAATCGAGAGCTGGGGTCTCTGCGGGCGTTGGAGGGCGGGGGCAGTGGCTGGGCGTTCATAGGCGTTGGAAAAGGTGTTGCGGACGGTTGGCGATACTGCACTGAGAGTCTCGAGACGAAGACTGGCTCCTTTGCCCAGAATGCGTGGTTGCTCAGTGTTGATGGAGAGTTTGGGCCGTGGCGGGGCCTGGCGCGGGGGTATTATAGGCAGCTGTGCAGTCATACTGGACATGGCAGATGATTGCGAGTACGACGGCGTCATCGAAGGGTGTGATGGCTGCAGAGTGGACAGCATCATGTGTATAGGGTGACGCGTGGGGAGGCGCGTGTGTATGGGCGTGTGGCGTGGTATAGGCGTGTGCCGGTTGGGAAGGCAGATGATGCTGCTGATACTGCCAGTGCTGTGGGCGAGGGGGAGCCGGGTCGACTTATTTACTATCAGTGAATACGCAACAAAGGCAAAACACGCCGAGTTCGATGAGGGGCCTGTCCCTATTAACCAAACTTGGGTGCTGCATGCCACCAACCGTCCGTCGTGGTGGATCCGCAGCGGCGCGCATCCCAACGCGCGGAGGTGCACTTGAACACGAAGCGCCTGGCTGGGGCTGCTCCCAAAATACACACTAGGCCGATCCAAAGATAGATGCAGGGTGGCAAAGGCGTGGACGAGCAGGGTTCCGGGTTCCCACGGCTAGCGCGCACGATCTGCAGCACGAGAGTGCATGTCGTGATTGGGCAGCCTCCTTGTTGCCGCTTGGCACATGTGTGGGCGTTTCGAAGCCGTCCACACACGTCGGGGCTTCACGCGCGCTTCATCACTCGGCTGCATTTCCACCTGCTGCATCTCCACTGCACGCTGCTGAAACATCTCTGCTGCTGCTGCTTCACGTCCATCGGCGCTTCTTCTGCCCTCTGTTCCCATGAAGAAACTGAAACGACAGCTCGACTCCGTCATAGTCCACTTTGTTCGTAAGCACCAGGCTCAGCCTTCACGCCTTGGTCGCCCTAAACTCGGCCTCACCAACATCGGTGCTGTCGGAATGTTACGGCCCTCCTCCACACATGCTAACTCAACTCTCGTATCCTTCTAGGACTACGTACGTACTTGTTAACCGCGTGCGGCCAAGTTTGCGCAATTGACTAACGTATTCCGTTTGCCCATCTCCACAGGACTGCTTCTACGCCAGCGTATTTGAACATGAGAACCCAGCGTTACGAAGCTTGCCATTGGCTGTGCAGCAGAAACAGATAGTCGTCACATGCAACTATGAGGCCCGCCGACGGGTACGCCATCCTAGACCTTCCATGCGCCTGTCTTGCCATCACCCGCCTTATTGACACTTGCAGGGCCTGCACAAATTGCAGCTGATCCACGAAGCGAAGAAAGTCTGTCCAGATGTAGTCATTGTCCTCGGCGAAGATCTCACCCGCTTCCGGAATGCTTCCAAAGAACTGTATGCTTTCCTGCGATCCTTTTCATGGAACTCGCGTTGTGAAAGACTAGGCTTTGATGAGGTTCGTCTTCCGTGTCCCTCGTGTCTCAACACCGCCACGTTTGTCCATGTCGTTTTTCTTGCCTTAATTTCTAAATCTCTCACCGTCTCTATACGACGAGTCATGCTAAGTCGCGGACCAGGTGTTTTTAGATGTCACCGACATTATCGATTACAATGTCAGCATCCTCAACTCCAACCATCTTACCAACGCCTTCTTTTGTCTTGCCAAGGATAACCCCACCGCAGGATTTCTGTTTGATGCGACGCGGCTGACGGGTCATCTATATCCCAAAACGGCGACTCAAAACTTAGGTAAGCTGCATACGGCGGCCGTATGGCGTATACGATGTGGCGTAGCAGAGCTGTCTGGATCGCAAGCCGCAAGGCTGACGGTTCCCTTGCTGACTCCTTGCGGCTACTGAGACCAGCGACCATGCTTATGGATCTGCCACCAATAGTATACAGTTCGACTATACGAGATCACATCGTATGCGCTAGGAGATGCTATGCATAGCCGAAAGCTTGTAGAACTAATTGCTTACAGGAACCACCTCACCTGATCTGCTACATCTCCGATTGGCCCTAGGAAGTCATCTTGCACACTACCTACGAACCAAACTCGAGGAAGAGAAGGGGTACACGGCCACTGTAGGCATTTCTACTAACAAACTCCTGGCAAAGCTCGTTGGCAACACATATAAGCCCAATGCCCAAACTACATTGATCCCACGGTATACCTGTGACGGAGACGATGAGAGTGTCGACAATGTAACTGCTTTTATCGATGACCACGAAGTTGGCAAGATACCCGGCATAGGGTTCAAAACAGCACAGAAACTTCGTGCTCACGTACTACAAAGGCCAGCGGACTTTGATGCTGGGCTTGTGTACGGTGGTACCAAAGAAGTAGTTCTCGTACGCGATGTAAGAAAGTATCCCGGCATCGGTCCAGAGAAGCTCGAGCGAATACTCGGCGGTCCGGGTGTACCGCATGGTACGGGAACCAAAGTATGGGGTCTACTAAACGGATGTGACGATACAGAAGTCGGCCAGGCTCGCGAGATTCCTCGGCAGATTAGTATCGAGGATAGTTACATGCGCTTGGATACTTTGGAAGCGGTGATCAAGGAGCTGCGGATGCTCGCAAGGAGATTGCTTGAGCGGATGCACGCAGACCTAGTAGAAGAAGATGATGATGTCAACGATCAACATACAGGGTCTGAAACCTCACAACCCATGAAGCGCTGGCTTGCTCACCCCAAGACAATCCGCTTATCAACCCGGCCGCGCCCGCCTCAGAATCCGGATGGTAGCCGTAATAGGTCCTTTGCTCGGATCTCCAAATCTGCATCCATGCCCACATTCGTGTTTAGCTTCAAGGAAGATATGGGTACGATTGTTGATAAGCTGATCCACGAGACATTACTCCCTTTGTTTCGCAAACTCCACCCGGAGAAACGAGGTTGGAATCTAAGTCTGGTTAACGTCGCTGCGACGAACATGGCAGATGCGGCGAGTGAGAAGGGCGGCGTTGGGAGAGATATTGGCAAGATGTTTAAAAGGCAGGATGAGGTGCTTAGGCAGTGGAGGGTAGAAGAAGAAGAACCGGCTCAAAATCAAGCTGAACAAGGAGAATGGGCGATGGAACAGCCTGTGATGTTTGAGCAAAGGGTTTTGATGATGGAAGAGCCGGATCAAACACAAGAAGACGAATACATGGCGGAGGAGCCTTGGCTGAAAGAACGGAAACGAGAACTTGCACAAGGGCAACAAGTTCTGGAAAGACATGGCTCTGAGGATATCCCCACATCGTCGCAAGGTGTAGAGTCCCTCGTTACCGATGTCTGGGAATCTGAGGATGAAGATGTGGTTGATGATGATTCGTTCCGGTGCGAGGCTTGTGGAGCAAAAATGCCAACCTTTGCCATGGGTGCGCATTATCGCTGGCATGCACAGATGTAGTTGGTCAATAGATTGAAGAATGGAGAGAGCGTTTTACTAATTGCTACAACTGCATACAGCGAATACAGGATGTTTGGGAATACATCTGCATTAAGATCATGGCGTCCAGTTGTTCGGCCGCGTCATGTTGCCCTGCCTCGGCATCATCACTCCTCCACCGTGATAGATTAACAAACGTCGAATCATGTTTGCCACAAGTTATAGTCCACCTATTATCGCTTTCATCACACTTCCAAGTTACTGTTATGTAGGTGTTGCTTCCCAAAGCGGCATTGCCCCGCTAATGCATCGGAGGCGGCTTCCTCGGCGTTCCGAGAGCATGCGACATGTGATAGACGGCGCTTGACGTACATGGCAAACCCTCTCGCAATGCTTAATCAGTGCGCCAACCCGGCGACCTAGACTTCGCATTCCTACTATTATGTTCTGAGCGTCGACGTGAGACTCTGATCACAATTAGCCCACGATGCCTGGCTCCTCGCGACTGCCCGTCAGTCTACGCGATACCTTCAATGCGCGGAAGAGCTCCGCTAACGGCCAGCTCGTGGCCCTGAACATCGATGTGTATGCGACCCTCCCTTGTGATGGCGATGACTGAATGCGTGGCATACTAATATGATGTATCTAGTCTGCGCAATATCATCTTTGTTCTCTTCCTTCTCCGCTGGGCACGCATCACCTTCTACCAACTCAAAGGTCGCGGTATCTTCGGCTCCATCAGCGATGCCTACATCAGTATCCGGCGCTACCTCTACGGCATCTTCCTTCGACTTCCCGGTGTGCGCGACAAAGTACAGGCACAAGTGTCTGAATCGCTCCTGAAACTCGAACGCAAGCTTGTTCCGAGCGGGCCCGGCGTCGAGCGCATCACCAGTCTACCCAGCGAAGGATGGAGTGAGGAAGAGGTGCGCAAGAAGCTGGGTGAACTGGCCGACATGGAACATACCCGATGGGAAGATGGCCGAGTCAGTGGTGCGGTCTACCATGGTGGGGACGAGTTGATCAGACTACAAACGGAGGCGTTTGGCAAGTTCACTGTGGCGAACCCTATCCATCCTGATGTATTCCCTGGTGTGAGGAAGATGGAGGCTGAGATCGTAGCCATGGTGCTCTCCCTCTTCAACGCACCCGAAGACGCAGCTGGTGTAACGACATCCGGCGGCACAGAATCCATCCTTATGGCCTGTCTATCCGCCCGCAACAAAGCGTATCACGAGCGTGGCGTCACACAACCCGAGATGATCCTCCCCGAAACCGCACACACAGCGTTCCGCAAAGCATGCGAATACTTCAAGATCAAGATGCACCTCGTAGCCTGCAAGGCACCGAGCTACAAGGTCCACCTCCCCTCCGTCTCCCGCCTTATCAACCCAAACACCGTCTTGCTTGTCGGTTCTGCGCCCAACTTCCCCCACGGCATCATTGATGACATCTCCGGCCTTAGCAAGCTCGCCGTCAAGAAGAAGATTCCCCTCCACGTAGACTGCTGCCTAGGATCCTTCATCATACCTATGCTACCCAAAGCGGGCTTCGACTTTGAGCCCTTTGACTTCCGTCTACCCGGCGTAACCAGCATATCTTGCGACACGCACAAATACGGTTTCGCGCCCAAAGGAAACTCAACGGTGCTTTATCGATCGGATGTCTACCGCAAGTACCAATACTTCATCTCACCCGACTGGTCCGGCGGCGTCTACGCATCCCCTTCTATCGCCGGCTCCCGCCCAGGTGCGCTGATTGCAGGATGTTGGGCCAGTCTCGTCAAGCAAGGTGCCAACGGGTATCTAGACGCGTGCCACAAGATCGTTGGTGGCATGAAGAAGATTGAAACTGCTATACGGGAGAACCCTCAGTTATCCCCCGATTTGAAAATAATTGGGCAGCCTAAAGTCTCCGTCGTTGCGTTCTTGTCTAACACGTTGGATATCTATGATATTGCGGATGGGATGAGTGCAAAGGGGTGGCATTTGAATGCCCTGCAGAGTCCGCCAGCTATTCATGTGGCTGTCACGCTGCCGATTGTTGCCGTTGTTGATAAATTGATTGAGGATCTTGTGGAGGTTACAGAGGAGGTTAGGGATGCGGAGCGGAAGCGTATTGCCGAAGGAAAAGGCGCAAAGGGCGCCGTCAAGGGCGATACCGCGGCGTTGTATGGTGTAGCAGGAAGCTTGCCTAACAAGAGTGTTGTTGTGGATTTGGCAAAGGGGTTTTTGGATACGCTTTACAAGGCGTGAGGGAGTACAAATGGAGCGGAGCCTGCAAGGGGCGGGCTGTTTAGGAGGAGACTACATACCCATCAATTATCAGATTGTACATTTTTTGAAGTCGACATCCGGGATGAAGTGACTGAAGTCGATGCACAAGCAAATTACCACTACACAGTATAACACATAGTAAAGAGGCTATACCTTACCCTTTAGGCTCAGTAAATAAGCAATGCATATGGAATGCTCGTAAAAGAACTCTGAGCTCGAGATTCATCATCCTGTCCGATTTGTAATCTCATGATTGTACAGTTTAATACATGCCCTCTGTATCCTCCATCTACATCTCCACCCTCGGTCCATTTGCCGGCGCAGATGAAGAAGCATCAGGCAACCTCGCCGCCGTCTGTTCAAGCGGCTCCTTCCTCCTCGGCCTCCTGAGATCCTCCTCTGTGATTCCGTTCAACCCGACCTTTGTGAGACCCATGACAGGCGCATCGCCCTTCTTCACGAATTCATACAAACCAGGAAGTTTGTTGCCCGCAAGCCTAAACGCATCCCGAACAACCTGCTCGTGCAAGTCGCCCTGAATCTCAAAAATAATCTTGCTAACCGCTACCCTCGCCGTCCAGCGATCAAAACTTCCTTTGCCCTTTCCCATACGCACGTCGTTGCCAGACGTATACACACCAATGTTGGCTGCGATGCGCATGTAGAGTCGGAATTTCATGCCACGCAGCCTTTTGCGGATGGTTTCTTCGGCGATGCGGAGTTGTTGGGCAGATATGCGTCGGTCGTGGTCGCGCATGCGTATGCCGTAGTCGCCCCAGACGACGGTTGTGCCGCGCATGGAGCCGCCGGTGGGGACGCGACAGCGGCCTTTTCTTGATTTGCGGGATTCTCCAGCTTTGGGAGCGAGGTAGTTGAAACGAGTGGGAGTGGAAGAGAAGAGGCGAACAGAGGGGAGGATTGTGGATTGGGGTTTAGGGAGGCATGTTTGTTGGAGTACTGTATGGTATTAGTTCAAGTTGCTGTGAGTGAGATCTGGGCGTCGCACGTGTTGGCCGCGATGTAGTGATGTTCAATCGGCCGAATTGAGCCAGTAGGCTTTGTGGTATCCTTGGTGGCGGCATGGCGTTGTGATGTGATGTCGGTCTTGCAACTGCTTGGTAACTTTGGTGTTGAAGTTCTGATGCCAAGATCTGGCTGTGGCTGCTGTGGCGCATGCGGGACGTGGCGTTCATGCGCCTGCCTAAGTGCCTAATGACCGCGCGAAGTCGCGTCGTGCACGTCAACGGCGCCTGGCGTTCATCAACCTATCCAAACCTCATTCCCACCCATTGTCAGGCTCGACACTTGTATACGAACGCGACACAATCCAAGTTACTAATTGGACGCGTTTTGTATCATCAAGATGCCTGCCGACATCCGTAGCTTCTTTGGCGGCGGTCCCCCAAAGGGTAGTCAGGGCTCGCAGAAGAAGGAGGAGCCTGCGCCGAAGAAGGCCGCACCCAAGAAGAAGGGACGCGCAAGTCGAGTCGTAGAAGACTCTGACGATGATGAGGAAGAGGCAAAGTAAATGATTCTCATTCTCTTGGTGACATCAAAGCTGACAATACATAGGCCGAAGAAAGCGACACCAAAGAAGCCAGCCACGAAGAAAGTCAAGCGCGAACCCACACCAGAACCAGTACTCGAAGAAACCACCACATCCGACTTCTTTGGCAGCTCGAATAAGCCCAAGCGAACCGAACCAGTCAAGAAAGCTGCGGACAAGCCTGCTACAACACCAAAGAAGGCGCCTGCAAAGGCAAACGGAAAAGCGCCAAAGACGGCTACTCCGGCATCCAATGCGAAAACATCTGGTCGCGCAAAGAAGCCCGTCACATCCTATGCCGAGCGGGACGACGAAGATGAGTTCCCGGACGATGACCTAGACGACGCAGACGACATCTTCGAAGACAACATCAAGGGCAAGGGCAAGGACGATTACAAGGAAGAGCCGGAGAGCGATGACGATACCCCTATACAGCTGCCACATCGCGGAACACCGAAAGCGCCCGCTAAGCAGCAAAAGACAATCAAAGACGAAGACGATTTCGATCCAGAAGACGAAGATGTCGACATGAAGGATATAGATGCAGAAGACGACTTTGTTGAGCCTGACGAAGATGAGCAAGCGCTTAAGAGTAAGCCAAAGAAGACATCGACTGCAGGCAAGAAGCGGAAGTCACCCATATCAGATGAAGAGGAAGAAGAGGAGGACGAGAAGCCAAAGAAGAAAGCACAGAAGAAAGCCGCTCCAGCGAAATCGCCAGCAAAAAAAAAGGCGAAGAAGGAAGATGTCGAAGACAGCGCAGATATCCAGGCCATTTACGACAGCATTCCTACAGTGCGTGCGCCCACACCTCCACTCAAGGATGACAACGCCAAGTTCAACTGGCAAGCAAACGCAGGTCGTGGCGACGCCGCGCCTACTGGAGGTTCATCCGGTGACATGCCACAGGGCTCGGATACATGTCTTGCTGGTCTCACATTCGTCTTTACTGGTGTACTACAAAGATGGGGTCGGACAGAAGGCCAAGAGCTGGTCAAACGACACGGCGGAAAGGTCACTGGCGCTCCAAGTAAGAAGACCAGCTATGTTGTACTAGGCACAGATGCTGGCCCTAGCAAACTGCAGAAGATCCGAGATATGAACATCAAGACCATCGATGAAGATGGACTGACACAGCTCATTGAGAAACTGACAGCAGCCGGCAACAAGGGGGACAGTAAGGCCCAAGCCGAGTATGCTGAGAAGCAACGCAAGGAGCAGGAAAAGATTGAGAAGCAAGCTGCCGAGCTTGAACAGGAGGAGAAGAAGCGTCAAAAAGAGCAGGCGGCGGCAGCTGCGGCAGCCAGTAAGAAGATGGGTTCAGCAGTTCCCGCTACTGCTCCCAGTGCAGGCCCTGCTGTTGACTCGCGATTATGGACCACCAAGTATGCGCCCACATCGCTTGGTCAGATATGCGGCAACAAAGCAACAGTCGAGAAGATACAACGCTGGCTGCAAGCCTTCCCGAAGAATCTCAAGACTGGTTTCAAGTTGGCTGGTAAAGATGGTAGTGGAGTGTTCCGCGCCATCATCCTGCATGGACCACCTGGTATAGGCAAGACTACCGCAGCGCATCTTGTCGCAAAGCTCGAAGGCTACGACATTGTGGAGAGGAACGCCAGTGATACCCGAAGTAAGAAGCTAATCGAAGATGGTCTACGCGGCGTCCTCAGCACCAACTCACTCCACGGGTACTTTGCTGGAGATGGAAAGCAGGTCGAGGGTTCAAAGAAGAAGCTCGTTCTCATCATGGACGAAGTCGACGGCATGTCTGCGGGTGACCGCGGTGGTGTCGGTGCACTCGCAGCAGTATGCAAGAAGACAGAGGTACCCATGATTCTCATCTGTAACGACAGGAAGCTGCCGAAGATGAAGCCGTTCGACTACGTTACCTATGACTTGCCCTTCAGACGTCCCACTGTCGACCAGGTACGCTCACGCGTCATGACTATTGCTTTCCGAGAAGGCTTGAAGCTGCCTCCGACAGTTGTCAACGCACTTATCGAAGGCAGCCACTCTGACATTCGTCAAGTCGTTAACATGATCTCCACCGCCAAACTCGACCAGGACGCCATGGATTTCGACAAGGGCAAGACGATGTCAAAGAACTGGGAGAAGCATGTCATCTTGAAGCCGTGGGACATTACACAGAAAATCCTTGGTGGTGGCATGTTTGCGTCGAGCAGCAAAGCCACGCTCAATGAGAAGATTGAACTCTACTTTAACGACCACGAGTTTAGTCCGTTGATGCTGCAGGAGAACTACCTCGGCACAAACCCTATCTTGTCTGGGCCTTATTCCGGCAAGGAGAAGAACTTGAAGAATCTTGAGTTGGTATCGCAAGCAGCCGACAGTATCAGCGACGGTGATCTCGTCGATCGCATGATTCACGGCTCTCAACAACAGTGGAGTCTGATGCCTGCACACGCCGTCTTCAGCTTCGTCCGACCCGCCAGCTTCGTTTCTGGTAGCACAGCCGGAAATGGGACGCGCTTCACATCGTGGCTAGGAAAGAACAGCACGACCAACAAGCTTAGTCGCATGATCAAGGAGATTCAAGCCCATATGCGGTTACGTTCTTCTGGTGACCGCCACGAGGTTCGGCAGCAATATGTACCTCTTCTCTGGCACGACTTGGTACACAAGCTGCAGAAGGAGGGTAAAGATGCTGTTCCGGCTGTGATCGAACTGATGGATAGTTATTATCTTACAAAAGATGACTTTGATGCGATCATGGAGTTGGGTGTTGGGCCGATGGATCAAGAGAAAGTTAAGATTGAGTCGCAGACTAAATCTACCTTTACACGACTGTAAGCCATTACTCTACTCCTCCTTATAATAGGGCCCAGTACTAACAAAATCTACAGCTACAATCAACAGTCCCATCCCCTTCCCTTCATGAAAGCATCATCTGTTACACAGCCGAAAGGCAAACAAGCCAAAGAGAAACCGGATCTTGAGGAAGCGATTGATGAATCGGATGATGGCGAGGTTGTGGAGGAAGTCAAAGATGAAGAGGACGACGATGTAGACCTATCGAAGGACAAGTACGTGAAGCAGCCGAAGAAGAAGGCTGCGCCCAAGAAAGCCGCAGCTAAGAAGGGAGGGAAGAAGAAGAAGGAGGAAGAGGAGGAGGATGATAATGACGAGGATGAAGAGGAGGAAGTGAAGCCGAAGGGTAAGGGCAAGGCTAAGGCGGCGCCTAAAGGGAAGAAGAAGTGAGCTGCGGACGATGGTAAGATGGTAAGGAGGGATTCAAGCGTATAGGGATATGAGCATTGTACAACATGGATAGGTTCATCGTGAGGTGGACTGGTTGATAGGAGGAAATGGTGTACTTCCCGGCGTATCTACAAAGCCAGTGTACTTAGTTTAACTATACGTAAATCTGTATATTAACCCCAAGCGAATTCTTCGGCCAGATCAAACATCTATAGGCTAATGTGCTAATAAGCTCTACATACGAGGTCGTGTATGCGGGGCGTAATATTGTACTAGACTCGAGCAACTCACTAAAGCCCCCAGGTTTATAACAGACACTAGATCATGTATGCTTCTGTACGGTGCAGTTTAGCGAGCTTATAATTAATCAAACAAGACAAGCGCACCTAGCCCGTATGACTATAAAATCCAAGTTCCGAGTCCTTTTTTTTTCATCACCCGTCTCACCTCGTGCTCTACCAACACTCAACATCCCTATCTACCTACTTACTCGTACCTGTCCTCACCAAGTACGTAAACAACTCGTACAATCCTCTACTCGCCCTCCTCGCACACACACACACACACACACACACACACACACACACACACACACACACACACACACACACACACACACACACACCATAGCCAAGCCACCAACCATGCATTTAAGCATCTACGCCGCCCTCATCATCCCCACACTCGCAGCCGCTGGCCGCCTCGGCGGCATCGACATGAACCGCGCCTGCAGGGACCAGTATGGGGGCAACTGGGTCGGCTACGTGTCACTTGCAGGAGGCGGGTGCAACGCCTGGAGGTGTGCGTATACTGCGGGTGAAGCCACGCCGCGTAGTATAGATACGCCGAGGGCGTGCGTGAATCAGTATGGTGGCGGGGCGTATGCGCTGTGCTACAATGGCGAGTACGACTGGAGTTGTTTTAGGGATTAAGTGGGCGAGGGGGTGGGGCATGGTAGTTGGATGGAGAGTTTGGGAAGGAAGAGGGCGTGACTCTGTATCTTGTAACAGTATGGTCAGTTCGAAAGTTCATACGTATACTGCGAATAGGTCTAAAAGCACACTCGAGCCTTGCGTGTCCAACGCCCCGCCTGTATCATATCAAACGTCCAAGTATTGATTCGATCGGCGATCCCTCAGTCTGGTACAGTATCCGCAATAACAATTCCGACTCGGAAGAACGAACAACATATAAGCAGCTATTACATCACTCACAACCCCATAACATACAAGCCACCAAGCCTACCACAAATTTACGCCTCCACGCCATCACCCACAGTCCTCCGGCTATGTAGGTACTTATAGTCCTCGGTCGCATCCCTCACAAACCTCGCGAGATCCTCCGCATCCTCTTCCCCAAACTCTTCCACCCACTTGGCCTTCTCCACCTCCAAAGTCTTGCCCTTGGCGCCCAACCCCGGTTTAATCCCCTTACTAGCATTAATTGTGCTTAGGAACCTCGCCATGAGCGGATCTTCAACTTTTCTCTCTTCCCACTCATACTGCACAGCATCTGCACTCAACCCCGTCTGCTCGCACAACTGCCTGACGGCAGCAGGGTTAGACATGATGTCGTCGGCGTCGATGACGCGAGGGGTAATGCCAGCTTTGGATCCGTGCTTGGCGTACCAGTCGTACAGGGCGCGGGAGTGCTTGAGTGTGAGGGTGGTCTGGCAGTAGAGAGAGCGGGGGCGGGCGTCGGACTTCCAATCTTTTTGCGCGCGGAGCATCGAGGGGAACATTAGGATGGGGTGGCGGATCTGGAAGATGGGTTGGAGGGAGAGGAGGACGGAGTCCGGGACAGATGTGGGGTTTGTGTGGATGCCATTGTGAGGGTCACTACCGCGTTGGTGGACGGTTAGAGAAGGCGGGTTATCCTCTGGATAGACGGAGGAGAAGATTTTGTCGGGGGCGGAGAGGAAGATGGTGTGCTCTTTTACGAAGGCTTGTTTACCCTTTTTTTGTTGATTGTTAGTCAGATGTTTTTTCTATTTTGGGGTTGGGGAGTTGGTGATATTGCAAGTTCCATAGATGGGCCGACCCGAGCACGCCATCCCGCAGCAGGATCGCGACAACGTGCGGTTGTGGCGCAGTTTATATCTCCGATTCCCCACTACCTCCGACCTCATCCGTCTTCTTTTCTCTTCTCTGCTTTGTCCCTTCCTTAAGTAGAGATGCGTAACTTACATTCTTCGCACAATCGTCCAACTCATCCTCCAACTTGCCAAACGCCGTACAGAAACTCTCATACAACTTCTCTCGCTCTTCCTCCGGCCACTCGCTCAGCTTCCCCTTCTCAAGTTCTGTCAAGGTAGCGAAACCAGCCTCAAAAAGTTTGTAGCCAGAGTTCTGGTACTCAGGCTGCTTGGCCATCATGGTCTGGAAGAGATTGGATGCCGAGCGAGGGTGTGTGAGGAGGTAGACTCCACGGCGCGAAGGTACGTCGCCATTGGGCTGTGGTGCCTGAAGTGTGCCTGGCATAATGGTTGAGAATTGTATGGATCTTTATTAACAGCGAGGAAGAAGAAGTCGGTCGTAAGAGGGATAAGGCAGAGGAATCAAGAAAAGAGGAGGCTATCCCAAACACTTATGCGCTCGCGGAATTAGTCTCTTCCTAACCCTCCCATACACCGGTGTACTTTCGCACAGAGGATCATCACCCGCCAGCGTTCGCGCATCCCAGCGTTTACGTACTGCATAAACACCCCAACAGTCTCACCTGCCTACATGGTGGGTAGTGGCAGTCCAAATTCGGTCGCCGACAACCCCGAGAGCGCGAGATAGATGGAGCGCTGCAATCGATACGTATTAGACTGTCGTTGCTGTCCAGGGCACGATCCACTCAGCGTTGGACATAGGGCTTCGACAACCCCGCACGAGGGGGGCGTAAAATGACTACCTAGTCGTGGGTTCGCTCGCGTTGACGGCCGACAGCCCGATGTCACGCTATCGGCCGAATCATTGACGTCGATCCCGCGAGCGGGTACCGCGTTTTTTAGTGCTCCCGATATTCAAGCTGCAAGGCAAACATTGAACGGTCAGGCGATTCTGCCGGTTTAATATAAGCAATAGATAGTGAAAGCTTGGATTATGTCTGAGGGGTATCTAGCAATGACAAATCTCCGGTCTCTCGCAGCGAACAAGAAGTCCTAGTTACATGCGAGCTTATCGAGAGCGGTAGCCTTCACCGTTCGCAGCTCGGCCCATTCTTTAACCTTGAATTCCCTATCATGGAGTGAAGATGCTGACGCCAGCCTCAGCTCTGCTACAGTCTGGACGCCTGGAATGCCCTAGCCTCATCGGGACCATGCATAAGCATCAGATTCCTATCCCGTCGACCATAGATTGCTTCTGGCCGCATCGATGGAGGGCGTTGAAGGACGCAACAGGTTCATGCGATCCATAGGCGTAGGTACGGCTTCGTTAATTCCGGGGTGGCCGCAGAAGAGGGAATTGCCTGGAATGATATGCATCAGCGTTGTGAAGAACAAGCACTGACTCAATCCAAACGTTGGTTCAGCCCTCTTTTCCACCATGCACGTGCTCCTTGTCATGATCATGCCCGTGCTCGTGATGTCCATTGAGATGTAGAATCCGTTTCATACCGTCTACGCTCTTCTCTAGATGAGGATGTCGCGCAATGAAGCCTCCTTGATGTCCGTTGGACGCAGTTCCAGTGACGGAACGCTTCTTACCGGCAAGAGGATCGGGCGCTCCAACCCTTGGAGGCCATTCGTCTGTGTCCTTCCAGCCCTGTACCAACGCCTTGGTCATGTCTGCGAGATTGATGGGAACAGAGGGCGTGCGCGACGAAACTACGATCTTCTGGAAGATATCCTTGTATGCTTTGGGGGCAATCGAAGCCCGGATTGGGTTGTCGGCGAGGATTCGCGCAGCAACGGGGACCAGGTCAAACGTGTCTGGCGTTGCACTTGTGATTGAGTGCGATTCAGAGCCGGTGGGCGTGACGGCGTGCTCTTCGGAAGAGTAGCCCGCTGCAGAAGTTGGTCGATTCGCGTGCCTTTGTCTGTTCGTGCCGTACTTCTTGACGCTCGCTGCGCCCGTCCACACATCTCGTCGTTCGACCCAGATTCTCAATCCCTCGTTATCTTTCATCTCGCGCTCCAGTCTCTCTTTGCGACGCCTTCTGCGGGCCTCTCTGGTGTTTGCTACTGCATCGCCGATGCTCTCTGGATTGTCGAATCTATACGGGCCGGCGCCCTCATCTTCTTGATCCGAGTCGCCAGATTCAGACTCGCCGTAGTAGCGTTCGCGAAAATCGGCAGCGTCGCGCACTTCTTCGTCTGAGGCTGACCATACTGCGGGCACGTCGGGATACTCCCAGTCGTTGCGAAGTCGCTCGTCGAGGTAGCGCCGAGATGCTCGGGCGGCGGAAAGGTTGTTTTCCATGGTGGAAACGTGAGCGCAGCGCTGATCGTGTGAAGGGTGGGTGGAACAGTGGAGACTGTAAGCGGGGACCAGGTTGAATGTCAGACTACAAGCCGTGCCTGGGCTGGCGCGCGACCAACTTCCGAGCGTTGGATCGGACAACACCAAGAACACTGACGCACGTGATGATCAGATCTTGGTCACCGCCGCACCGACGAACTCGAACGGTGGTTGCGCTGTGTGATGGTGATGATGATGATGATGATGATGATGATGACAATATCTCAGGTGCGGGGTACTGATGAGTAGAATATTCAAGTCAAAGAAGCGCGTGAGAAGTGGGTATGGGAAAGCAAGGCCGGAAGTGGCCGCAAGAAAGAGAGTCCGGCGCAAAGAGAGTGGGACGCAAGCTTGAATGCGGTTTGCAAACTGGATCGTTGACGTCGAGCAAACGCAAATGCAGGGTACACGAAATGGCGGGGCGACACTTTACCCTACCGAGCAAGCGCTTGTCCTGCCACTTTCACTCTCTTCGTCATCCTGGTGCGCCTCGGCGCCCGCCGGACAACTCACACGATAAACCACGAACCAGATAATACGGATGATATTGGTTTGACCATACTAGCCCGAGAAAGCCAGGCACCTTATCTACGACCTCCGCATCCATTACAGCCTTGCTTGACACTATGTCATTCATGCCTGCTATGCAACGATCTCGACCGTAAACCCTCTAAGGTTCTTGTTGGCAGCGTAATCCTCAGCCATTTCTCTATAGTCTACCGGCCCGCTGCCCCATGACACTTTCTTCCCTTCTTGGAGAAGCTGTTCCTTGGTCTTCTGTTCCTGCTTTTGGAAGGAAGCGGCGCCTTCGCCGTTGAAGTAGCCGGGCGTGCATGTGGGCATGACGCTGTACCAAGCTGCTCTCTTAGCAACTTCAAGACCATACTCTTTCTCACCCTCCTCCGACGCTTCGATGATGATTCGTTGACTTTGTCCCGCCTGCTTTTGCGCCTGCGTTACAATACTCGTGACGAGCGTAGCCTCTGTGTCCACACTAGACGTATGATTCCACGTAGCTGATGAGCCACGATTGAAAAAGCCAAAAAGGTTAGGGAAGCCAGGCATTGCGACGCCCAAGAGTGTCCCAGCGTCCGGGGAATGCCAATAGTCTTTCATCGTAATGCCATCGCGTCCCTGAATACTAGCGCGCATCTTCTCTGAGGGGTCTAGGGCGGGGTCAAGCGTAAACCCGGTGGCGAGGATAAGAACATCAATCTTATATTCAATGCCGTTGTACTCGATACCATTTTCCGTGTACCGATCGAGGCCTTTCCCATCCGTATCAACTAGCGTGACGTTTGGTTTGTTGAAGGTCTTGAGGTATTCGTCGTGGAAGGAAGGGCGCTTACACCAGCTTCCATACCATGCTTTCAACTTTTCAGCAGTACTTTTGTCTCTGACAATCTCATCGACGTGCTTTCTCAGTAATTCGGTACGCGGAAAGTCTAGCGCATGGAGTTCCTTAATGTGCTCTTCGACCTTGTCAGGAGCGACAATCTTCGAATTGGAGCCGAGGAAGCCAGACCCGGCCGGGGTATGCGTCCAGTCGTCATTTACCAGATCGAGGCCGTATCCCTTGCTGTTACTAACGTATGCATCAAATGCCAATCTTCGCTTCTTCTGCCATCCTTTCTTGCTCGTGATATCGGCCCAATGCTCGGGGTCGGTCTCGGCTTGGTTGCGAGGTCCTACATGCGTTGGTGTCCTTTGAACGACATATACATGTTCAGCCCACCTGGCCAGCTCGGGTACAATCTGGATAGCAGTCGCCCCAGTACCAATAATCGCGACACGCTTTCCTTGGAGTTTTGTGAGATCAGGTTTCTCGGGAGTACCACCAGTATACTCATAGTCCCATCGAGAGGAATGGAACACATGTTTCTTCCGGGAAAGCTCTTCCCACCCCGGAAGTTGCGGAATCTTTGGCAATATGAAAGGAGCGCTGGACATCAGGACGAATTCCGAGTATATAGTGAATGTTGTTGATGTCGATGGCTCGCCAACAGTACGGGTCATGGTGACGACCCAAACTTTCTTCTCCTCATCCCAAACCTCTGAATCGATGCTGGTGCAAAATTGACCTCGAATACCGAAGTGATCGGCACTTCGCTCAATCTGGCGTCTGATCTCATGACCGTATGAATATTTATGCCGAGGTTGATAGCCCGTTTCCTCGAGAAATGGGATATAGCAATAGCCTTCGACATCACACATGACTCCTGGGTAGCGATTATAGTACCTTTGAAATCTGTTAGTAAACACTTTTGATCGAGAATAACCAAGATGCACATACCATGTGCCACCAAAACCTCCTGCAATATCAACACACACAACTTCATTGCTACTGGCACCAGCCTCAACCAGTCGTCCTGCAAAGACAACACCATTGATACCAGCACCAGTGATGAGGTATTTGATGTGATCGCCGTCTTGGAGAGGAGGGTTTTTAACTCGCGGATCTTCATAGTCCACCCAAGGGTCCTTACCAAGGGTTTCGAGACCCTTCGAACGAATATCGACATATTGAATAACGCCAGGCTGCTTGAGGCGTTTGTTCCGCTCCTCCGCGTATTTGTTAAGCACTGCTTCACTAACATCTTCCACGTGATAAGATGATTCCATCGTGATAATAGATGAATTCCGATTGTAGGGAACAGTCGGAGAATGTTGTTATGAAGGATCGATGTTTCGATTATGATTCGAGTAAGTGTATTAAGAAGACTTGAAGCCTGTAGAACAAAGAAGCAGCGCGGTTGCACTTGATGTATAAAGTACGTTCCCTTCTCTGACTCGGAAACGGAAATCAATCCTTCCGTCTGTTCCTTGTCAAGAGTATCGACATAACAAGAGAAACTATACCCCACGTAATTTAGACCCAGAAATTCGAGTTGAGCTAGGTCATACCGGGAACTATGATAGCATCTCTTTCCATACAACAAGGGTCCTTTACAAGCTCGCCTATCGTAGGTCGGCAGCTACTATGTCGATCCACAGCTGATAGTACTATTTGACATACAGGTCCCATTTAGATATGGTCGAGGCTGAGGACAAGCCGCAACTCCCGTGCCGACAGCTTGTAGTCGGAATTTGTAGTCTGTCCACGTCATTTCTAGTTGCACACACAGGCATGAGACAGCTCGTTGCTAAAATCTTGGCTCTTCTTTAACAAGTGAATCTCGCCCATCAAGACAAGCCGCTTGTATCAAAAGGACATGACTCGATTGTCGAAATGGAAGGGCTTCGATTCGAGAGCATAGTCTACAAATATGATTATCCTCCCGTAGATAGCCGTTGGTGTGATTAGTATACAGTAGACATATCACGCAACGTTCAAAGTTGCCCTCCAGGGCCGTATAGGTATACGTACAGAGTGAGGCTATGGGAAGGGCCGATCCGAGGTCGATCGAGGGTTAGCCATTTCTGAATAGTACCGAGACCTTCTTTCCTGATGAGTAAGTCAAAAGTCGAGAACACGAAGCCGCTTGCCGCTTCCGGATCTAAACTTAGACTGATTATGATCACGGATAGAGGCCTTTCCATCATCCGGCGTCGCCAGTCGCCCAGCATCTATCTACTCGGAGTCTTTCGTATCCGCGGTCCGTCCTCGCGCGAGCGCGTTCTGACGTCTGGCGAGTTGGGTTTGGAATCTACGTCCGCAAATATACCGTACTTAGGCCGTCGAACCATCTGACTCGACTCCATGACCCGCATTTGTGGAGACTTGTCGAAGAAAGAAGTCCGGGCCTTGTAGGTCACAGTCAACAGTTGCAGCCCTTGTATCCTTCACGGTGACATCTACTTCAGCCTTCTGTACACATATCAGTATTGTGTATTACCCCAAGGGAGAAGCCTGGAAGGCGTAACGTACAAGCTCTGTGAGGATAGCTCCTAATTGGTTTTCCGCGTATTTGCTGGCCTCTGCATACTCTGCGTACTCCTTGACCTCTTCCTTAACCAATTCCTAGTTTTTCTTGCCAACGCAAGACGTAATCAACAGTCCTTCTTTGTTAATAGGTTCCTCTAATTCTTGCTCAAAGCCATGCTTGTCAACCGACATGACGGTGCTTGCGTTATCCTTATCATGCCCGGGCGGTACGTAAGATTCATCAGGAGTGTCATCGTCATCGTCTTCGTTCTCGCTGTCAGTTTCGAGATGGAAGTTGATCTCTTAGCTGTCTTCTTCTTCTCATCGCCATGGACTTCTATGACACAAGTTAGCATAACAGGCTTTATTGTCATATGAGTCGACTCCATACTTCCTCAATCATATCGCCAAGGCGACGGCTTCAGGTGGGTGTCTCTTGACCTTCTTCCCCATGTATTTTAGTGAATAGATGGGCATCTTGGGAATGCGTGGACGTGTCGTGGATAATGAGATTGATACTGGAGTGACGAGGAGAGCACCACTGATGGACTGGAGGATTGATAATCACTGGTAGGGCGGGGGACAGGAACATTAGGATCTGTTTTCAGCTTTCCGCTGCTAACCTCGAACAGTGCCATTCAAGTCACAGCCTCGGGCGAGACTAGATGACGTGAATATTCAGTCATGCCATGATGCAAGACAACTTGCTTGTATCAAAACCTAGCACGGCGGATCTTGATACTGGAAGGATTCATGAAATAGAACGGCACCTTGAACTACAAGACCGTGTGCACCATTGCCTAACATACATAGTTTGCTCGTTGTCTTCTTTACTTACCTTCCTGCTCCTACTCTTATTGCCTTAACACTAAAACGCTTGATACCAATACGCATCTCTTCGACTCTCCTCTAACGCTCTCGTTAATCTTCTCTGCTCCTCTCGCTGTTCTTCGTCTTGATCCGCAAGACTAATCTGCACTGCAAACTCTAGTTCCAAATCCACCTTCTCATTAGCTTCATACGGCGGCCGCTCATAGCAAGGGTTGTTCAAAGGTGGGGATCGAGTAGCTATATGCCCTGGCTGAGCAGGAGCGCGAAGGGTATCGTCGAAGGTGGAAGTAGTATGCTGAGTCCGCGGTTGGGTGGCCGTGGTATGGGGCGACAAGTAGACGTTTTCGGTGCAGTAGAACTCGTAGGTACTTGAGGGGGCCGCGGTACTGGTGAAGCCTGATGGCAAAGGTGTCGGGCTCGACTGTGGCATGCTCATTCGTGGGATAGGATTGGGCGAGAAAGAGCACGGATTCGTGTCTGGAGCTATATATGGTGTGTGCTGGTCCCCTTTTTGCTGAGCTGCTTCGTACGACGTCATAGGAAGACTAGCCATTTCGCGTTCTCTTTGCGGCTGTTCAGGCGGCGAGTCCGTGCCGAGACTCGTGCGATGCCGCGATGAACTGCGCGATTCTTGTTGCTCATATTCATGGGTAACAAGACAACTGTCACGCCGTATGCCCCTGGATGGTATCTCCATTGAGCGAGATCGCCTCTCTGGCTGTTGTGGCGACTTTGCCTCGTTGTGCAGACTGAGTTTTGAGAATTTCGCCTTTAGGCTCAGTGCCCGAGAGGCCTTTTCTGGCGTAGCTCGAGCCGCAAAGTCTGATTTGCGCCGAGCGTCTTCGTTCAAACCATGTGGTTGTGTGCTGAGATTCTGCTCCGAGATGCTCCCCGACGCTCCAGGTCTTAGCATTGCCGTTCCCTTCCCACTAAGCACGTTGATCGTTGGAATGCCTGGGAGATTTATAGATCTTAATACCCTGTCCTTAGGCGGTTCTTCTATCTCTTCGGTGTCTACTTCGACACGATCAATCTCCTTGAAAAAGTCGCGAGGGAAGCCGCTGATCGGATAGCCTTTGGTCCTGCCAGATGAAGTGTGGAGATGAAGCCTGATCTCTGCATCTCTCCCGGATGTTGCTACCGTCAGCTCAATTTCTTGAGCGTCAAGTTCACCATGGCTGGCCATTCTTTCAATGCGCGAAGAGTCGAGGTTAATCTTGTCCCTGCTATGCTGTTGAACGCCGTCCCAAGTATCAAAATGAGGCTGAAAGTCCGCCCTTTGATGCTTTTTAAAGAATAAACCCATCTCTTTTGCCCACTCTGAAGATTCTTCGAAGCGACATTGTAGCTTCCCTCTCACCTTCGCGGTTCCTCGGGACATATCTCTTGTCGCGTGTGTCCGCTCGAAATAGAAGCTGCTTGCAACTAAGCGGAAGACAATGTCCTCAAGCTTAGTCATAGCCTCAGGCTCCTTCAAATATCGGGCAACATCTGACTGAAGTCGTTCGACCTCGCCTACAGCATCAAGATGTGGCGGGGTTCGACCGATATCTGGGTTTACACGAATATAGCGGCGCGAATCCTCACGGTGAGCGGCACCTCGCTCCGTTCCGTCCAAGAATTGTTCCCACTGACGCTCGCAGTTTATTGAATCTTCCAACTTGTTAATCGCTGCCTTTCCATATTGAAACATTCCAGCAAAATGCTTGACCTTGCTGGTCGCCTTTAGTTTGGCTTTGCCGTGACTGATAGGCGAGGGCATCTTGCGCTGCGTCTCGAACCTCTCAGAGCGGAACTTGTCGGCCACAGCCTGCTGGTGCTGTGATGTGCCGATCGATAGCAGTAAGTCTGGATGATTGTCTTGTACATCTGGCCACAGTAATTGCCGCTCTCGATTTCCCACCCATGCTGGATTGTTATTGTGAAACGCCCCATTGAGATATGTTTCTTCGGTGACTGGATGAACGAATGGCTTGAAGAATGGCGTAGCGGCAGCAGTTGCTGCACCAGCATGCCATATCCTCATCTCGGCATACGGCTCGCTAGGCCTAAGAAATTTATAGGTCTTATTGTCGTCCTTGGGATTTTTTCGGCAGTAATTCGCGATAACAATCCCTTTGGTGGCTACTTCGTCGGTTGTGGTCACGGCTACCCGGGCTACATTATCCGAGCGCTGGGGCCCGCCAAATAGGTATTCGTCTCCAAGTGACTCGAACAAGGCCTCATGAAGCGGCGTAGTCTTCCAAGTGCTTCCGTGACTAGCAGTGGCGATGTATTGAAGAGGGGCGATGCCATGGAATTCCCGAGGCGAGAACGCCGTCTTGCAGAGGCGCTTGAATTCATCAATGCATTTGATGACGGACCATTGCTTTACAGCAAGAGCCAACGCAATGATTCCTCCAGTACTTGTTCCAACAATCAGATCAAAGAAAGCACTGATTGGAATCTGAACGCCCAGCTTCTTTTGGATCTGATTGAGAACCTCAAGCTCTGCAACACCACGAATACCTCCCCCATCAAGAGAAAGGATACGGACACCTGCAAAATCAGGCTTCATCCGAATTCGCCAAGGGCTCCTCCAATTGCAATCTTCGATATGTAAGGGGCATTCCTTCATCTCTATTGTGCAATTCTTGACCGTGCCAAATGCTTTGACACACTCAGTGCAGAGCACGTGACCACATCGAAGCACTTGTTCAGGAGGCCGCATGAGACAACATAGACACGTAACGTGACTATTGAACTTTGGTGCGCCGCCGACGTGACGGTAGAAACTCGATATGTTACGGGCATGTACTCTCCGAATAGGGCCCAATGGACCAGTCGCCTCGGAGCCGTCTTCCTCATGCTGTAGATCCTCCTGTGCATCTCGCAATCTGGTCTTGAGCGAGTTCAACCAGGTCTTCTTGTAATCGTCCGCAGTAAAGCTGGAAATGTAGCGACCATCCGTTACCTTGCCTCGCTCGTTCTGGTGACCCTTTTCATGACGCTTGCTTACATTGACACACCGCCCCTTTTTAGGGTGTGAGAACTCGCAAGGCCAATGCGAGGAGCAAAACTCAACGAGGGCATCTTGGAAGTTCGGCTGATAATCTGCGAACAGGTCGTGTGGTTTCCCTTTTCTGTAAGTTGTACAATCATAGAGAAAGCAAGAAGCCACCATGAAACTCAGATTTTCGAATATCCAGTCTCCTGGTTTGTTTGGATACTGACGCTGCATCAGAATAGCAACGCGGAGAATGTGGCCACCCAAGTTCTGGGGTATTGGATTCCGAATCAAGGAACAACTCTTGAAGTCGAATGGGTGGTCCAGATTTTTCGAGAAATGTGTGAACGCTTGTTGGATGTAGAAGCTCAGATCTTCGGCTGAGGACAACAGACCGACTTTCTGCTTGTTCAGATACGATTTCTTGCATGTTTCTACAATGGTGTCGTGGAGTTGTGATACTTGTCTTGAAAGACGAGGGAGGTCTTTGGCTTCCGGAAGACGGACCACCTGGAACGAAGCGTAGTAGCAATGAAGAAGATCGCGAAGACTCTTTATGGATCTGTTCCTTTTCCTCCATTTCTCCACGAGCTTCGTCACTTGAGAGCTGCTGTATGATGGGTTTATCAAGTGGTCATTAACCTCCAGCAGATCGTTTGTTGCATCTTGAACCGTCCAGAGACGGGATTTGATACGTATGTTTGTAAAATTGAGGGCGATAATTGCGTGAGGTAGTGTACCTTGATTGGTACTAGCTTCGAGCGAGGACGACGCCCAGTCGAGCAGTTTCGGGAGCACTCCATGTTCGAATGTCCTAAGTTGTCAGCCATGGCGTCTCTTAGCTTACGGCAGACTCACTTTGGATTGTTCAATACGAAAACTACCACATCGGAGAAGGTGTAAAGGAGGCGAGGATAGAGCTGGGTGACAGCATATTGACGGGTCCGTGTCTGGTCTGACGTTGCCCATTCTAGTGAACGTGCCCGCAGACCCAGTTTCCGGGAACTGTCCATTTTCATCTGTCTCCGGGAATGAGCTCCAATAGGAATGCGTTCTCCTGCATTGAGGCCCTCACAGTCCGCGTAAAATATTGGCCTTTCTTCTTCCCATGTAGCAGGGTCAACGTATAAATGAACGTCTGCGGATGTAGGTGTGGAATCGTGGAGCGGACTTCCTGGGACGGGTGCTCGGAAGTTGGACTTGTTGGCTTCGTATTTGGCCTGGTCGTACTCGATCAACATCTTGATCAACGTGCTCTTGCCGGCACTGGTCTCGCCAATAAAGGACACGAGTTGTGGGTACCTTATCTGATCTGGGTTCGGGGAGTTTTTTATTAGTTGTTTGAAGGTGTCAAAGTCCTGCAGGAATGGTCGTTCGTCCTGATACCTGTCAATCCCTGGGAAGCGGTCAGCACTTTTGTCATTTCTTGCATTCGTGTGATTAGGATAAGAGATTGGGAGTCATGTTATGCAGTTTTCAAGAGTTTTAAAGACTCACCGAACCACGTTGTGTTTCTATCTTGGCTATGGAGCTCTTCAAGATCTTCCTCTGATGTTGGCGTGTTCAAGATCGTTTTGAGGCGTATGCATTGTAAATACGCTTGGTATTTTAGCGGCTCGTGCTCCGAGTATACATGTGTAGGTTGGAGAGGCCAGCATCTATCGCATAGACAGCTCTTGCAGTCCGCACAAAAGAACAGTTGTCTTTTTTGATCGTTCCTATCGTCGCATCGCGGATCCCCACATATACCTTGCAAAGAGGTTGTGGAAGCCATTTTGGTAGCAGCATGAACCGAAGGACGGAAGGTCGAAGTGGACAAGGCTGGGGGCAGCGTGGACGGATCAGCAATCCTCAGCCTTGGAGGGAAGGACAACGAAACGAAATAGGAGCAAAGAAATGAAAAGCGGGCAACGGAGTTATATATGGTAGCCTCCCGAGGCGCAAGTGGTGGCGTCAAGCTAAAGTGATTTGGGGCCAAGAGATCACTCAAGGCTCGCGTTCGAAGTATGCTTTTGGAGCCTTATCGCTCGACGCCCGTGATGTTTGCGCAAAGTATCGTAAAAAAGGGACTGGAAGTATAAAGGCTGTGTCGTTAGAAGAGGTTAACATATAATTACAGGGCCATCCACAGCGTAGGAGTAGTTGTCCTAGTAGAATTGAATGGCCACAGCCTCTACGGACGAAACGCGACAGCCTGGAGTGGGATTTGACAAAGCTGTAGTTTCAAATCAACGCTAAGATAGCAAGGTGATTACGGCTGAGAATTATCGAGAGGGAGTTGGCTGCGGCTGAGGATTGTAAGAACGGAAGTTAGCTGCGGCTGAAGATTGATGGATCGGCACAGGGCGATGCTCATGCAGAGCTGATGCAATACTTCTGGAACTATGAGCCTACCAACAAGGCTGGGTTGATGGCTGGTCCGCCAAGTGTTGTGGCAGCCATCTCATGGTGCATCGGTCCAGAACGGAGTAGACACACGAGGGATTGATGGGCCGTCCGATACAATCGTTCGCTGTTCCCAACGAGCGTTCGCGTAGGGAACAATGAATAGCTATGTGTATGCCTCTATGAATTGTGGCACATTGGCGTTAGTACCTCGACATTAGTCGTTGCTTGCACGTGAGCGGCTGCCGGCCGCAATACAGCACGGGCCAGAAGCAGGGTACGCACAGCCTGAGACTTGGAACCTAAGGCTACCAAGAGATAGAGCAGCGAGCTAGGCATGATCTCGAAAGAATCGGTTGTATAACGTATATGGCAAGCGAGCGGCGCACCCTACTAAGAACAGTGTAGTGAGTATAAAGCAACCGAGCTTAGTGTTGTTGACGTGATGTAGAGAAACTCAAACAGCGACAATCATAGAGTTCTCATACAGTAACCCACTCGTACGCCGGCAGCGTCGACTCGTCCGGCTGGTCACGATCGTTTGGCAGCAGCTTGTACGCTTTTGTCTTCCAAATAGTCCACGCAAGCGAGTCGCGCACTTTGATTCCCCAGGCTGTTTGTGGGAAAGCGATCTGAGGAAAGCCAGGCGGCAGATCCTCGTCTTTTCCTTGGATCTTGCGGAAAGCCTCTTCGAAGCTCTTAAGCGCTGCCGGAACGTCGTCGCTGCTTTGCATCTTGCCAAGCTCACCTGCTAAGAAGTATGCGCCCTCGACTGCGAGTGTGGTTCCGACGCCGAATGTCGCGTGCGCTGCATCACCGAGAAGCACAGCGCGGTTATTCGTCCATGTAGGAAGCTTGACGTACGCTGCACGGCTCATGTAGAAATCGTCGCATCCACCCACTCCGGCTAACATCCTCTTAGCTTGCCATCCTGCATTTTTGAAGTATGCATGTAGTAACTGTTTCTGCTTTTCAGGTCCACCTTCCATCGCTTGTTCGGCGAGGGGATCGCGATGTCCATGTGCTGGCGTGGTGATGCACATATAACATCCAATGGTCTTTCCATTACGATGCGGTCGTGTCATGAGGCCTAAGCCTTTGGGCGCATTGTACCAGTACCAATGTTTCGTGTCCGATTCTTCTCGTGGAATGCTGAAGTATGCGATGTATTGGCCGATGAAGTTGTAGCTGCCCTTCCGCGCTTCTTCGTCCAAGATCAGAGATCGGATCCGTGAAGTTGAGCCATCTGCACCAACAACAAGGTCGAAGCTGTCTTTCTTTCCACTATCAAAGGTCACACTAACTGTCTTGTCTGTTTGTTCCACTGATGTAACGTAGTCGCCGTACACGTACTTTACGTTCGCCATGCTCTTTGTCGCATCCAGAAACAATCCACATAGATCGGCTCGCAGAATCTCATACTCGGATGTGAAACTATTTTCGCCTTTCCCGAACTCGGCGACAATCTTGTTGGAGGCGTTAACTAAGCGCGTGCCCTCTTCTGTGGTGTTGCGTGCGAGCACACGTGGCAACAGCCCCATCTTTTCAACAATGGAGATGGCTGCACCGCGAATCTCGATGGACTGGCCAGTTGGCCGAGGAAATGGGGAGCGCTCAAGGACAGTGATGGACGCGTTGAGACGTGTCCTGGCTAGCCAATAGGCAAGAGTTGATCCTGCGATGCCAGCGCCGTTGATGAGGACTTTGAGCTGGGGAGCTTTAGTGAAAGACATTTTTCTGACAAAGTGATTGCTTATGAGTGTTCGGGGCATATCGTGGAGGTGATTGATGTTGGTTATATACTTCAAGATTGTGGTGGTCTTGCATTCAAGGCGTCCATATCACTGGCTTGGTTGGCTGGAGAGGACGCCTGACCCGAGCGTGTCTGGCCCGAGATGCGTCAAACCCGAGCATGATGGCACACGCATCCAAATGATGCCTGCTTAGCTCAACGAGTTTATCGCAAATAGGCACTGGCTAATGCAGCGCACCGGCATGGTATTTAATGCGATGTTCGTGTTCCAATAGAATAGAATAGAAGAAAGAGTGCTGCCTGGAAAGAGGCAGTTGGATCGGTGGTTTGGAGTCGCAGGAGCCATCTCGCTTTGCCCCACCACTGCCCACGTATTGAGGTACGGACCTCCGTACCTTCCGAGGTCATCGCAGTTGGTGACGATGCTGATATGCCATAAAGCCCATTACAATAACCAGTCTTCCACGTCAAAGCAAAATCGGCCTCCATATTATCATCCGAAGACTGGTCTACTTACACGGTCTCCTCAATGGCGCGAATCCTCATCACGGGCTCTTCTGATGGTCTCGGTTTAGCCGCTGCCAAAAAGCTTGTCGCAAACGGACACTCTGTCAGTATGTAACAGCTCTAATCAGGACCTGTCAACTTGCTGACACAACAAGTCCTCCATGCGCGCAACGCGCAACGTGCGAAAGATGCCGAATCCGCATGTCCTGGCGCTGAAAAGGTTGTCATGGGCGACCTGTCCAGCCTTTCCGAAACCAAGAGCATGGCAGACGAAGTGAACAAGCTTGGTGCATTCGACTGTGTGGTTCACAACGCCGGTCTATATCAGGGCCCTTTCCGCAAGACAAGCGAAGGCATCCCGGCGCTTGCGGCTGTCAATACGGTTGCACCGTATGTACTCACTGCGTTGATCGATCGCCCCAAGCGTTTGGTCTTTATGTCTTCCGAGATGCATCAGATGGGCTCTCCCAGCTTGGATGACGTTCTCTGGACCAAACGCGCTGAGAGTGAATACACCGCAAACGCCGCCTACTGCGCGAGCAAGCTGTATAACGTCCTGCTCGCCAAGGCTTTCGCCCGCAGATGGCCTGAGGTGAAGAGCAACGCGTTGGACCCGGGCTGGGTGGCTACAAAAATGGGTGGCAGTTCGGCATCTGGCAGCGTTGATGCGGCTGTCGAGAGCTACGTTATGCTTGCCGAAGGAGAGGAAGAGAAGGCTAAGAAGAGCGGAAGCTATTTCCATCCAAGCAAGCGAGAGGGAACCCCCCACAAAGCAACAGAGGATGAGAAGGCGCAGGATGAGCTGATAGAGATCTGCGCCGAATTCTCCGGAGTGAAACTTCCATGAAGTTTGTCACTTCACGTCGGTTAACGATCTGTCGTTGACTTTCGCATGGATACTTGTGGGGACCGACGTACCGGTTAAATCTACTTCCAGCCCTTTCGGTACAAGGGAATCGTGGGGTAATACTCCTTGGAATTTCCGCTATGGCGTGCATATAGTGTTCTAATTCGGAAACGACGCATCAATATACGATCTGCACACTACCATAGGACGTAGGGTATGGTTTGCGCCTGCTGCAATCTGAACGATACGATGATCAGCCTGTGCAAGTCCCACATGCTCTTCCCAAATGTATACATCATCAAGATGTTTTCATACTTCCCGTCGCTACCCTCACCATCGTCCTCATCGTCCTCATCGTCCTCATCATGTACATCATGATATCACCGCTTGTCTTCTTCGGAGCCCTATCTCTTTTTGCTTCAGCAGCTTCTTTGGAACGTCGTCAAGCGCAGCAAAAAGTCACAATCGACTTCACAAAAAGATACCAAACGATCGATGGCTTCGGTATTTCGGGTGCATTCCAGCGCGCGAACCTGATTGTCAATCTTCAGCAGCCTAAACAGCGCGAGGTTCTTGACCTACTCTTCAACTTGACTACCGGTGCTGGCTTCTCGATCGTGCGCAACGGTGTTGGCTCCACGCCAAATAGTAACAATGATTACATGAACACAATTCTGCCAAAGTGCCCAAGTACACCTGCGGAAGTCACTATCAATTACAGTGGGTATGTCTGGGACGGTAAAGATAGCGGGCAGCTATTCCTTAGCCAAAGAGCGCAAGATTATGGGGTCAACACCTTCTATGCGAATGCATGGAGTGCTCCTGGATGCATGAAAACAAACAATCAAGATATCAATGGTGGTCAACTCTGTGGTGTACGTCTCTCACTCGTATCGTTCAATTGCATTTTTTGATCTGATCTAGGTTTCTGGTACCAGTTGTCGCTCGGGAGACTGGAAGCAAGCCTACGCGAATTACCTTGTCGCCTACATAAACTTTTACGCGTTGGCTGGCGTTAAGATCACACACCTTGGCTTCCTCAACGAGCCCGACCTATCCACTTCGTACGCCTCGATGCAGTCCTCTGGTACTCAGGCCGCTGAATTCATCAAGATTCTTCGTCCTACACTCGACCGTGCGAATCTGACCTCTGTGGGTATCAACTGCTGCGAAGCGACAGGGTGGAACGTCGCAACGCAACATGCACAGCAAATCGCATCTGCTGGCGCTGAAGGCCTTCTCTATGCTATCACCTCGCATGAATATACTTCGCGCATTAGCGGGACGATGCGCACTGCTGCACGCGTCTGGCAAACCGAATACTCCGACCTGAACGGTGGCTGGAGCACGGCATGGTATTCCAACGGCGGATCTGGTGATGGCTTCACGTGGGCGAACACCGTTTTTAATGGCATCGTCAACTCCAACTTGTCCGCCTATATCTTCTGGGAAGCTGTCCAAGACCGCGCAACGAACAATAACAACAACGAGAAACTTATCCTGGTCGATGGCCAGAACTATCAAGTCAGCAAGCGTCTTTGGGCTTTCGCGCAGTTTCGCATCGTAAGACCGGGCGCCGTGAGAGTGGATGCTAGTGGCGGGTCGAATCTCAAGTCTGGCGCCTTTGTCAACACGGACGGAAGTGTCGCGATCGTGGTCATTAATTCTGCTACGAGTTCACAAATTGTGGGTGTTGCGCTGACTGGGTATCCGGATGTGAGGGCATGGTACACAGACAATACTCATGACATGAGTGCGGCGATGGTGACGGTGGGTAGCGACGGGACTGCGAGCACAAGTGTGCCTGGTAGAGCGATGATCAGCTTTTTGTTCAGGAAGGCTGCGAACGTGACGATGTCGTAGGCCGAATAGGTGATCTTAACGGTGTTTTGGGGCCGCCGCTCAAACAGCGGGGCTTTGTTGTGCTTGGCGTTCAACCGCCGGCACTTTGCAAACACCCAACAACCGTTCCTCCATACAGATCTCACATCCTCTCAACATCTTGAACTTCTCACGACAAGCAAATGCACCCATCGCCATTACCTTGATCCCGCATGCGCTGTATGATAGACGGCTCAAAATTTACAAGGGGATCCATGGAGGTGACAGTGCTAACCGTACCTGATCCTTCTTTCATCACAAGCAATTGTATTGAGCATGCGCAATAGATAGCCTGCCCGGAATACGATGCCAGTCTGGAGATTGTGCATGTTCCTGCGAACTCACAACGTTGAGGGCTCGGTCCGCGTGCAGCACTAATTCCCCGGTCGTAGTCCCGAACTGGCAAAGGGGCCGAGGATTAATATTGGAAAGTGGAAACTATCCACGATCTCCATGCTGGTGTTTCTATTCTGTACACACACACGGAGCACATGGGGCAACCCGACCGTTCTATACGAATTGAGCAGTATGATAATCGACATGTGTCGAAAGCTTCCACGGCATCCGCGCCCACGCTACGGGCTTGGTGTTCGTACAAGTACCATGGACATCATGGCTGCAATTCCGCACGCGCGTCTTCACACACTCGTTCATGTTCCTAGCGATGGGAAAGCTCTCTTGTGCCGTTGCGGCCCTTGTTCTGGGTGCGCAAGTCGCCATCTCAACCCCGGTACATCCCCTACTTCACGTGAATGCAATTGTACAACGAGTGGCGGACGACATGCCAGCGGCAAGCGGCATTCTCCCCGGCGCCTACATTGTCGAATTCGCAAACGACGATGAAACACCGGAGAGCTTCTATGCGTCCCTTGCGGCCAATGGAGTACAGGTCGAACCTCGCATGGATCTTAGCTTTCGCTTCTTCAAAGGCGTCTCATTCCAGCTCAAGAGCTCAAGTTCAAACTCAAGTGATTGGGACTTCTTGCGCCGGATGAAGGCACAACCACAGGTCGAGAACATATGGCCATCCCGCATCACGACACGTTCGAGCGAGGAACGTGTTGCAATACCTGCACAACAGACACACGTCAAGCGCCAGACTACATCGGAGGACACCTTCTCTCCCCATGTCATGACGCAGGTTGACAAGCTACATGCAGAGGGTGTGACGGGCAAAGGCTTCCGTATCGCTATTATTGACAGCGGCGTCGACTACACCCATCCAGCGCTTGGCGGCTGTTTCGGCCCAGGCTGTCTCGTTGAAGTTGGATATGACTTTACGGGCGATGACTACAACCCCGGAACGTTCCCGTTGAAGCCCGATAAAGATCCCATGGACAACTGCGCTGGTCATGGCACCCACGTTGCAGGCACCATTGCCGCTCAGCTTGAGGGCAACAAGTACGGTTTCACAGGTTCTGCCCCTGGAGCAAAGCTTGGTGCATACCGGATGTGGGGTTGCGCATCGACATCTACGAATGAGATTGAGCTCATGGCGTTCGCTCGTGCTGTCGAGGATAGAGCGGATATCATTTCGTACTCGAATGGCGACGCCTCAGGCTGGGCGCAGGACGTGCGCGCCACCATTATCTCTCGCATTGTTGACTCTGGTATCCCCGTCGTGGTATCTGAGGGTAACGACGGCGGCCAGGGACTTTTCTACGCCTCCACGCCAGCAACGGGAGGCAGTATCACGGGCACAGGAGCGGTATCCAATACGCAATTCCCTACGTTCCTCGAGCGAGGCTCATATAAGACCGGTTCCAACGCTACCACCAATAATACGACTGACTTTGGCTTCTTGATGGGTGTTCCCAAATTCGCTGTCGATACGACACTTCCGCTGTGGTCTGCTGCTGATGTGGACGATGCCTGCAAGCCATTGCCCGATGACACGCCAGATCTGAGCCAGCGCATCGTGCTCTTGGAGTTCAAGGACTCACGAGTAACACATTGCTACCCGCAAGACCAGGGTGCCAACCTCGCAGCCAAGGGCGCGCGATTCATGGTATACTATGAGCGTAACAACCTGACAATGCGCGATGAGCCTTATGTCTACGCAGAAGGCATCGAGGGAGTGGTTAAAGCCGTACCATACGCCGCTGAGCACTGGCTTTCTCTCCTTTCACAGGGTGCTACCGTTTCTGTGACGATACCTGCCAACGACTCTCAGACACACCTCGAGATGTTTGAGAACAACGAGCGTGGCGGCTATGTCGCAGGAGAGCTGACCAGCTGGGGCCCAAGCTGGGAGCTGAGTATGACACCACAGGTCGTATCCCCCGGAGAGAACATCCTGAGCACCTACCCGACGGCTTTGGGTAGTTACCGTGTCATGACTGGCACGAGCATGGCGACACCGCTGGTTGCAGGTGTCTACGCATTACTCGGTGAAGTATATGGCAAACTGGAACCAAAGCGCCTCCGCAGAATCCTCACGCACACCTCCAAGCCGCTCGCCTGGCACGATGGAAAGACTGCGCATCCCGACATTCTCGCTCCTGTAGCACAGCAAGGCGCCGGAATCGTGCAAGCCTGGAACGCGGCGCATACCGCCCTGGAGATCGATGTCGACAGTCTGATGCTCAATGACACGGAACACTTCGTTGGCACCCACACCTTCAGCGTCACGAACACTGGCTCTACTGACGAAGTCCTCGATCTGGGCCATCGCAAAGCCGTCACGATGTATACGATGGATCCTAAAGCTCATGTCTTGCGAGTAGGCGTATTCCCCAATGCCATCGTAGAGTCGTGGGCAACCGTTTCCTTCTCCTCCTACCGCATCAATGTTCCTGCTAAACAATCTGTCAACGTGACTGTTGAATTTACAGCGCCAGTGGGCCTCAATGCCACCCTACTGCCCGTGTACAGCGGCTTCGTTACCTTGAGCGACAAGCTTGTTCTTCCATACCTCGGCGTCGAAGGCAGCATGCGCGCCGCACCCGTCTTCACACCTGAGACCGTATACCTAGCGCAGGGATACACACCTGCTCCCGCGAATGCATCGTATATTATCCCACGACCGAACCCCAAGAACCCGCCGATGACTGACCGCGGTGACATGATGGCCACGCCGAACGTGTACATTTATCCTTCGATTGGCTCCCCGTTGTTGCGTGTAGAGGTACTACAAGGCGACAAGGTACTGGGAGCGTTGGCTGGGTTCCCACAAACCTACGTCGCGAGGACGGAAGTGCGCGCATACTTCAATGGGTTGATGGCGGACGGTACGGTGCTCGATGAGGGCTCGTACCGAATGAGGGTTATAGCCCTGCGCATCTTCGGTGATGAGGAGCGCGGTGAGGATTGGGACGTCGTTGAGTCGGCTGGTTTCGCAGTGAAGTACGCTGCATGGTAGTGATTGTGTGCGTGATGGGGGCCAAAGGATCGTGATCCCTGCACACCTGCTGTCCGCGAAGAGCTGTCTCGGCTGCAGCCGCCTGTACCTTGCGCTTGTAAGGCGCGCAGCTCTAAAAGTTTCAGCGAGTGATGATTACCCGCGTCTTGGCTCGCAAGGTTTACCTATATGGTGCTGCGTCAACCTTCGCGACTGCAAACGCATCCTTCTCACGCGGGTTGCTCACCACTAAGGCTACTTTCGAACCGTTAAGGACTGGTATAGGCAAAAAGCTTCATGCGATGCGTACGCCGCTCCAGGAGACTCAGTTTGCATTCTGTCGTATCCTGGCACTCAGCCTCACTGTCCACGACACCTACAACAGTACTGCTCACGTTTCTATCAACAGCAATCTCTTTTTCTCTTCATATAGATGGATCGAATTCCACATCGGCTCACCACTCACATACCACACATACACATATTCACATTTGTTTGCTGTGCCATTCATGCAATGCGATTCTCACTTCCGTTCTTCAGCGCCTTGCTGCTGCCCCTTCTCTCCGCCGCTTTACCCACCTCCGTCCCCTCTCTAGTTCTCTCCGCTCGAGTTGCCATCACCCCGCCGCCTTCCCCTACGGCTCCGCCATCTCGCCGCGATGACAAATTCGAGCCAAGTATTCCACCTCTCTCATTAAACCTCCCTACGATATCAATCGCAAAGCCGTCCATACCATCTCTCTCACTTGACCTCCCACCCTTGACCTGCACACCTGGCTTTAGCTCATACGCAACTCCCGGCCTCGACGGCTACGTTCCTGCGGAGGCTTGTAATGCGCTGTGGTTGTACTTCCCAAAATTCGCCGCCGCAGTAGCTTTCTCGATTCTGTTCGGCATCCTCACAATTGCACACCTGGCCCAAGCAGTTCTGTACCGCAACGGTTTCTGCTGGGTCATTATCATGGCCTCTCTTTGGGAGACAGGTGCCTATGCTTTCCGCGCTCTTGGTTCAAAGGACCAGCAATCCTCCGGCATTGCAACTGTTTCTCAGATCTTGGTATTAGTAGCTCCCATCTGTGAGTGTCACGCTGGAAAAAAAAATCTCTTATAACCCTCTAACATCGTCTTCGCAGGGGTCAACGCCTTCGCATACATGGTGTTCGCCCGCATCGTTCACTTCTACTCGCCCACTCGCAAAGTCTGGTTTCTTTCGCCTTCCATCCTTGCTCTCATCTTTGTCACCCTCGATATCATCTCTTTTGTCATTCAGCTTGTCGGGGGTGGAATGGCCGGTCCAGGCTCAAGCGCTGAGTCACAAAAGAAGGGCTTGAACATATACATGGGTGGTATTGGCATGCAGGAGGCCTTTATTGTTGTGTTCTTGGGCTTGGTTATCAAGTTCCATCGGGATCAGCTTCAGGAAGAACAAGTTGGACGCTTGACTGCGAACAAGATTGATGGCTGGAAGTGGTTGATTTGGGCGCTCTACGGATGCTTGCTGACTATCACCATTCGCATCATCTATCGCCTCGCCGAGTTCTCTGCCGGTCTGGGCGCAAGCAACCCCCTTCCGAGTAATGAGCCTCTCCTATACGTCCTGGAGTCGACACCAATGTGGTTGGCCATTCTCGTGTGGAATATTGTCCACCCTGGTCGCTTCATTCATGGCGAGGATGCCAAGATGCCGCCATCGTGGCTGTCTCGCCATCTCTGCTGCTGCTGTCGTAAACGTCGCTGCGATGAGTGCAATAGCAAGCTCGGCCATGCCGGGGTTCACCACCACCGCATGGCAGACGATTCGGAGCTAGGGAACAACCAAGAGATGTATCCCGTCCCACGAGGTGAAAGAGGCCGTGTTGCTACCGTCCCGGTCAACCCTTTTTCAGATGCACCATCTTGCGACACTTCTCCGAACGGCAACGCTGGAGACCAGCTCCGCATTCGCCCTATACCAGTTGCCAACTAGTTAAGTAGAAGCTTGTATTTAGAGTAGAGGCAGGACGTATGTGTACTTATATAGCCTAGAGAGAGAAGCGAAGCGAAGGCGTACTAGGCCTCCGAAGGTCTAATAGTTTAGGCCTTCGAAGGTCTAGTAGTTTGCGCCTTCGTAGTAAGACGTAGCCTTTTACTCCTTAGCTATAAACCTCGTAGTAAGTAGTAGCTAAGGAGAGGCTATGTCCTTACAATCTCTTAATATCGAATCTGTAATATCTACAACTAGGTAAGCTGTCCCGAGAAAATGGCTATAATAAGACGACACTCGCGAAACTAGCCGTACCTGACTATAAACAAGCAGACTTCATCCTGCAAGGTCTCGTACACGCCAATTTCCTTATCAATAATCCTACTTGTTTGTATTCTACCCTATATTCTCACCAAACAGAAGACCCCAAATCTACTCCACAACTTTCACATACCACGGATCCGAAGAATAGCCACCATTCGTATACGTGTTTACATTGATGCTGTTGTTGCCCGTGATAATCTTCTTCAGCTCCTTGAATATGAGGGCGAGCACGACGAGAATGCCGATTTGAGTCAGGGCCAGGACAAGGTTGAGAATATTCGCAAAGACAGCTGCGGATTTGGATGGGCCAGGGATGGACATGGCGCTTTGTGCTTCGTCCCCTGACTGAGAGATGCGAGCTTTGAGTGTGAGCTTCTGCGCTTTTGGTAGGGTAATGGATCAGGAACAATGTGCGTGTGCTCGTCAAGATCAATGTAATTTGGTGACTTTTGCCTTTGCGATGTGAACCAGTGTAAGGGACTGCACATCAATTACACAGAAGCTTTTTAAATAGTCCCTGCATGCCTAGACGGGGCTGCAAGACCAACATAAATTCATGCCCTCTGATCCTTGCGCCCAGACTTGTTTACTGCATATAGCGTTGATGCGTGCATCGGCTGGAATGTATTGCTGACGCTTTCGGTTAGGCAGGGGGCGGGGGCGCGTGGTAAATTCGCTTCATGCCGTGTTTTGCCAAGAGCTGGGGCCGATATGGCTGCTACTTGGCTGGCACGTGTGCTATTTCCGACTTCCAAGGCCAGCCACAAATTGGGCAGGTAGGTTAACCACTTGTCTTTGCCATTACTAGCCTACCAAATGCTGAATGATCACAAGCGATAACGTAGCTGGCAAACGAAATGCGCAGGTAATGTGCCTGTGCGCGTAACGATGGGAGTCGCGTAACGATCGCCGAACACCAAAACACCAGACAACTCACTTTGCGCGACACCAGGCCACTATTCATGAAGCAACGACTTGTCTTCAATCGCCAGTCATATCTCAAGGCTCCCCCGGTTTCCGTCCATAGACAACATTGCTGCTACGCGTTAGTGAGTCCGCAGCATGGGGAGGAGCTACAAGGACAGAACGTACATATCATAATAGGCGTGATTCTTCCGGTTCAAAAGCTGGCTGCGCATCGTCGCGATATACACCTGGATTTCCTCGTACGACCACTGCTTCTCGTTAGCCCACCGTCCCATTATAACATCTTCCTTTCAAAATTTCGGACACCACATACCTTCAAAATCATACTCAGTAAATACAAACTCCAGCTCTCCAGTCCCTCAAGACAAAACAGCATATTCCACTGGCCCAACTCCTTCATCTTCGGATCCCTCGGCCATGTGCCAACGGGGACCTTGAACTTCTTCTCCACGACATCGACGAAGCCTGCCTGCGTGATCATCTCACGATTGAAGTCGTAGATGGCGAAGGTTTTGCCGATCTGCTCGGCCGCATAAAGGAGTGTCTTAGACCATTGCGCCATAAAGTGGTCTTCCGTCACGGTGCCGTCTTCGGATTTGAACATAATTGAAATTTCGAGATGCTCGATATATCCCCCGGGTTTGGTGCATCTAGATACTTTCCATGAGCACACGCGTGGTTTTGGATCTTCTGAGGGCAAACTTACTTGTAGATCTCACGGTAGAGGTGTGCCCAGTCTTGAATTGCGCCAAGCATGCAGCGCACGTGGATGTAATCGAAACTGTTTGGTTGGTAAGTCCACTCAAGCTGAACGTCGTCGAGCTCGAACTTGAGATTTGGAGGGGTGAAACTGGGCTGATTGGGGGAGATATCTACACCGATCACCTCTGCTGATGGGAATTGGTCTGCGAAGTCACTGGTTGCTGTCAATAGATGTTGATAGATGCGGAGGGCGGACTAGATACATCGCCCATATTCCAGTTCCAGTCCCGACATCCAATACTTTCTAAATACCTTATTAGCTTTCGTGTCTCTATTGTCTGACGACGCAAATTTACCTGTGGATTTGGACCGATTGGTGCAAGGAAGAGCTTTCCACCCAGCATGAGCGTTAGCATATGATGTCTACGAGCTCATTAGCCATTTTTTTTTGATCCGGGGAACGGAAGGCGCATGCCCAATATCCAACTGCTCATTCATCTTTTCATCATTTGGGCCCCTGACAAAAGTCAGCCGCATGTTTTGTCCATTGCAGACTTGACTCACCAGTACTCTGAGGAGCTTTCCGTGTTGAAGTTATGATACGTCCGTCCATGCAACTCACGGTACTTCCGGATATTACTTGCGATCGAGGACGTAGAGCTCGCACTGCGATCATCAACGTTTTGTCCGTTCCGCAAAGGGTGTAGCCTTACTTATCCTCTCCATACGCGGAGTCTGTCTCAGCATCCTCTTCCAATGGGTCCTTGATCCCTGGTCAGCTTGACAACTTCTGACAAATGAATACTCACGATGGAGATGGTCCCTCCCGCTGAGGTCGTCCCGGCAGTTTCGTCAACCGCGGCAGCTATGTCTTCCACGGCAGTTGTCGGGGTAGGGTTTGCGGGCGGCGTTGGGGGATCCTCTGCTGTCGGAGACGCCCCTTCTTTGATTTTGAGGCTCATATTTCGACCAGAAGGGTATACGAATACTTAGCGAGTTTCTGAGACGATGCACCGCAATATTGCGATCTCCGGTGTCCTTCGGTCGTATGCCAAAGATTCACCCGTGCTACAGTGGGGTTACATCCACCAGAATGCTAAAGACTGCGGGAGCGCGGAAGATGCCATGGGGGTTGCCCGGTTGTGACAGCTCGGCCAGCGAGCCAGCTTGCCGCATCTATCCTTGCCTACCCCACCAGGGTGGAGAAACCTGCTTTGGCACGTGCCAAAATCGGTGGCATGGCTTGGCGCGGCTCCTCATGTTTTGGCATTCCTAACCTCGGTGATTTTAATGCCAACTTTCCATGTGGTACAATAAGGAATTCAGGCGATTTTACCTTTGCTTTCGGGTTTTTTTAAAATCAGTCCTAGTGATCAAGACAATCTAGGTTGAAGAGGTCGTTGTCGCGAGCGACCTGGCGACCTGAGGGGTATGCATTAGTACGTATAGTACAGAGGTGGCTTTCAAAAGTAATTGCTGACAGGGGTGTCTTGAATTTAGCCGAAATACTACCGAAACAGAGATAGATCAGTCTCAACGTTCTCTTGGCAGACCTCTGCCTTCCTTATACTCATTCCCACCATCAAGTTCAATGATCTTTTGAACATGGATAGGAATCCTCTCTATCCATGCCTGGATCTGTGACTGTGGAAGATCACTCCAGGCCTGCTGCCATGCTTTTGTAGCCTCTCCTCTATTCATCAGAGCGCCTTTCTTAGTAGTTCTTCTCTTCAACCATGACCACGCTGGCTCAATAGCGTTAAGATCAGGTGAGTTACCACACCAGAAGAGCTTCTCTACACCCTCTCGTTGGTAGACGAGATTCTGGGCATGGTGAGCATGAGAGGGAGCCTTATCTTCTTGAACAAGAGTACCTGGTCTCTCTCTCTCATACACTTCTTAGCGAAGGGGATAAGCTTTGGGAAAAGGACCCCAGTTTGATACCGCCACCAATTAATACCACCTTTATCACTACCACGAGTGAGCTTCCCGTTCTCCTTAGTCCATCTCCATTGAGGAGCTCTACCAGGCTTATTTCTTAAGCCTATCCTCTTCATGCCCGTAGTAAGCTCCCACTCCTCTCTCATGATAGGCTCTAGAATCTTATTTATCTCATCAATCTTAAGAGCTGCATCTCTCTTCTCCTGAGCTGTCTCTGGCCTCCATACATGGGAGGGACCTTTGTAATCATACGTAAAGCAGCCCTAGAACATGAACTCAGAGTATCCCTTCCACCTCTCTCGTATCACAGATCTTGTAAAAGCCTCATCTGCCTTTCTCCACACTCGATACCCACCACGGCGGTGGTTCAGCACAACAGAGGTCTCGTCCGACCAGATAACGTTCTTCTAGTCCTCAAGAGTCCAGTGCTGATGAGCGAGACACCAGTCAAGTCTATCTTGTCTCATCTTCTTCGTCAACCCAGGCTTCCTCGTCGGCTTGGTCTTCTTGTATCCTGCTGCCTTGAGGACTCTCCACACCGTGGTAGAAGAGACGTCGTGACCGTAGAGACTAAGATCACCAGCTATGTCAGCACAGCTCTTCTCTCGTCCATAACGGTCACGGCGTACTTTCTCAACAGTAGCTTCATGGATAGCCTCTTGCTTGCGTGGGCGGCCTGAGCGAGGAGCATCCTCAACATATTCAGGAAGAATCTTTAAGGTTGGTCCATTTGGCTCAAAGCCTCGCTGGCAGGCACGGCTATAGATAGAGTTGATAGTGCGTGGGGAGATGCCTAGGATCTCACTAATCTGACTCGTTGATCTACCCACAAAGCGGGACTTTAAAGTGAGAATAGCGGCACGTGTAGAGATATCTGTATAACGAGGAGCCATTGTAACAGTAAAGAAACACCAAAGAAAGCGAGTTTACTGCTATCTCCAGCTTCAAAAAAACTCTAAGGATGCCAAGAAATATCGGGCCGAATACCAACCGCGCTAGCAATTACTTTTGAAAGCCACCTCTGTAAGCCGAGCTGCATCCTCAACACGAACTAACGTTATAGTCGCCCGAGCTTAATAGTGATTGGCCGAGTAAGCCAGGTTCAACATGGTGGTAGGCTTAGCTGCATCCTAGAAATTAAAAAGCTGCGCCCAGCCATTCCACCGCTTTATGCAACGTGACAGATACAAAGGGTGTGTTCGTAGACCCCCTTTGTACATATACCCACCAACTAAGACGCCTTTGCTGACCCAGCGCTGTGGAACAGCGTCGGGCACTGGACCCCAAGGGATCAAATAGTATCCCGAGGTCCATCACGATGGTGGGGTTGGAGCTTGGACTCGAGAGCTATCCTAGCGGCTCCAAGGCAGCGATCTACATCGCAGGGCTCATCACCTCCTTCGTCGCTTACATCGTCGTCTACCGCCTCTTCTTTCACCCCCTCGCGCAAATCCCAGGCCCCAAGCTCGCAGCTCTCACCTTCCTCTACCAGACTTCCTACAGCTTCAAAGATGGCAGTCGCTTCTACAAGCAGGTCGGCCTCCTGCACGAGAAGTACGGCCCTATCGTGCGCATCACCCCCAACGAAGTCTCCTTGAGCAACCCCGAGAACTACGAGGCGATATACTATGTGCGGTCGAGATACACAAAGGATCCAAGATTCTACGATGCATTCGGCATGGAATATGCCTCCTTCACCTCCTGCCCCAACGAGCTGCACCGTCTCCGTCGCGGGCCATTGAACAAATTCTTTTCGCGGGCCGCGGTGCTGTCATTGCAGAACATTGTGCAAGAGAAGGCCGACAAGCTATGTGATCTGATAACGAGGAATTCAAAGGCGGGCGAAATGCTGGATATTCATCACGGATGCCGCGCTTTGTCGGTTGATGTTATTACCCAGTATATGTTCAACACGTCCTATGCTCTTCTCGATGCCCCGGATCTAGGCACCAATTTCTTCGAGCTGGTCAGAGGCATTGGCCCTGCACTGTGGGTTTTCCAGCAGTGGCCGGAGCTGAGCATCATGAACCGTCTTCCCCAATGGATGTTGAAAAAGATGAGTCCGCCTCTTGCGCACATCCTGGACCTGCAAGAAGTATGTCTTTCCCCCAAGCCGCACTCCTCCCGGATCTCTCCTAGAGATCCATTTTCTGACAGGAATCATAGCAAGCCAAACAACAGATCCTCGTCACCAAAGCCGATCTCGACGCCGGCCGAGTCAGCAAGGACACCTGCAAAACAATCTTCCACGAACTGCTGACGCCAAACCCCGAAGAAGGCTGGGTCCCACCAACTCCAGATCAGATCAAATACGAAACCTACGGTATCTTAGCAGCAGCAGCAGATACAACGGGCAATGGGTTGACGACAGGAGTATACGAGGTGATCAAGAATCCCAACATCTACGCAAAGCTCACGGCAGAATTAGAGAATGCATTTCCAGATCCAAGCGCCAAGATGGAACTTGCCGTTTTGGAACGCCTGCCATATCTGTCTGGCGTCGTAAACGAATCTCTCCGCCTCTCCTTCGGCGTCATTTCCCGCCTCCCGCGCATTGTCCCGGAAGGCGGCGCCCAGTTTGAGGGCTACATCATCCCCGCCGGCTCCACCGTTTCTATGTCCTCTTGGGTCCTGCATCGGAACGAAGACTACTTTCCCTTTGCACACGAGTTCATTCCTGAGCGATGGGCGCTAACCAGCGACAAACAAAAGATGTGGAAGGCGTTTGTGCCGTTTGGAAAGGGAGGTAGGATGTGTGTCGGGATGCCGTAAGTTCACTGCACTGATCCCTCGGAACGAAGCTGATTGCATAGGCTTGCTCTTTGTGAGATGTACGTGACCTTGGGGTCAATTTTCCGAAGGTTCAAGCACTTGAAAGGGAATGAATTAAGTGAATACGATCTGTTATATGATGATTTCTTTGCTAGTCATCGGCCGATAGATGCTGTCAAGTTTCATGTTATTGAGCAGGATTTGAAGGAATAAAGACGCGGGGACAAGAGTTACAGAAGGAAGATGATTTGATGCCTGTCAGTTGGCGTACGGGCTATAAAAACTGTCAAAGCGAGACGTGGTTGTGTGATATCTTAACACCCGCGGTGATGACGGGTTCTACCACGAGGAAACGATCTTTCTGTTTATAAGCTTGTCTCATATGACCATAGATAGTCAGTGTAAGAACATAGCCTCTCCTTAGCTACTACTTACTATGAGATTTATAGCTAGGGAGTGAAGGGTTACTTCTTACTACGAAGGCGCAAACTACTAGACCTTCTATGGCCTACTGCGCCTTTGCGTAGCTTCTCTCTCCAGGCTATATAAGTACGCGTACACTCTGCCTCTTCTGGCTCTGCGTCTGCTATTTTCTCTACTCCGAATACAAGCTTCTACTCAACCAGTTCGCTCTTCTGCGCGTGAAGTCTACCTTACATATGCCTAGTGAACTCACATAATTCTACCGTGTGTATGCTATAGATCCTGCTTCCCGTCCTCCAGCGCGTCACTACCTTGGCTTCGTCCTTCAGCTCAAGAATCATGCTTAGAATGACTTGTAGCTACAGCATCTCCCATTTCCGGCTCATCGCCGATATGGGACTTCAGATGCATTAGATCATCGCTCTCATCTCAGGCGCGTGCACAGCACATTGCCACGTGCATTGAGGCTGCATGTCCCAGAGCAACACGCCGTCGTCATGTTCGTCAGAATCTGAGGTATGGCTAGCCTCTTCCGCACCGATGATACCGCTGCTGCTGTTAGACTCCTCAGACACATCAGATGCGTCAGACTCCTTGCTGTAGGAAGATGCCAAGTTCGAGTGATCATCAGAGTCCCAAGCGTCCTCTGAGCTGTCGGATTCGTCACTCTGCCTGCTGCAATACGATAGACACCTGGAGAGCGCATGCTCGACGTCAGACTCGGAGTCTGTCTCTGATGTGTCGCATGTCTTGTTGCTGTAAGTTGATAGGACCACTGACTCGCGCTTGGACAGCTGCTACTTACCTGTTCTAGGTCGAGATCAGAGATGTCGCAGTCTGGGACCGTTTCTTCCGTGGGCTGCTCTGGCTTGATCTGCATGACGTGGTGGTCGGTGGGACTCAGCTGAAGAGAACTGTTGCTAGAAACAGTTGAAGCGCGCGTGTGACTGTTCGGCGATCATGTGTTCCGGTCTGTGTCATATGGTCTGTCTTATGTATCCTGTGTCTCGCATCCCCAGCGTGAGCAGAATGGCTGAAATGGGCTCGAATGCTGATGTGTAAGCATAGAGACACCCAAACCAATTCTAGCATACAGGAAGAGACCGAACTAGTACCATCGACGCGGTTACTGGTGTGCAGGTCTTATCGAAGCTCAAAGCAGCCCGTTCGTGAGCAGCGAGCTATGCATAGATCCGCACTGCATCAGTTGCGCTATTGACCTTGATCCAGCTCCATTCGGTTCCAAGAGCGGCTTCCAACGGCACGTTTTGGGTGCAGCGAGACCTTTCGTATTGTAGCTACCCGCGTTTCCGGCTTCTTTGAGGCTTCAAGGGAAGCGTGAGGAGCTTTGCGCGGTATTGTCTGGTTCCGAGACGGCAGATTGTTCGCCAGTCAGAGTTCCAACCTCATGCTGTTCTGCGAAGCTCGATTCAATCGCTGCTGAGTATGCGGACTATGTGTAGCGGGTATGTGCAAGGAAGGCACGTCGGTCAATCACTTGACGAGTTAAGCAAGTTAGAAAACAGGGCCGCGAGAGGACACGCAAGCTTGCTTAGTTTGCTCGTCAGCCACTTAGGGCAGTTGAGGTAAATTTACATGTATGCAATGCACATCTTGAACCACTGTACGTACTACGTGTGACGTAGTGGCAATGTGTCGAGCCAGGCACGGTGAAAGCAATGCTAGCTACACGATCTCCTCTCCCCATTCAGTGAAGACATCACAGACAGTAGACCGACAATTACTACATGACGTGTGTGTCAGTGGTGCAGAGTTGGATTGGAATTGTACGGAACGCTAAGCTTTTAGATTTGCAAACAATGAAGATCAAAGAAAACATCAGACTCCCAGCTGCCTTGACCATATCCGCTGCATACTACGGCACATCGCCGCGCACTTTGACCAGGTATCACTCGTCTGTCAAAATGTGTGGGATGTAAGAGGTGTCGTATTAATTTCAATTAGAGAATCAGTATTCCAGGGAATTACTCTTCTTTTTGAATCCGGCGCTTCTCAACCACCTCCCAAAGGGAGCGGAAACCACTCGAAGTTGGGTTATGGATGCGTTTCTGTTGAAGAGGCAACGGCTCAGAGAGGATCTCCAGCACTCACGCAGTAGAATCTCTATCTACTTTGACCTCTGGATTTCGCCAAACACTTACGCTAGTCTAGGTGTCATCGCCATGTGGATTGACACTACCGGCAAGGCCTTCTGCACCAACTTTTCAGTGAAGGTAGACGTCGAGGTCCTCCAAAAAAAAAGAGGGAAGAAGTCTCCCTTCTTGACTGGCAGCCATCCCTAAGATTTCTGAGTGCGAAAATCGAGCTCCTTAGTGTAGTTACCAGCAAGGAGCTCAAAGCAGACTACATCTAAAGGCTGCAACGTATAGGTGGCGTGTGGGGGAAGTATAAGGAAAAGTATCTTGTTGTTATCATAGTATGTGATGAAATCTCTTGTTACATGGCTGCCGTGGCCATCTATTGTCAACAGCCGCCACTTTCTCCGCGCTTTGCCCTTAATGTAGGGGTCAAACACCTGTTCAAGCCAAGTTAACCTAAGATCGTTGTTCGTCCAGTCATTGGGGGAGGTGGTGAAGTGCACCTAGTGCTCTTTCTTGTCAATTGAAACCACCCAGGACGCCTGAACTGCCCGGCCGGTGGCCGCGTAGATGATACCTGAAGGAAGAGTAGATCCATTCGCGCATATGCATACTAGAAGCGTCACCCCCTCCCTGTTGCCATCGTGCAAAGACTGCTTAAAGTGCTTCTTGCCACATAGTACCTTATCAAAGATCCTTTTGCTTCTGCCTGTGACACCAATAGCGAAGCCTTTGTCATCTATATTGTACGTGTGAGCAGGCTCTGGGTCATACTGGGCGAGCTCACGGTGCAGAAGCTCGAAGTATAAGCGGTACTTCTCACCAAAATCGGCCTTGTGACGATCCTTCGCCATTGGGGTGGTCCACGCCGTGATGAGGGTATCTTTATTGCGGTTGAGGAAGTTAGTAACCCCGGAATCGCTAGGCTCTCTTCCAATGACTGGTGTTGCAAAATTCTTTAGCATTTGCCTTGTAGGCATAAGGCGTCACTCTGTAAGTCCTCTAATGTAGTGCACTAGCTCTGCCTCATCACGTGGGTGCATCAATCGCTGCTTGAGTGCCTGGTCTTCTTTTGACGCGCATTCCCCGTTTAGTTGTCGCGTTAAAGTTGAGCGCGTTACACCATGTGTTTTGGCTATCTTAGTATACTTAAAACCATCGCAATGATGATTAGCACGTCCCTCTGCAACAGCTTCTTTACAGACATCGTCGCGTTGAGATATAGTGGGTAGAAAAGGTACTGTTATTATGCCGAGGCGCGCGTTGCGGCGCATGCGCAGTGCGAGCACAGACACGGTAATGTCACAACAACACCAAGCTCTTAGAACCTCTACTGAAGCTGATATACAGCTTGCTATCTCTGATATTCAAAATAAGCAGATAAAGACTCTGCGACGCGCTGAGTTAATCTACGGCGTGCCCCGACGGACGATACAGCGGCGACGCGACGGGAAACGCTATCGAGACGTCTGCGAAGAGGGTGCGCGTAGAGAGACGCCGCGGCCGTTGCGGCGAAACTGGGCATAACTCCCGCACCTGCAAGGTAGAAATGGAGGATATAGTTGATAGCGACGCTTCTAAATAATACTATACTATTCCCTGTAGTATAATAATTTGTTGTGGTGTTGCGCTGCACCGTTGCGCAGGCGCTGTGCTGGTGTTTCGTGGGGCGCTCACTGGTGAACCACGTTAATCAACTTGTCAATCACTTAGTTGTTGACAACTCTAGTCTAGAACATCCCGAACGATTCCACCGTCTTAGTTATCATTATCGTTCAAATGCGGTAGATGTAAGCGAGCACTTCCCGTTGTTTGTGATTGGCATAGTTTGCTGGGCTTAATTTGTTGCTTTTTGCTGCTCTTCCTTGCTTTTTGGACTTTCTGTCTTTCTCTTGAAATCCTATACACCATCCGGCAACAGCTTGTTAAGATAACATTGAAGGGAGTGTACTACAGCGACATTCGAAATCCCAATTGAGTGCTTGATAGTTTGAGGTGGTAGCGGTGTGAAGGATTAACCCCTGACGATAGTCAAAATATTATCGTTGCGGAAACATATGGACCCCCTTGTTAAATCACGTGAATATCCCAGTCGATTACCAGTAGTAATTGTTACCAAAAAGCAGAGTGAATGTTCACGATTGGTCATGGTTAGGGTATAGTAGCATGTAGGGCTTCAAGTAGACGTTTTGGAGACTTTTTAGAGACCCGTATGGGTAAATATAGTGTAGTGGTGAGCTTTTGGGAGGTAGTAGAGCGTATTAGTGGGCGTTTAGGAGGTTGTAACAGGTGTAAGATACCTTAGGGGTAGGGGTAGGTAGAGGCGGGGTGGTGAAGGTTTAGGACGGCGTGTAAGCTTACAGGGGTTCTTGATAAGATAATCGGTCCTAAAGCAGCGTACTAGGGTGAATCTAGGGCATGTAGGAGTCTCCAGATGTGCCAGAGACATGGGAGGAAAGCTAAATCGCTGGGTATATACTGTTTTGCAGTACCCACCCACATTTCTCAGTATCCATCCACATTCTACCTGCTCTTTCTCTCCCTACAGCAGCGACGAGGCGTTAATCGAAGTCAATCTCGGCAGCGGTGAAGGTGTGGGATCAATTTGAATCATCAGGGAGACGAATTACGCTTATATATAATAGTCAATATGCCCGCTACGTCGTCGCGGCGTCGTACGCTTACCCAGAAAGCTCGTGAGGAGCAGGAAAGACGTCAGAAGCGTAATGAGAGACGTCGTAGGATCATGGAGATCTCCGATATAAGCAGTGAACGTTCAGCGACGCCCTCTACTCCTTCACAGCCGTATCCAAACCTCTCCCAGCTAGGTGCTAGAGCTCAGCTAGTAGATAAAGACAGCGGAAGCGATACTGTAGCTGATGAGGAGATCCACGACGACGATAACCGGGAAGACTCAGCTCTTAGCAGCTTTTCTAGAGGTATCTTTGTCAGAGATCGCTCAAGCCCAGCTATACAGGACGCCCAGAACGCTCCTAGAGTGAATTACATGAGTCGTTAGCGTGTATTTACTAGAAGGGAGGCTCTCGGCCGCCAGGAGACTTCAGCGCAGCACTCTAAGAAGGTTACCTTAGCCACCATTATAAGCTAGGCAGAAGCTCGAATCGCGGAGCAGCTACCACTAGTGTATACAATTACGAGACTCACCGCATCAATATACTTCCAGAAGCAACAAAAGCAATCGTACTAGGTACAATCTCTTAGCAAAGGAGACAACCATGCGTTTAACCAGTTCCTAGAGCTTCTGCACAAGAAGAGAGAGGAGAGAGACCAAGCTAAGGGATCTCCAAAGGCGATATGGGTTGACTTTAACCTGCACGTAGAGCCAGCAGACCGCAGCTTCGGCGTAGGGCGTCAAGGTAATCTCTTTAGTACTAGCCGCAACCCAACTAAGCGTCAGCTGCTTTAATTACCAACTACTGCAGCTAAGCTTCTTACTACAGAAGGGCAGGTTACAGAGGTAATTGCGATGTGGAGATGTGAGCATTAGAGCTGTTCGAATTATCCCTATACTTACTAGGTTGCTAGTCTTAAACCCAATGAAAGAGGCCCTAGAAGAGTAGAGAACCATTACCCAGTACCCAAAGGAGTACTTAATATATAGAATCGGGAGATTCGAAGAGGTGTTTCTACAGCACAAGACCCGTCAGAGAACCTTAGGACTCTCCTCCGTCAAGAGAGAGAGCGTCGAAGAAGTAGAAGGAGAGATAATAACAACAACACGGAGATCCTAAGTGAAGTAAGTTCAACATTAAGAGAGCTT